TCTATATGGACACAACAGGTATACACACACATCTTGCTCGATTCATATAAACACCTAGCAAACTCCCCTGCCCTCCCCCCTAAAGCCCCCCCAACCCAATATAAGCCAACATCCATCATCTTCCGTGACGCCATCAGCAGCAGTCAGCGAAAACGATCGCCAATGCATTGCTCCATTTCGGACAAACCGTCCGATCCCAGATTCCTCAGAAAACAAACCAACCAATAAGAAAAAGACTCCGCTTTCTCCAAAAACTTGCAACCTCTTTCTTCTAAGATATACTACTGTAGGTATGTATGAATGTATTCTCTCACAACAGGGAAACTCGCGTTTAGACCCATGCACGGCGACGTCAAGTCCTGCTGGATATGCTTAAAACAAGCAAAGCCGTGCCTTGTTTTCCTCTTCTTCCGTTTTTGTATTCAGATCGTCGCATCATGCTTTGTCTGCACGTTTGTGCTCGATAATGGTTCGCAGGACATGCCGTCGATGACCAATCGGGCCGGGGAGCCTCGTCACAGAGAAGAGGCAAAACGCGCAACTTTTTTCATTCCCTCAAACAGCAATTGGAGGCATCATGTACTCTGAACGTCCAAAAATGCATGTACAGACATATAGGATACGTGTATGTGCGAGTGTCGTTCATCTCCCGCGCCCCGGCTTGCGCTTTTCCCCCTGCCAAGCAACCCTTACCCTGCTCGACATCCCCCCCTGGAACTGTCACGGAAAGATGACATCTGGACTTCCAGATCACACACACACACACGCCCTCTCTTCCCGGAAACAGTCAAAGGCAAGGGGTAATATTGGTTCTTTTTGGCTGTCAGTCCTTGATGGTGGTGTACAATTGATGTACATTGGCGGAAGTTGACTTCCAACGCTTCACCCCCGTCTTGTCATATGTCAGATTTTCTTCTCGTCAATCTTCTTTTTTTCCTTGGTCAGATTCAATTTCTGCATGCAGATGCTTGGATGTACCTGGCTGAGAAGAGAAGTACTGTACAAGATAGACGTACAGGACGAATAGATGGCAGTTCTCTTCGTGTTTCGGCTTTGTGAGCGCCCATGTTGTGCTTCGCAATTCTCCAAAGTCTTGCACAAGATATGGCGAGAAGCTCGTGATGTCCTTTTGCCCTTGTCAAGAAAGGATACATCGCGTAGGATCAGCTATGCTCCAGTCAGCTGCAGAAACCTGCCGATGAGGGTTGGTGATACATGTAGCAGGGCTGCCTCGTGTGCCAAGAACTCGTGTATCTCACATACATGTAGTAGCTGAATCCCTCTACTTTAGTGCAACATCAATCGGAGTTGCTATAAGCCCATTTAGACGGCACATGGTCCCAACATGCTCTCAAAAGGGCGCCATATTATCGAGATCAGCTTTCTATCCAGATATCCTGAGACGGTCTATATCACGGCTTCACCAGATATACCTTTTCTAAAGTCGAAGCATCAGCCTTGCGAATACATGTCTTCGTCTCTATTCTTCATTACTTCAAAGTCCCCTCCCAATTATATCGGCAATGCCCTGACAAGAAGCTCATTCTTCTTGATCCTGAACATGACTTTCATGAATCCGTTCACTCTCGTCCTATGTACGAAACGTTCATTCACGTAAGCCACTACAGCGTAATATACCGGTGTCTCTCCCAATCGATAGCCGTACAGACAGAGCAAGCGTCTGTTACGGTGGGAAAGGAAAGTGAGCAATGTCCAGCTCATGGACAATGTAACTGTACATCTCATACATCTTGCCAAGGCTATTCTCGCGATCTCTCACAACCATCATCAATGATATACATGTATCTGTACTTGCAAAGAGTATCCATGACTTCTCACGTTACACCGTCCATGTAAGTCATCCTCGCAATTGACGAATGAGCTGGTCTTCTCCTGACAGGAGGGTAGATACGCTGGGCTGAGATCCGAGATACTCCCGTCTCAGCCTCCAACTTCAACCCAACCACAAAAGGGAGCCCCCAGCCGCAATGCCAGCAAATCGCGCCCTCTGTAGTTCTACCTTTCCAGGAAGCAAATCGCCATGACCTCACTCGTTCAAGGCTAGCTACTGTTGAGTCGAGTCTTCATCAGAGAGCCAATCCATAAGAGTAGCTAATTCACCAGTCAGTGTGACCTTCTCACAGCCAGCAAAAAAGGGGTGGGCACACGAAGCTGGATCATCAACGCAAGGAGATACGAAACCTTCCAATCATCCGTCGTACCTCAGTTACGCTGGCCATTGGACAAGGCAATCACCAATTTGTCATTATACACGCCGCATTCTCTACGAAGTCGATCTTCTCCTTTACCCGAAACATGCTACCTACCCTGTTACGACATCTTCCTTTCCCATCAGAAGATTGCAGATAATGTTCCATCAGAGTACTACAAATTACCCGGCAGTGAAAGAATCTCGCAGATCCTAGCCATGGTCGCTTTTTGAACCAAGTCAATCTTTGCAGAGATGCAACGCCCAACTCGCTCGAAGCAATCTGCTCACCGTTCAAGCATTCCATGTTGCCTCAACCCAAAGGGCCTATACCAAAGAACGACATGTAGAATGGATCAAATCACAAGGAATGTGATACCTGCCGTCTAAGCAACTGGACAAACTACTGCTACAAACTCTGCTTGTAGGTTAGCCGATCGTCTCCGTGCATGGATACCTGGTCGCCAGCTTGTATCTAGTCTCCTTCGCTACTCCGGAAAAGGCACTCCCGGATCACCTTGGAGGTGGGCAGTCAGCGACCCGACGCGGGTCTCCATCCTGCCGCATTCTTCATCGACTTGGCCGTGGCCTGTGCTCGCAGTGCTTCAACGTTCTTGGTTTCGCCGAAGAAAAGATTGGCATGTGGGCCGGATCCTTTCCCATCTCTGTACTCTGCAGCGCGGATCAAGGGGCAAAGAATGTTTTCTTCGACGGTGACCAATGCCACATTGCCGGATCAGTTGAAGCAACCTGCAAGATCTGGTTGCCTTCTGGGTTGCGGAATGTCCGAGTCGATACAACCGTCAAGCCCGGACCTCGTAGGGCTCCGTCCGAGAGCCCCCCGTGCTGGGCCGATCTGCGCAGCGGAGGAGGTCGACCACCTCCGGTCACGCCACTTGGGCGTACAACCAACATCCTCTGTGTATGATCATGCAATACCAGCTGGTACTGTAGTATGTGTTGTAAGTAGTATGCGGCTTCGCCTGTCGCATTGCGGCTGGGCTAGATAACGACAGCCGTATCGGGGATGGAGCGGGCCGGATCGCAAGGCGGCCACGATCTTCAAGCTCGGGGAGTCCCCAACACTCTAGGTCCTCCGGACAGCGATGGACGGAGGCCCATTTCCGTTCTTCACTCACTCAGCCTCTTCAGGATCGATCGACAAGCGGATCAGGGCAGAGCTTGGCCAGGTCAAAGAACGGCCCTGTTCCCGGCGTAATCTCGCCCTTCGCCGGCATTGCTGCGACCGCGACAGTACGTGCAGCTTCGGAGACGGCTTCCCCCTTTAGCAGCACAACACACACACGTCGAGATTGTCGAGGCCCTCGAAGTATTCGACGCTGGGATCTGTCCGGTCTCGCCCTCCAGAAGGAGCGAAACCGAATGGAGACCGAATGGACAGTGGTCCCGGCCGAACCGTTCCATTGTGGACACGGGCTCTGGACGAGGAGCCTGTAAGATCGTGCCAGGTGCCTCTCGATGCTACAAGTATGTGCATGTACGAGCATGTAGGCGGTTGGCCCTGCTCCATCCGTCTCCCACGCTCGTACAACTCGGGTATTAGTCTGCACATGCGTACACACAGAGAATGCTGCTTTGTGTCGTCCGTACAGATAATCTTGTAAGCCGCCTCCACAGCGGGACACGCAACGACCCAGTCAGAGGGACAGAGAAGGGCCGGGGATCCGCTATCAGTCGGGCTCGCGATTGCTTAAACGATGGCGTTGCATGCACAATGACTTTTGCCGCCTGCAGAGTGAAAAGTCCGGAATTATGCCAGACAAGGTGGTGGTCTGGAAGGAGAAGCCCCGGAGCTGATTTGCTAATGGGAAAAGAAAAAGAGCTCATTAGCCGTTATATGCGGTTGGTTGCACGCTGCATGGCGTGGGCTCTGCTTTTTCCACATACATCCTACCCCTTTGGCATGGGGCTGGAGCATCTGCGAGGGCATATCCAGGATTCGTCTGCTGTGGTGCTACACTATCTCCGCGTAGGACAGAGTGTGCTGTACGGCTGTATTCCGCACTCGTTAGCAATGCAACTTGAACATGTGGAAAAGAGCCGGCAGTCTGGCCAGACTACAGTAGTATGTGTGACAGGCTGTCGTCCAAAGACAGGACAGGCAACCCCCCCCCCCTTGACACACTCGGTGGTCGCTACTTTCTGCCGCGATGGTCAAAGTTACATCGTTAGCAGTCACGCTTTTTGGACCTCTCTGAACAAGCATGAGTTCATACATGTATCATGCGCCCGTCAGTACACGGTACAGAGCAAGAGATGAGATCCTCATCGAGGAAAGCCAGGATTGCCCAAAAGGTCGACATGCGTCACGGCTAGGGGTTGGGGAGAACAGCCTGCGCTTCCGAGGCGCTCGAGCTGGCTAACCAGAGGGCCTCAGGAGCAGAATATGACTTGCCCAGTCCCGCCAGGCTACCCCGTATCTGGATTGCCAGCCATCAGATATGGAGGCAGATCTTCGCGGTGCGGAGCATTCGTGTTCCCGCCCGCCATGGAACCTTGGAGCCGGAGGGCGTCGCCGTGGACGTGGACAAAGCAGAGCAACGCTCGTGCTACCGGCAGTACCAATTGCTCCAAAGACGTATGTATATGCGTACAAGCAACAGCAAGTAGCAAGCCGACACGACAAAAGCAGCGCAGGCGAGCGCTCAGAATAGAGACGAGCGCTAATTGCAGGTTGACTTGCAGCCAGCGCGTGCCAGTCGGCTTCGTCCAGATACATCCGTGCATCATATGTACATATAGCCAGAAGTCCACGAATAGTATGTACTAGTACTGCCAGAGAGCGGCGAGGCGAGGCGAGCACAGCATTTGGCGAGATGAACGGCGCTGCAAGGAGCACAAGAGCATCCAGTCAATCAGGCGGCTGCGATCCTAGGCAATGAGCCACCGGAACTGGCCGGGGGACCCCCTTTGTTCCTTTTCGTCTCTTTCCATGTCCCACTGATCCTTGGACAGGACCCCCTTGGCGATGCTGCAGCTCGGGATGAGATTCTCCAGCACTGGCTTCGTTGGCGCCTCGGAATGCCAGCATCGAGCTGGTTGTGCGATTTCATGAGCTGGCCGCTGCCTTAGGCCAGATCGCGGATCAGTCGCTTTGCTGCCGTCGACATATGTCGAGCATGACGAAGCCGCCCGCGGCATGGCGGTGAGCTTCTCGGCGGCCTGATAGAATGCAAGATGCTGCGCGCCTGGCCTGAGAGATACAGCAGACAGCGGAAAGGTGACGAGAAGATTTGACAGATCAGAGTGGATTGTCGACTGGATTTTCGGCGGCTCAAGGCGGTTAGTGGCCGGCGGCTGGTGCTGTACTGTGGACCGAGTCTATGAACAGGGCTTCAGGGGGCTTCAAGGGGCCGCTCATGAGCTGTTGTTGCGGCCTTCCCTCAGGTTGGTGCCACCCGCGGCAGCGCTTCACGGTCACCAGTCGAATCCTCCAGCGTCAGATCTAGTCATACCAGGCATTGGTACGAAGTACAGACCAGCCAAGGCACGGCTGAAGTTGTACTGCCGGATCGCATGTGGTACTGGCAGAGTCACAGGTCCTGTTCGTTTGTACTGCAAGGCCCCATCTACCCACGACCCAGTCCTCGTACCTGGCAGTTGGACAGCGGCTATCGTCAAAGGCTCCATGTCCATAGTGGCCCCCTGTGAGCCAAGGTGGTGATTCCCCCGCTGACCTGCGTGGATGGAGAGGCCAAGCGGTTCTTAACCTTCTTCCCCTGGCGTTACCAAGCATCGCGAGAGCCTGGAAGATGCCGGGGGGGGCTTGTAGAAGCACAAGAAGGGGTCATTGGAGAATCCAAGGTCGCAGCCAACGGAGGGTATACATGTGCATGCGCTAGGTATCGTATGCCACGACTCTCACGAGGCATGAGACCTTCAGAGTCGGCGTCGATCTTGCAACCGCAGGCGTCATGCGCACAAACCACGGAGAATAAACCGGCAACTTCCCTGTGTTCCGCTCGCGATAATCCGTGGCCAATGCCTGGGCAGAGTTGTGGCGCTGCGCTGCATGTTGGCTTGGGATTGCGGGATAGTGCTTGAACAAGTCGCACGAGATGTGAAAGGGCCTCCTAACAGAGCACGGTGCTGGGATAAGCAACCGGTAGTTGCCCACGCAGGGGCAGAATGGAGTCACCGTCGCCATGGGGAGCTGAGCTTACTCGTGGCAATACTATGGCACTCCCTGAACACGTACGAGGTGCGAGGAGCACTGCTACAGCTGTGTTGTATGTACGCCTCCTCCACCGGCCGGTTCGGCGGTCTTGTATCCTTGTTGCAAGAGGATTCCTCTGGACACCAGTTCATGGTCCGACGCGTCTAACTTCCGAATTATTAGCAGTGTCAGTACCTTAGAATCCGTAGCTGTATGCTCTGACCATTCTCTTTGGCAGATGCATACAGCAGCATGCACCAGGCCACAAGGAGCGTATGTGTGTCGGCCAATTCCGGCCTTCGTGTCCAGAGGACATACCTGGTTAGATGTTATTGATACACTGTTGCTCATGACTTACAAGTCAAGTAGTATAGCATCCTGGTAGGACGTTCGTAGTACAAAATACTACCACCACTGCTCGATAAGTGGACTAACAGCCTTTGAGCCAAAGGTTAGACAACGGGCCCAAGAATGGAGAGAGAGAGGCAAAACTGGCCAGGGCCAGGCCACGCGACGCCAGGCAGGGGAAAGGTCCGACAGGCGTCGGAACAATGCCAGTGACTCGATAGACGAGCAGGACCCTGAGATTTCGCTGATTCCAAGTGCTTGCGCTCGCTGGGAGCAGGCAGAGTACTCCTCCATCACCTCGATCGGTATCTCGTAGGTACTAAGCAAGTATCATCGGCTCGTCTGACTGAGTGATGCGTTCATTGTGTCGTCTTAATTTCGTACAAGATGCTACACCAGATACCGATGAAGTACTCGTCGCACACGGCACGCCGCAGAGCGGCATGTACCTCCCCGGGTCCTCGCGAGGAAATATTCATTCTTTGGCGAATGGTATCTGCCAGGCCCCCATGTTTCCCTACCTTATGCCACCCATGAAAGTACACGGACGTCTTTGACAGAGTCGCTTCAAAAGTGACCGGGGATTTACATACCTTCTTCTCTCTCTCCCACACACACACACACACACACACACACACACAATATTCGACCTGCAATATGCCATGGGTCCTGGAAAGCCTCGGTGCTTTCTGACCCGCACCGCTTCAATTCTCGTACGAGGGCACAAGCATGAAGGGTTCGTATAGATTCATACCGGTCCATGGGAATGGACGAGGCACCAGGTAAGGGGATCTTGACCTGACTGATGCGACTTTGTCGCTTGTCCAAGCACGAGGGACTGGCTAGAGACGATGTTGCAATCGTAGAAATCGCTGTATGGACTCAAACTCCCCGGCTACTTTTGCCATCCAAATCTCTTTGCCAGCACAACACAATGCGTGTAGAACGACATGGAATGCATCAATATCTGTCTTTTGCCAGATTTGCAACAAGTATATGCTGTTGGTTGTGCTCATGGCGGCTCTTTGAGCCCGGAATGGCAGCACGTACAGAAAGCAATCATGCAGGGCGTCCCACAGAGCGCGGGGATGTGGTCGCTCCTCTGCACGTTCTCGCCTTTGTTAGAGTTAGTGCATGTAGTTGTCAGGTGAACTGTCGCACCACATGCCTCACCTCGACTCCCGCACTCGCACATATACGGCTGTTGTGCAACGGTATGTGTACTTCGTTCAAGGCGCTGAGGCCGGGCCGTTGGCTGCCATGATCTGCCGCCGTCGTCCGTGGCGCGGATTGCCCGTCACCCGAGTCCAAAATAGACATGCCTAGCCTGAACAATCATCCTGGGCTGTCGGCTGCTTCTGCTTGACTGGGCTATTGGCCGTTACCATGTACGCGACAGTTTGGCATGCATGCCCACGACGGTACTCATACTGCTGCTGCAACGACGTGTTTCGCACACGCCTGTGATACGTAGACGCAAGCCAAAAGGCGTCGAGGCAACCAATGGCCAAGCCATGTATGCAGTTCCAACGAGATGAATGACCAGAATCGCATCGGATCGAATTGGCCGCTTCTCTCATGGCGACAAGGCCCAGATTCAACGAAGCAGATGCGAACAAGCGCGATAACGCCCACAGCACGTAGTTCGTACATGTACCTGCATCTTTAAAGCTGACTGCCAGACAGACACGGCCGCTGTGGTTGGACCAGGGCAAGAGGCGAGAGTTCCGGTCTGCTTCTTTCATGTCTTGCAATCTTGCTTCTAGACTGGTGCGTGAGACGTCGGGATAGCTATGCAAGGCATCCCAAGCTCAACAGACGGCACAAGCACGTTAAGAACAAGGATTCCAGGCAGATACGCAAGCCCCATTGAGCACCTTGTTGCTCTTGCTGCATCCAGAGTAGTACAGACTCGCAAGGGAGAAACCGGCGTCCTACCCACCAGCCACCGTCTTCGACGTAGTCACAACTTGCAGTATATGTAAGGTAGGACAAAGTACTCATCTGTGAGACGTCGGTAAAGGACAAGAGGCAGCCTGGCCGAGTGAATACCTGGTAGACGGAGCTCAAGGTAGTACATGCAATCAACTGTCAGATGCATTGCTCAAAGTTAGCGGATCGTGTTGACAGGGCCTCTTTGCAGCCTCAGGGGACCACGAGGTTAGAACGAGTACCTTGGCAAAAGAAGCACCTTGTTTAGCCAACTTGCAAACAAAGCCCCAGCTTGTTGACATCGTGGATCTCAGCACCAGCTCGGCCTGACCTTGTTGAGAAGTGCGATGCCTCGCCGATATGTACAGGCACTCCTTACAACTGTAGCTCTCGCTTGCTCATTCAGGACTTATCATCCCACGCGGACGCGGATGCGCATACGGTAGCGACCTACTTGGTATGTTGAGGCTGTATGTATGCCGTCGCGGCTGTTTGGCTTGATGATAACAATGTCGTAGCGCAGAGTGCAGACCAGGGCAACGCAACGCAACGCAACGCAACACCACACAAGGGCAGAAGCAGCAGCAGCAGCAGACAACAACACATAACGCAGTGCAGCGCAGCATCCTGGGAGCGTACGCGCACAGCAACCCACCATTCACCCGGTGGACTCGCAGCCAAAATCTTGTGCGAGTTCTTCTGCCCTGCTTGCCTGCTTGCCGTTCCCAATGGCTTTGGCGAGTGCCCAAGAGCCATACGAAGCTTGACGCCGAACCCTGCCTGGTCAGTCTATCCGCTATGCGCTCCCATTCTCCAATCTCCAGTTAATATCGACAATCGCTGCTGTTTGCTGTCCTGGTCCTCGCCTCCCGCATTCACTAGCTCATCGCCCCACGGGCGATGATTTGACTGCTCGCAAACGCTCGCTTGGCCGAAGGACCCTGGCGCAGTCCATCGATGGTTCTCGAGCGCGTTGGACGAATGGACATGGCGCCTGTGAGTGGTCAGTCGAGTGCTGAAGGCGAAAACCCCCCCAAGAGAGCAGACTCTGTCACAGAACACTCTGCATTCAATATCCACCTGAGAGTCACAAGCTGACTCCAACAAAGGCCTGAGGTGGACAATGTCTCGGATACCAAAAAAAGCTCACGCCACCAATGGCAAAGGTGCTCTGCTCTGTACTTCCAGACGTCGAGAGTGCCTTGCCTCTTAGACGCTGTCTTCCGTACCACTCCGTCTCCACGATGCATTTCTGGAACCGATGCCACTGCTGCGCTTCGTGCTTGTACTCCATACATGCGCCGGGCATGCTTGCCTCGCCATTCTTTATTGGCGAGATGGGGAGTCGGACGTTGCGAGTACAGAGAACCGCGAGGCCACGGAATCGACGTGCCTCAACATCTGCACAATACGGATCATCATCACTAGAGCGCCGTCTGGGTCCTCTTTTAGCGCTTCGTGCGGGCGAGCCATGCAAATAGACGGCAAGCGCAACTTTGGCGGCTCATACTGGTTGTGGATTTGGTATGTGGCCGTCAAGTACATCGCATCTGCACCTTACTCCGTACTCGGGTGATATTCGTTCCCCCGTAGTGCCTGCCAGTTGTTGTCCGGGAAGGCATCGACAGCCATGGCAAGTGCGAGCAACCAGCGAAGCTCGCACCTCACTTCTCGCTCAAATTGCAATTGTTCATTGTGCAACGTACCTGCTGCGAGTATCAGATGTACATCATCACTTCAAGTCCAGGACCAGTAAAAGGCCCGGCATGGTGGAGTGCAAAGGCACAAGTGCAAGCACAAGCTGCTCGTTGCATTCTCTGAAGTCGAGAAGGTACGAATGGAAATGAGCTTCAACTTCAACCTGCCCGGCGCTAGCCCCAAAGCAGCGCGGTACAAGACGCGACATGCTGGGTATTCCCCCCAATAGCGCCACGCCCCCTGCCGCTCCCCTCCTTCTGCAGCACCGCGCACCCCTTCGAGCAGGTACCTCGTACCGTCTACCCCCCTCCCGACATGTACCTTGCCTTGTCCGCACAGGTGGCCCCTTCCCACCTCTCCGCTACGAGAATTAGCCCTCCACTCTGCTACTTCTTTGGCGCCAGCCAGATTCGCTGGGCAAATGCTACCATACCCTGCGTGGCTCGGTTTTCTATCTCGACCAACTGCTAAGTAGGTCGACAAGTCGAATTAACCATGGATGCATGCCAATAATACCTGGCCTTACCTCAATCGCACATCTGCACGGCCTTGTACACACTGGTATTTCCTCGAGTAGCACCACTTGTACATTCATCCATGGCATGCATCTGGCTCGTTAACCTAACAGACCCTCACTGTCTCCATGCTCATGCATGGCATAGGCCTTAGGTAGTACCAGGTCTATCGGAAGCACGCTTCATGGCGCCGGCTACCTAGTACTAGTCGACGCTGGTATCGTAAGGTTAACCTACCGGAGAATCGTATGGGCTTTTGGTATATAACTCCCGTCGACTCGATCAACCGTGGCTGCCATACTCCTCTTTTCTCCTTCACGACCTCTTCCTCCTCCTCTCCTCTCCTCTTCAAGCTAATATCTCTTCCCCGCCTTCCCCGTTCTCCTCCAGAGGCAATCAAGGTGGCTCACGTCCTGCAATGACAGAGTCTGCCTCCTAGAGCCTCTTCAGCTTCTCTTTCCCATTCGTTATACTGGAGCTTTCTTCCCATTTTTTTTTCTCGTTTTCTGGTTTTACGGCACTTCTTTGCTCCTCTGTTTCTTGAGGTGTTCTAGGCCCTCTTCGACTTGGAACCTCGAACCTCGACCCATCAGGCCTCCTTCCTCGTCTCCTCCGAGCTTCGCTTTGCAGAGACGGCAGTCGGACACATCTCCAGGCTCCTTTGCATCGTTCCTTCTTCTTTCGCAGCGTGTTGGCGGTCTGGACAGTCTAGACTCCAGCAATTGGCTTCTCGTGAGCCTGATCTTTGGAAAGACGACCCCATTTGGGTTAGAACACTCGCTTGTCACAGAAATTCGCCTCACGCGCGGTGGGAGCGGGCAGAACTCGAGAATCCGGGGATCGGCTACAAGTAGAGGCCCTTGCTTCTCTGCATCTCCCCTCTTGTCAATCCCTCATCCTTTCGATCCTCTTGCGTGCGAAGAGACGGCGTCATCTCCATTGGCCTGCGTCGTCTGAGCACCAGCCAGTCCTCGTCCTCCGCGCAGTCTCTACGCCTTTCCCAGCAGCAGCGGTCTTCTTCGGCCTCTTGGAACCACACAGACACCGAGATCCCCATGAGAACTTGACGAGGCCCTGGCATACGCGACAAGAGAAATCCTATCCCAGCAGCCTTGGCCCCACATCATGGATTGGTTTCTTAGTGAGCTGCCGGCCAAGCTGATGCCCCTGGTCACCTTCAAATTGCATCTGGTCCAGTCCGATGTCTGGCATTCACCAATCTTCTGGACATGCGTTTTCTGGATTCTATGGTCAGTTCGGCTGCGGATCCTAGCCCTCGTCTTTAATTGAGCCTCTCCTGCTAACAGTTTCCCTTCTTAGGCTGCACCGCTACGTCCGGCTGCTGGTGCACTGCGTCAGCCATTGGACCTACAAATCGAAGCCGATTCCCAATAAGCCAACCTTTACCAACGAGGACGTGACGGTCATCATTCCTACAATTCATAATGCGTTTGAGGAACTGCGCCCGTCGCTCCAGAGCATCCTGGCCTGCAAACCCGCTGAGCTGATCCTCGTCACGACCTATGACAAGCGCAAGGCACTCGACAAGCTGGCCAAGACGCTCAACTACCCCAAGGTCCGGGTCATGCACTCGCCCATTGCCAACAAGCGCCTCCAGGTCTGCGAGGCCCTGCCCACGGTTGAGACTCCCATCACCATCATGGCTGACGACGACGTGACCTGGCCGTCCACGCTGATGCCCTGGATCCTGGCCCCCTTCGAGGACCCCAGGATGGGCGGCGTCGGCACCTGCCAGCGAGTCAAGCGCGTGTGGACTGGTCCGTGGTCCGTCCGCATCTGGAACTGGCTCGGAGCCGCGTACATTGAGCGCCGCAACTTTGAGATCTCGGCCACGCACAACATCGACGGCGGCACCTCGTGCATGTCTGGCCGCACTGGAGCGTACCGATCCGAAATCCTCAAGAGCCATACCTTCCTCGAGGGCTTCAAGACGGAGAAGTGGAGAAAGTGGATCCTGAATGCTGACGACGACAACTTTGTCACGCGATGGTTGGTGAGCCACCAGTGGAAGACCTGGATCCAGTACGAGCGCGAGTGCGAGATTGAGACGACTCTGGAGAACGGCCCCAAGTTCCTCTATCAGTGCTCCCGCTGGGCGCGCAGCAACTGGCGAAGCAACTGGACCAGCCTGGTCCAGGAGCGGCACGTGTGGAGGTGAGTTGCGCCTTGGAACCCTTGTCGCCGTGGCGTCTAAAATAGCGCGAGTGTACTAACGAAAGATGACCTGCAACACAGACAACAGCCCTGGTGCACCTACGCCCTCCACTTCGCTACCTTCACCTCCCTTGCCTTCGTCGTCGACCCGCTTTTGCTTGCCTCGTGCTGGTGGGCGACGAGCGAGTGGGATACCCGCTACCGACTCTGCGCCTTTTGGGCCCAATTCATCTTCATGTTCGCCTTCACCAAGTTCGTCAAGCTCATGGGACTTTTGTTGCGAAACCCCAGCGACATCGTCTTTGTTCCCGTCTCCATTGTCTTTGGATACTTTCACGGGCTCATCAAGCTCTATGCCCTCTTTACTCTTAACATGGTTCGTTCCTCCCCGATGCTCTTGATGATCCCCCAAGCAGCGACAGCAAAGAGGCAAAATCGCTGACGAGTAGTCTCCAGACGTCATGGGGCAGTCGAGCCGATGGTGATGCAAATGATGCGGAGCGGCTCGCGCCGGCGCCAACACCACACAAGGTATTGACGATCCCTCCTGGTCCTAGCTCGCTCATCCGCTACAACAACGTCCGTCAGAAGGGACGACAGACGCAGACGCGGACCGAGCAGGACTCGGTGTGGGAGAAGCGTGGCTGCGCCGCCTACGACTCGAGCGCTGCTCACAATCCGAACAGGATCGCCTCCGAGAAGCATGAGGATCCTGAGATGCAGAATCACCACGACCAGCCACAGTCGATGCGGTTCAGCAACGCCTCGGACTAATGAGATCATGACCATCCCCTTATGTTATGCTTTCTTCTTCAATTGTTTGGGCGCCTTCTCTTTCCTTCTCTCCATGATTGAAACGAGAGCCCATCCCCTGGTGTGTCCAGCCGGGATTTGATTTCACACGAGCTACGAGAAATGACATGTTTCATGGGATCTGGGGTTTGGTTCTTTTTATCATGAGTATCAGGCATGGTAAAATAAGGTATGCCTTGTTCATTTTCTTTCTTTTATGGGTTCAGGGCGGGGTGGAAATCACAAATTGCGTTATGGCGAGATATTACAGCGGATAATGGGCCTGCTGAAAAGGAAACACATGGGACGGAACTTGGGACGGACGGGACGGAATGGCGGAACGGATGGAAACTGGGTTGATTTTCTTAGGGCTGCGTGGTGGTGTGGCAGGGACCGCGAGTCCCCTTGCTCACCGAAGCAAGCCAGGGACTCATGGCTGTTAACAAGAGGTGGCGTTATGTCGTTGACCCCATCAGGCGTTGATTGCTTTAGATCGCCCTTTTTTTCACACTTTTTCTTTTTTCCATTTCTTTCAATGGAACGGATTTGGGGGAACGGATGGTTTTCACACAAAATGAAAAAGATGCGAGTCGCTCGGATTATCATATCACACAGAATGGCATTAACGCGACGCATTTCGTCGTTGGGCAATCTCCTACAGACTACCTGCTAGGTAATACAATTGTTGATCTTTTGAACATGATTGCACGTGGATGGATGTGCGCAACGCGTGGCGAAGAACGACGGGAAGTTTCCGTTTTCCCTTCTTAAACGGTCCGTGTCTCATGGATCTTTCCCCCAGCTTCGGATTTGTTTTGACACATGGGCTTCACGTCGTCTTTTCCGCATGGCGATTTTTTAGGTTTTCGCAGATGTCTCAAATCTCTTTGCGGTAATTGGTCCGGTGTCAGCGAAGGCTGTGCTGGCTGCAGACGGTGTACTACTATTGGTCGCCACCAATGATTGCCTACCATGGTAGATGACAAAGGGCAGCATGACAGAATACCTAAGCATTGGCAATAAGATGTCGGAAACCGACCAATTGATGGGCGTGGATTTGGATATTGATCGTCCAAAGGAGGCGATACACGTCTTTTGGACCTGTTTATCTGCACGTCCGGTCCGCATTATGTAATTGAAGAAGGCAGGGCGAGGTGAGATGGACGAGGTGCGGAGCTGCTGCACGTAAGGTATACGAGCTGAGCCACTGGGCCAGCCTCGCGGGGCATACGCAAAATGGATGAAACAGACAGCAGTTGAGACATGATAATTGATCAATAAAAAGGAAAGGACAGCAACAAGAAGGTGAGACCAGGGTGAATGAGAATTGATAGAAAGGAAGAGTTAAACCGCGAAGGGTGAGAAAAGACAGCTAGCCACTTCAAACGTCCAGTCGAAGACACGAAAGCTCTGCCTTTTTCCAGCTCAAACGTACGACGTGCAGTTGCAGGGCGACGCAGATCAAATGAGGTGCTACTACGTATGCGATTGTGGCTGCAGTGGTGAGTTGCACGACATATATGACGGGGATGCAAAAGAAGGGGAAATCGGGGACCCCCAATGGCAGCTCATAGTGGAATCACAGGGCGGCGGATCTGATAGGGCAGGCTGCCGAGCAGACATGAGTGCGAGTGGTAGCCACAAGGGGCATGGAGGGAGGGGAGGCATGTCAGGCAAGGCAAGGCAATGTAATTCTTGCATGTGCGGAGATCTCGATGGTATGCATGGGGGAAATACACGACAGCAGCCGAGGAAGAATCCGCTTGGCTGGAGACGGAGGAAGAGGGCGCCAGGGCTGTGCGTCCTGGGGTCATGGGAAGCAAGAGGGGGAGGGGCGCCGAGCGGGCGAGAACAGAGAAGGAGATGAGATGAGATGATGCACAGCAAGTGAGGCAAGGTGACATGGCATCGCTGTGTGGCGCGGCGCTGGTGTCCGGTGAGCTCGTGATGGACCAGGCCGGGCATCATGTAGGATGAGGAAAGAGGAAACCCCTACTCCGCTATCAGAGCACAAAGCAGGTCAAGCCACTCCGAGCGAGAGCTCACATCGGCTACGCGAGGCTATAGCGTCGATGAGGAACGACTACTCCGTTCCTAGCGGAGGTGCTAGCACCAAGCGAAGCCGATTTCGAGCGCTGGACGGGGCCTCGAATGGAGGTGATGTGCAAAGGGCCTGCTGGGCTAAAATCGCTCTTGATCGGCGGTCCCCGTCAACAAGGGCTGGAATAGCCCGGCGTCGGTCGTCGGAGCTGGAGCTGGAGCTGGAGGCTGGAGGCTGGAGCCGGGACCACGAATCAGGACGCTGGCCGGGGACCGCAGCCCAGCTTCGCGGGGGATTGGTAAGAGGGCCGAGAGCGCCAGACGTTGCGCGACAGCTGGCGAGCGTCCGTTTGTCGTATTTGATTCTTCTCCCTTCTCCCTGCTCGCCGTCTCCCGTTCTTCTGCCATTGAGTCGCCAGGTCGTTGACACTGGAGATGATGGTGGGGAAGCAGAGGGGAGAGGATAACAGTACAAGAGAATACTTGCACAAGCCAAAGCGGGAGGGGCGTGCCGCCAAAGGGTGAGGCTTGTGGGGTGCGGCCAGGCTGATCAACTGCCAGTTGTACATGCAAGTCACTGGCCCCAAGTGGGCTGCTCTTCTGCAAATTGCCCATTTAACCTCTTCCAACAACCGGCCGGGCGAGGACGTGTACCTTGCATTGCATGGTCCTGGGCCCTGGACGGGCTGCCATTGGCCTCGGCCGCCGAGGGCACTGCGGTGGTTTGATGTATGTAATAGGGGAGAGGCGACGCTGCGTGTGCTGGACCGCATCGCCGCGAGCTGGGGCCGAGACAGCACAGCACAGCGGACAAGACGTGGATATCATGCGATGCGATGCGATGCGATGCGCGATGCGATGCGATGCGATGGATGCGATGCGACCACCCTCCTTGTGCTAGTCCTGCTAGTCCTGGCTCCAGGATGGAGCAGGCGTGCGAGTAGCATCGTCCAGTTGCTGCCACACGCCAAACCGCTTTCCGTCAACCATGCAGATGCAGACGCAGGTCCAAGCTAACGCGGTGGAGAAGACGAGCGGCCTGTTTGCCAATTGCTGAGCCCCATGGCCGTATTCTGCATTACCCAATGAGCACCGTCGATTCACTCTCGTCAGAAATCGCAACCAGCAGCCTCGTCGTGCACTCGAGTTGCGACGAGATGCTCCTGGTGGATGCTTAGTGACAGCTGATGCATCGGTATCAAGCATGAGGACGCGTTATCAGGCGCAGAGCCGTATATGCATCCGCATCCTTCTCGATTCTATACCTCTCTCGAGGTGGCTTCAACATAAGGCAAACGGTCATCCAAAGCGAGCATCTCTCTCACCGGGATTGGTGATTCAAGCCAGAGCGTGGAGATGCACAGGTCACCTTGCATGAACGTTCTCAGCAGTAGGAAGCGCCAGCCCGGCCATCTAGAAGCCTTGGCCGAACATACACGTTGAGGCAGAGCCAGTACATGGCCCAAATAGGAATCAATACAGCAAGCACCCCTCCCTCCCCGAGCGGCCTCGTGGCGGCTAGCCACATGAACTTTTGGTCACTGGACTTGAAAGTGAAGGGGTTCAGACGTGAGCTGACGCCGCGGTGCTGAGCCGGGTCGAACAAACTTGAGGCTGTCCCGGTACTGGTGTGAGGTCGTGTAGAGAGCTTGGAGGACATGGAGGGCATGAGGGCATGATGTGATGCCTGGATGACCCGTCTGCCGGCCAAGGGTCCCCGAATGGGGCTGATCTGAGGCCTATTTCGTGCCGAACGCAAGACCCATTGATGTGCCCGCTGGGGCCGAGTTGGCGCGCGTTGCTGATGATCATGATATGACGAGTACCGGCCGATATACGCACTACCTCAGCCTGCCACCGTAATATGTATGTAGAGTACATGCCCCAAGTACGGAGCGAACATGGCGTAATGTACATAGGGCAGAGGATGGAGACGACGGACCTGAGACACGACGAGGATAAGGCGGCTCCGCACCCCATACTGGCTTGTGCGCTGCTGGCGGCCGCTCATGTTGCGCCATCATCTCGGAGCTGAACCGCCTTGTGCTTGTGATGAGGGGATTCTCTGGGTCCTGAGTCCTAGGAAATCTTACATTAGCGACCATTTTCTTCCATCGGCGGCAGATCATCAGGGATCATCCATGTTTAACGGCGCGCCAAGTACTGTACTTGATTGTCAGGTAGGTTTTTCCCTGTTTTTCTTCCTCTTGTTTCTCATCTGCACGTCTTCGTCTGTCTTTGGCGGCTAAGTCATGTCGACCCCGAGTCAATCCGCGAAGGACGAGCGTCATCTGGCCAGTTGCAACACGTCCGATGAGGCTGCAAGTCTACACGATTAGCCGATTAGCACTCCCCTCTCGGAGATCCACAAGGCCGGGCAGTCGCGGGACACTGCGGCTACCTACTACTGTAGTACTACTATGAAGTAAGGCAGAGTAGTAGTAAGAGGATGCCGTTGGCAAATAGTGGCAAGGGCGGCGACAATTCGGAGCAATTGGGGCACAGAGTTGCATTCGAGCCGCAATGCTCCAAGTAGGTCCCGAATCAACTCTGCAAGGTGTCCATCTCGTGTCATAAACTCCCGGAGTAATGTAATCGAGCGAAGCAAGCACGAAAGCGCCGTGCTCGTTGGTGTCGTCCCCAGTTGCAGCCGCCGTGGCTGCTTCGCTTGATGCTGAGGCCCGGCAAGGGTGCGCAGAGATTGGCCACCTGGATATGCAGGGCCCAGCCCTTTCGGCCATCCACAGCGAGGCCATCTCAGCGGCAACAGACGTGGATATGCAGCTCAATGACTGGGTTCCAACCGGGAAGTGCTTGTACCATTACCTCGTACGATGGATGTGCCAAGTACCAAATAATGGACATGACTCCGGCTTTTGCACTCCTTGCTTGCGCCACCGGGGTTGGGGTTGTTCGTCTCGTGGCACGACCAGAGGCAATACTAGTCAAATCCATTATTCATCAAGTTGAAGCGGAATCCAGTCATTTCCGTTGGTTTGATCGTAAAGTATACTATCAGGCACGGATTTGCTTTTTGCGGGCGGGCGGGAGGCTGAGCGGGCGGATCCCGTTAAGCGAGAGAGGCAATAAAAAGCAATAATAGCCCGGGCAGGAAGGAAATCTCCAGCGCAATTCCTACAGCAGTCAATACGTACAAAAGATTGAAGGAAAGTACTAAAGACGCAAAGGGAAAGGAAGGAAATGACAAGCCCCATCCATATCCCGTGCGGAGAGGCAAGCGCGAGTTGCTAGCTCGTTGTGGCTGGCCTCTTTCTGCGGTTAGCGGCGCTCTTTTCACCATTTCGAGCCCGGGCATGCCTGCTTGTTTCGTTTCTTGTCGAGTGTGTGGGAAACAGCAATGGATGAATAGCGAAGCGATAAGCAGGCGAGACCCACGATGAACGCAGTTCTTTCGGGGACACGGTTTGGGTGATTCTAGTAGAGGGAAATGGTGATTCATGTCTACGGATAAGGTAATTTCTTCCATCGTCAGGTCCTATATCATGCTTGCGCAGTAGGTCCTTCTACTAATGTGAGGAGGAAGGAGGAGGTTGCTGGTCTGTCACACACACGCACGAATGACGGGCTTGACATGTGGTGCAGCGTCACAGTGGCAATGAATGAAAATCGCCGTGGATATTGATTACCAGGGTTTCCATATTAGGATCCAGTTTCTGTCTCTGCGATAAGGCCAGTAAGTAGTAGACAGGTATTTCTCCATTGCCATTGGACCTGAAGCTGTATTATTCCGTGTTAATATGAAGCCCACCTATTGATACTGCTTGCTTTCCAGACGCATGCTCTCGTCCATCAATGGCGTATACAATACTGCCGACGAGTAGTCGGCAGAATCCAGCAGTTCTGCGGAGGTCTCGGCGACGGCTGACCCCGTTTCCCGCCGTCGTCCCTCTTTTCCCCCACGAAAGCCCGGAGATTGCTTCGCTCTAACAATGGGACAGACGCCTTCTCCCGATGGGCTTGTTCTTCGCTTGGAGTCTCGACTCTCGACAAAGGAGGGGTGGAAGAGGCAGGGAGTCCAACAGAAACCGAGAGAAAGACAAGGTGGAAACGTCGAGGCCTTGGATGAATGAATGGGCGTTGGCTACGTGTACCAACCGTGCCTGTGCTTGTGCTTGTGCTTGTTTGCGCCTTGCGCTTTTGGTCCCCCGTCCTCGCACTCTATGCCGCGACGAGAGGCAAGGCGCAGAAAGTATCGCCGGAGTGGCTGCCCATGGCCTGTAGCAGTCAGGTAGGCTGGAATGTGGGCTGCAGACGATGCGTGCTGTAGTTGACAGGTCAAAATATCTGCACGGCTTCTGGTTGTCGCCTAGCTTGCTGTGGTGGCTTGCCTTCTACTCGAGACATGAGTCGTCCGAAGAGGCCCAGAGCGCCCACGATTGCGCATAAGCGGTCTTTTCCCCCCCTTCGCGGGAGTTGTCATTCGTCTGGAGGATACCCGCCGACTTACCCTGCAGCATGTCCATCCAACCACGAGTTTCCGTTTATTTTCAAGGGTTTTCCTTTTCACAATTTCTTCAAGTGCTGATTTGCTATCCTCCCTTTCTCTGATGCCCCGTTATTACTCTTTCCTGCCATGGCGTTGTTGTCTCTTGTCTCATGCACCAGAATGGGCCTCATGGCTCGAAGTTGAAAATTATGTCTGTCCCTCTTCTGACACCGTTCGTATACTGTCCGTTATGGCGAGAAACTTTGGACCGTCAGAGAAACGGTGCCCGACGAGCCGGTCCGTCCGGGAAGTTAATTGGGCTTGACAGAAAGCCATTTCCAACGTCCAATGACTCGCACTTGTCAGAAAGACCCTGTTTTTGGGGCGGGTTCTGGGGAAGAATGGGTAAACAAGGGTTCAGTTGTTGAAGAAATCGACAATCCTTTGCTAGAACCAACAACAATCTGCATCAAACACCACCACAACCACAACCACAACCGCAACAATCGGCATGCCCGCAGCGCATGTTGCAACGCCTTCCTACTTGGTGCTCACTTGACTACATCTGTAGTCGTGCTTTCGGAGTGCTACACGCAATTCTACTCCGAAATCTCACATGGACAAGGAGCAATTGGAAAATCACCAACGTACAGTCGGCCGCATATACGCCCCCCTTCCCAGCGTTGTACATATGTCCACATATGTAGGTATGATTCGGACGAGGAACCTCCGGACGAACTCCTGGACCGAACAACGGACCCCCTCCCCCTCTCCGAATTGTTTTCGCCATTTCCCTTGTTTGCGATAGCGGCATTTGGCGGCTCTCTCTCCGGAGACGTTGCAGGCGTCGAGCGGGTTTATCTCCGTAGTCGGCTCAACCACTGGGGCCACGATCCAGTCTGCAAACGCGGGGGAAAATCGTGGGCTTGCATCTGCCTGGGATATACGGAGTAAGGTATCTGCTTACTACATGTCGTGCTATTACTAGTTCGTAACACGTTGGTCTCTTTGCGCCCTGCCTTTCCGTAACAAGAAGCTTGTGCAGATGGTAGAACTCATGGGCTCATGGGCTGAGACGTTGTGGCCAGAGAGTATCGAGACCGGCGACGGCAGAAGAGGCGCGGCATGTTGACATTTGCCGGCTACGGACGGACAATCTTTGCCTTATTGGCTGCTTGACATGTTTGTAGATTAGTTGATGGGCAGAGGAGATGATGCGCAAGATAGAGTGCCCCTGTAAGCTTTTTACTTGGCTTCAATTGGCGCCACATCTATAGTACCTCGCAGATGAACTACCTACCTACCTGCATAGCATCACCAGTCCGGGTGCTGGAGCAAACAAGATATTACAAGAACTCGCTTCGGCTATACAATGTATGCATCCCACCCACCCCAGTGACTCCCCATCCAAGTCGGTTCTCGATCGAGATTTGATGTGCTTTGCGTCCATCCCATCCGTTTCGGTGTCACAAAGCTGCAAATCTGCAGCCGCACCACATCTCCCTTCTTTTCGCAATTCGGCCAGCCAGTGACGTGTGCCTGGTGACAGTTGCCTTGCTTTGTTTTTCCGCACCTCCATGGATGATGTCCTGGGCCGTGGTTCCGTCAGATATGAGGTATCCCGTCGTGAACGACTGAAAGGGCCCCAGCCTACAGCAGCGAGCATGGCGTGCAGTTAGGACAACACATAAGCAGATTGAGTAGTAGTAGATGAGTACGAGTAGGCATCTACCTAAAATAGTGAGGTAGGATTATTAGCAATCGAAGCGAGCAAGCGAGCGAGGCAATCCAGATTTAGCAGCTGAGAATAGCATGGGCAAAAAGAGAACCAGAATTACGGAGTACTAAGGGAAAACTCCACTCCCCTCCTCCCCTCTCCTCTCTTCCCCTCCCCCCCAGAGAGTGATTAGTGACGAGATGCACGGCAGAGACGAAAACAGGTCGGGGCTTATCGCCTTTCAGGTGAGGCGTTCGCTTGTGCTGGTGGGTGATGGATCGTGGCATCACGATGTGAAGGAGAGGGGGAGGGAGTGTGCGTTTTTTGGCTGGGACGATTTTGTGCATATCCAGCGGAGCTGCCTTAGCCTTGAAGTCGGTGGTGGGGGAGACGACGATAGTAGGTGTAGTACTTTACAACTATTGTATAAGTATTACTACTATACCAAGGCGAGGAAATACTCCATACTACAAAGGGGAGAAGATGAAAAGATGGAGTGTGGAGGGGGGGCGTGGAAAGGCAGGCAAAGGCCCTGCAGTCGATGATGCCGAAAAGTTGGAATCCGGCATCAAGCATGCATACTGCATGTATGTGGTGGCAGCGGCTTTTCTAGACAAAACATCAGGTTTTTCCAGTTACACTACACTACACACGCACGCACGAAATCTGCCAAACTGCTTCTTGCTGCACCTGCACCTGCATTTGCATTTGACAGTGGGCATTCCCAGACTATCTGCCTGTTCTTGGATTGAGCGAGCTTACGTGTCATGGACGGCCTCCTCTTTTCTTGTGATGATTTTGTGTGGTCTTCGTTGGCACTACTCCCAGGTAAGCTACATGTACATTGACACTAACCTTGAAGTTGGACATATTGACTCATGTTGTCGACGAGTGTTGAGCCGGTCGAGACTTGGCCCCGAGGCAAATTGTAGAGAGGGGATGGACTGGATAGTGTTCTCGTTTGATTTCGGCTCCGCGAATGCCCGATTCGCGCCCTTATGATCTAAAAGAGTGTTGACAGATGACGGCCTGCTAAGCATAAAGCGAAGGTGTGCAGGTAAGTGTAAGGTGTGCATTGTGTATGTCGTCAGCCCTGTCACCGAGGTAAACGAGACGGCTCAGCTCATGACATCCCCCTGCGTCTGCCTTCCACACCCGAGGCCGAGCAACGGGCGATCCGGCTGTCGATGGGATCATCCGCCATCTCTGGGGCCATCCATCCGTATTGCCGTCATGCTGGAGGGCGACGCTACGCTACGCAACGGCCGCAATCGTTAGCCGCCCCAGGCGGTTATGTAAGAGCTACTACGGAGGGGGAGGGCATTTTGCCACCTGGATCTTCCGGACTGCTCGTACCTACATGGGATGACGTGCTGTCATACGTACAGGCAAGTTGTACAAGACGGAGGGATCTCAGCTGAGAGTGGGCTGCCTCGTATTGGCTCGGCGTGATGAGGGTTAGGCAGCCTTGCGGGATAGAGGCTCCGATTGGGGGGCTGAGAGGACGTGTTATGTATCTGGATGCCAGGGATGGAGAGGTGCAGAGTTGTTGATTCCATCTCTTTCTTTGACAGGTGATGTACGTGTTGTGTGTATGATGTGCCACTGAATGGGATAACCGGAATGGTCATATGCTGCGGCGTGTTGGGTCGTATACATGTACTTGGTGTGGTATGATCAGCGTTGGTGGCGGTGCTATGTGAATAGTCATACTCTGAATAAGGAGAACAAGGAGACGCGCGGTGATTTGAAATGGAGAGATTCCCACGAGTTGCTCGTAATGTAACGGCTGCTGGAATTTTGTGTAAGTGTGCCGTAAAGGCTCAAGAGGGATACGTACGATGATGGGGGAGGAACAAACAATGCGCAATGAGAGATGATCATGCTTGCGTTCTTTGACGATAGCCTTGATGTACCCCAAAGCAAGAAGTTCTCGGATTGAGGGGGGGTTTATGATTCAAGCAGATGTAAGAGCATAATATGGCTTCATCCTACAATGAGATATCGTGGCGAACACAGTGGTTTTGGAGCTGTATATCTAGATACTTTTGTAAAGACGGGCAGGGCAGACTTGATGTAAACGGACGGACAAGAAGAAACGTTCTGGCTAGGCTTTTATAAGAGAGGAATAAAAAAGAGAAAAAGGAAGAGGAGAGAAGAGAAGAGAAGAGAAGAGAAGAGGAGAGGAGAGGAGAGGAGAGGAGAAAGTAAGAAAACCGCTATCCTCGTCGGATCGGCGGCCAGTATGGCGCGCAAGCGAAATAACTCCTAGTCCCGTAGCCGCGTGGGATCTTCTTGCCAGGCTTTCCACCAAGGTATATGACATTCGCTTTCGTCTCGTCTGAGAGGAAGCCCAGGCTCCCAGAGTAGACGTAGGCTACCGTCTCGGGCCACGCCTCGGGATGAGGCAGCGCCAGATCGATCATGTCTCCTCGTTTGACTCGATCCGACATGATGATGGCCGCCAGCGCTGGCAAGGCTGTTCGTGCGTATTCGAGATCTGTAGCATCTTCTGTTAACTCCCTTTCACTGACAAGAAGCAGTATCAGAGCGAGGGAGGAGAATGTACTCACTTATTGGCACGCCCACCATCAATTGGATACCCTGGGCCGAGACGGATGGATTGGGCTCAACCGACTCTGCCGTCTTCCTCTCATCTGCTACAGATGTTTTGACAAGGGGAGGAGGTGTTGCTGCCGGCCAAGATGCCCGCCGAAAGCCACTGGCCAACTGCACTTTGGACAGCCATTTCTCCCGATCAAAGAGGCGTGGCAGAGACTTAGGCAGAGGCTCGGGTATCGTTTCCCTCAAGGCATCCAAATCAAACTCGCGCTTCAAGCCAAAAGGCGGATTCGACCGTGAATGGACAATTGCTCGGAGAGAAAGGCGCTTCGGGACCGTCGACGTGGGAGATGACAACGAGGAGAATGGCACGTCCGACTCCTCAGACGTCGATGAGGTAGGGCTGCGAGCCCCTGCGAGTGGCAGCGCCCTGACGAAGACGTGTGCGTCGTCGAGGCGGCCAAACCTTTCGAGTCCTCGTTTCCAGAGCTCGAGTTGCAAGCCTTGCATCTCTTCATGCTGCCTCTTCCGATGCCAAGCCGCCACTTCGGCTTCGGAAAGCCCCAGGGGAGGAGGTGTGGATGGCGGAGAGACGAGAGTACCGTCACTCCCGAGCACCGGAGGACGAGGAAGCCTGACTTCGATGCTTGTATGTACGCATCCCCTGACGCGCCGGAAGGGGTCTGAACTACGCATGAACTCCGGCTCCGGCCACTGACTTCGGGGGCCTCCCGTCGAGTATCTCCGTGCGATCTGCCTGGCGCGGGCCCGTCGTTCTGCGGCTGAGAGCGTTGTGATTTTCGGTGTTGGGGCATTTCTCGTCGGACTGCGGAGCCTCTGGCGTTTTCGTGAGACGTCTGTTTGGATGGGCTCGGGGCGACGAACACCCTGGCGGCTCGCTGAGAAGGACATGGTGAAAGGCGAGGTAGTTTGGAGTCGGAGAGGCGACGAGGGCGAATCCGTCTGGTGGTGTTCGGAGAGGTATCTTCCGAGCAAATGTGTGTCAACTTGGAGTGCATGGAAACCCGACTTCTACGACACGAGGGAAACGAGAAAATATATCACAATGGCTTTACACCCCCTTTTTCTGTGTGGCGTCCATGATATCACGACGGTTGATCGCGCCGCGTGGTGAACCAACGACATGTACAATAGCCTCGCTGCCATTCAGGCCCAAGCATGAACCTTGTAATGGTTGTTATTGTTTCTTTTTTTTTTTTTTTTCCCTTTTTTTTTTTTTTTTTTTTCTCTCCTCCCCGCATATCAAAGGCCAAACGGCCGTGACGTGGCGGCCGAGCTTTGAGTCATGGTCGGACAAGAAACCAGTTGGTGATGCTCATGATTACCTTAGTATGTATGGCTGGTGTGACAAAGGGCGCCGCACGGTCTCGTCCCGCCAACACGCAGCACAAAGGGAGGCAAAATAAGAAGAGAAAAATTCACGCCAGATTCTGCAGCATGAAAGAGATTCAAGGTACGTATTTGTTGTTTTCTTGCTTCTTTTTCACTTTCTGGTGTTTCCCTGAAACCATGTGTTGGGCGTTGATGGATGAAATTTCAACTTGCAATATTCAAGGAAGCAAATGCATACAAACCAGCCACTTCGAGATATCTCAGCCTCTGCGCCGCGCACGTGACGGCCCATTATGGGTGAGAACTGTCCACGATGCGGCAGATGATTGGCTCAGCTCACCCCCCCAAAGGAAAGCCGCGGCCATTTCTCATCGCCATTATTGATCTCTCTGAAATGAACAGCGCATCGTTTTACGCGAGGCTGTCAAAGAAATAGAATACCAAGCTGGCAGATTGGAAGCGCTGGGGCGTTGTTCTAGACCTGTCGCCTTTCTTCCTTTTATTCTTCTTGTGACTTTTCCTTTTTTCCTGAATTTCCGAGCTGCCCGCCATTCAGCAGCTAAGGTACCATGCGATAGGCCGCTATTTCCAGGACCCGAGAGCGATAAACACCAGGATAGAAGTCATCTCTAATGTCTAATATGGCGGCGAGCTACAAGCAGCGCAAGGAGGACTTTGTGTCTAATCTGTCGGGCGGCTCCGTCACGGAAATCGGCTACGTGACAGCTGTCGCGCCCGTGAGTCCAAGGCCACCTCCGTCGTTTCAGCCTCTCTGCATCTGCCCGGTTAACTGTGATTGTTATTGTGCTTCGATTGCTAACTCGGTGAGGGTAGGCGGCCGTGCTGCTGTGGTCTGTTCTCCAGGCCCGGCAGTCCTTCTTCAAGCCGTACTCGGTGCTTGGATTTGTCGTCGACTTCTCACTCAACGTCGGCACTTTCCTGCTGGCCGTTACTCTGTACTCAGACACGCCGGTGCTGTTGAACCTGCTTTTGTTGGCGCCGGCTCTCCTGATATGGCTCCTCCCGCCATCCACGACGGGATCAAGGAAGAAACCGAGGCTTCCGCCAAATGCCCAGTCCAAGGCTGGCGCAGAGTCTCTCCAACCGCTGAGCATCAAGCCCTTTCTCACGACGTATCGCGGGTACATGATGGTCACCACCTGCGTCGCGATTCTGGCCGTCGACTTTCGACTCTTCCCCCGGCGCTTTGCCAAGGTAGAGACCTGGGGCACGTCCCTCATGGACATGGGCGTTGGCTCTTTTGTCTTCTCCGCCGGCATAGTGGCTGCTCGCCCGGTGCTCAAAGAAAGGGCCCTGGGTCGTCGAACGCCCCTAGCCACCCGATTATTGCAATCGTTCCGCCATTCCTTCCCGCTTCTCGTCCTCGGCTTCGTTCGTCTTCTCAGCGTCAAAGGGCTCGAATACGCCGAGCACGTCTCCGAGTACGGCGTCCACTGGAACTTTTTCTTCACTCTCGGCCTTCTGCCCCCGTTCGTGGCCATCTTCCAGTCCATCTTCGACGTCATCCCGTCGCACGCCGCGCTGGCCCTGCTCCTTGTGGGGACATACCAAGCGCTGCTCGAATATACGAATCTCAAGGCGTTCGCTCTCACCGCCCCACGTGTTGACATCATTTCCATGAACCGCGAGGGCATCTTCAGCTTTATAGGATATCTCGCCATCTTCCTGGCCGGGCAGGACCTCGGCAAGTTCATCATTCCACGCAGCATCACGTCAAGCCGCGACTCCACGGCCGGCATGCAGAGGAACACGCTGCTCATGACGATAGCCGTCTGGGCCGGCATCTGGACCGTGCTGTACATCTTTGCCACGAGCTACGACTATGGGCTCGGCCTGACCGTCTCGCGCCGCTTGGCCAATCTGCCCTACGTCCTCTGGGTCGCGGCCTTTAACTGCTGGCAGATTCTGGCCTTTTGTGTGATCGACACGGTCTTCTTCCCCGCATTTTACAACGCCGCGGACGCGCGGTCCGAGAAGGAGGCCTATGACGTGGCCACGAGCTATGTGTTGAAGGCGTATAACCGCAACGGTTTGGCCGTGTTTCTCATCGCCAACTTGCTGACTGGCTTGGTCAACATGACGATTCCGACGCTGGACGCGACGCCGGTCATGGCCATGGGGATCCTTTTGGCTTACACGGCGACCGTGACGGGCGTTGCGGTGCTGCTTGATATCTACGACATTTCGATCAAGCTGTGAACCCAGGACTGGAGTCGCTTTGTCAAAAATCTCTTTCCACAGATGAGAGGCGGTTGCCAGAGCACCATTTCAAGCTCTGTGTAGTAAGCAACATCTGAAGATTAGATCCTCGGGCAGATATCGGACATCTACTGGTGTGCGTGGCCCAGAGGCTGAATGCAACGCCTTTGCTGTCATTGTACTTCGTACCGAGCAAGATGTCCGCCCTAGGGCTCCCACCCTGGTACGGAGTACATCCAAGGAAATCCAGGACACAAAGAGGGACGAACTCCCTTGGACGGAAGGTCAGGAGCATTGTTCGTGTTGTCTGCATCGGCGCTAAGCCAATCAAAAGGTGTCGACTGCCCCTTGACAAAGCGGAAGCAATCTCATCATGCAAGACACGATTTAGAAAACAGCGAGTTTTGGCAAACTTGGCGCGCTAGAGGAAATCTGGAACGGGTATCTAGTACATTTTCTACAGTACAGTAGCATCATCTGAGCAGTCGGGCGATCTGGGCTTTCGTGTGCACAGATGCTAGTAAATCAAGATTTGATATCATGGGGTCGTGCATCTTCCCGGCTGTGGAATCGGGCTCGGTTCAACCGCTCCGAGCTACCCTACTACCATCGGTACTACAACCGAAAATACCTGTACTATATCATGACGAATCAAGTGCATGCCTTACCACTTGGAGATGCTCATGTCCGTAATTCGTTCTGTCATCTCTTCTCTCGACCTCTACGCCGGAATGCGTTGCGAAAAGCAAAAGGTTGAGCCGGCGCAGTTGGCGGGTTAAGATGAAGCTATCTTAACTCGCCCGAGCCAAGTCGCTCATTTCCGGCCTCAATGCGATCGGCAACAGAGAAAAGCCACATATATATGCAGTGGATCTGCGAAGAAGCGGCTAGGATCGATCCTTTTGAACGAACCATAAGGCGTGATTTCTTCAAGCAAAGGCCAGGCAAGCTTGTCAGGCAAAATTCATAAGTGTGTGCATGTGGGCAGCCGTAGGTAGCCTGGCAGGACGCAAGAACAATTGAGTTGCGACAAACCTTGGGAAGCTTTAAAGTTACGGTATACTACAATGACATTGTTGTTTCACGCCGGCTATTATTACGAAAACATTCTGTTGCGAAAAAGCATGTGAGCCAACGGTGGAAATTGGGGGATGTGACACGAGGTTTCACGTTTGAGTGAGCTTGTCTCGGGTCATGGCTCACAAAGGGGAACAGCGGGAGATTTCAACTCTTTGGCTCGTATTGTTATTTTTACGAGGCTCGAAGCAGAAGAAAGGGATCAGAAACCAAAGATAGGGATAGACCAAAGAATAGATATAAAACTCTAAGCATGAAATATAGTACCAGTACTACCTGGAGGATTCCGGGTAAGCTGTAGTGTGAGAGGCATGCCGAGGTGATGTAAACAAAAAGCCAAGAGGGTAAGGTAAGGTAGTATCGCTCATGCAGGTACAGAAAGCATATTCAATGGAAGGATTGGCTTCATTGGACGAGATCAAATGTGCCTCTGAAGCGAGCAACACGACGTGTCGCTATTGGGCAGACGAGATACCTTGTTTGAGACTCTTCCCATTGTTCCCTGCGTCTTCCTTTTCTTCCCTACCTGCCTAGGTAGGTAAGCAACATCATGAGGGACCAATCGGACATTGCAGAAAATGAAAATACGCGAACTGCTGTCAATGGCTTTGACGTAAATCATATGATTTCCCGTGGCGAGATTGGGCAGCAAGTCCTGTCAAACTCCATATGAAGAGGCATGATTCCGGCATGGTTCGTAAAAGCGCGCAGCATCGCAATCTCGCAGCCGGGATCGAGATTAGTGCCGCCTCGTACGGAGGACTAGCCGCCCGCGTTTCCCTTTATTTTCATATGGAAAATTGCCGGGGGGGTTTGGGCATGTGTGTTGTGTGAGTGTGAGTGTGAGTGGTAGTTGTATTAGCCGATTGCAGCAAGGTCGCGGAACGGCTGCGGGCGAGGGAGACGGAGAGGGAGCGCGTGCATGAGCTCGAGGCACATGGTGTTGTTACGCGTAAATTTAGCTGGTGATGGAGGCTACCGGTATGTGACCAGTCGCCAATTGTTTGCCTAGCATCCATCCCTTTCATACATCACGTCCTGCTCCCTATCGCAATGACCTCTCTCTTCGGGTCTTCTGCTCAATGGCGCATTCAAGCGAGCAATGCTCGTCCGGCTTGTTTGTCCCTTGCGGCTAGTATTAGATGGCATGCGGAAACTGAAATCAATGGCCTTGCAAGGAACCCACCTCACGGCTGCGCTACCGGGGGTCCCCCTTGCGCCGAGGCCAAGAAGGTGTTTGCGGCGTCACCGAGGGAAGAAGCTGAGGGCATTGGTCTCCAGGCTGTCCGAGTACGTAGCCAATACGACGAGGGCCGGCATTGGGAAGCCAGGGACGGGAGAGGCGGCCGTGATGAGAGCATGCTGATGCCGATGATGCTGTGGATGATGATGCTGACTGTCAACTGCTTGAACTGCGTCAGAGAGTATCGATATATTGATGCACTGTGGAAGGCTCACGGTGGCTCATGCGGCTTGGTAAGACAGCCGCTGTAGGGAGCGTATATGAATGGAAAATTGTCCGACTTGTTGTTTGCTTTCGATATGCAGGTGCTCATGATGCATCAAATACTCGTACTTGTACTTGACCCATTCCCGTATCCGCACCTGTCCTCGGATTAGCAGGGCGTTTCTCTCTCCTTCACATACTGTTGGAGTAATATAGTAGCAGAGCAAAAACACCCACCCCTTCACCTCTTGCAGAGAGATCAATCAATGCCGGCTCGAGGGCAGCGCAGGGTTTCTGCTTGCTCGGCCGGGTGAGAGCTAATTTGGCCGCCATCGTGACGCTCCGGCGCAGCCAGTCAGTCATGCATGCTGCCTGTAATCGCCCGTACCAGTACTTGCATCAAATGCATGCAGGAACCGACGAGGGCCCCCCCCTGAAATCTGTTGACCTGCCTTAGTAGCGCGTTTCGGCCGGGGTTGCGGTCTTGGATACCTCGAGGCTCGAGTACGTATTGCCGCGACAGCAACGACGGGCGGCGCTTCAATCTGACGAAACAGTTGCGAGTAACAAGGTAAATGAGAGGATGCGTGATGAGACGGGCAGACGAGATGTACGGCAACAAGGTAAGCCAAGGTGAGGAAGTAAACGCCATCCGGTCAAGGTACGGCTACCTCCAGGCACTTTTGGACATGCAAACACCGAAGCGGCTCCACTGAGCGGCGCGGGTCCAGCGGCTGCGGTTCGTGCAAGTTGAGTCGCTCCAGCGCCTCATTTGATCCATTCCCATCTCACAACCTCCAATCTCGTGCTGCGCGATCAATTTCGCGAAAGGGCTGGGCCTTGGCCCGTCCGCCGTGTCGCGGCTTTTCAAGAGGTCCATGTCGGCCGCCCTCTGCTGTGGCCGCGCCCAATCTCCTTTTGCTTGAGGTGCCATTTGATACCTGCAAATACCTTGACCGTGTAATAGTAATACCGAGGTGGTCTCACCTTCAGTTGCTTGTGGCACAACCGCAGATACATAGCTGTAGAACTGGAATTGCTGCGGGCTGGCCTGGCTGCACGTGTTGATATTACTATCATCACGCTCTCTGAAATTGCTCGATTTGATCGAATTGGATCACGGTAATTGATCAATTTGCATGCTTGGTCTCTGGTACCTCAACGTGCTGTCTGTCTGTGAGCGAGGTGACTGGTGCTTGCCTTGCTCGGCAGCTGGCAGTGGCAACAGCGTCAGCTCAGCTCAGCTCAGCGTGCGGTCATCGCTAGAGCTGCCAGCTACAGCACCTGCGACTCGCCCTGCCAAAACTCCAGTCCAGAGCCATTGACACCGAACCCTCACCTGCTCCTCGCCATCTCCAACCTCCAGCCTCCAGCCCCGAACATCCACGGGCTGCGAGCAACGCCGGGTCGGCCATATTCAAGGACCAAGCAGGCGCCCCAATCCGCGCTTCGTCCTGCCCTACTGCTCCAGCTGCTGCTACACCACATCCAGCACGGCTAGGTAGTAGTAGTAGTAATAGCAGCTGCGGTAGCACCAAGTACGACCAGGCCGTACCGAGTACCTGCTCTGCACAACCACATCCTGAACCCTGTCGGCTCCTCCCCCTTGGCCCTGCGCGCGTCCGGACGGCCTGCCCACTTGAGCACTTCAGGGGATCGCTCATCTGCCATCTGCTGAATCCGCTGGGCCACGACGTTCGTCTGTGAAACAACTCGCCAGAAGAAGGAACAAAGAACCCCCAAGCTGTGCTTCGCTGTTCCGTCGAAACGGGCGCTGAGATCGTGCGGAATTGGTTCGTCGGCACACCTCGAGAGACCCGACTTTGTCCTGTCTTGCCTGTGGCCGCCCTTTGTTATTGCTTCTGCTTCGTCTCCAGCTGATCAGCAGCCGCCGTCTCTCTGTCTGGGCTCTTGTCCTGGCCTTGGCCCGTCTTCGCTCCCCCGATCCTCCTCTCTCTCATACATATTAGTCCTACTAATACAACAACAAACACCACGCCAACCAGCCGCTACTCCTGCTGAGGCTCAAGCGTCTGCCGCGTTGCCCTCGCAAGGTTGCGCGCCGCTGGACCTTTTCTTTTTTTGTCTTCTTTCACCGCTGCGAGCGAGTCCCCAAGCCAACGAAAACGGTCCGTCGTTCCCTCTGCAGCCTCTCTGACACATACACGGGCTCAGCTGCTGCCCGTCCGCTCCTGGCTCAAAGCATTGACAGTCGCCTCAGAACGAAAACATCGTCGTGCTCCTCTCCAACAGCTTGCGCGCACCGTCTCCGCAGCCGTCCGTTAAGAACTGACCCCTGGTGGGCCAGCCCGTCACGCGTAGCAACGCGGGAAGAATGTCGTCGGCTGCTCTCCAAACGGCCCCTCCACACCAGCCAACCGCATTGCCGTCCTCGCTGCCAACCTCCAAGCGCCAGTACTCGCAGTCGCAGTCCTCGCCCAGTCGGGACATCCACAATGCCCAGAGCGCATCAACACCACCATCGTCAAGGCGTCCTCCCTCTCGCGACTCCAGCGCCCAAGGCGCCTCCGCTGCATCCGACCCCAGCGCTCCTTTAAACTCCCGCATTCCCACCAGCGCGACCCGTGCTGCCGCCGCCGACCAGCACTCGAGGGCTGACCGCCTGGCGTCTGCGCCCGTCGCCCCTCCGCGAACCTCGTCCAACAATCCCGACACTGGCCACGGACGCGGCCACTCGGTCGACAAGATGAACAATTCACCGCGCCGTGCCCAGCCCGATGGCTCGCGGATCGCCTCTCGCGGTGACACAAACGGCGCTGCTGACCATGCCAGGACTAAGAGGGCTTCCAACTACCACACTCCGCAGGATTCCTCAGCCTCAGCTCAGCCCGCCAGTGCTCGCGGAAGCCATGCCTCCGAACCGCCTTCTTCCATCCCCATCCCCATCCGCACCCATCAGACGGCGACAAATTCCAAGTCCTCGCGCGAGGCAAGCGAAAGCCTGCACCGGGTCATCTCCAACGGCGAGGAGGCAAACGGCCGTGGCGCTACTCACCACAGCTTAGCCCAGGACGTCGATCCCGCGGCGCCCCCTCCCGTCATCTCCATGACTGCCGCATCTGAGGAGCGACGAGGCGGCCGAAGCCGCCAGGACCACAGCCGCAACACCAAGGCAACCACCAAGTTTGGCGACTTCATCCTGGGAAACACCATTGGCGAGGGAGAGTTTGGCAAGGTCAAGCTTGGATGGAAGCAGGATAGCAACGTGCAGGTGAGTCTTTTCGCCCGTGTCCCTCTCCGCCCGTCATGACAGAAAGAGGAGGGAAGAGGGCTTCCCCTCCGAAGAGAAGAGCAGTGCTGACGAGATGTATGCAGGTTGCCATCAAGCTCATCAAGAGAGATACCGTTGGCCACAACCCGTCGCGGCTGGCCAAGATCAAGCGCGAAGTTACCATTCTCCGCGGCATCCACCACCCGAACATTGTGCGATTGATAGACATGGTTGAGACTGATAGATACATTGGCATTATCCTCGAATACGCATCTGGAGGCGAGCTTTTCGACTACATCTTGAATCATCGTTACTTGAAAGACAACTCGGCGCGCCGACTCTTTGCCCAGCTGGTGTCTGGAGTGGGCTACCTTCACAAAAAGGGCATCGTCCATCGTGATCTCAAGCTGGAAAACTTGCTTCTCGACCGGAATCGCAACATCATCATCACGGACTTTGGCTTTGCTAACACCTTTGATCCCCGTGACGAGTTGACGGAGGAAGAGGAGCTCAACCTGTCGGACCGCGAGTATGTGAAGCGGCTTGGCATCGACAAGGTGAAGCCCAACGGGATGCGCAAGGGCGACTTGATGCAGACGAGCTGCGGCAGCCCCTGCTATGCTGCGCCCGAGCTCGTGGTGAGCGACTCGCTGTATACCGGAAGAAAGGTTGATGTGTGGAGCTGTGGTGTCATCTTGGTAAGTGCAGAGGATTCTCTGCCTCTTTTGTGTTGACCAGACAGCTAACGACTCTGGAAATCAACAGTACGCCATGCTGGCCGGCTACCTGCCCTTCGACGACGACCCTGCCAACCCAGAAGGCGATAACATCAACCTTTTGTACAAGTACATCGTCACTACGCCTCTGACGTTCCCCGAATACGTGACGCCCCATGCTCGAGATCTCCTGCGACGAATCCTCGTGCCGAACCCGAGAAAGCGAGCGGACTTGTTCGAGGTGGCTCGCCACAGCTGGCTGAGCGAGTATGCCCACGTCGTCGAGTTCATCACGAGCTCGACAACATCACCATCCGAGGTTCAGAGCGTCAGCGCCACGGGCTCAGACTATGCCGAGGCTCCCATGGTTACGAGGAGCGCTTCCGTTCGCGAAGCGCCAAAGCAGAAATCTCCTCAACCCGCCGTCGTTGGTGGCTTGGCCAAGACCCACGGCAAGATCGATTCGCCTCCCGAAACTACCCAGCGCACATCCAAGGACGCCAAGCGTCGTACCGTCCAGGTCGAGTACGTTGCGCCCGTCACCCAGACGCAGCGCGGTGCCGAGCCAGAAGTGTCCAGGCACCAGGCTCCGCCGACGTCGCGGCATCATCACGAGTCGGCCTCAGACGATTTGTCGCTGGACGACAGGCACCTGGCACGACCGCAGTCGAAGAGAGGTCCGCCCCCTGGGACGCAAACAAGTGGAATCCCTCAGCCGCCGCGGGATGCTCGCTCGGCCGCCGACAACACATACATGGGTGTTCCGGCAGCGAACGCTCGTCCACGCACTGGCAACTCTATGCAATCTGCCACTTCCCTTGGCTTGCAATCTGGAGGCAACAACTATGGGCAACCAGTGCCTCCTGCCATTGCTGACACAAATGTTCAAGGCCGTATTCAGCAGCCCGCCGGCGCTGGCAACGAGGAGGAGGAGCTAGGGCGAACCAGCACCAACGTTCCCACCAAGTTTGCGCGGATGTCAGGCTTCCATGAGCCTAAGAGCAGTGATGGCAAGGGCCACAAGAGGTCCAACACGATAGGAGACATTGGCTCCAAGCTTCTGGGCCGGAGCGGGTCCGTGTTTGGTCGCAAGGGAAAGAAGTCGGAGCAGTCGGCTGAAAAGACCAAGAAATATCCCCCCATCAGCATGGCCAATACTGGCATGGCTGCAGGAGAGGAGCCTCGGTCGCGGCCCTCGATAGACTCGAAGGCATCCCGCCGATCCTTTACTCTCGGCCTCGGAAAGAAGGCGAGCGGAAGCATCAACGGCTCTCAAGACTCCATTGACAAAAAGGAGCGCCGACGCTTCTCGCTTCTTCCCGCGTCCTTTTCTCTCAAGTCTTTTGGCAATCCCAAGGATTTCGGAAGCGCTCCCCCTTCTTCGCAAGACTTGCCCATCCAAAACCCTCGCACCGCTGACCTTGGACGGATCGTGACGACCCACGGAGGTAGCACCCCTTTCTTCGACAACGCCTACGATGGCCAGCAGCCAGATGCGGCCGTTCCGCCCAATCAAAACCCGAACAACAACCTAACACCGGCAGACGCTGCCAGACGACCGAATGCGATCCCCCAGTATCTGCAGCAAGGGGCACACCTCAACAGTGGCTCCGAGACATCGGTCGACATGCATCAGCCTTCTGCGGGAGCTCGGCAGGGCCCCTACCAGTACGGATACACCCAATCTGAAGGCTTCGATGGGCGAGGTATTGGCACCGGTCGCGGAGTGTTACAGAAGAGCCACAAGCGCTTCACGGACGCCTACGACCAGGGCGACTACAGAGGCCACGAGGGAAGCAGTGGAGCTGCGAAGCGCGTCATGGACTTTTTCAGGAGACGCGGCAAAGCCAGGGGCGGCGATGAGCGATAACCGATGGCCTGAGAAACCAAAGCGCGATGAAGTTACGGATTTTGCACTGGAGCCAGCCTAAAAGTCCCCCGTTGCGCCGTCTACTTCTGAGGGCTTTGGCTCCTTGAAGTTCGACCGGCGCGATTTGGTCACCTTGTTATATCATTTTTCATTTCCATACAGGAGGCATCGCCGAATTTTGCCAACATCAAGTTGTAATCATCAGAGCGCGCAAGCAGATATCGTTCAGCCTTTTTAATATCCCCGCTTACAAAACTGGCCAGGAGTAGCTTGTGCCTATATGGCCTACTACTACCACTGGGTGCGCTGGATGGGAAGGGGGCATGCCTTATCCGGCACTGTTTTTAAACTGTTTTTTCTTGTCTTTCCTTTGTATTGTATTTCGACTAGCATGATCTTGCCCATCGTATATTGCGCTCATGTGGAGGCTGTTATGAAGCAAATACACTCACGCACGAACACACACTCCTCGACTGGATTTGGTTGTGGGATCTCGTGATGCGGCATCAGAAAGCCCGTGGTACAATATCTTCTTATCTTGTCTTTCTTTTCTATTTCCTTTGAATCGGGTAGAAAGTTCGAGTCGGTGTGTGTTGGGATTTTGTGGTTTGATATACCTGTATTGTTTGTTGTACTTGTAACACTTGATGCCCTCCCCTTGTTCTTGTCTGTTTCGTTAGGCATTGTTTTGGCAGGACATTCAGCGGAGTCCTTGATATGACATTTTAGTTTTTGTTGAAAAGGGGGAGGGGAAAGAACTCAATAAGGAGAGGTCTGCTTTTTTGCTCTGACTTGCTTTGCATTTCTACTATCGTGTTTCTTCGCCTTTCGAGGGTTCGAAAGAGGGGTGTGAATATGAGGAAAACTATTTCGTGTGTGTGTGCGAGGTGAAATTCTCATCTTGTTTCGTGGTGATGGCTGCATCGTGGTGAGTCGAGGCGGGTGGCTTGTAGACTTTCATTGTTTCTTTCGATGTTGTATTGGTTCCTGTATTCGTTTGTGGTGGGGGTTTTGCATTGTGGGATATGGGGTTGTGTGTGGTTGCTGTGATGTGTGGTTACTGTGATGTGTGGTTATGGGGTTGTAATACGACTTCACCAATATCATTCTTGATTCTCCTTCAATTTGTATCTCTCTACTGAGTATCTGTTTACATTTTCGTTGCCTATGTAATACTTACTTATTGATGGCCATCTTACTGGTTGTTTATATTAGTTTGATAGACATTATAGGAGTACCTTACCCATGCTTTCGAGTACATAGGTGTAGTGCTAGTGAGTTTGCATTTGCCGGATAACTAATGCCGAGTCAGTGTTTCACACGACATTCAGCGAGGGAGTTGCGGGCTACACTGGATATGCCGTGAGACTTGCCCCCTTTTTTCACCGAAGACATGATGTATCAATCACATCAGCTCACTTTTTTTTTTCAGGTTGCACGGTGTGCGTTTGTGCTTCGTACGTAACGTCATTGACAGGCTTTTCTTTTCATTTGAAGTTGATGGGCGGGGGTAATCAGGGCATTTGTGATGGGATTCACCGAGCTTTGTTGGTTATCCCGCCGAATCGAATGTAACGTCATATTGCGGTTTGTTGGCTGCTGGCCTTTTACGCGTAGTTTGGGAGTCATGAGCGGTGTGGCTGATGCTGTGCGCTACGGCGTAGAAGTGTGGCGAAGCAGGGACTACTAGGACAGGCAAGGCGATGATGTGGGGGTTAAGCATTGGAGCATTATTGCCGGGGCACGTGTTTTGTTTGGGCTTCGCATGGGATTTCCTGGATTGGGTTTCGTTTCGATTCCTTGTGCCGAGGCGGCGATTTCGGGTTCATTGGTTTGCTGGATGTGGGAGGCCATTGTCCGGTTGGATGAATTGAGGCATGCGAGGACCTGGTTTTGGGAGGAGCATCCTTGTTGGTGGTGCTTGATTTTAGGGGACCGGTCTTTTGCTGTGAGTCTGAGGTAAGGGACATGGATGGACATGGAGTACCGCGCCGGGAAGGGCTTGCAAAAGTGTGGGGATGGGCTGATGTTGGCCAAGAGTGCAAACCATCCATTGGAACCTTCCAATGGATTCGGGAAGGCGTTGATTCTTGCTGATGTCCAGAACATGGTAATTGCACAGACTTGAAATTGTGTGAGAAACCGGTAGGTATGGTTATGCTGTGTATTCGATGGCATGTTGGCGGTTTTGCTCCGGACAGCAAGTCTCGGACCCTGTCTGGCTCTGTTGGCGAGTCTCGGGAATCGGCTCGATGGGGACTCGCACAAGGTGGGTAGCAGCAAAATGTATCTATCTTTGACCATCTTGTTCCTGTTTTTTTTTCCCGCCCTGTGAGATGCCGCCGATTGAGATAAGCATGACGTTCGGAAGAACTGATTGAAGGCCGATACACGTTTTCGATCTGTGCGATTCCGACGAGAGAGACACTCAGGGGAAATTCGAGAAAGGCAGCTCGCGGTTCAGCTTCGATTCCAGATGCTGCTTCGGTTGGCCTTGACCGCTAGCGCGCATGACGGCGGGGCCCTGGCGATGATGTCGTTGCAGCGGCGAGGCGAGGCTCTGATTGGGCTGGACCGAAGGCCACCGCCTTGCTTCCCCACGGAAAGAATTACTGCAAGGACTGGCGCTAGACTTTGAACGTGCGAGTACGTGAGGTACGGTACCAATCTAGTGGCGCGTCGATGGTTGCTGTTTTGCTTCGCATGAGACTGATGATCGGTGTTGAGACTGTGAGGACTGCTGGATGTATGATAATACCAGGAGTATCAGTTGAGAGGTCAGCAGAGGAACGGATGGTTCTCTGTAGAGGCTAGTACTGTCGTCTTGGGCAGCTGATCGTGTGCTCAGGGCTCAAGTAGGTACGTATGTACACGTATTTACGGACACGCTCTAGCGCACGGCTTATCAGAAGCGTGGCGCCTCCCCCTGTCCCACGGCGTCATCCACATTCCCCGTCAACAGCCACAGCCCGCCTCTTGCCAGCTTAAATAGGGATCCTGCTTCCCGCCTTCTGTCGTCCGAGTTGATACCCTCCTCTTCTTCCCATTCCATCCCGGGTTCTATCCCCAACCCCCTCTCTCTTCCATCATTGTTGTATCTTGCACTCGTCCAGATCTTGGCACGATTGTCCCTGCGTCTGCTTCGCTGCCTGCCTGCTCGTCCTGTCCTCGCGCCGCTGCTGTCCAACAACACCTGTTCGATGAAGAAAGCCTCAACAGACCCCGATATAAGTGCTCGACGCTCTGATGCACAGCCCGTAACCAAGGGACGCTCCGATTGGCCGGATACTGAGCTTCGCGACCTTCCCCCCTCGAACAAGCACGAGCACGCCGCCGCAGCTGCTTCCACCACCACCACCACCACCGCCACTCCAAACGACCAGACCAACAGCCGCAATGGCGCTCGCAGCCCCGATGACGAGAAACATGGCCACCGCTTCCTCAAGTCCGCGTTTGCCAAGAAGCGCAAATCAGCGCCATCCGCGCAGGATGAGGGGCAGGGGTCTTTCGTAGGAACCAAGGAAGCCCTCGCAAACACCTCTGCCCCCGAGACTGCGGGAACCGGAACCGACAATGACAGTGGCAGCAACAACAAGAAGAAGAAGCGTACCTTTGTCGAGGAGTTCCGTAGAAGCTTCTGGCTGGTCGCCACCCACAGCTGGTTCAACGTCCTGCTGGTCTTTGTGCCCGTCGGCATCGTCGTCGCCAACGTTGGCAACGTAAACAGCGGCCTCGTCTTCGCCATGAACTGCATTGCCGTGATCCCCCTCGCCGGCCTCCTCAGCTTCGCGACCGAGTCGGTGGCCCTCAAGATGGGCGACGCACTTGGCGCCCTGCTCAATGTGACGTTTGGCAACGCCGTGGAATTGATCATCTTCATCATTGCCCTGGTCAAGGATGAGATCCGCATCGTCCAAGCGTCTCTGCTGGGTTCCATCCTGGCCAACCTGCTGCTCATTCTGGGAATGGGCTTCTTCCTCGGTGGACTGCGCTTCCGGGAGCAGGTTTACAACAGCACCGTGACTCAGATGAGCGCGTGTCTTCTTAGTTTGAGCGTCATCAGTCTGGTTTTGCCCGTATGTCCACATCCCGCCCACTTCCCACCTTTTGAGCGATTCGACTAACAGGTCATCAGACGGCTTTTCACGCCTCCTTCAGCGATCCAAATCTGGCGGACCACCAGTCCCTCAAGATCAGTCGCGGCACTAGCGTTGTAAGTTGCCTTGTCCGATACATTGCGTCCGCCACCGACTAACAATGACAGATTCTATTGCTGGTATATGTCATCTATCTCATGTTCCAGCTCAAGTCCCACGCATATCTGTACGAGTCTACCCCGCAGAATATTGTCGATGCTGAATCCGTTCCTGGTCCCGCCGCTGCCTGGCTGGACGCTTCCAGCTCCGATTCCAGCTCGTCTGATAGCTCGGATTCGGACGATTCCAGCCATTCACGGGACACAGTTCGCCGTGCGATGAGAAAGGTCCTCCGCCATGGGCGTAGGAGAAAGTCGTCCGTGGCCTCTGTCGAAACCAGCGACCTCCAGCCTACCAGAACATCGTCTTTTGGCACCACAACCACCAGTCCTCAGGAAGAATCTTCCGAGGCTTCGACTTCGCGCCCACAATTTCCTAGGTTGTCGTCTGTGGAAACGAATGAAGAGGCTGTCGAGGATGAAGAGAGGCCGCATCACAGACGCAGAAAATCTAGCATACGACAGATGCGCAAGAAGTACAAGAAGCATCGTCGTCACCACAGCCATCGTGATGCCGACGGCGATGCTCAGCCGGCGATCAGTGAACAGCCAGAGCAGTCTCAGACTCGTGGCGAGGACGGAGAGCCTCGCCGTGTCGACTTCGCTATTCAGAATACGCCAGCTGCCGATAGCGGCAACGAGACGTCTAAGCGGCCATTTCCTGGCCTACGATCCATGTCTGTCAAGAATCTGGCGCCTCCCGTCTTTGTCCAGAAGCCCGATGTCTTGTCTGCCATGGCCGCGGGCCCGGTTCCACGCGTCCGCTACGGCATTAGACGCACCAACTCTCTTCCCGATAGGCTGAACCATCAGATGCGACCCCCCGGTGCCCTTTTCCCGGCTCAGGTGCCATTGGTCGCCTTGAAAGCGAGGGCGAGCGGCCTCGATGAGGAAGAAGACGGGGAGCACCTGACGCAGGCGGCAGCCGTCATCCTCTTGCTGTTGACGACTGGTCTTGTTGCGGCGTGTGCTGAATTCCTCATTAGCTCTATCCAAGACGTTGTCGCCACGTCGAGCGTCGGCGAGATCTTCATCGGTCTCATTGTGCTGCCCATTGTGGGCAATGCGGCGGAGCACGTCACCGCCGTGACCGTGGCGATGAAGAACAAGATGGATCTTGCGATTGGCGTTGCTATTGGCAGCTCCATCCAGATAGCCATCTTTGTCACGCCGCTGGTTGTCATTTTGGGCTGGATCTTGGACAAGGAGATGACGCTGTACTTTACGCTCTTCGAGACGGTGTGCCTCTTTGTGTCCACGTTCATGGTCAACTTTCTTGTCCTGGACGGCCGGAGCAACTACCTTGAGGGTGCTCTGCTGTGTGCAGTCTACTGCATCATTGGCGTCGTTGCCTTTTTCTATCCAGACGAAGCCGATGCCAGCTCGTGGGGCAGCTAATTGTTGGGCAAGGGAGAAGATGAAGAGTCGGCAGCTATTGATGAGTCCTCTGTTTATGTACTAATGGCGTTTGGAATTGGGACAAGAATGGGACAAGGCCATGGATGAGACGATATAAATGGTCTAGGAGGTTTGATGGAATATCTTGGGAGTCCAGCGCTACATCTATGTCTGCATGCCTTATAATGGTACGGAGCAGCATTGGGTGCTTTGGCCACTCAAATACAAATTGATACTCGCTGCGTATAACGTGTGCTTGTGCGTATCTGTGAATTATATCTTGTGCCTTGTAAAGTAGTAGTATCTTCCAAATCACGGACGCATTTGACGGGCTGTGCAAGAAGCGCATCTGCAGTTGTCCGAGGCAGCCCGGCGTCATCTGACGGGGTCCGGAGCGTGTTTGTTGCCTCCTTTTGCGCTTTTGCGTGTTGCACCGAGCTCCAGCCCAACTGCGGCGAGTTTCCCCGCCGCGAAAGCCACCAGCTTTAACCCACTATTTAAGCAGCAACATTAGCGCCTGCTAGAAGCTGGTACTATTGACTGTTTTAAGATTGAGGTGAACCTTGAAGGCTATGATTCCAGGCCTTGCACAGCCACAAGGAGCGCGAACGTCACCAACTTTAAACGCAAGCCTCTCCGCTTCCTTTCTTTCTTACCTCGCCTTGCCTTGATTGTTTATCACGTCTTCTTTCTTTCATCTCCCCCTTTCTCCAATTTCTCAGTCTCCCAATCGCTTTTTCCCAGATACCATCAGCCGATCTCACGCTCTCACATATCAGCATTCTCTCTTTTCGCAGATTGAGACAAAGCTGTGACGAAGCGATTATTTGCTTTCACCTTCCTTACGAGGGGAGAGGCAACACCACACGCGTACAAATCACTCGAACAGACCAAATTTGCAAACGGGACAGTTAATCTCCAGACAAAAAGACAGACAGAGGCACAATGTGTTTCGGCGGCCGGAACGAGAGGAGCGACGATCCTCCGCCGAGGCCCGCGCAGGGCGGCGAGGGGAAGACGGGGCGGTATGGGGCGCAGGGGAGCGCCGCTGTGGGAGGACCTCTGAGCTCTCAGGGCCTTTCGCATGGACAGCAATCGTATCACGGCCAGCAGGGGCAGCAGTCTCTCCAGGGACAACAGCAGTATCAAGGCCAGGGACAGCAGCCGCAGTATCAGCAGCCGCATCAGCAGTACCATGGACAGCAGGCACAGCACCCGCCGCATCAGCAGTCGGCGTATGAGGACTACGCTCCCCCTCCGGGCCCGCCTCCCGGAAGGCGACAAGAGGAGGACTACGCGCCGCCTCCTGGACCACCGCCGGGCCGTCAGCAGCACCAAGATGATTATGCTCCTCCGCCGGGGCCTCCGCCGTCACACCTCCAGAATGATTATGCCCCCCCTCCAGGCCCGCCTCCCGGGAAGCGACAAGAGCAAGACTATGCGCCGCCGCCAGGACCGCCGCCTTCTGCTGGCAAGGCCGACTGGGCTGCTCCTCCGTCGAATCCCCAAGCTTCTCAGTCTTCTGCGGCGCATGATTGGCAGTCTGCCGTGCCAGACACCTCTCTCTTCCCGCCGCCGCCTCTGATTTTCAGCGGCTATGACAGGTCGCCAGCCAACAACGCGACGGAGGAAGAGGCAGAGGCTGGCGAGGCATGGTGCCGGCAGTTTCCGCTTATTCCACCCATGGTTCTCGATGAGCCAGGCAAGGCTGCTCTCGTGTCCAATAATATCCGGCTCATGGAGCCGGCGGGCTTCAACGGTACCCTGAAGTGGCTTGGACCGGGCCATTGGGAGGGCCACACGGCCAAGAACAGCCCCGACCGATGCATCATCGGCTACCCTCCTCTCTACGTGGTCCGTGAGCACGACCCAACGGTGTCGAACTCGCCAAAGACCATCTACTACGAGGTCAAGATTCGTCGCGATAGCCGCACAATCAACCTGGCCTTGGGTTTCGTGGCCCTTCCCTACCCGTCTTTCCGCCTGCCAGGATGGCATCGCGGTAGCCTGGGTGTCCATGGAGACGACGGGCACAAGTACATCAACGACCGATGGGGAGGCAAAGACTTCACCAAGGAGTTCCGCGCGGGCGAGACGTACGGCATTGGCATGACCTTTGCCCCGACGGGCTCGCACAAGCCTCGCGTGGACATCTTCTTCACGAGGAACGGCAAGCGGGCTGGCAGCTGGCATCTCCACGAGGAGACGGACGCCGAGCAGGATTTGCCGGTGACGGGCCTGGAGGGCTTTCACGACCTGAGCTGCGCCATTGGCACGTTTGACGCGACGAGCTTTGAGGTGGTGTTTGATCCGGCCAAGTGGCTGTACAGCGAGGCCAAGTTTGATCTTTAAGGGGATGGGTTTGAAGCAGGGCGCTCAATGAGGGATGCTGGGTTTGGTGGGATATGTGCGCATGATTTACGAATCACTTAATTTGAGTCGTGGACGGTTTTCTGTGAAGCTGAGGAGCATCAGCTTTACCCAAGCGTATGGATATTGATAATGAAAGTAGTTGTTCAATGGACCTCTTATCATGGAGTCTTTGTAGGCTACCATAGAGTATTTAATGTAATCTGAGTAGTCGATGTCCTCCTGATAATATCTAAAAAGCCACCACTAGCTGCTTCTTGTTGCATCAGGCTGAAATGAGGCCGCAATCTGCGCTGCCGCCTGGGTGAAGGTGATGGCTATATATAATCCTCCTCCTGTGCTGCTTGAGCTGGTGCTGCAGGTGAATCGCAGCTGCGTCTAACGCCTGCGTACACTTATGCACTTACCCAGCATCATACCCTCGGTTTGCCGCAACCCCCACCAAGATCAATACTGCCTAGGCGCCTCTTAGTCCATCAGCTCCAGCCAAAGCCCTGGCGACCTGTTGTAGCATGTGCAACAACCTCTCGAAATCCCCATCACCACTCACGCACGACCTTTCTTATTTTTTTTTGCCCATGGAAGTGGACAGCGACAATGACTTGCTTGGCAGGACAGCCGCCGGAGAGCTCGTGGCTTCGTACGTGGGCTTTTCATACTTTTGGTTTTCCCGTCTTATCGTAGCCGAAGCCGCCCTTTTGCTAACGTGAATTGCTTCGTTTCCGCCTTGCAGAGAGGCCTGGCCAGCCCTGCGCGACGAGCTTCTTGAGCGCTTAGACAAGGTGCGTCTTGTTCCACATTCTCTTGGGCGCTGTCGCGGCAAAAGCAATCTGCGGCGGGCGGGAGAAAGCCCAAAGCAGTCGAATGCGAAAGGGAATTGCTAACGGGAAATTCACCCTTGGATCTTTTGGCAGATCGTTCTCAACGAGTTCCCCATCCCCAAGCTGCCACCCCCCCTGCCGCGCTCGCGGTATCAGGACACACGACGGCCCATCTCCCCGCCATCATCGCCACCCGCCAGCGAGCAGTTTCCCGACGACGCCAACAAGGAGAATGCGCCCGCACAAGAGCAACAGCCCGCGCCCGCGGCCGAGAAGACAGAGCCAGGCGCGCCGGCATCTCAGTCGCAGTCGTCGCTGCCGCCGCCGCCGCAGCAGCAGCAGCAACAACCCTCCTCGTCGCAGACCCAGGAGCCCGGCGCGCTGCCCAAGCAGCTCGCGGACATGGTGGACAAGAGCCACATCGCGAGCTTCAAGTCGTACCCGCCACACACGATCCAGCGCATCGCCGAGCTGATCCTGCGCCCGCGCGCGCACTACAAGGCGCTGGCGTCGTACCTGCACGCCCTGGACAGGGTCGCGGCGGTGACCTCGGGGACGGACACGTACCCGCTGCCGCCGCCGATCCCGGACATGTCCTCGATCCAGCTCAACGGCGACGAGCCCAACGACCCCGCCATGGCCGTGTCGTGGAGCAACCCGACGGCGGTGGCGGTCGGCTCGGACGAGGCCCTGGGGGGAGCGCTGTTGACGCCCATTCCCTGGCTGGTCAGGAGGAGCACGCCTCCCGAGAGCGTCAGCGAGGCGGCGGCGGCGCCGACGACGACAGGCGCGCAGATCCACAGCGAGAGCACCGAGACGATTGAAGGGCCCAACGGCGTGGGAAGCATCGAGACCGTTTCCGTCAGCATCAACGGCGTGCCGTCCATGGGGGCCTCGAGGGGCGTCACGCAAGGCGAGCTGCTTAGGCAGGAGCAGAGGGCCGGCATCGTCCCCGTCAGCCAGCTCACCAAGGGACACGACATGATGGGCGAGGGCGGACGTACTGCGGGTCCGGGTCCGTCAGAAGATCATCCCATGGGTGACGAGGAGGACGAGGAGGACGAGGAGGAGGCGCCGCATGTGAGGGGACCAGACGAGATTGGCATTGGCGACACGGGCCCTCAGTCGGAGACGACGAGCCTCGTGGGCGAAGACGGCATCGAGATGCAGGGCATCGACCTCGAGGCCGCGGTGGGCCGGAAACACGCTGAAGAAAAGGACGCAGCAGCGGTCGAAGAGGCGTCCCCGGTTAGGGGTCAGGATGCGGAGGACGGCAGCAGTAAGCCCTCGTTTGAGCGGTCCAAGAGCCCCAGCGCCGAGAGCGTTGCCTCAAAGCGCGAAGCGGAGGACGATCTCGAGGACGACGTCGTGGCGAAGAAGGTCAAGGAGGATAATACGGCTGAGGATGGGGAGGATACCAAGATGACGTCTGGGACGCCCTCTCCTGAAGCTGCTGCAAAGGGCGAGGATGACAAAGAGGGTGATGATGCCAAGGAAGAGGACGCGGATAAGAAGGATAAGGATGCTGCCAAGATGGAGGAGGGTGCGTGATAAAGCCGTTGCTTTTTGCTGCCGCGCTCTTCCCATTCTCTACTCAAACTGCTTCTCTTACCTCTGGCTTTTCCGCCCCAATCTTCTCACATAGAGGGCTTCGGATTACCAGCCCCATTCAGAAGAAGGCGAAAAAGCGTTCAAACTTCTCTCTTCAAGCAAAAACCAAGGCAAAGAGGAAGCGCCCGAGAGCCGCCCTGAACCAGTCACTTCCCAGCTCGCTGCGTAACGAAAGAAAGAAAGAAAGGAAGCAGCAGAACCGCAAACTAGAAATACCACGTCCGTTCCCGAGAGCGAGAAAGGTCTCCTCAGGGGGGCAATGCTGAGGGAGAGAGTATGTTAGATATACCCCCGCCCGCAGAGGAGGCGTTCTTTTTTGTCAAGAGGAAAAAATAACAGTTTCGTCTGCCGCCTCTTGTATGATGAGATGAGGACAGTCATTGAAGCCTTGGTTATGGACTCGGGATGTGGATTGAACAGTCACATTTCACTTTTGCTCTTCCTTTTCCTCGAAAAAGCTGGTTAAAAGGGAAGACGAAGTTTGTGCTTGTCTACTGTGGCAGACACGGGTCTGAATTCACACTCGCAATTGTTCCGTATTCCTGTTCATTGACAGCGGCTCGCTCATCAGCATCGTATTCCAGTCTCCTCAAAGGCCAAAGGTGTCCAAGACAGCATGGACAGACGACACGGCGTTAACACCTCGTCATAAATACAATACATACATCGAACCCGTCCAATTCCGTCCCAGCCGTGATATCCTTTTTTCGTGTGCAAAGTGGCAGCCACCGGGCCACAACGACACGTCGAGATGGAATTGTCCTTCACAAAAAGGAAACAGTAAAAGCACGCCCCAAACGCCGCCAATCCTTCCCGGAGGGCCCCAGCATGACCAACATGGCAGCGGTAGCAGGTGCCCCGAGCCTTCTCTATATCGCTCGTCTTCTTCAGTCTGAAAAAAATCTAGATGAAGAGTGCGTAGCATCGTAAACCGGTAAACGTCGCCTCGCAGGACCTTTCCCTCGTAGAAGAGTCCCATCATCTCGTCTCTACAATGTTGATCAACCGTCTGAAAGGACGGGGTTTTGAGCAGAGTTGTCATGATGTAAAGAAGTAGTGGGATAAAGTCGTCATATGTGTTGCCAACACGCCTTGATCCAGCTGATGGATACAAAAAGAAATAAGGAAAACAGAGCCAAGGATGACAGAATAAAGGAACCATCCCGTGAGAAGGAGAACGCCGACGCCATGCTATTCCTCAAAGCAGTAAAAGGGTGTTGCCAGGAAGAGGGAATCAGACAAGTACACGTTATATGAATCCAGGGAATACGCTCGAGACGACACGCCGCCCTTGGAGATCAATGTTAGCTCAATCTCAACGGACTGGAAAAGTAAGCAAAACTCACACTTGGGACGTCTCAGGTCCGGATCGTCGAATGGCGCGTTCTGGCTTGCAATTTCCCGCATGCGCTCTCGAGCAAACGAAGAAGGGCTGTGGCCACCTGGAGGATGTGCCATGACCAACTCGACGCCTTCGGGAGCCGTGGGCAGCAGCCTCAGGGCACGAGGTTGAGGCTTGCGGGTCTTTGCTCGTGTCGTCGGCGCCGGAGCTTGCGTAACCGCGGCTGGCGTCTCCCTGATGTTATCCTCTTCCGATTCGGACACGTCCGTGAGCGTCGTTGTCGCGGACGGCGTCGCTGGCGATATTTCTCTGATTTCTGTTTCCGCAACAGTTTGCTCAGAAGATGTCGTCGACGCCTTTTTCCCACTGGCATCTTTGCTTGGCTTGTTGACCCTGACTGGCGTCATCGGAACGTCAGGCGAAGCTGCATGGCTGCCCGGATGGAAGATCTTCTTGCCCCAGCCCTTGAGCTTGCTCTCGCCAGACTCCAAAGAAGAAAAGTCCAGATCGACCCTGCCTCGGAGCTTCCGCAGAGCGCGTTCGCGACGGACCATTCCGTTGGTGATGGGAGGGCAGTAGCCACGGGGCAACATGCAATGCTTGCACATCGGACATAGCGAGCTGTTTTCGAGAAGGAACTCGTCTATACAGTCGGGATGGAAAATGTGACCGCAGGGCAGTTCCTTGATGACGGTGACGCGATGTTCGAACGGATCGAGGCAAATGTGGCATCGGGGCTGGAAGTTGGTGGCGGTGGTATCAGATCCTGTGATACTTGACCTCTTACTCCGCACACTCCGTGTGCTGCGGATGCTGCGCTCACTGGCGGACATGATATCACTGGAAGCGCTTCGATCACGTCGATGCTTTCTCCTGGAGGATTTCCCACTGCGAGATGCCCCTCGCACGGTTGGAGAGGAGGGCGTCGAATGGCCGCTGAGCTGGTCCGGATCCTGGTTGTAGGTGAAGAGCGGGAATCCCTGAACAAAGGTCGACGGTACCGTGAGTCTCTTGATGCCCATGGCCTCCAGGTCGACCTCGCCAGACATGACGCGCCGCCTGAGAGAGATGCGACGCCGCCTCTGAACCAGATGCATGGCAACCGAAGTGCCACCGATGACGGCGAGCAAGGCGCCAATGACAATGAGGAAGAATATCCACAGCGCGGGGATGTTGGTGGGATTCTTCATGTTCAACTCGGTCCATATTCGCACGTAGTCCTTTGGGTTGGGGCCATAGAGCTGGGAAATCTCCTGGCCATGAGGAATCTGCTCGACGGTTCCCGAATATAGGCTGAGCTGGGTCATCATCTTCTGGCCCTCGAGTCCCGAGACGGCGAAGATGGGATACTGGTTCTGGTTCTTCCAGTCGCCATCGTCATCGAGGTTCCAGACGGGAGAGTTGACATCCTGAGGCTTGTTGGTGGAGTTGTTTGGCTTGTAGAAGATGAAGGCGCGGATGGGATCGAGGCGGGCGGCGGCGAGGTAGGCCTGCGTGCAGTCTATGCTGAACCAAGGGGCAAGGGCGATGAGATTGTAGTTGGTAGGAGGGAGGTTGGCGCGGCGGGTAACATTTCTGGGAATGAAGTCGTACTGCTGGGTATCACAAGACGGCATTCGGCTGATGTCGGGAACGTATAATAGGCCCTGGATGAGTCCATTGAGCGTGTCGGCATTGGTGGTGGTCAAGGTGGTGATGTTGCTGTCGATGCGCTCCTCGTATGCTATCTGACTCTGTCGGGCCCAATTATGTCAGCTGGCGGTTAGGTGGGAAAGCGGGCAGGCGGGAGGATCGGGGATGGACGCACGGAGAGCGCGGTGATATTCCTGATGATGGTGGTGGGCACAGTTTTGGCACCACCCCAGACGGGATTACTGAAGAGAAGCCTGGCAGTGGAGAGTCAGTAGACGGAGGACAAATGGGAGCGGGTATTGAGAGCGAGCAGCAAGATAAAGACGAGGACGTGCTGGTGAGAGGGAAGAAGAGTGGTTGTGAGAGCAACACGAGGGAAGCGATGCTGGTGACGGCACTGCCGCTCCCACGAGGAGAGGGAAGCCGGCCATAGCGGAGAGTAGCAGACAAAGCGGAGAGAGAGAGAGCTGGAGCACTCAAAGGCCGAAGCAGGCGGCGATGGCGGATTGCACCGGCCAGGGACAGTGAGCGACCATGGTGGTGACGACGGAAGAGCAAAGCGAAGAGCAAACAGAGGGCGTCAAAAAAGGCATCAAGACGCAGAGCATCCATCTCGTCCGCGGCATGAACATACACGACATTTCGAATCTCGGAGAGCGCTGTGAGACGTCAGTTGCCGGCCGCCAAGACTGGGGTCACGTAGGGGCAGGCTTGGCCGCTGCACAAGTGTCGACTGGAGAGAAGAGCTGAAAGAGCAGCGGCCGAGCGCGCGAGCAGGACTCACACATTCTTCTAACACATGTTGCTGGCGAGGCGGGAGGCGGCAGTCATGGTCTGCGAGGCACCGGCGGTGCGACGGCGTGAGGACGGAGAGCCGGGCGAGGGAGAGGCGAGGCGGCAGCGAGGAGGAGGCTGTCGCGAATCCGAGGGCGAGGGCGGCGGTGGTTTTGGAGGAAGCAAATTGGCGTAGGGGGGCCGCCGGGCGAGTCGAGATCAGGATGAGGAAAAAAAGACGGGAGCGCAGGGATGGCGGGCCACTGGAGGTTGCAGCTTCGGCGGCATGCAGTGCAGTGCAGTGGGCGCAAGTCCAGGTACTGGTACCGGCGGAGTCCAGGGGGCCAGCGTAAACCCGTAGTCCGGGCAGCAGCAGTGAGCGCTGGAGTCCTCAAGGGCTGCTCGAGTCCACTGCTTGGTCCGCTAGCCAGCCCACCGCTACCCCGTGCTGGAGGCCCTGTGGAGGCGCTATCGACGTCTGCTGGGGCGTGCTAGGCCGTGGGGCTGCCTTGTACCGCTACCTGTCTTTCCGTTCAACACGCCCAACCTGCGTCTTGGTGGAGGCCCAGGCGGGGCGGCTGGACGGTAAGTCGGAAGAGAAAGACAGACACAACCCGAAAGTGGCGTGTCTGCTGTGCAGGTGCAGGTTCTGGTGTCTGTCAACAGGAATTGCCCTCTCAGGAACCAGCCGCCCACGATGGCTTCACGGTGTAGTATTACGGGCAATCTGGCCTTGACACTCATCAATTAGTCACCTTGGCCAATCCAAGGCATGGCGCAGGCACGGTTGCGGCACGAGAACCTCGTACTACCTACCTCGATGGCAGGGATGCAGCTCAGCGCTCGACAGCCGTACTCCCTACCTTGGCAATATGGTGTACGAGTACAGGATGCCTTCAAGTGACTGGCAGGCCAAGAACCAGCTCGTGTGTGCCCCCGCAAGAACAAGGTCGTATCTCCGGAGCCAGGTGGGATGGAAGGAAGCGCGATGCGGTACGCTGCCGCTTCCGAGGCAAGCGGGCGAGTCAGAGGCGAGTTTCCGCCTGATCAGAGGCAGACGCTGAGTTGCCAAGTATTACATTAGCACTGCCGTTCGTCATCATACTTGTAGAGCATCATATCAAAATGCATTGGTACCTTGCGTGCTGCTAGTGCCATGACTATGCCGTGCTAGTAGTTGTATGTATATACCCGTGAGGCGCTGAGGCCATTGCCAAGAACGGTATGCCGATGCCATAGTCGGGGCCAGTGTCGAAAGGCAGCGGCGCCGACACGGATGGCTCGTAGGGCAGAGCAAGAGATGGAGTCGCAGACGGGATGGATCCGGCGCCGGGGGCTCACGTCATATCGCGTGAAGCAAAGCCATGGCACCTGGGTAGGTAGGTACGAGTATTCAGCCATGGAGTCGTCGGCGAAGCAGTAGAGAAGCGAAGAAGAGCCTTCGCTACTAGGGCATCAAGGCATGTACCTATCTATTGTCGCTCAAATCAGCAAGGTGGCCACTGTAGCACCCACGGAGGGGAATCAGGCCAGGCAAGCAAGTGGGTGGCAGAAAACACCGCCGCCCATCACCTACAATTTTATATGGTAGACCGGCGGTGTTTTTTGCAACCCGCATGGCAAGGTCCTACCAAACAGGATGCTGGTGTCGCTCAGAGGAGGAAATGCCAAGCGCCCTTTTCGTGTATGCATGTGCGGGTGCTTGAGGCATCGCTAGTCGTGGCGATCAGAGCTGCAGAGGACCGCCATCCCGGCTGTTTCTGCTGCTATTGGTAGTTGTAGCCACCCCGGCAGACACAGGCTTCTCCCGGCTTCTTTGGCTGGATATCTGAAGCGGTCGATACTAGTATTACCAGTGGGAAAAGCTGTCCAAGGCGGTGATTCCCAGGGAACTTGATACAGTAACGGTTCGGTGCACGTGGTTGCTTCTGGCCGACGTCTGCTAAGGCACCTCGCATGGACTTTCCAAATGCGACAGGCGGTCGACTTTCAGGTTTATCAGATCCTCTTCGCTCCGTCAATCAACATCACCAGCATACAGAGATCAGCATCAACGCCAACTCCACCATGTCCATAGCCATCAATCCTTCCTACACACATTTCGTACGATATGCATGCAATCCATATCCATGGCACAAGCCCTCCTGATGCCATCATCTCATCTCCATCTGGTATCGTCTACTACTATCAGCAAAAGTCCAAAGCAAGACTCGCCCAAAGAAGATGACCACCCCGGACAAGTCCAGCGCAAACAAGCAAATACTTGCCAGCAACCGTCCCTCACTGTGACATCAAAGCCCGGAGCCTCTTCCGCGGCCCTGGCGCTAATCCTGGACCGTGTTGGCGGCTGTCAATAGCTCAGCGGCGTCGACCAAGGCCCCCTGTCCGAGGTGAACGCATGGAGCGATCGAGGCTGCGGGCAAGATGGCACTGGCAAGACTGGGGACCAGAATCCGGTATACTACTAGTAGCCAAGGGTCAGGGTTGACCAGCAGCAGAACTTCTGTGGCTTCCTCGACGGCGGATCTTTTTGTTTTCACGAGCCCAGTCGCCACTGGCCCGTCCCCATCCGGCTCCAAAGCCCAGATTGACAAGGTCCCCCGTCCCTTTGCCTTGTTAAACATGCTAACGATGCTGTGCAATAGGCAGACACGAGCGCAGAGTCGATCTCAGGGCCCTTGATCTGTCTCAAGTGGGCATGCCCGCTTGCTGGTGAGTCTCGGTACATCGTCCATGGCAGCACCACCACTGTATACTATCAGGTAGCTGCAACGACAAGCGCCGCGGTCCTTTGCGTTCTCGGTCCCGAGATCATAACATCAGACGCCGGCGAATCGGATGGCGACAGGAAAGCGTGTCTGCCAACAGCATTGGCTCAAGCCACTGCCATTGGCCCCTGCCTAGCGCCCTTCTGTTTCCCGTCGATGCCACGGGACAGCCGTCGGGTGGCTTGAATCGCCAGGAACAGCTGGACGGATATCGGATACTACCTCCTCTATCTATACTGCTTACCTCTTCACGCCCAGTACCTTACTAGTATATCTATACTTGACCTGCATTCAGATCCATACATCCACACAGATCTACGTTCCGGGTTGCACAAGCACATTCTCTCGGACCGCAGCTTCTCAGTCACCAAGTCCCGCAGAGATCTACAAGCCTTCATAATACGGGACTACTAGCACTGTCGGGGCTGCTGTATTTCTCCGTCGGTTAGCCCGCCATGACCTTCTTCCCCTGAGAAAAGCCAAGGCAAGGAGTGCCACCCGCAAGCATTGGTGGTACTCAGCACAGTCGTGCCAACAGAGCCAAACAGAGAATGTGGTACTGGTGTCAGGGGGAGGTGCATGCTACGAGCTCGCATATACGATGGTTACGGGGGATAACGAAAGTGACCTCCCAGCAAACGGTTGAGCAAAGGCCGCTGTATAATCTTGCCTACGCTACCTACTGACTTGCACATACGAGTTTGCAGGTATACTTGCCGCAAATGGCAGCGTGATGGCACTCAAACAAAGGACGAAACACGAACAATTGTGATTGAATGATCAGAGGCATTGAGGGTTTCTACATCAGACAGTTCGCTTATATACACGTACAACAAACGAGAAGAAGTCCCAAGAAAACAAAGGAAAAGCGTGCGGTTAGGGGCATCCGACTATCACGTTTATTATCCGCCCCGTGCCAAACTTCTCATCCATCATCTGGCGTGATTAGTGACTCTGTCCCCTTTCTTTGTTCTCGTGATATGTATGTCTGAAGTATCGGTGCTGCTGCTACGACTTGTGCTGTTGACTCTCATAGCGGAGGAATGCTCTTCGTACTACCTAGTAGGGAGATGACATAGATACTACAAGCCTTTAAGCTTACCTAATTTGACCCTTCTTTTATCACAGAATTTGCCTCCTTACCTTATAGTTGACCTCGTGAGTCCGATGAGTACCTAAGAGCGGCTCTCCATTACCATGTACAAAGGTAATATCGCGCTACTTCCACATCGAACCTCTTCTTCTCCCCTTTGCCTCACGTAGCGCTTTCAATTTCCGAGCACGTCCACGTCTGTCTTTGCTGAACATCTTCTATGTTGGAACGTGGCGAATAGCATGACTATTGAGATTGCTTATAAGGCGGAGAGAGATAGGGAGAAATAACCGGATACAGTCAAAGGGATGACACCTTGATGCAGTGTCGTCAAGTTCTCACGGCTCATTCGTGTTCAGGCTCATCCATGTTAGCGACCTGGCTCTTTGTAATGGGTATACATCACCATCTTTTTTCAACTATCTAGCAGACAGATTGCCCTCGAGGTATCATCACATCATAAGTTACATGACTACCCACAGAGTAGCCAGCCCACTCCCAAACCGACATTCGACTAGAACCTATAACCGCCGCTGTTGTCGCCGCGATCTCGGGACCTGTACTCATCGTCGTCGGCCTCGTCGTCATCGTGGTGGTGGCCGTGGTGTCGTCTGCCGTGGCCGCCCTCCTCTCGGGATCCGTATTCGCCGCCGTAGCTGTCCTCTTCGCGGCGTCCGTAACCACCGCCGCCGTAGTTGTCCTCCTCACGACGTGCGTAGCCACCGCCTCCATAACTGTCCTCGTCGCGTCGTCCATAACCACCGCTGCCGTAGCTATCCTCCTCGCGTCGTCCATAACCGCCGCTGCCGTAGCTGTCTTCGTCGCGGCGTTCGTAGCTCGAATGGTGGCGGCTGCCTTCCTCACGGTCCCCGTATTCCTTCTCTGAGTCACTGTCAGAATCTCTACTCTTATGATGCTTGTGCTTGTGACTGTGACTGTGACTGTGACTGTGACTGTGACTATGGCTGTGGCTGTGGCTGTGGCTGTGCTTCTTACGGCTTTCATTGGATCCTCGGCTGGTACTCCTGCGACGGCCATATTCGCCTCCGTAGCTTTCCTCCGTAGAGCGATATTCCTGTCGTTCGGTGCGCTGCTCATATGCTCCGGAGGAGCTCTCGTAAGTCTCGCGCCTCTCTTCGTAGCTGGAGCCGCCGTAGCCTCTGCCGCCGTATGATTCCTGTTGCTCAGTGCGGCGATATTCGGATTCGCGTCCGCCGTCGGGGCGGTAAGTTTGGCTGTACTCAGCTTGGCCGTATCTGTCTCCCTGTTGGCCGTACTCAGTTTGTCGCTGAGTATAAGAGCCATCTCGTCCAGTCTCGTAGCTGGTTTCTCTCTGAGTCGAGCCTTGTTCAAAAGCCCCTCCCAGGAGGCTCCCCGCCATGCCGCTGATGAGACCGCTGATAGGGTCACCTCCACTCGACCCTCCGTGCTGAGACGAAGGAAGGTCGATTCCGGTGTTCTGAGAGACAAACCCGGACAGGGCACCGGTGGCTCCTGAAAAGATGGCGGTTGCGGCTGCGCCGGCAATCTGGTCCTCAACACCCTCGGGCTCGCCAAACTCCTTACGCATCTTCAACTTGCCTGCACAGCCGTGGCCGGTATCGTGGACACCCTCCTTGTGGTTTTCGCCGTTGATGACGCCCCGAGGCGAGAGCTTGCGGCGATAGTCCTCCCGTTGCTCCTCGTCCATGGAACTCCACCATTCCTGGACAGAGTTGAAGATGAGCTGTCGCGCTTCGGCGGCACCGTCATAGCCCATTTCGCGCTGGGCAGGGTGGTGCATGACGCCGGTCACGATCCGGTCCAGCAAGCGATCAACATCGACCGAGTCGTTGTCAAAAGCTTCCATGATCTGTGGCACAACCCAGTGAAGCATCCTGGCCGCAGTTCGACCGGCAATCTCGTTGAGAATCTACAGATATATTAGCCCGTGGAGCCTCGTCCAAGCATCCTGGGTGAGCACTTACGTTGGAGAAGTGATCCTTGGAAAGCATTGAGTGAGTGGGATCAGAGGAGTAGTCGTCGTCGAAGACAATGTGCTGCTCCTTCTTACTGCTCTCAATGATCTCCGAGGATCCGGTTTGCAGTTCGTTCCTAATCTGGTGAATCAAAGGAACGATGAAGGGAGCAATGATGGAGAAGACAAAGATAGAGAGCTGCTCCTCCAACTGCTCGATGACCTTGGGCAGAATAGGAATGTTCTCAATGGCACCACTGATGCTCTTCATAATGCTATCGTGGAATTCAATGACGGGCATAATCTGCTTGAAGATCTTCTGGATGTAGATGGTGAACTCCTCAGGATCTCTGGGAGAAACGGGCTCGGTTTCCTCTTGGGCGGCAGCTGCATTGTTCTGAATCTCGTCGAGCTTTTCTCCCTGGTTGTTATTGCCCAGGATGCCAGGGGGAAGATTGCTGAGCAGGCTTTGGAGCAAGCTAGTATCACCGGTCTTGCCTTCGTTGAGAGCTCCTTCGAGCTCATCGATTTCATTCTGTGTCAACTTATCCGATACTAAGGAGTCGTCAGTTAAGGAGGGCCACAAGACTTGGGAGAGATTATTCACTCACCTTCACCGGTGACGGAGTGGAGGAAATCGACGCCTCCGAAGGTACCCGTGGTGATGGGGTAGACGGAATGGCGAGCACCTTCCAGCTGGATCTGAGTGTTGCGGCCAACGTGGGGAAAGACATCGCGCTCGCCCATTTCAATGAGCGCAAGCTCGATGTAGTTGCTGTGGGCGAAGAAGTCTATTATTCAGTCAGAAATGCGGTTGTGTCCGTCTAACAAACCTCATGCAGTGTGATCATGGGCATACCTTCCAAGCAGTGCAGTCCAGTTCCCATCAGCCGGAGAGCTTCGTAGAGCTCTGGCTTGTTTCCCGAGCGCCTGTACTGGCGACCAAGCTCGATACACCGACCAAACAGGTTCCGGACGTGCCTGGCGGAGGTCATGATACCGGCTCGCTCGTTGGCAATGTAGTTCTTCATTCCAGTTTCCGGGTCGATGGCAAGCTCGACGCGCTCGTCAACGGGACCTCTCAAGCGGGGGTCAAAGTCGCGGGCATCGAGGCCCTCGGCATAGCCCTTGGGGTTGTCGATGTGATCTTCGGGGCGGTAGGTTCCGAGGCGCTCGGCGGTAACTTCGAACTCGCCGGAGCCGTATCCAAAGGACATGAAACCGAGGACGCAGAGGAGCAGTCGAATAGCCTCGGCAGAGACCATCTTGACTGTGGCCACGTCGATGGCCTGTGAGTAGTCACGCAGCCAGTTGCCGAAGTAGACTCGCGCGACGGTCCGCTTGTTGAACTTTCGGCCTCCCTTGATGACCTGGGCCATTGCCAGGGACAGCAAGGCATCTTCGATGTCACCGTGTCGCCCTGTGGATTCAAAGAGTCAGCGACGAGACAGAAGTGGGAGAGCTCGGGCGGCTGGCGTACAGTTTTGGCCCTCGACCTTGGAAACAGAGGCAATGTTGCCGGCGCCAAAAGCAGCTGCCGGCTGGACCAGGCAGACAAGGAGCACCAGCCCCAAGAGGAAGCTGGGCGCTCTAAAGTCGATCATCGTGGCACGGCTTCGAGGCTACAGGCTGAAGTCGTGGATGTCTTGTGCGATACTGCACGATCTCGTCGTAGTAGCTGTCAGCACGGGTAGATGTGAGTAAGACAGCGGGACTTGGTGAATACCGTGTTCTCTTGGCGGAGAAGAGGTGCAGGAAGCAAGTTGGAAGAGAAAGAGAAGAGATGGTGAGAAGGCAGTAGAGAGAAGATTGCTGGAGAAGAAGAGGAGGACTGGAGGAAAATGCGAGAGGAGGGGCACAATACGGAGTAGGAGGGGCAGTGTTTGGGGCCGTCGTACATGTACATATGGAGTCACTTGTCGTCGTCTGTGCTTGTTTCTATTACTGGCATCAGGCAATCGGCAGCATCAGAGGCGGTGGGAAAGAGTCTTGGCAGACGCTCCAGGAGGCCGTCCAGAGACCCAACCAGCAGCCGTGAGTGGCCAGGATTGCGTGGAAACCGGTCGACAGCGATGAAATCATGCCGGCACCGTTTCATGCCGCGAGGGGCTCAGAACAATGCCGGCGCCTTGTGGTGGGGCGGGAACGAAAAGATACCTGGGCTGTGGTGGTTGGCTGCATACAGCTGACGGGTCACTTCTGTCGACATGCCGCCACGGCTTGTGGCAGCCGCTATTTCGGCCAGGGGTTGTGGTTATGGACACCAGACGCGATTGAGTGTGGTGGGAAGAAGTAAGGTTACTCGATTACTTTGTTTGGGGATCCTAAACCGACTACCAAGGGCAAACAGTGCGCGTCACTCAGAAGGGGAATGCGGTTGGCGCAAAGGTTGTTACTGGTGATAAGATCATCGTCGACAAGAGCAGCAAATGACGTTGAGTCGATACTGTATGTACTTGGATATGTCATGAGAGACACAGTACAAGTGCAGATACTGTAAGGCTCCAGTGACTCCAATTCATGCCTTGTGTGCGAGTTGTATCATGACGTTGACGGTGCCCCGCCAAGGTAAAGAACAAGCTTCTTCACCACTTCAGGTGAAACAAGAGACGGTTCCATGCAGACGGCGGACAGCGTACAGAATTGAGGTCATAAATGACAGGAGAGTCCAGTTGCCTTGATAGGACGAGGAGCTTTGTCGACAACAACTCCAGCAGCTAAAAGCGTTGGAGTTGGAGCTATCAAGTGTGACGTACCCGAGCAGGGATGCACTCAAGGCACTTTAGACATTGTTAGGCAATATCACGACTTTTGATAAAGAGTCCAACGATTCAATGCTACGGAAGCCCTCAAGGCCAGTCTTTAGCTTGCTCGTCTATGGATCAGGAACACCCGGGATTTGCCTTAAATTTCCTCCTAATTCATATTGCCAAAACATCACTGCATCCTTGTGAGATACCACTGTTTGTCTATCGACATTGTAAAGAGCTCAGAAGGGATCGATATCGCTATGAATCGGTATGAGCTTTGGTATCTTTGGATATAGATTCCTTGCTGGCCGGTCTTTAGCTTTCCACCAAGCCGTGGCGACTGAAGAAAGGACATCGAGTCTTGATTCGAATAAAAGCACCATACTAGACGTGATTGCTACCGAAGTAGATGGTGTAGATCTCTTTCGAAGACTATTTGATGAGGCGTTAGTACGAGGCAGGCATTTCGTCGACGCTTGTCCCTCGTTGGTAAACTGCCCAGGAGTATCGAGGTTGTAAGAATGTGTTTCGAAAGCAAGCATGCTGTAAGTACCCGAGCTAGGGCATATCAATTCCACAAGAAATCGTTCACTTGAGCATGGTCAAGGGGTGGAAGGTATAAGAACCCGGACAACAAACAGGAGGCCCGTATCGTTGAGCTGAAAAGCCGTTCCTGGCTCAGCACTTGGACGAGCTGTCACCATGATCGAGGTTGCATATACATAACTGAAGATACATTTGTATCCAGAGCAACATGGCAAGCTCCAACTCGCGCTTGTGAGACCTCCCAATGCTCTGCTTATGAGCGTGTTCATGCCATGAAGCTTTCGTCGACGGCTTTGATGGTACTACAGGTGGTTTTTCAAGCAGTGTAGTCGCGTGTAAGTTCATCGACCTGCACGTTCTGGACGTAGGCACAGGCAAAGGCAGCGGACGAAATGCATGCTGCATCCATGCCATGTACAGTGCAGCTTCATCATGCCACAGCTTCCTCAGCTGCTGGCTCACCACTAGAGCAAGTCTCAGCTGTCTGTGACTCGGGCTTTCCAGCTGGATATGAGACATGGATATACATAAGAGCGAGGGATCCGACATCATCGAACGACGGAAGTCCGTGGTAGAGGCGGGGTAAATCGCCCAGCTGGAGGTCCGAAAGACAGGCACCCGGGCAAGGCCTGTGCTCGCTTGCCCGCTGCTGGTGGGCAGCACTCTTCTTGAATTGGTAGCTGGACCAGCGAGAGCATGAATGCATCAGCAACAGCAGCAACAGAGCACGGCATTGAACAGCAGCTGCACCAAAATCAGCGCTATGGACAGAGCGCTCACGCGAATGAACCACGCAAGCACTGGGCGTCTTGCACGCCGTCAACACAGCCGATGCCGAGAGTGCCATTGATCACTTGCCGCTTTTAGGCGCTGGCGCTGAAACTCCATGCCGACTCGAGTGATGAGGGGCCTTCATCATCGTGCTGAAATGTACGCCACGCGCGGCGCCTAAAGCTGGCCTAAAAGACCGCTAGCATTCCGTCTGGGGCTTCAATTGGCTCGCGCTGTCAGGTGCTGTCCCAGTGTAACCAGCTTGGCCAGAGGGGGGGATTGAGCACCTGGGCACAGATCAGCACGGCCAGCCTGAGGTCGTCGCTGGCCGTCCAGTTCAGCGCAATTTCACAGGGACCCGACGCCATTCCGGGCGCTCCAGAGGGCGATGCGTGTTTAATGATGTCGCCGGCTGGTACTGCCGAATCACAGAGCTGGGGGAGCTGGGAAGCTTCAGAGGGTCGGCATCGGCACGCTGAGCGGCAGCGGCCGGCACAGGACACGCGCCGAGCTCAAATAAGTGGCAGGGTGTAATTGAAGAACAACAACGACACTCGGATCAATTCAGTGATAAGATGAGACTGCATCAGGAGCAATAAGCGAGTACGCACAAAGTACACACAGCACTTGTGTCGAAATCAGTCGAAATTGGAGAGCCAGAATGCCTTGCACAAGGAAAGAGCTCTCGTGCAGGTGGAGCGGCGACTGACCGCCCAGTGAGCTGCATCATGGAGGAGGAACTAAAGGCGCGGCTGTGCTGGATTCTGCCGGGTTGATGACAGCAGCTGCAGGCGATCGGTTCGTGGTCGGTCAGGTCCAGTTATGTGCCTGTAGCAAGCTGTGCTGGGGATTGGACGTGAAGAGTGCAGGTCGAAAGTGGTAGGATGACGGGACTTCAGTGTGCAGCTACTGTACGGTAAGAAGATGAATCGAGCAATCCATGGACAGCTACGACACATGTGGCGTCGGATGCTGATCGCCATGGCAGGACGGGCATGTAGGCACGAGACCTCAGCGACGGGCGAGAGAGGCTGGGAGCGTGCCTGACGAGAACATTCTGAGGGGCTGCTGCAAGCGCTATAGCACCAGACGTGCGCCTCTCGATTTGCCCCGGACTCTCACAGCTCAGATCAGCCAGGCAGCATCTCCTGGTACTTGTATGGAAGAGCTCCAGCGGCTCGATGCGACCCGACATGAGGCACCGGCGTCTGGTCGAGCGCCGGCTGCTGGAGCTCACAGCCCAGTGCTTGAGGCTCAGCAGCTCAGAGGCCCAACTGCTGGGGACAGACAGCCCGAGGCAGCACTCGAGCTCAGCAGTGCGGGGTCTCGCTCCTCTGTCCTGCTCAGAAAGATCCGGTCCGCGGCCACGGAGGACTTCTCTGGGCTGGAGCACTGAGAACAGCGTCAACTGGATCCCGTTAGGTCAGGCCATCAGTTGCTGGGAGCTGGTTGGGCCGCGCAAAGTTTTCCTGCAGGCCAGCAGCCAGTGCAGCGGGCATGGAAGCACGACGCTGCGGTCCGGGTATCGATGATGGAGAGCTGGAGGAAAGCCGGGAGGAAATACGCGCCAGAGAGCGTCAGTGGGTGCCTCTAGCACGGCCAAATCAGCGGGCAGACGGCCAGCGCAGGCCCTGAGTGGAAGCGGAGGAGGGGCGCGAAAAAATGAGGAACAAGTGAAAAAAAATCGGCGCCTGCTGGCTGGGCTGCTGCCGCTTTTGCGCTGATTGCGCGCCCCCCCAAAGCTCCCCAGCGCAGGTACTTATTGCCGCCACCGCCCACCACAAAAGCCCCAACCCCCGAATTTTTGTTTTCCCCCCGTTCTTCAGCACTCGTCCATCCCCCCAAACCCGTGCCCGATCCACCAACCTCGACCTTCTCATCCCGCTATCCGTTTAGCATCGCCTTTCAGCGCCCTTCCCTGAACTCACTGAAGAGACGTTGCGACAGCGCATCGCTTCTCCTTTGACAGCAAAAAGCCTGAACGCCGACGCAGACACAGAAACGCCCAGCGCCCGCCGCTCAGCAACGCGCCCGGGCTATTTTACAGAACCTCGCCCCCCCAACAGCCCTTTTTTTTGGTCAGCCCTCAACTCATCGCAATGCCTCGCCCGCCCAAGAAGTCCGTCGAGGAAAAGGCCAAGATGCCCGTGGCCGTTGTGCCTCCTCCCACCATGGTGCCCGCTCCCGTCGTCGCCGGCCTGCACCCAGCAGTTGCTGTTCCTGGCCCGGTCCCCGGCGTGCCTCAGCGCGTGGTTGACAACGACAGCTTCCTGCGCGTTCGCGACTCGGTAAGTTCAAGCCTGCAGCTTTCCTCTCATCACACCTCATTTCAGCGCTTCACCCAGTAGTTGTTGAGATGCTGCATCCTCTTGCTGCCCAGTGGCGGGCTCGAGCGAGCTGGTATTGTGCCTCTCTGCGTGTGTTTCTGGTGCGGCCAATGCTCGCCTCAGGCATCGTGGAACGGTAAACCGGGAAGAGGGAAAAGGCGCATGTGAAGACGCAGACAATCCCCCTCTTGTGCATCTCAAACCTGTCATCAAATGGCAATATCTCGCCTCAGTCGGGTACCTCTGAGCTGCGCTTCCCCAGACGCGCCGTCCGGCACTGCAAGCCCCTCCCGCATTCATTGTTTACAAGCTCGCTGAGCCCCGCGTCTCACTGAGCCCGACACAGGCCTCAAGCCGCCTGAGACCGCCAACGCTCGCCCAGCCGGGGGACGTTGGGACATCCGCGGCGGCGGCGGCTCTTGGGCGCCGGGGCATCACTACCTAGCACTCCATCTTACACCTGCTTTACTTCGTCTCTCATCGTCTTCCTCCTCCTCACAGCAACCGACATCTCGCTTCTCAACATTGTGCTAACGATGACACCAGGCCGTCGGCAGACTCACCACCATCCTGGAGCTCCTGAGGTCCTTCACCAATGACTACATCCGCCAGACCAACCTGCTCCTGGGCGAGGGCACCGCAGAGGGCCCTCAGGGCGATCTCATCAACACCTTTGATGCCGCCGCCCAGCTTATCATGCCCATGCCGGACATGACGCCCATGGTTGAGGAGAAGAAGGAGCGCAAGAAGCGGACACACGACCCCAACGCCCCCAAGCGCCCGCTGACCCCCTACTTCCTGTACATGCAGCACGCCCGGTCCATCATCGCTAATGACCTTGGTGCCGACGCTCCCAAGGGCGCGGTGCAGGAAGAGGGCCAGCGCCGCTGGGCGCACATGACTCCTCAGGAGAAGCAGGGCTGGAACAACGCCTACCAGTACAACCTGCGCCTGTACAACGCCCGTGTACACTCCTACAAGAATGGAAACCCCCTCGCGAAAAACATGAACGATGAGGAAGCGCTCAAGTACGCAGAGGACTTTCACATTCCCATGCCGGAGATCAAGGACGCCGCCGCCCAGGTCGAGGCTCCCGTCAACGACCAGGATGCCATTGCCGAGCAGCTCCAGCAGGTCGCCGCCGCCACCAGTGAGGGCGACGAGATCGAGGCGCCCGCTGCCAAGACCCCTAAGAAGCCGGCCTCCAGCCGCAAGCGCAAGACGGCCACGCCCGCTGCCGAGCAGGAGACGCCAAAGGTCGCCGCCCCCGCCAGTCCGGATAAGAAGCGGAGGAGGACGTCGGCCAAGGTGGCTGAGCCTGAGAAGGAGGAGCCCAAGAAGTCGGGACGCAAGAAGACTAAGAGCACTTGAACGACGCCTCTTTCTGGCAGACAGCGGCAATCATGAATTGCTGTCTTTGTTTTTTCCAACATGGTTGGCCCCGAGTCGGTCTGCCAAGAGGAGCGATGGTGGAAGGACACTCGTTCCTTTTGATGGTCACCATTCCATGCATGAATTCATCGTTTTTTTTTGCGCCGACTACTACGGGTTGCGAAAGGAACTTGCGCGAGGAGTTTGTCTTGTCTTCTTCTGTCATTCGAGTTGAATCTGGCTTGCTTTTCCCTTTATGTTTTGGTTGAGAAGGAAATCATGATACCTCGGACGAGAACGGCATTGCAGACATCCTTTTGATGCGAGGCTCTTTTATATGCAATTCGTGTTGTATTGGCCTGTCTTTTTGGTATGGATTCACAGGGAAACGGTCGCCGTCATTTTCTCTCTCTCTTTCGCCCTCTATATCTCTCGCTTCCTTTTGGACTCTTGTTTCCCCTCCTTTTCATCGCCAGGACATGGCGGTTCGTATAAAAACGTGGTTTATAGGGCGTATGGCATTCGGATCGATTTTTCTGTCTTTTTCTGCTAGGTAGTTCCCTCGCACGGGAGAGGGGACGGGAAACAAAGGGGACGAGAGAGGGTTTGGAAGGGATGGAAGAGACCGGGAAGGAGGTCAAACGTCGTGTATGTAAAGTCTGTGGAGCTTGTTTTTGGAACGGCCGAACTTTGTATGCGATAATGAAACCAATGATTTCAAGCAGATTGACTCTCTCTCACTCTCACACTATGTCTCGTCTGTCTTTCTCTTTTCTTTTTCCTTTGCGCAGCTTGTGATGATGAACATGGATCGATGAAATGGCTCTCCTTTCAAAACACGAAGACCATGGACCAACCACATCCCCAGCGTTGCATATCGAATACAACGTTCTTCCACCATCAACGTTGCATATAGACGACAACATACTTCCATTTACCCAAATCCATCGCACTCAAAATCAATACACGTAATAAGCCTGCGTAAGCGGCAACCTCGTCGCCGGCTCCCCGCCGCACACCTTGCCGTCCGCCTCGACGACGTAGCTCTCCGGGTCGACCCTCATCTTGGGCATGGCGTCGTTGAAGCGCATGTCGCGCTTGCTCACGGAGCGGCAGCCCTTGACGGCCTCGACGCGCTTGCGCAGGCCGTAGGACTGGACGGCGCCCGAGGCGATGGACTCGCCCGAGACGAAGAGCACGCTGGTCTGCGGGACGAGGGGGGCGAACATGGGGCGGGCGATGACGGGCTGGACGGTGGGGATGGAGGCGTTGGGGTCGCCCTGGAGAGAAGAGTTTTGGCAGTCAGTAGTTGTTCGTTCCTTTTTCTGGGCAATCATATGAAGGAGTGGTGTAGAGGAGGCAATATTGAAAGGGGTAGGGGGGTTGCAGGAAAGGAGGGAAGAAAAACTCACCATCTGAGCCAGGGCTATCAGTCCGCTCTTGATGACGAGCGAAGGCTTGGTCCCGAACCATGCCGGATCCCACACCACCAGGTCCGCCAGCTTGCCGACCTCGACGCTGCCGACAAGGTGCCCGAAGCCCTGCGCCAGGGCCGGGTTGATGGTGTACTTGCTGATGTAGCGCTTGACCCTGAAGTTGTCGGCTCCCGTGCCGGCGTCCTCGGGCAGGGGGCCCCTCTGCGCCTTGTTCTTGTCGGCCGTGTTCCAGGTGCGGAGGATGACCTCGCCGCAGCGGCCCATGGCCTGCGAGTCGGAGCTCATCATGCTGATGGCGCCCAGGTCGTGCAGCACGTCCTCGGCGGCGATGGTCTTGTCGCGGATGCGGCTCTCGGCAAAGGCCACGTCCTCGGGGATGTCCCTGGACAGGTGGTGGCACACCATGAGCATGTCGAGGTGCTCGTCGAGCGTGTTGTTGGTGTAGGGCCGGGTAGGGTTGGTCGACGAGGGGAGCACGTAGGGGTGCTCGACCACGGAGATAATGTCCGGGGCATGGCCGCCGCCTGCGCCTTCGGTGTGGTATGTGTGGATGGTGCGGCCCTTGAAGGATTCGATGGTGGACTCGACGAAGCCAGACTCGTTCAGCGTATCGGTGTGAATGAGACACTGGACATCAAGCTCATCGCAGACCGTGAGACACGAATCAATGGCTGCGGGAGTGCTGCCCCAGTCCTCATGCAGCTTGAGACCACAGGCTCCGGCGGCGACTTGCTCGCGGAGGGCGACGGGCGAGCTGTCATTGCCCTTGCCGGTGATGCCAACGTTGACAGGTAGTTCGTCACAAGCTTGGAGCATCTGGCGCATGTAATTCTTTCCAGGGGTGCACGTTGTTGCGTTGGTGCCAGCACTGCATGATTCACGTCAGCCAAGGGGGCTTCGGATGTGATGCCTTGACACTCACCTGGGTCCCACGCCGCCTCCCAGCAATGTTGTAATTCCAGAGGCAAGAGACTCGTTCGCCTGCTGCGGGCATATAAAGTGAATGTGCGTGTCGATGCCGCCGGCCGTGACGATCTTGCCCTCGCCAGCAATGACATCGGTGCAGCTGCCCACGACCATTCCGGGGGATACGCCGTCCATTACATCGGGGTTGCCCGCCTTGCCGATTCCCACAATGTGGCCGTTCTTGACACCAATATCGGCCTTGTAGATGCCCGTCCAGTCAACGACGAGGGCATTGGTCACCACCATGTCGAGGGAATCCGCATCCAGGCGTCCGGTTGCTTGTCCCATGCCCTCGCGCAGCGTCTTGCCGCCGCCAAATTTGCACTCGTCTCCGTAGGCGGTGTAGTCCTTCTCGACCTTAACCCAGAGACTGGTGTTTCCAAGGCGGACCAGGTCCCCCGTCGTGGGGCCAAACATTGTGGCATACGCAGCGCGGTCAATCTGGAACGCATCGATGAGGGCGGCGTCGGCTTGCGGCTCGGGCGTGTGCGAGAACCCAGCCTGCTGCAGCTTTGCAACAATGTCGTTGACTCTCCACAGCTCCAGGCCGCCGGTCGCCATGTGGTTGCCTCCGCGGATGACCTTGTTGCCCCCAATCTCCACAAGCGTCACCGTCGTAGTGTCGCCGGGCTCGAAGCGAACCGAGGTGCCGGCCGGGATGTCCAGCCGGAAGCCATACGCCCGCTCGCGGTCAAAGTCCAACTGCGGGTTCGTCTCGATGAAATGGTAGTGCGAGCCGACCTGGATGGGCCGGTCTCCCTTGCTCGTCACCTTGAGCCTGATCCTCTTGCGGTTCTGGTTGAGGGCAATCTTACCCTTGACGGCCACCACGACGCCCGGCTGCGCCGTAGCCTCGTACTCCTCGGGCGCCGCAAGGGGGAACAGGTCAGCGTCCGGGACGGGCAGGAAGCTGCCGTAGAGGGCGCGGGCCAGGTCGCCGTCGTCTGTGCGGATGGGGTTGTGGACGGTGACCAGGTAGGTGCCGGTGGGAAAGGTGCCCTCGACCTGGATCTCGGTCAGGGTCGCGCAGACAGAGGGCTGGACGTGGCGGCGGCCGAGCATGGTCGAGCCGAGGTCCATGAGGTCTGCGACGGAGTGGTTGCCATCGCGGATGAGCTCCTGGAGGTTGTTTGCGATGAGGGCCTGATGGGGGTGTGAGTTGAGTCAGGCGTGTGCTGAAGCTGGGTGAAGGAGATCAAGTATCAAGTACAGCTGTGAAGGGCTGCGTACCGTTGCTTCGCTGTGGTTCAGCTTGACGCCCCTGGCGAGTCTCTTCTGCGCCAGGAATCCCACCTGTGAGATGACGAGCTTGTCGAGCTGAGCTCAGAGCAATTGCTTGGTGGTTAGCAGGCGAGATCCACCAGAGCTACAGCTGCTAACAAGCCACTACCGCTGATAGTTACACACCTCTTTGGGCACCAGATGCATGGTGTCACTCGGATGCCGCAACTGCGCCGGAATTCAGATACAGAAATCAATGAAGCCAGAGCACCAGTCGGAGGAGGAGAGAAGCACGGATCTGATCCGCAGTCGAAGCGCCTGGGGATCATCGTGCAGCGCTTCCCCGCAGAAAAGATGCTTGACGCTTTGCTCGTCTATCGGGGTGCATGTAGAGAGATAAGGGACGGATGGGCTGATACGCGATGGCTGTAGGCGTTACCTCATCGCCTGAGCTTTATCTCTCGGGCTGATAGCGCGGATACCTATACTAAATCCTCAGCACCTCACTCGCGGCGCCTCAATGCGTGGCATCAAGACAGTGACTGTATACTTACTTCCTCTTACACTTACGCTCAAGCGTCATGTAACAGCCGTTAATAGCATCACAAATAATAGTATCCATCTAGATATATGTGGTATATCTCCTAATCGCTGCACAAGGACAAACCCATAACATAACGTCCATAGCATACATACCCCAACGCCAGTCCCTTCTGTCAAAGATTCACAATAACAACCTGGTAGAGGCATGTCCATCCCCCAAACTCCAAAACTCCGTTACCACTTCAACTCCTACTCCTCTTCAATCTCCTCATCCCACTGATCCTTCTCCTTCTTGATCAGCTCTGCCATCTCATCCGGCTTGAAGATGGAGCTGTCTGGATCCTCGCTTCGGGGCACCTTGTTCAAGTTCTCGCCGTCGAATACAGATCCTATCGTATCGATCCACCTCCGGCGTCGCTCCATCAGCGTCTTGGTCAGGTCTCCTATTCCTGGCCGCGCCATGCCCGCCCCTGCGCCGACAAAGTGGCTGCCGCCGCCGGCACCTCCGGGCCGCTTGGACTTCTTGCTCTTGCCCATCGTCCGGGTGCGCTTGAGATAGGCGGCATTGACCTGCGAGTCCAGATCCTCGAGAATGGTCTGGTATTCCTGGTGGGCCATCCGCTCGCGGACCAAGTCCATCAGCCGTGCCTTGCGCGCGCCATTGACGAGCATTTGCTCCTTAAGCCTAGCCTGTAAGAGCCGCAGTCTGCCTGCGACCTCATCGTCAAAATGCCCGTCGTACTCGCTTTCAATGTTGTCTGGTGGCAAGAAGCCCACATGCCGGAGCTCTTGCTTAAGCCGCTCTTCAACCTGGGCATACTCGAGTTTCGGGTGCGTCGCCTTTCTCCATGCTTCTGACGTGGACTCTACCATGAACGTGGCAGGAGGCATTGCGCTTGACTTGTCGTCGGGCATGCCGTTTGCCTCGTCGCCGTTCATGTCCCCATTCATGCTGACGTCGCCATTCGTAACACCGTTGGCGGTTGGCTTGTCGTCAGAGACGGGCACTCTCGATTCGGGCCGCAGTGTCTGCAGCAGCCGTGAGGCGAGCGGCCCTATGGATAGCGCATCCGTCTCGGCCACGCTGTCGTTCATGTTCTCGATGCTGCCACGCGGCTGATTTGGCGGTAGCTTGTCGCGATTCTGCTGGGGCGTGTCGATGGCCATGGCGCCATCCTCCTCGGCCCAAATCTCGGTATAGTGCCTCTTGCCGCGCTTTGGCATGACAAAGGGCGTCACGCGGTCGTGTCGCTCTCTCAGAAATGCCAAATCTTCCTCTGTAAACGGGCGGAAATAGGGATCAATGTAGCTCGAGAAGGTCGAAAAGTTGATTTGGCTGCTTGGTTTCGCGTTGCTAAAGTCCTTGTCCGGGGGATCGCCGGCAATCAGATCGGAGAGATCGCTCTTTGGATACACGGCGACAGAGTAAATCTTCTTTCGTTCCTCGTCCGGCATGCCATCGTAGGTTGGTAGAATTTCGTAGACGGTCGGGTCTGGAAAGGTGGACGGATCTTCTCCGAATGTCTGTGCCTGGGGCAGCTCACGCCTCGGCGGTGCGCCCTCGTCTTCTGAGCTCTCTTCCTCCTCCTCGTTTTCCTCCTTCTTGGGCTTCTCTTCGGTTTCCATGGCGTTGGGGGATGCGCCGCCTGCGATGGGGGAGAGCGACGAGCTGGCGTCGTCGTTGTCGCGCACGTGCTTCCTCTTTGAATCTCTCAGCGGAGAGGATTGTTCTATTGCAATGTGTCAGTCAAGAGCACTGGGGTCTGATGGGTGCGGCCTCAGAAGCGGTGCCAACATACCCTGGCTACCTTCGCCCGGCCCCGAGGTATCGGCGCCCTTCTTGCGCTTGTGCTTGGACTTCTTCGTCTCTGGCTCTCCTCCTTCAACGCGCAGGTCGTCGGGGCGTTTCTTGCGCTCGTCGGCCAAATACCGCATGCCTCGGTCATAAAATGTGGAGCGCTTCTCCATGATACTGATGAGCGTCTTAAGCTTATCAAGCATGGCGTCGATGCTCCGCGAGTCGGGCACGGCAGCGCTGGAGGCGCTCTGGTCGACCAGGTTGTCAAAGGTCAGGTTCGCGAACAGGATGACGCGGGTGTTGAGGTAGTCCGGGTCGTAGAACTCCTGCGGCGGCAGCGCCGATGCTGGGGCCGGCACCGGCGTCGAGTTGCGGCTCGGCTTGGGCATGGCCGAGTTCTTCTTGCCGGTGCCCTTCTGTCCAGATCCGGGAGGCATGATGGCGGCGGGCGCGGGCGGGCAGGTGCTACCTCTACCTAGCGAATCATAGACGGGGGCTCGGACGTGCGAAGCAGATGCGGCGATTGCCTGGGTAACGAGTGAATCTCAGCGACTTGTGCTGCGGTTGCTGGGAGTGATGGAGCACATCAGCGGTCCATTGTCGCGTCTGAGCCTCATGTAAGCGCAGAGTAGCGTCATGAATGGGGGGCTGCTTTAAGTTGTCGCGATGGAGTGGGCGTGAGGTCGGAGGGAGAGATGTTCCGAGTTGGATTATGTAATCAAGTGAAGCTCACCACGCGCTGACGATCTGAATGGCATGGCTGTCAGACAATGGCGATGATCTTGTTCGCTTTTTCTTTGCAATCGAAGCATCCAGCTGACTTTGATCTCACGTTGTTGTCATGCCCTCATTATCTCAGTCTATGCTCATACTAGTAGTACTTGCAAGTCACAGCTTCTTCGTGGCCAATGCAGCTGCAAGTGGCATCGCGTGTACCTTTATGGTACAAATTGGTGTTCTGTAGTTCTTCTTCTTCCATCCCCTGCAACAACAGCAGCTACCCTACTTTATCACCTCAGATGTCGATGCATATATGCGCTTTATACCGATGCTTCTGCCAATATCTTTTCATGTTGCTTCCAGATCTCATTACTATATCTGTGTCTGACTCGAGATGCGAGTCGAGGCAGGCGCAGGTAGGCATATACTACCTCAATCACATACTGTACACTTACCCAATACCGTGTCGTGTGGCAGACATCCAACGAAGCCTCATGCTACCGGCTACCGTAGAGCAGACGGCATCGACTCTCCACCGCATGTGCTGTGGATGCCCTGCTTGATTGGCCGTCCCCAGATGTTGCTAGTCGCTCCGCCGGGCTGGTGCTAATCTCTGACTTGACCCGAACACAAATAGGCTGATAGTCGATCCAGGGACTCGCGAGGCACGGGGGTCCTCCAGACACCCTCAGCGCCTCTGGACGGCTAGCGAGGACCCTGCGAATTCTGCCGGCGTCATCGGGTTGCATCGTCCATCCCTCATCCATACTGTACAGCTTCCTGTGCCGTGGGCTGAGAGCTTTGTGCTGGATCCCGAGAGATTCCCATCCATTGTTTCCCAACAATGCCCAGCAACCACGAAAGACGACTCCTTAAGAAACTCGTCCCTGAGTGCTGGAACCATTTCGCAGTGAATGGCAGGCAATATCACATGCAAATTCAAGACAAAGACAACGGCAATTGCTCGTACAGGCAACTGAGGCCCAGTCTCGATTCCCCACGCCATGCATCCATCCTTGGGGATCCCCCACTCGCGAAGCTCGTCCCCACTGCATGTAACATGGACCACAATGAGGCCGATCATGGCAGTCTCACGATACTACTGCAAATCACTTGCTCGCTACGCACTACAGACCACAATATGCGTCGACATGTGACAAAGTGCCCATGCCTCCGCAAGAGAGACGGTGCATTAGGACTCTGCTCCGCGAAACCCTCCACGACCCCTGAGCCTCTCGTCGCCCGCATCCCAGCTACGACGGCATCCGTGGAGAAATGGAGCAAGGCTTGCCTCAACAATTTGCACGTGTGGCGCCCAACAATCTTGTACCCCTGGCACAGCTCGTTGCTCAAGCATGTGGTTCAGCCATTGGCTCCAGCTGCTGTTGCGTTTGGCGCGCTATCCATGGATCGTGAGGCAGGTCACCAGCCGTTTGCGCGCCGCAAGACGGTGATCCCTGCGTTGCAGAGCAGAAGGCTGTTGTTGAACAGCAGCCAGTGTTTTTGACATGTGAAAGTGGTCACAATGGTTAGGCGTGATATGCTGGCTGGCAAGCAAGCAAGCGACCTGTCCTTCTCAACCGCTGCTCGAGTTACACAGTACCAGTTGCTTTATCCAGGCTGGCAGGACGCGCCAAAGACAATGCTGCCCGCTCTTGAATGTGGGCTCTTGTGCGTGCTGCAACCCCAGCCTGCGTCTCGATATAGCCGTGGGCGTGAGAGGCAGTCGTCTCGTAGGTATCGGTTCACGTGGGAGCTGGTGTTTTGTACTTTGACGATCAGCTCTGAGCAGGCAGCCTGAAGGCATACTCTCGTAGACAATGATGTACTTGTACTTGCTGCTAGAATAGACGCAACATCGAAGCCAAGTCTCTGGCCTTTGTCCACCTCCAAGCACAGCTACCTTATTTACCCTCTCCTCTTCCTCTCTTCTTACTTCCAATCTTCCTCTCCCAGTTCCATCTTCTCACCATTTTCAACCTCTTCCCCTTTATACCTGGATTCAACACCAATCCTTGTCTCGTGATTAATTCCCTCTCTACTCTCTCCTAGAAAAATGAGAGAATACCATGGCTTTTCCTGTAAGCTGCTACTACCATTACCGGGAATCTCCTCTCCTGCACTGTCGAGAAGAATCCATATGCTGACCAAATCTCCTCTTCTCCCCCCAGGGTGGTAACATTAACATTTTGCCTTGTGGCACCGAGATCAATCCTCTATATGCTGTCATAGCAGCCACTCTCCTTGGTGGCATTGCCATTTCAAGCTTGGTTGCCTCTCGAGGCGCCGGCAGAGATGACGAGACGCCTGGCATGCTCCGGTCGTTTGTCCTCTTCTTTTACTCTTGCTTCATCAAACCCCACCAGGGCGGTTCCAAGGCTTCCCAGCAGGACGCCCTCGAGAGCTTCTACAAGAAGCAGGCCGGGGCTTATGATGCCACTCGCAAGCTTCTTCTTCGCGGCCGCGAGGACATGCTTGCTCTTGTTGCTGCCCAGCTTGAGGCGAAAGCCAAGATGGCCTCTGGCGACAACAAGACCAAGCGTATATGGGTCGATGTGAGTAGCCCCTGACACCCACCCTTCTACTGGACTTGAAGAAGAGTCCAGACAAGACGAGACGCGGGACATTCGGTGCTGACTAGAGATGATTAGGTCGGAGGCGGCACTGGTTGGAACATTGAGGCCATGGCGCGCTTCGTCGACGTCCCCAGCTTCTTCTCCAGCGTCTACCTCGTCGACTTCTCCCCCTCTCTCTGCGAGGTGGCTAGGAAGCGGTTCGAGAGGCTCGGGTGGAAGAACGTCCGAGTCGTCTGCCAGGACGCCCGCAAGTTCCGCCTCGAGGATTACGAGACTGGCATGAGGCAGCAGGTTGCTCCGCGATCTCCCTCGCTCAGCTATCTCACCCAGCAGCGCCAGGATTACGGCGGTGCCGACCTGGTCACCTTTTCGTACAGCTTGTCCATGATTGTGAGTCCCGTTGAGCTTCAACAGATAGATCGATTGTTCAAGTTATCCCACTAACTCCCGCCGCAGCCCGACTACTACTCTGTCGTCGACTCTGTCAACTCGCTGCTCGCCCCTCATGGTATCCTGGGAGTTGTTGACTTTTACGTTCAGAACCAGATTGACTTCTCGTTCCGCAACTACACCGGCGGCCTCGTGGACCGTCACGTCAACATGCTGTCTCGCAACTTCTGGCGTGCCTGGTTCGACATTGACCGCGTTGGTCTCGAGCCCGGCCGCCGCGATTACCTCGAGTACAAGTACGGCACTGTCCTCAACTACAACTTCCGCAACCGCACTCTCGGCTACATCCCGTACTACATCTGGGTTGGATGCCACAAGAAGCCATTCTCGCCGTCGAGCCTGCCTCATGAGATTGTTGAGCGCATCGACGCCCTGGCTACGGAGTCGCCCTACCTGTACCCTGCGAACCAGGGAGATGCTCTGACCCGTGCGATTGAGAGGTCTGCACCAGAGATTCGCTCCAAGGCCTTCATCACCGCCATCGAGAACCTGTCTGCCAACCTGCCTCTCCCCTCCTTCTTCTATCAGAACCACCACTGGCGCATCTACTACGACGACAGGCTCCAGAAGCACACCCAGTTCAACGATGAGTACATCTACGCCTTTACCTGGGAGGATGCCCGTGTCGACGAGCGCCTGCTCAAGCTTGGTCCTGACGACAAGGTTCTCGCCATCACCTCTGCGGGAGACAACATCATCTCGTATCTTGCCCAGAGCCCTGCCCGCGTTCACGCCGTCGACCTCAACCCAACGCAGAACCACCTCCTGGAGCTCAAGGCCGCAGCCTATACCGCTCTGCCGTATGAGGACTTTTGGAAGATCTTTGGCGATGGAAAGCATCCTGAATTCCGCAACATCCTCATCACCAAGCTGTCTCCCCATCTCTCTGGCCGCGCGTTCCAGTACTGGCTCAAGAACACCCACGTCTTCCAGAACAACAAGGGCTACGGCCTCTACGACACTGGTGGCTCTCGCCATGCTATTCGGGCCTTCCGCTGGATCTCTCGCGTCTTTGGTCTGCAGTCCGCCGTCAAGAAGCTCCTGTCCGTCCGCACCCTGAACGAGCAGCGCGAGATCTGGCGCAACAAGATCCGACCCGCCCTGCTGTCCAAGCTCATCTGCAACCTGGTGGTTGCCCAGGAGAGCTTCCTCTGGGCCGCCCTCGGCGTCCCCAAGAACCAGCTGGCCATGATTGAGAAGGACCACGCCAACTCGGACGTTGTCAAGCAGGGCAAGGCAAAGAACACGCGCTCCCACGCCGTCTGGCACTACATGGTCAACACCCTGGACCCCGTTGCCGAGGAGACTCACATCGGCACCGACAACCCCTACTACTACGTCTGCCTGGACGGCAAGTTCTCGCGAGAGTGCCACCCCGAGTATCTCCGCCCCGAGGTCCACGCCAAGCTGTCCCGCCCCGGCGCCCTCGACGGCCTGCGCATCCACACCGACGAGCTCGAGGAGGTGATTGCCCGCATCAGCCCCGGCACGCTCACCGTCGCCGTCATCATGGACAGCATGGACTGGTTCGACACCGGCTCCCACGCCGCGGCCGCCCAGATCAGCAAGCTCAACCGGGCGCTCCAGATGGGCGGCCGCGTCCTCCTGCGCACCTCTGCCCTGAGCCCCTGGTACATCAAGGTCTTTGAGGCCCACGGCTTCACGGCCCGGTGCCACGGCTCCCGCGTGGACGGCGCGTGCATTGATCGCGTCAACATGTATGCCAGCTGCTGGATCTGCACCAAGACGGAGAACCTGCCGCCGCCTACGCCTGAGTTTGACCGCATTGGCGGAAGCGACATCACCAGTCTGACCATCTGAACTGGCCTGCTATACTTGTATGCCTAGTACATGTAGGGGATGACGAAGGGGGTATCGTCCAACACTGTACCCAGGATTGGAAGGATGGCGAGTTGACAGTAGCATGAGAATGATAGCATGGGTCGAGATACATGATATGAAGAATGCAACGACAGTCATGTGCTTGCAACATAGCCAAGAGATTCTGAATGAGCAGTGCGATTTTGTCTCACCAGTGAGCTGAGTCAATTGACCTTTTCAGTCTTTGTCAACCTTGTATCGATTCAAGTTCATTATATGGGCTGCTTGAGAACTCCCGTGCCAACGTCTTGACAGTAATTCATTCCCCTTTTGGTAAATACTCGCGTCTCCTCAGGAGAGGTAGAAAACGAGCGAAAGGAACAGGGAGGGATACAGAAAAAGAGAAATTGAAGGGGAAGAAAAAAAAAAGAAAGAAATTTGAGACAATGTAGTACGTAGAGAGATTACAATAAGAGAGAGAAAGAAAAGAAAAGTGCAAAAAAATGTAACTCTTCTCCGGGGAGAATTTGCTCTCCGGGGACGGAATCGAACCGCCGACTTTCTGATGAGATGTTATCCATTACAGTCAGACGCCATGAACCAACTAGACCACCCAGAGGATGTTGAAGAGTTGCGGGGAGGCTTCTGTATTGGGTACATAAGCCTTACTCGTTTGTGGCGTGGGGCGACGGAGCTGGGGATTTCTTCCATGTGGGGGGGCAACGAGCTCGAAAAGCATTTTGTGCTATGGATGGTTGAAGCTTATAGTATGTGCAACTCGTTGATCTCCTCTTTCCACATAGTGAAGTTTGTATGTTGCTGGAGGATTGGATCATCCAAGTGCGTCGAAATCGAGTTATTGTAGAGAGATGAAGATGTTGACTGCCGCTTGAGGGTTGAAAAGCATGATATCATCGAGCCTCGAACATAAGTACGGCCGCGAGCTACTACATGAGAGACCCTAACATGCATTGTCGTTCGTGATGTCACATCTCGGGAACAGAAATATGCTGTTCCTCAAGAGCAGCACGAAATTGGTGAAAACGGTACCGTTTACTTCTCCTGACAATACTTCTATACAGGCGCTCACAGCCCTTGTGGCCCAAATAGCGCATAATATCAGTTACAAAGGGCCTCCCAAAAACGTGAGAGCAATCCACCACCTCAGCACCCCAGAATCAATGAATTGACGATATTTTCCATTTTCAATCCCCTCACCCCCCTCCTCTTCTTAAACCTCACCCGCCTCATGCCTTCCAGAGCTTCTTAACCGCCTCAGTAACACCAACGTCGTTCGTCTCAAACTCGTACAAGCCCACGCCGACGGTGAGCGTCGCGAGGTTCAGGCCCCACATGAAGAGCTTCCGCAGGCCCGGGTGAGACTTCTGGGGGATGTAGTCGATGATGACGGACTGGAAGCCGATGTGGGAGTGCAGCAGGACGGCGGAGCACAGGATGGCGTCGGTGGTGGGGTTGAGGGAGCCGGCGGCGAAGGGCGCGACGGTGAGAGGCACGAGGCCCGCGGCGAGGAGGCGCTCAAAGGTCCAGTGGTACGAGCCGTGGGCGGCGCTGGGGGGCGGGATCGGGGCAGGATCGTTGACTGGAGGGCTCGTGGGTTAGCTGTGTTGTGCTTCTTGTTGTCGTCACAGATGCGACATGTGAAAGAGTCAAGGCTGGATGTCAGGTTTGCGCGCCGTACCTGTGCCCTCAATTCGCTCTATGGAAACATTGTGTTAGCTTTGCGTCAACTAGAAAATCGCCATTCCTGCAGGTTTCTGGGAATTCTCACGAGGTCCGGGGGACAGGAAAGCAGAGCGCCGAGTCGACGTGTGGAAAGCAGAGGCCCTCAGGGCGCTGTTCCGGAACGCAGGCTTCGCCGCCAGCGCAGTCTGCCGCAGCAGGGAAGGTCGCACAATCGAGGCCATGGCTGACGCAGACAGACAATCTCGGGCTCTGGGGTTGAAGATTTCGAAGAGACTTGGCGGGGACACTCTGTTTGCGCTGGCAAGGAAATATCACAGCTTCTTCCAGCACAAGTTCCGATATGGTCGGGATGACGGGCAACGAGATGGACGAAACTCGACCGGGAACAGCGTATTGCCGAGGATGCTCGAATTGCGAGCTCCGTGATTGGCTGAGGCCGTTCCGAAGCAACTGGGGAGCGGGGCGCAACAATCTATTTCCGGGCCGCGAAGGTAGAAGATGCAGGTCTGCTCTGATTGGCTGGCTTTTAGAGGTTCGCATGTGAATTTTTGTGGCAGGTCGATCCAAGAACTCGCATTGAAAATGTACATCAAGGTGGGATGAAGTTTGTGGTGACGCCCTGATACGATACGATACGCCTCCCTTTGTGCAGCTTGTACCCCGACGCTCAGGATTGTGGGCATGGTGACTTTGAGTGCATCTTGATTGCGTCTTGATTCTCAAGTCGGTGGCCCTCTGGCGGCGTTTACACCGTTTGCGATGGCTCCTCAGACAGCCATGGCCAAGGCCCTGCTCGTGCTGCGATGCGCCAGCTCCCGACATGCCGCTGGCCAGTCCTCCTGGGCCCTGAGCCGACTTCACAGAGCGCGCGGCATAGCGACGTCGTACCTGGAAAAGGTCGCGGAAGGCAACAAGCGCTGGGAGGAAAAGGCAGTGAAGATCAAGAATGGCGAGCTGCCTCATGTCTGGGATATCCTTGACGAGAGAGGCTATATCAAGGACGTCGCGGGGTATGTATACTCTCTCTCCTCTCCGTCGAAACGTGTTCAATGGCTGATGTCCCTGTCTCTAGAACCCCCGAAAAGATCAAGGAACTGATGCGGGTCAAGCGAATAGGCGCCTACGTCGGCGTCGACCCCACGGCAGACTCCATGCACGTCGGCCACCTGCTCCCCATGATGCCTCTCTTCTGGCTGTGGTTCCACGGCCACCCCGCCGTGACGCTCCTCGGAGGCGCGACGGCGCGAATTGGCGATCCGACCGGCCGCTTAGAGTCGCGCGACATCTTGTCCAACGCGGACATTTCCAAGAACGTCACCAAGATACACTACCAGCTGTCGAGGCTATGGCACAACGTGGCGGCCCTGAGGGACAAGTACGGCTACGAAAAGGATTGGGCGGCGAAGCAGCGGCTGCTCAACAACAGCATGTGGCTGCAGGGCTTGACCATGTATGATTTCACCAAGAGGCTTGCACGATATACCAGGATTGGGCCAATGTTGTCACGCGATACGTGAGTCTCATCTCTTTCCCTCTCCGCTGTCTCGTTCTCTTCTGCTAACGGATTCGAACCAGCGTCAAGCGGAAAATGACAGAGGGCGACGGCATGTCACTGGGCGAATTCATGTATCCCCTCTTCCAGGGCTGGGACTTCTGGCACATGTACCAGAAGCTGGGTGTGCAGATGCAGATTGGCGGCTCCGACCAGTACGGAAACATTGTCGCCGGCATCGATGCCTTGAAGATTGTCAGAGAGTCCGAGGAATTTCCCCATCTGAAGATTGATTCCACATGGCAGAACGAGCCGGTAGGCTTCACCGTGCCACTCCTGACGGATTCCGCGGGCGTCAAGTTCGGCAAGAGCACGGGCAACGCGGTCTGGCTGGACGAGTTCAAGACTTCGCCCTTTGAGCTCTACGGCTACTTCATGCGACGGTCGGACGAGGAGGTCGAGAGCCTCCTGAAGCTATTCACCTTCATGCCGATGACCAAGATCCAGGAGGTCATGGTCGAGCACCAGGCCGACCCAGCGAAGCGCATCGCCCAGCACACACTCGCGTTCGAAGTCCTATCTCTCGTCCACGGCTCGCAGCGGGCCGTGCAGGAAGCCCAGCAGCACCAGTTCCGCTTCGGCGGACAGCTGCCGTACTACATCAGGGAACCCGCCCCCGAGACGGGCATCCTGACGCCCAACACGGCGCCGCGGAAGGACATTGAGCTACCCCACTCGGTGCTCAAGCTCTCGCCCGCCAAGATCCTCTACGCGGCCGGCCTCGTCAACAGCGCCAGCGAGGGCCAGCGGCTCGTCGCGCAGCAGGGCGCGTACGTCGCCGCCCGGCCCGGCCAGAAGCGCGGCCTCGTGCCGGGCAACCTCGATTGGACGCCCATGAAGCTGTGGTTCCCCGAGGAGACGGCCAAGTTTGTCATTGACGACAAGCTGCTGATCCTGCGCAAGGGCAAGCACAACGTGCGCATCATCGAGCTCGTCAGCGACGAGGAGTGGACGGCGAGCAAGCGCATCTATCCCGGGCAGCCCTTCACCGGCGTCGTTCGACAGGTCAAGGAGCAGCTGAGGGCCGAGGCGGAGGAGAAGGGCGAGCATATGTCGAATAGGAGGATCGTTACGGAGCTCAACAGGAGGAAGCGGGAGGAGGAGGGTGTCAGGGTGCCGAATAACCCCGACATTGAGCTGCCGAGGAGGGTGCCGTCGTGGCTGAAGAGGGGCAAGGTGAACAAGGGTGACTCATCGAGGTAGTAGAAGTGGACTTGAGAGAGAACAAATGGCCCATTATCTGCGATTTCCATCGCGTTGTAACATTATCGTTTGGAAAGAAAAAAAAGGGGGAAAGGGAAGAAAAGGCATGTATGATATGATTATATAGATTTCACGAAAACCTAGATGCTGTATATAGTATAGATATCAAAATGATACTCCTGAAACTCCTTATTCTTCCAGAAAGCTACCTGTAAAACACCGTGATGTCGCCCCTGGGAACGGGCAACATCTTGAGCCTATCCATGACCTGGTCATTGGTCAAGTTCTGCTCCGTCATGATCTGATCCATGTGGTGGCACCCGTCGGTGTATTTTTGCAACGGGTCGCCGCCCGCCAGCGGCCTGCTCTGCCCCGTCGCGAGCGAGGCGAGATACTGCTTGGAGACGACGTACTTGTGCACGCGGTAGAGGCAGCCCTTGATGACGCCAAACTGGACGAAGCGGCGGATGTCGATGTAGGACATGAGCTCGAAGCCGGCGTCGCGGTGGTTCATGATCCACTCCTTGACGCTCTTGCCGGGCGCGAAGGAGGCCATGAAGCGGATGAGCAGGTAGTTGCTGACGCGGGCCCTGCCGTGGGAGACGTAGCCGGCGCACTCGTCGACGATGCCGTCGACGTTGCGGATGAAGTCGTGGATGCCCGGCCGGGGCGCGTAGCAGGAGCTGAAGAAGAAGATGTCGAGCAGCAGGATGGTGTCGTAGTAGAGCAGGTGGCGGATGGCGATCTTGGCGAGGTCGAGGGAGACGCAGGCCTCGTGGGCGATGCGGCGGACGTCGGAGACGCCGTCGATCCTGGCGACGACCTTTTGCAGCGTGATGTCCCAGGTCGGGTCGACGATCTCGGGGAACTTTGTGCGGGCGACGGGGACGTGCCAGCCCTTGACGACGGGGGGCGTGGCGTGGTGGGGGAAGAGCTTCATGTTGATGATGTTTGCTTCGTCTGTAGCGATTCTGTGAGCACTTCTTTACTCCGTATGCAAATGTGATGATTGGTGGTGAGACGGGAGAGTGTGAGAAAACTCACCAACCGGAATCATGCACTCGCCGTAGTTGTTGAGATCCTCCTTGACAATCTCCAGCAGGCTCTCAATGGGCCTGCGCACGGCGTCGTCCTCGGGCCCCTTTGCCTCGCTGAGGCTGAGGTACTCGTTCTGCTTCTCCATCTCGGCAAAGGTCTCGGCGAGGCAGCGGACGACGGTCTCAAAGGGCGAGTGGTCGCATTCGGCGTCGACGAGCAGGCCAAAGTTGAAGATGAACTCGTTGCGCATGTACTTTGTGTGGGGGATGACGACGGGGAAGCCCAGGATGGTGTACTTGCCGTCGGGGGAGTTGACGGAGACGTAGCGGTTGCAGAAGGCCTGGCGGGGGATGATGTATTCCTGGAGGATCTCGAAGTCGATGAGCGGGCTGTTGTTGGTGGTGCTGTTGTTGTTGCTGTTGTGATTGGTGGTGGTGTTGTTGTTGCTGCTGTGATTGGTGATGGTGGTGGTGGTGGTGTTGTTGTTGTTGTTGTTGTTGTTGTTGCCGGAGGATGAGGATAGGTTGAAGGCGGTGATGCAGCCTGGGGGGGATTGGGCGACGATTTTGGGGCCTGGGAGGGGGATTGTGAGCTTTGTGATGGTCTGAGGCATAGGTATGGAGGGGGGGATTAGATGTGATGAGGACATACCTTCCTGGGGGAAGAATCGCGCGTAAAAGATGCCGAGGATCATGGTGATGATGAGTGCAGCGGCATGGCGCTGAAATCAAATGTCTTTCTACGGGTTTGCTGAAGCCGTCATGTCATGTCGACTTGAGGCGATGGCCTGATGGTCTTGAGAAGGGCCAAGGTCTATATGAGATGGGGGTTTATAGCGGTCGTTGAGATTGATTTTGGTGGATGTGAGGTGAGATGAAGAGACGAGGTTTGAATAAACTTTTCGCTTCTGGTGCTTGAGGCGCATGTCCGTTGGTGAGTACATGTATTTGATTCGCAGTATGCCGGACTTGGACATGGAGTCTCCCCGCTAAGACGCTAAGCCCAGGGTTGCTGTATGGAGGCTTTAAAGCTACTTCATCTGATTTACATGAGTTGTGATAGAGTTATGAGTGGTAATCAAATTATTCAGATTCATCTACCCAGGCTCGAATCATCTTTCTTGACTTGACGTATCGCTTAGTGTCCTTGTCATGTTCAGGTCGTGTGAGAGATCCCGGGTAGCTGAAAGAAGCAATGGCTGAGCCCATGCGTTGAGCTGAGCCTTAGTCAGTATCACCGAACAAATGGACGGGCATGTGTCCATAGAAGCCAACGGACTGCAATGGAAGCGCATTGATAAGTGCAGCAGTTGCCTGGACTGATGGCTTGTTCCCAGACCTCTTGTAGGAAGAGAACCAGGACTTGACAGTAACAGTGCACCTCGTCCACTAAACCATAGCACTGCTGCCGCCATCTCAGGCACCAAAGAAGCACTGGAGTCCAGTGAACCCGCACATCAGTTGAGGTGAGCGTCCGTCTCTGCCCCACCAGCCGCCTCAGCCTCTCGTCGTCACCTCTGCTCGTCTGGTGGTGCCTTATGTAAACTGCCGCATCTCGCCACAGACGCATTTTCCCACCTCATCCAACAACCCGACCGTTGACCAGCTTCTCGCATCTTTAGCAGCGCGGCTTTCGTCCTGCTGGTCTGCTATCGCGACTCTGATTCTCCCACCTCTGTTCCTACGCACGACAGACAGCGACCGTCGATACCCCTCTGCCCCCCTCTCTCACATCTCCCTCTCCCACATCGTTCGTTTGCTTCCGCCTCGCCATGGCCGACAACGCAGAGGCGGGCGGCGATGCCCAAGTCACCTTCAAGGTCAAGACGGCGCAGGAGGGCTCGCACACCATCACCATGCCCGAGTCGGCGACGGTGCTGGAGCTCAAGACGAAGCTGTCCACGGCCGAGTTCGAGAACATCCCGGTCGAGCGCCAACGCCTCATCTACTCCGGCCGCGTCATGAAGAACGACGACACGCTGGCCACGTACAAGATCAAGCCTAACAACACTATTCACATGGTCAAGAGTGCCGCCAGCAACGCCGCCCCGGCGGCCTCCGCGTCGACGCCCACGCCCGCCGCGCCCACCAACATGGCGTCCGGCACCGCCAACAACCCGCTGGCCGGCCTGACGGGCGCCAGGTACGCCGGCCACCAGATCAACCTGCCCGGCATGGACATGTTTGGCCCTGACGGCGGCGTAAGTGCTTTCCCCCGCGTCTCCCGACGTTGTGGTTGTGGTTGTGGTTATGGCTATGGTTCCTGTGACTGACGCTTCCTGGGGATGTATGCAAACAGATGGGCCCTCCCATGGACGAGGAACGATTGTCCCGCATGATGTCCGATCCCAACGTGCAGCAGTCCATGAACGAGGCCCTCAACAACCCCGACTTCATCAACATGCTCATCGACTCGAACCCGATGCTGCGCAACGTCCCCAACGCCCGCGAGATCATCACATCCCCGTTCATGCGCCAGATGATGAGCAACCCGCAGATGATGGCACAAGCGATGCGCATGCAGCGCGCAATGGGCAGAGGCGGCGACGCCGCCTTCCCTGCCCCTGGCGCCACGGACACCACACCCGAGGGCGCGCCCGCGACCGACGGCTCCGCCGGTCAGGGCACCACGCCGCAGCAGAACCCTTTTGCGAACCCGTTCATGCTGCCGGGCTTCATGGGGGGCGCGGGCGGTGCTGGCGGCGCCAACGGCCTCAGCATGCTCCAGCAGATGCTCAACTTTCCCCCTCCGCCCCAGGCTGGCTCAGGGACGGCCTCGGCGACGACCGGATCGGCGACGACGGGAACCGGAAGCGACGCAAACACCACCAATACGAGTGCCGGTTCGGGCACCACTGCTAGCACAGGCACGGGCCAGCCCCAGGCGGCGGCGAACCCCTTCGCGGCCCTGTTCCCTCCCCCGGCGGCCGGGGGCGCGAACCCCTTTGCCATGGGTCCGGAGCAGTTCCAGCAGATGATGCAGATGTTTGCGCCGCAGGCAGCGGCTCCCTCGGACAATAGGCCGCCCGAGGAGCGCTATGCGGAGCAGCTTAGACAGCTCAACGACATGGGATTCTACGACTTTGACCGCAACGTGGCCGCCCTTAGACGCAGCGGAGGAAGCGTGCAGGGTGCTGTCGAGCACCTGCTCGGGGGAGTCTAAGCAGTTGGAGGACGGGCAACATCTGCCGGCTTTTCATTTCTAGGATCAAGCGTGGATGATGATGGAAGCGATGAGATATCTGGCTAATAATATTGGCCACAGCGCCACGACGAGCGAAGGGGGACGTGGACAGGCCTTTTCTTTTACCTTTTATGAGAGACTGGGCCGCGAGAGAGTTTGCATGGCAACCGGGCGCGACTTCACTCTGTGTACTTTTTTTTCTTCTTGCCGTAATGAGAAGTATTGTGTATAAAGACGACCGGTAGACGCCGTTGCAGATATGCTGGTGCGGCTCCGTAGCAGGGGCTGTCACTGGAAGTGAGGGTGAGGAGACGGAGGCTGATTTCTAGCCACGATAGACAGCACAAACCCGGCGTGAATACCCTCAACCCAATGCTAGTATAGCTTCAGAGTCCAATCAATAATAAAATAACTTGCAAACAAACCCGCTCTATTCTCCATTTGATACACGGCCTCCTGCATCTCCAGATCAAGCCAGGCCGGGGCGCCTTGTTCGGCTACCTGCTTCCGAAAGGTGGGAAGATGCCTCGGCTCCTCTTCCCCCACCTCCCCAAAACGAACCCCGGATTTCTCACCTCTTAGTATTGGGCTTACCTTGGCTTGTTTGTGTACACCTTTTCCCCAACTTCATTGCCAGCTTACTTATCTTATGCCCTTGAGCTGACGTCTAAACTTTCTCGGCTCTCTTGTTCTTTTGCTTCCACCTCGATATTCCTGTTGAAACTCTCTGCAATTGGAATAGTAAAACAGTCGTCTGACTGCTATAACATCACACAAGATGCGTGGCATTGAGATTCGAAAATATGTCAAGGTCAGACCAGACAAAGCCTCACCACCTCCAACCTCATCCCCTTTCCGAGACAGCCTTGTGTCATCTCTCTATGAAAGCAAAACCGGCAGCTGCTAATTAAATCTTGTCGTTATAGAGCCCTGAAGAGCTCAAAGTCACAGACCTCCCCGACCCCGCCCCCAAAGACGACGAATATGTCATCGAAGTGCACGCCGCCGCCGCCAACTTCTTTGACATTCTCCAGGTCCAAGGCCGCTATCAGAACCAGCCCCGTAAGCTCCCCCCTATGTATCCCCCTTTCACTCTTTTCAACTCCTCATCATACCTCCTCCCTCAAACCTCCCACAGGATCTATAACCAAATCTGCAAAGAGCCTGAGCTAACAGTCCCCCTCAAACAGCCTTCCCGTGGGTAGCCGGCGCCGAATTCGCCGGCGTCGTCCTGTCCACGCCGCGCAAGTCCCGCTCGCGGCCGCGCTTCGCCGTCGGCGCCCGCGTCTTTGGCGCCGCGCAGGGCGCCTTCGCGACCAAGCTGTGCGTCCGCGAGGTCGCCCTGCTGCCCGTCCCCGAGGGCTGGTCCTTCCGCGACGCCGCGGGCCTCTTCGTCACGGCGCCGACGAGCTACGGCGCGCTGGTGGTGAGGGCGGGCGTCAAGGCGGGCGATGTCGTGCTTGTGCATGCGGCGGCGGGAGGCGTTGGGCTGGCGGCTGTGCAGGGTGAGTTTTTCATTTTTCTCTCTCTTCTTTCTTTTTCTCATGATCTGTGGTGTTTGTTTTGAGGGTGGCTGGGTGAGAGTGTGAGACGGGGTTGAGAAAAAGGAGAGTATCAAGTTGCCTCAGCTCAACTCTCCTTCTCACCCAAGCCATACACTCATCCAACACCGTTTATCAACACAGTCCTCATCATCCGGTCATCGTCAAAGCTAACAAAGCAACAATCCCCCCCCCCAAACAGTCGCCAAAGCCTTCGGCGCAACCGTCATAGCAACAGCATCCACCCCCCGCAAGCTCGACATCGCCCGCTCCTTCGGCGCCGACCACGCCCTCTCCTACGCAGACCCGGACTGGCCCGCCAAGGTAAAAGCCCTGACCCCGCGCTCCCGCGGCGTCGACATCGTCTTCGACCCCGTCGGCCTCGTCGACAAGTCCACAAAGTGCATCGCCTGGAACGGCCGCATCCTCGTCGTCGGCTTCGCGGCGGGGGCCATCGAAAAGGTCGCCATGAACAAGGTCCTGCTCAAGAACATCTCGCTCGTCGGCATCCACTGGGGCGCCTACTCGGTGCACGAGCGCGAGACGATCCCCAGGGTCTGGGAGGGCATCATGAGGCTCGTCAGGGAGGGCAAGATGAGGGGCACCGAGTATACGGATGAGGAGTTTGTCGGGCTGGACAGGGTCAAGGATGCGCTTTTGGCGCTCGGGGGCAGGGGCACTTGGGGCAAGGTTGTGATTAAGATTCCGCAGGAGGGCAGCAGTCGGCTGTAAAGGTGTGTGTGTGTGTGTGCCCTGTTGAGGCGAGATGGATGGGTGATGATACAAGTCACAAGGAAGCAAAGGGTGAACACGAGTGTTATCTTGGTTATATCAGCAGCTGTCAATTCTAATCGAATCTCTTTTCTCTTTCTCTATTTAAAACCCCCCTCACACCAGAAATCGTGAAAGGCGGTCGGTAGTTCGCTCATCCAAGTCATGTTCTCATTAACTAACATCTTGCACACCTCTAACTCGACCCCCTCCCTCAATAAACTCACTCACACGCCACACCCATTCCTTCACTGCGGTACCTCGTTCAACATCTTCTGGAAGGCGTCCATAACCGCCTTGTCCACGTTGACCACCCAGTTCTCCTGGAACACCGCCTCGCCCCCGATGCGTGCGACAACGTCCTGCAGCCTCACCTTGACAAACTGCAGCGCATTCACGCAGTGGATCGGGTCCTTGTGCTGGCTCTGCCTCTCCAGGATCATCCTCGGGGTATCATAGTCGTACACCTCCGCCTCTCCGCCCCACACCAGGCAGTCGTTGCCGGCTCCCGCGCCGTCCTGGAGCTCCATGATGACGTTTGTCCACAGGTCCAGGTAGTCTTGCAGCTTGTCCAGCACGAGCTCCTGCATGGGCGACGCCAGCTCGAGCAGGCGCGTCAGGCCGAGCAGGTACAGCTTCTGGCGTTCGAGATTGTCCATGCCCGACTGGTACGAGAACCACTCCGACGAGAGCCAAGCCCACACCTCTTGCACGTTTCCGACCGAGCCCAGCATCTGCACAAACAAGTTCGGCTCGGCTAGTAAGAGGCGCGCGAGGATGGCGAAGTAGTCACCCTGAGTCACCGTGTTGAGTCGGCTCGCCCTCTTATTGGGGCCGGTTGTTTGACGGGATTCCCAGGCGTCGTGGAGGTTGGCCACGAGCTTGTTCACAAAGCCCGTCTCGACCATGTCTTGGATGATGACGGAGACCCCCTCGGCCCCTCCCAGCTCAGCCGCCGACCGGATGAGGAGCTCGATGGAGGTTGTGGCTAGCCGGACGTGCTCCCTACTCTTAGCATCCAGGCTGTTGCTCAGCGCCACCAGTATCGGCCGTCGGAACCTGTCCTCTAGCATGGCCTCCGGGGCGATTAGGATGTAGGACTCAATGGCCGTGAGGGCCAACGACACCACCTCGGACGAGTACTCCAGCAGCGGCAGCAGCAGCTCGACCAGGTCGATGAGCTCCCGCGCAAGCGGGGGATTGCTTTGCGAGAGGATGGAACCCCACAGCTCCAGCGATTCGTCAATGAGGTTCAGGTGCAGGTCTGAGCCTGGCCTTGCCGCCTCGGCCAGCAAGGGAAGCATGGACTGCTGATAGCGCTGTGAGTTCGGGCCCATGCTCATAACGAGCGCCGAAAAAATGGCAATGACAGCCTGCTTGATCATGTATTCTTCCGGCCCCGAAGCCTCCCAGACCGAGGGCAGGGCCAGCATGAGCTGGTCTCCAAATTGTGCTACTTGCTCCTCCATGCGCGTCACCAGAATTCGAATAGATTCAAGAATGGCAAGCTTGGTCTCGTCGCTTTCCACGTTCTGAACGAGCTCCGTAAGGGCGTTGAGGACGTCTGAGGTGTATGGCAGAAACGCGGTGGCACTGAAGTCGATTTCATCGGCAACCCATCGAAGTTGCCTCGCCGCCGTGATTCTCACCACGATATCATTCGTCTCGTCGTTCGGGGAGAGAAAGTGCTGGAAAATCTGGTAGACAATCGGCCGGCTCGACTCCGCCAGCCTGACCGGCGCCCACTGACTGATGAGAATGGCAATCCGTCGCCGCAGCACCTTGTACAGGCCGCCCTGCTGCTGGGCGTCGTTGACAATGGTCGTGGCAAGGATCGTATCAAAGTCAAAGGCAGACGACACGTGCGCGGCTGAGAGACCCATGGCCGTGTACACAGCTTCCTTGGTCGCAATGTCCGCTTGCGGAGACTGCGCCGTCTGAAAGTACGACAGCAGCGGCGGCACCAGGAGCGGCTTGAAGTTGGTGAGAAGATCCAAGAAGAGCCTTTCAGAGCACGGGCGGACTTCCCATTCGTACGCGCTGCTCTCGAGCTGCTCCTGAAGTTCCCAGTCTTCCGGATCCTCCTCCCAAGCCTCGAGATCCGATCTACGAAAGACAAACAGGTGGGAGATGATGGTGTTGACGATCTGGATCACGAGGTCGTCCTTGAACAGCTCACTCTTGATAATCTCCTTGGCCCTTTCCTGCTCGGCCTTTGTCTCCGGAGATCGGTATTTGAATGTCTGCACTGGCTGAAAGGCCATTCTCACACAGGCGCGGAGGAGGAGCAGCCCTTTCAGCGCGAGCTTCTCCATCAGAGGCCCTTCTTTCTTCGCCTTGGCCCCACCTGCATCCCCCGAGCCCTGCCGGATGCCGCCCGACTGGACGAAGATTTCAGCAAAATTGGAGATGAGATCCCAGTATGCGTTGACGAGGGATATCGAGTTGGGCAGAAAAGCGAAGCTCGCCGCAAAGTGCTCGGCCTGGTCGATGTGAAACTTGGCAAACTGAAGGAGGTGCTTGCCGACCAGCTCCTGATACGGCGCGGGCACGGCCGAGTCGTGGTTCACAAAGCCCAGGAACTGGCCAAACTGGTTTTGCGACAGCGTCCAGAACTGCGTAACCGAAGTATCGTCATGAGGCCGCGCGTAGCCCACGTTAATGAGGCGACGCAGCGTCTTGAGAGCGGACAGACTATTCTCCATGGCCAAGCTGGCCTCGTCGCCGTCCCCTTGTCCCGTGGTGAGGAAGTTGCTCCATTGTGACGACTTTTCCGAATAAATCTCTGACAGGGTGTATACAAACTCGGGCGTGATCGACTGCAGCGCGGTTTGCGATTTCCTCAGCCGCGCGCTTCCCATCTCCTTGATGACTCGAAGCAGCAGCACGAGGGTGCCGTGGAGGTGATGCTGATTGCCGTTTCGAGTTGATCGCAGCAGGTGTATTATACTCGGAAGCGCCTCGGGCCAGTCTTCTGGGTAGTCGACCCGGACGATCTTGGCAATGACCAGAGCATTGTGCAGAGCCAGGTGCTTGACTTCCTCCTCGACGGTTCCCTGGAACAGCCGTGACCGTATCAAGTTCTTCTCCTCGGGGGTGATGCCGAGCTTGGAGTGCGAGAACCTCCAATTCTTGTCTATTCCGTTCTTGATCTGGATAATCGCCAGGAATCGAATCTCGAGAGGGAGTGACTTGTCGAGGAACACCGACTGGGAAGTGAGACAAAGCTCCGTTAGCACGACCAGACAAAAGGAGTCAGAGGGGGGGGGAGGGGGATGGACAAACAACGGCCGTACCTGCAACGACGAGTAATACCCGGCCTGTGACTCCCAGGTAGCGAGCTGCTGACCGGCAGCCTGTCGCTGGACGTGGTCCGAGGACGAAGTGGCCGCGTGCAACGTGCGGCAGAGCTCCTGCAGGGACAGCGGCGCCGCGTCTCCTGGGACTTCAATGGCGAAACTCATGGCCGGTGCCGAGGCCGCTCGAGACGGCAGTCAGGCTGCGAAGCTCGGTGGTGTAGACGGTGGTGAATGCGGTTACTGATGTGTCGTGTAGGATGCTGAGAGCATGAAGGCGGAAGCCCGAGGCGCAGCTGATTAGTGGATATAAGGTAAGGTGGCAGACAGAACAAGCAGAGGTTGAGGTTGAGGTTCTGTTAGCAGCTGGTTGGCGATGGTGGGGCTGAGTCTGGTCGCTGCATAAGGTGGTAGGTATTATGGTGGTGGAGAGGATTGAGTGCTTGAACCAGCCTGAATGTCATGGGTTGGCTTGGAGGGGTAGCAGCGCGAGGCTGCACCTAACCGTCTTGGATGCCGACCGGCTTCTGGGCAATAATCTCATCTTCCTTGTTGGGATTGAGGCAAATCTTGCATGATTCACTGTCAATCTTCAGCGATGCAGCCCCGATATTGTGAGTACAGGTACCTTACAACTAGGACATTGGGTGCTCTGAAGAGCCGTCTATAGCAAGACCTCGGGGAGTTTTTAGCGCCAGCATTGCCAAACTACCTTAGCCTCCCAGCCTATAAAGCATTGAAAAAGATTCCACCACGATAGACTCCGTTCTCTCTCTCCGTTACATCTATCCAGCACCGCCCAATCGCTTCGGCAGGCAAGCCATTGCTCTTCCGGCACGTCCTCCGGCACGCCCACATGCCATGATCCGCTCGCGCACCTCCAGGCTCGCCGCCTCCGCCCTCGCCAAGCGGCAGTGGACGTGCCCGGCATGCCTCTCCAGGCGCCGATACTCCAAGCAGCCCGAGAGGCGCGAGCCGCCCGATCACCGCAAGCTCGGCAACCAGCAGGAGCTCTTCATGACCTCCGTCTACAGCCCCGGCTCGCCCATTTTCCTGCCCAACGGCGCGCGCATCTTCAATCGCCTGGTGGACTTTCTGCGGAAGCAGTACGTGCGCTATGGCTTCCAGGAGGTCATCACGCCGACGATATACAAGAAGTCGCTGTGGGCCAAGTCGGGACACCTGGACAACTACGCGGATGACATGTACTCCGTGACGGGCAACAAGCGGGCTTCGGACGTGGAGGGCGGGACGGGGTGCTGCGGCGGGACGGACCATACGAAAGGCAAAGAGGGAGGAGTAGCAGAGGAGGACGACGACGACGATTACGGGCTGAAGCCCATGAACTGTCCGGGGCACTGCCTCATCTTTGCGTCCAAGCTGCATAGCTACAGAGACCTGCCCGTCCGATACGCAGACTTCAGCCCCCTCCACCGGAACGAGATCTCGGGCGCCTTGTCGGGCCTGACCCGCGTGCGCCGCTTCCACCAGGACGACGGCCACATCTTCTGCAGACCGAGCCAGGTCGAGGAGGAAATCGGCAAGACGCTGGACTTCGTCAAGACGGTGTACAGCGTGCTGCGGCTGGGCGTCAGCTACCGCCTCGCCCTGTCCACGCGGCCCGCGGACCACTACATTGGCACCGAGGAGGAATGGGCGCGCGCGGAAGACAGCCTGAAGCGAGCGCTGGACGCCTCGGGCATGGACTGGACCATCAACGAGGGCGACGGCGCCTTTTACGGCCCCAAGATTGACATTGTGCTCAAGGACTCGGAGGGCAAGGAGCACCAGACGGCCACCATCCAGCTGGACTTTCAGCTGCCGAAGCGGTTCGAGCTGGAGTACCAGGCTCCGGCGCCGGAGTACGAGGCTCGCGGGGAGACGACTACCGATCCGGAGCTTCTCGCTCATTACGGACCAGTTCGCCCGGTCATGATTCATCGTGCGGTTCTGGGGTCTGTGGAGCGGCTGTTGGCGCTTTTGATTGAAAACTACGACGGCAAGTGGCCGTTTTGGCTGAACCCGAGACAGGCCATCATCCTGACTGTCAACACGTCGGATCCGGTCGTCGAGTGGGCCGACCAAGTGCGCAACGTCCTTCTCGGCATCAAGAAGCTCGAGGCCGAGGGGCTGCCCTCCCTGGAGAGCCTCACGGGGCAGACGGGCCTGGCGGTAGACATGGATACAACGGCAAGGCCTCTGGGTACCAAGATCAGGGAGGCCCTCACGAGTGGCTATGGTCTCGTTTTGGTGGTGGGCGAGCAGGATGTCAAGAACCAGCAGGTCAGCCTGGGCAAGGAAAGGCTGAGCCCGCCTGAGCTGCGTGATAGAATGCTTCGCATGGCAGACACATTTGAATGAAGAAACTCTCCCATCTATTGATCTATCCAGTTGCGCCATGTATAACATGTATCTTCTTTTCCATCCTCTGCTCATGACCAGGTGTGAAGCTCCGACGTCCGTCAAGGTATGCGCGTCTTCCCTTTGAAGTTGTCGTCGGAAAATCCATCTCATGTGATCCTATCGCGTACGACGCCTCCCTGCCGCGACGATTCCTTCGTCGTTCAGGGAAATCTCAAGCTCGCTTCGTATTACGGCCCACGGCCTTTATCCCGTTCATCCTCAGCCAGGAGCCTTCACTACCTACCAAGACACAGCCCACCAGTCACCGCGTAGGCCCCTGCCTCGGCAGCTGTGCAGCCCTATATAATCCACCGTCAATCGTTGCGTTCGCCCCCCTCGATTTGTCCCAGCTCCTCCTTTTGCATATCCGGTTTTCGTTCGGCTTACTTTTTGTACTTGGGATCGACGTTCCCACCCGCCTGCTCGATGCGCTCAATCAGCGCCTGTCGCTGCACAATCTGGTCGCGCATGTAATCGACCGTGCGCTTCAGCACGAGGCCCTCGGATCGGCCCTGTCCCTCCAGCCCGGGCACGAGCTCGGTGAGTCGGTCGAAGCCCTCGCGGATGGCCTGGCGACGTTTTTGTTCTGCGCACGAAGCGATTAGCCTTTTGAAACTGTGTCGCAAAAGCGCGCGCGCGCGGGCCTTTGTCAACCCGCTCCCAGCTTGGGGCCATGTCAGGAATCTCTTTGTTTGTTACCTGATGCGATGTGGTTCTGCTTCTTCTCCTCCTCGGTGAGCCGCGGCTTGTCGTCTGCTGCTGCTGCTGCTGCTGATGTTGTTGTTACCGCAGCTGTGGCAGTAGAGGGCGTGGCCTTGTTGGCGTCGCCGGAGCCTGGGGTTTGGCTTGGTGAGGAGGACATTGGATCATGTGTGGTGCGGTGACGACGACGAAGAGGACATGTGATTGCCGGTGCGCATAACGAATGGATTCGGGGTGGCTCAATGCGACTCCATGCAGTGACACCTCAAAGTAAAAAATCGCATAAAGAATGGAAAAGGAAATACAGAAAGGAATCAAAATGGTAGATGCGCTGAGAGCGTTTATCCTGTCAAAGTGGTATGATTGCTTGGCCAAGCTGCGAAGAGTGTCATGGTTTGGGATCATGTCAGAAGAAGGATCACATGCTCGTCGCGCGAGCGCAAATAAGACTGGTAGGGAAAAATAAATAACATTTGATTTGATGGAACTGGAAAAGGAAACAAGCCACAGCGGCCTGTTACAGCGCTAGACGGAGATGAAAGAGCAAGGATGGTTGCCCCAGATTCTCGGGGCCGAAGAGCCGGTCCCTGCGTCTAAGGCGGGCTTTGAGCTTGGGGTTGATGCCGGTGATTGCTCAGGGAGGTGGTGTCTCTTTGTCCATCATCTAGTATTGAAAGCAAGTTGAGATTCAAAGAGCTCCTTTGTCCGGTTCCGGTGCCTGATGATGCACGCATTGATGAGTCGCATCTCATGCCAAGAATCTGTATCCTCTGCTCCGTACAACCCTGAAACTCCATCCCTTGCCCTGACGCCATTCACATGCCACTCAAGCTGCAGCCGTCCGATCATGTCTTGGGTGGTATAGGAAGCGCGTACAAATATAGTACTACTAATACCCATTTGAACGCAATGCACCGAAGCTGATGAGATGCACCTCATCTTGAAAGAGGACCTCAATGCCGGCATCTCTAGCACAAGCCAAAGATCCCTTCCCTCTTGTCTTCCAATGTATCAGTGGCCAGCCATCACACCAAGAACAAGCTGTGCTATCCATTTTATCCGAGAAGCGCCTGCGCCGTGGTAACCCAGCTCAACCATGACAGATAGTTACACCATAACCACCGATTTCCCTCATTCCGAAGCCGAGCCCTCATCGTCATACTCGTCCCGATCCTGCTGGAAAGTGACCTTTTCAGCCAGCGACAGCGTCTTCTTCACCGGCAGTCCAATGACATTGTCCACGCTGCCCTCAATCTTCTCCACCAAAAGCATCCCTCCGATGCCCTGAATGCCGTAGCCGCCAGCCTTGTCGACGCCCTCCCTGGTCTTAACATAGGACTCAATCACGTCGTCCGGCAGCCCGTTGCCTTCCTCCCAGAAATACACCTTGGTCTCCTCCGTGTGGCTCTGGATGTCGTAGCCCGGATGCCTTGCGTCTTCTCGTGGCGCGAGCACGCAGACGGACGTCAGCACTCGGTGCATGCGGGTGTCGCGGAGGTGCTTGAGCATCCGCAGGTGGTCCGCCTCGCTGCGAGGCTTCTCCAGGATGCGCCCGTCGCGGGTGACAATGATGGTGTCCGCGGCTATGACCAGGGCGGGATCCGGGATCGAAGCAAGATGGGTGTCCAGTGTTGTGGTGTAGACCTCCAGGCACTTGTTTCTGGCGGTAGTTGCGACGTACTCCCAGGGTCCGTATGTCTTTTTGTCCAGGTCCTCAGGCTTGGTTGACGGGGTGATTTCAAGATTGGTGAGGCCAATCTGAGCAGAACATGTTACTCAAATGCTGCGTTGATATCAATCTCACTCTAATCGCACCGTACCTGTTGTAAAAGCTGTTTCCTCCGCGGAGAGGCAGATGCTAGGATGACTCGCTTTGAGTTGAGATGCTTGATAATGGGCAGGTCCAGGGGCTGCAGTGGCCGGCGCATGGACCCGGCTCGGGGGCGTCCGGCGGGAGACGCCGCCTGCGCAGCAGGAGCGTCTGACATTCTGAAGAGCAATTGGAAGATGGATTGGGCTGTATGACACGATGGGCAGTGAACGGAAAGCTATGGAGGAGTGAGGCGTTGAAGGTTCAAGTACTCGTAAGGCGGTATGGCTTTTCAGGAGCAAGCAAGTCGTCATGAAATGGTGGGGTCCTGCAGTTTGACCCCACTGTCCGTGTCTGGAATTGATTTGATGTCGGAGATGGAGGACTCAAAGCACAAGGAAGAGGGAGGAGAAAAGAAGATGAAGAGAGCAAAATTCACAGACAAAGGAATTACCGACAAGGCGTTTCTTGGCTAAGACGGACAATGAGAGACCAAGTGCGTCAAAGGTTCCGTGCTGGGCGAAGGCTGAAAGCTTGACTGCATTATATAAGCCATCAACCAACTTGAGGTTGAGATAGAGCTTCACAGTTGGAGCCAATCTGTAGCACCGATCTGGGCCACATCACTATCGACTCACATTCTAATCGTCACTAAGCAGGGTCAATAATTCACTTCAGTGGTTTTTTTCTCTTCAATCCAGCTGTTATCCACGCGCACACAATAGACAATACCTACATACCTTAGGTTTTCATTGACAGCCGCAGCCGCGTCCATTGCTGGCCTCAACTTCAAGGTGTCCGCCTCGTGGCCGCATCGGGACTAGCGCCAGCCGCGGTGCCTGGCCATGGTAGCGGGTACTTCTTGCAAGGTACCGTTCGTCGCACTCTCTCACTCCTCCCTGCTCTCGCGCCCTCACACGGAAAAAGCCAAAACTTTGGCCCTCTAAACAAGCGTCGACAAGGAACGGACCAGCCTCGAGTCGCCTGTGCACCTCCGCCCTGCCGCCCTGCGTCCAGCCTCGACCAGCCTTGAAGCGTCTTTCGATTCTGCCACCGGCCAGCACTCGGTCAGAACCGTCCAGCAGCCGACAGCCAGTCAAGCCCCAGGCCAAAACGCCGCTCCAGCAAAAGCCACAATAGTCGCGCGCGACCAGAAAAAAAAGAGAGAGAGCCATCCCTTCCAACACGCGTCAATCCACGCTGGCGATCGTCGTCGCCAGGCCGTGGTTTGCGACTCGGGACCCCAGAAGCCATTGAGCCTCCACGACTGCGCAGCAGGTCCCTCGCCGTGGCTGACGGTAATGCGCCTGCTGTAACGCTAACGATCCAGACCAAGATGGAGGCCAAGCGCAAGGCGAATGGAACCGCGGATGCGGATGAACGCGCTGCCAAGCGCCGGAAAGTAGCTGTGAGTCTGCCTGCCTCTGTATCATCTCGCACCATCTGCATCTTCGACCTCTTTTGCCTCTACGTCAGGGCAAGCAGGGGGGTGGTTCGGATTCGACTCTGCACTTCCGCGCGCCCCAGCTCAAGAAGCTCTTACACTGACTGGCCTGCTGCATGTCGCATCCGATCTGATCTGCGCGCTAACAACTCCATCTCCGCACATATAGCAAGGCTTCGATCTTTCCAAGGGCGAGTCCCGCGAATCGACGACTGCGCATGGACTGGTGTTTCTCGAGCAGATCCGCCGGACAGCTGATAAAAGGTATTGCCGCCTCTGGGCCCTTTCGTCCTGTCAAAGAGCATCCCAGGCTGACCGTGTCCCTGCAGTGGCCGTCTTGTCGCAACATATTTTGAAACCCTCGTTCCGCGAGAAAGCAACCCCGACTATTACAAGAAGACGCGCCTGCCCATCTCCCTCGAGACGATTGAGCAGAAGCTTCTCGATGGCGAATTCAAGACGCTCGCGGAGCTGGAGAGCTATTTCAAGAGGATGATTGCCAATGCAAAGGAATACTACAGCCGCGGGTCGCAAATCTTTGAAGATGCCGAGCGAGTTCGAAAGGCGCTCAGCAACTACATGACCAAGACCAACCCTGCGTACAGCAACCGCTCCTACCAAGCCGTGCCCACTCCGCTGCCACCCGAAAACGAAGAGGAGGGAGAGCAAGACGCAGAAGCCGAAGAAGAGGAGGAAGCCAAGGACGCTGAGGGAGACGAAGATGCCGAGGGGGAAGATGCCGAAGGTGAGGAGGACGCCCCGGGTGAGGATGAAGATGCAGAGGGCGAAGAGGAGCCCGAGGAGGACCAGGAGCCGAGGTCGCGGCGAAAAGCCATCATACTCAAGCGTAGCCGCACACGCAGGAGTTCCAACCACGAGAGCCAACGAGCTCGTTCACCCCCGCCGCCGGCCAAACCCGACCACCAGTACGAGAATGTTCCATACAAGGGTCTCACTTTCCAGCAGGCCCAGGAGAAGATTGTGGAGGAGCTTTTGCGGCACAGGGAACCAGAGTGCGTCATTCACCTAGCCAGCAGAATCTGGCTCCTCTTCTCCATTCTTACTGACCTGGCCCGACTTCTAGTTATGACGAGCCCTATTTCGAGCCTTTCATCAATCTGCCCCCTCGCGCCTTGAGAGACTACTACAAGGTCATCACCGACCCCCTGTCTATCAAGAAGCTTCAGAAGCTTGTCAGAGGCGTGCAGGGACGGCATGACGCGACCGGAGTGAGCGAGTTCAAGAGCTGGAGTGCCTTTGAAGAGAAGGCCAAGCTGCTCTGGACCAATGCCTACTTCTACAACGAAGAGGGCAGCGACATTTATTTGCTCGCACAAGAGCTTGAGGTGAGTTTTACACAATCGCGCATCTCATCCTGTTCCACAATCTCACAATGTGTAGAAATTCTTCTATGGCCAATTGAAAAAGGCACAAGCAGCCGTCCCCGAGCCGGCGCAGCCCAAGATCAAGCTCAAGGTCGGTCAAGGCTCCGAAACGCCCAGCTCGTCCAAGAAGATCACCATCCACGTTGGCGGGCGCGACAGCTCCGTGGCGTCGCCAGCGCCCCAGGTGAACCAGGCTTCAGAGGCCATTGCTGCGGCCAACGTCAATGGCGCTACCGCTCAGCTCTCGGCCAACCTCGAGCCTCCTCGAAGCGTCTCGGCGTCTGCACCGTCGCCGACGCCGTCATCGCAGGTGGGAATGAAGGTGGAGGATGGCGCTCGGGCATCCCCGGCCGTGGCCAACACGCCAGCGGGAGTGCCTGGGCAACCGATTGCGCGACCGCCGATTCCCGCGATCCCGTCCCAGCCATTTCAGACGAATCCTCTTGTCAATGGCTATGCGGACCAGAGGAGATTCCGGCCGGCTGGCAAAGGTATGTGCAGCTTGATCCTGCTCCACGTGTGAGAGCGTCCTTCGTTTGATTTTTGCTGACTTGTATCGAAAGGAATCGAGAGTGCGCTGATTGAGAAACTGCGGATTCAAACGCATCCCAGCGTCCCTCACGAGCGCCCTACACTGGTCACGATCCTGCCCAACGCAAAGGAGATGCAGCAGTCGGCCACCATCAACCTCCCGCCGACGCAGACTCGCATCTGGATCGTCGTGACGCTGCCAACATTTCTGCAGGACCGTCAATACAGCCTCTGGACATTGGTGGACAAGCAGCCGTGGAAGCAGCTGATGCAGCCCATCCCCAACCAGACACATCACGAGCGAGCGTTTGACGTGATGCTGCACCCGGGGCTCAACGTCATCGAAACTCATCTCATCGCCGCCATTCCCCGACAAGAGAGAGAGCCAGGCGGGCCCGAGGCGGAACTGGAAGTTTTCACCGTGCTGATTAACGTGGCGCGACCATACTGAAGGCGCAATGAATGCCAGGCAAGCGTCGTGTCGACTTAGAATAGGCATGGCTATGGCTGTTCGCTTCCACTTCCCGCTGTCAGCGGGGGTCGGGCTTGTCCGGACATCCATCCGCAACACCCCCCATGCGCGTCAAAGGCGTCAAAAGTGGGGAGTAGAAGCGGTATTCCGCACCATGACCCCCATCAACGTGGGTTGGAAACGGGACAGGTGGTGGTCAGGGGGGGGTTATCAGGTAGCGAGTCATCAAACTCTGGGTGGGACCTTGACATGACTATTTTTCCGTGTTTACCATTTTCTATTTTTTCCTTTTCACCTTTTCACCTTTTTTTTTCTTCGCTCCATCAAGTTAACCAATCTCGGTCGAGATTTGAGTCCGTGTTGCCGACGATCGCGTCGTTTGCGGTTAGGACAAGACGTGGGAGTTGTTGCGAGCATTCGGCCACACTTGGGGAGATGATGACCGGGATGTGGGGATGTGATTGTCGTATATCCTATAGGCTGGCCCGGTTGGTCTTGGTTTGGGTATGAGCACTGCGACTTTCAAGTGTTACTCGGAGACGTGTAGAGTTGCCAGTTCTGATGGTTTTACTCTCTGAAAGATCTTGGTAGGACAGATGGCATGAAGTACTGGCAGTAGTTAATCTGAGAGAAGCGAAGACAATTACAACTATATTCTTCATTGCATGCAACCTTGCAGTTGACGATTACGAGATAGACACGATGGATTACGAGGTAGGGCTGCAGAGGTGCAAATACGAAGATAGGAGCATAACCTCAAGCGCCGTAAATTAGTCTCAGGAGAGTTGACAAGGTGCCTTTCCGTCTCCCAAACCCCTCCCCTGGCTTTCCACCAACCAGGCAACCGAGAATTGTAAAGCCAGGAAGGAACCTTGTCCAGGTTTTTTGTCTCATTTGCCCTATTTCGTTGTCAATGCCTGCCCACAAGCCAACTTACAGACAACTACCTAAGTTGGGGTATCAACAGAGTCAGGCGGACCCACTTTGGTTTCCTGCGAAGCTTCATACATACAGTATAGGTAGGAGACGAGACGAAACTACCTTAGCGTAGTTCGGTTCCCAAGTTGAAAGAGGCGCCTATTTTACCTTGTTACCTTACTCGTAAATGCACCTCGACCCCCTGGAAGCTAAAAACCGATGGATTTTGGCGTATTTCCTTGCGGTTGTTACTATGCGAGACGGATTACGGTTTTCGGATTTTAGATGGTTTCGAGTATCGGTGATTACGAGAAGTTACACACAGACTAGAACGCTTGTTTTGACACGCGCGCGGGATAATATTATAGTTGATGCATGTATGTACCTGTATATATCATTCAAATTTAATTCGATAAATTAGATTAAATGCCCTTTTTTCTTTTTTCTTTTTTCTTTTTTCTTTTTTCTTTTTTCTTTTTTCTTTTTTCTTTTCTTTTTTTTTCTTTTCTTGGAGGAATATCTTTGGAGGAAAAAATCTATTCTTGCTGACGTTGTTGGATGATGATTGTTTTACGAGCGTCATCCACTGCCTCGCTCCGTCTTGCCTTGTTCATCGATGAGGAGTGATGATCGTGGCACAGTTGTCATGCGATTTTACTACCTCGAATCGTTTGCCCTATTTGGATTACGAAACTTGAGTAATGCTTAGCAAATTGCTTTTGTTTCTATGAATATGCTGTGTAGATGGTTGACGATTCGTCAGATATCAAGGAGTCTAGTAGGTGTGTCTATCAAGAGGACCAGGGAATTGGGGTAGCAGAGGAGTGAATTGCTTGATAATACCAAGACGGCGAGAATGCTGAAAGAGCGAAACCATTACAAATGAACAACTACCCGTAAAGTATAGTATTGGTCTTCTTCCAATAGCAAAGAAGGCAACCGGTAAGCTCGTTGCTTGCCTTGATAGGCATTAGACACGGACTCGTCCATGAGTCCGTGGGTGGGGCGGCGGGAAAACGTCCGCAGCGGACACGGCGGTGGGACCCTCAACGGAGAGTAGAGTGGACACCCGGTCGCCGGCATTGCTCTCTGGTAGTTGTTATCTAAGCGGAGGCATCGGCAGCTTATGTTGTGTGATGTCAGGAATCAGGGGGATCTATCAGGATAGTGAGATTTTAGATATGCAGCTGCTTTGTTTTGGTGTTTCGGGGTTGCTTTGTCTTGGGGTTGCTTCGGTTTGGGGTGGCTTCGATTTGGGGTTGCTTTGTTTCGGGGTGGTTTGGTTTTGGGGTTGCTTCGTTTTGGGGTTGCTTTCTAGTGGCTTAGTTGCGCGGAATGATTGTTTGACGAGCTAGGGCGAACACGTCTTTGAATTGGATGCCCATGCGGTGGGAAAAACACAGCCAGTCTGCCACTCTAATTTGTATGTGATAGGCGGCGCTGTTTTTCTTTCCTCCCCTTGGATGCGTAGATGTGGACAAGAGCTGAGCAATGTTGGCAAAGGCTGCGTACCCTTTCCAAGGTATCGGTACGCTTGATTTACGAAGACTTGGGGATAGGATAGGATGATGATACCTTCGCTTGGAGTCCAGAGTAGGGCCCATCAAGGTGTTAATTACCTCAGCTTGATCGGGTCAGCCTGCATACATACGCGTACCTGTAGGCATGGTTCATCTTCACATCGAGATCAATCTTAGCCGTATCGTATATCTGTTGTGCTTACGGAGTACCGACCCGGCACTCCTAGATAGCCCTCGGGAATCTAACTTATTCCTGCTTAGTCCCAATTTCTGGCGCAATGGTTCCTTTGTCATGAGGGGTGCCCCTGAGCATGGTGACAAATTGGTGATCCATGGTGATCCATGGTGATCCATTAAGCCGCTCAACACGTCCATCTTTTCGTCTTCTATTGTTCAGCAGGGCGTTTCCTAAATATACGCGACGTCAGACTTATCTTGGTCTATTCGTCGATGTTTGTAAAAGAAAAGGCAAAAGATACAGTCTGTATCTAAGCAAGTGCAAGTCTTACAGCATGATAGGAGACGAGGGTGGATGAACCTAGCCTGCTAAAGGAAGTGCTAACCGTTCCGAAGCGAGCGCTTCAACTATTTACTATAGCCCGCAAACTTATGAAGATCAGATCACCGAAGCGAATATTATATAGAGATGGAGTTTGTCTGGGAATCGCTGCGGCCCATTATGCTGAGTCTCCATACCTCGGAATGTAAGCATATCTACCACAAGGGTTCTCATATCATAAGGCTGCAGAAAACTTGGGGAACAGCTGAAGTCTGCATGTAATACCATGTTCAGTAATCATGGATGTACCACAAGGGTTCTCATACCATAAGGCTATAGAAAGCTTGGGGAAAAGCTGAAGGCTGCACGTAATACCATGTTCAGTAATCTTGGATCCTATATAGATGAGCTTTACGGTGCACAGCATGATCTCGCACATTCATTCTCGTTTAAGAAGAGATCTATGCATAGAACCTACAGACGAGCCGAATAATCGCAGCCCTTCTTCTCAGAACAAAAAGATTTCGTCGCTCATCTTTCCGCTTGCTCCTGGCTTTTTATACCCTAAGCTCACCAACGAGGTCTTCGCCGCGGCAACCATGCCCGGTGGCCCACAGACCAGAACCTTGCTTCCATCCTCACCCGGTGAGGGGAGCCTATCAGCCATCGTCTCCTTCGTCACAGAACCTGATCCAAACGTCCACTCAGGGGAATGACTCTCAAGGATATAGTACACCTCCAAGATCCTTCGATACCGCATGGCAAAGGCATCCAGCTCCTGCCCCAGAATAGTATCCTCTTCTGCCCGGTTGGCGTAGATGAGGCTGATCTGCGTGGTGTCGCGGTCGCTTTCGCAGACGGCGCGGATGATCTGGAACATGGGCGTGATGCCCGTTCTGCCAGCCACCATGCCCAGCTTCTTGTACAAGTGCTGCGAATACCGCACGCCTCCCCTGGGGCCTCGGATGTGAACCTCATCGCCGACGTTGAGGCTGGCCAGGTAGCCGTTGGTCATCTTACCGGCTAGGTAGATCTTGACGAGCAGCTCCAGGATGCCCTTGTCCGCGTTGTTCGATGTCGGAGTGTACGATCGTTTGATCTCCTGTAGGGAATATTCTGCGTTCTCTGCCATGATTCAAATGTATGAAATTTTTGCCAAATTCTAAATACAAGAAGAGAATGAAGCAGAAAAAGAAGGCGATATTTGTTTGGATTGGTGGCAGTGACTGTCTAGACCTCGTGATATGACAGTGGCTTATAGGACTCGCCCTCCCCCCTATTCCTCGTCCAAAGACCGAATGTTGACACCACGTCGATTTTGACACGCGATCTCGCCTAATCAGAAGTGTTATTTGAGACGCTTCCATTTCATCCAGTATGAGTTCCTCGGATTATCTACTCGATTTGTTTGGGTAATGTGAAGAATCAGTAATCCGGGGCATTCAGAAGCCACTGCGGAAGGTTGGCGTCCCTAGTGGCGGCCCCGGCCGCTCGATATGCCCGATGGTTCCAACTAAAGATCGACTACTGTTATTCGAAGGCGTTTGCATGACATCTCGGCACCTAGACATGGACTGCCGTCTACTTGGCACGTCTAGAATCGATCAGTGATATAATACTTCAGTATGAGCAACCTGCCATTCCGTGTGGACTGTTTCTCTGTCCTCATACAAAGCTCAGCAGCATGGACCGAGGTAGATGAACATGTCTTGAATAACCCATCTTCTGGTAATCAGATTCCGAGGAAAGGTTGTTTCACTCGGCAACGGACTCAACATGGCAGCCGTGTCATGATCATCTCTTGGACCTCAAGAGGCTCACCAAATGTTGAAGGCTTATGATACTCGAGGAGGATTGAAGGAGGGTCAAGGATAAAGGTCTGCCCTGCCTCTGCACCGGCTCAAAGAGAGTTTGTCAGTTGTTCCACACTCTCTCCTGGAGCATTTTGATGATCCTTAGTTATCAAACTTCTTCACGTATTGCCTGTATCCTACATGTCGACTCACTTTTACCTTTTAGGGGAACCATCCTTCACAGCAGTAGAGTTCGATATCTCTGAAGCAACGGACTTCCAAGCTTTGCAAGATCTCGTGGGATCGCGCTATGCCGTTGTGGAACTTCGTGGTAAGAGTTGAATTTCATATATACAACCCGACTTGGTTCCTAACATATATGGCTTCAGGAGTGGGCTTTATATACGAGATTTGACACCTCGCATCAGTACCAGAAGTACGTGCTGCAGACGGACCTGTTTCCATCTCCATCGACGGAAATGCAGTGCGCGAAAGCCGCGGCCCCAAAGGTCTTCCTATCTGGGCAACTTTACGCAGATATACCCGGACCACCTGGGCAACCACCGAAGAATGTTTGAAACATACGGCAAGCTCTTTGCGGTGACCACGCTCGGCACCAAGTGGCACTACACAAACGACCCCAGCCTTGCCACCATCTGCTTCACCGAAAGCGACTTCTTCACCAAGGCCGTCATCCCAGGCCATCCCCTGCACGCCTTCAACCTGGGCGAGGCTGGCATCTTTTTCGGCAGTACGGATTCCGAAAACTGGCGCGTCAATCACAAATTCTTCCCTCACACGCTGGGCCCCAAGGCCGTAGAGCTTCAGCTTCAGGAGGCCGCTCTGGAAGCCGATCACATCATTGGTATGCGCACTTCAACTTGAATGACTTTTATGAATCCAGAAATATTCTGACCGGTTCCAGTTATTTTGACTAGATTTTGCCGTCCGAGCACGAGACGGCAAAGGAAACAAGTTGGCTCGAGAACAAGCCTCTCTGGGCGTGACAGTCACCGGCGCAGGGTTTTCGACAACCGCATCGCTCATGTCATGGTTGATATACGGCCTCATCTGCCATGACGGAATGCAAGATCGTCTTCTCCAAGAGCTCGTCGACAACAACTGGGACGAAAACACCCCAGTCACCCCCGAGCTTCCCAAGAAGCTCACATTCCTCGGGAAATACATCAAGGAGACACAGCGCCGCCACACTTCATCCTCCTAACCCGCCCGCACCGCCAAGACGGACCTCATGCTACCGGGAGGCTACAAGATGGCCAAGGTCTCCATCGTCATCATGGCTCTGCACCACATCCACAACGACAGCGAGCACTGGGACAGCCCTGCCCGGTTCGACCCGGACCGCTGGGACACGGAGCGGGTCAAGAACCGACATGCGAGATCGTTTCAGCCGTTTGGCTCGGAGCCCCGCGGGTGCATTGTGTTTCATCTGGCGCTGGAGGAGGTCAAGGTGTTCTTGCCCAATCTGGTGTATCGATATGAATTTACGCTGGTGAAGAGGGATGAGGCCGTTCAGTATGACCCGGATCAGGTCATCATTAAGCCGGGCAATCTATATGTTCGCGCGGAGAGACGAGTTCGTTGGCCTGCAAAGTCTGAGTAGCTCTCTGATGGCCGATTCGCTCTCCTTTCTTGTCTTTGATATCCTACTTTGAGATATCAGTAGAATATCCAATGATGACAATGATTCTGATTATTCCTTTGATGCATTTGGCGTGCTGTATTGGTGTATAGGAGAAACTGCCTCGCGTAGGTTTTGCTCAGGGGACTATATATAAGCTTACATGGACTTGGTGGCTGATGACACACTATCACCAAGTTGAGAGTCCCTGCAAAGGGCGCTTAAGCCAAAATGCTGACGTTGATCCTTAAGCGCAACCCCCTGGTGCATGAGCAATTATATGCAGTTCTTTTTTTGATTCTTTCTTCTGATTCTTATCCCATCGAAAAGGAGTGCATCAGCTATCGTATGGAGCTGAATCACGTCTATCTGTCCGGAACATTTACCTGTTTTTGAGCGTTGCTAATCTGGATTCTGATGGCAAAATTCGACATTTAGATTTCTGTTTAGTTGTTGCATAAGTGCAGAGCTGGAGGTTGAAGAAGTATAGCTAGGCACTCGCGTATTAACATAGCAAGCCCTGAGATAGCCCTACCTGGGTTGGGAAGACATATCTCAAGACGATTCAAGAATTACAGGGGGCTGTATAACTTCAATGAGGGGGATCATAGGCCTAGGTAAATTCAACAACGACAATAGTAAATGTTAACCTCCCAGGATGCAACAGAGCTTGCATGGCAAAGTCTATCATTTACACTAACGAATTAATTGAATTTACCGTTATATACATTTGTTCTACTTTTATTTTCATTCCTCAATTTCCTGTCCATGTAAACCGGCGGGGCACATCGACAAAACACCCTCGCACTCAACAGTACAGCTTCCCCAGTCAGGGGTGGACAGCTCAACTCGCTTCAACACCCCCTTCGACTCACATCAAGCCAATCTTGCATCGGTCATGCGAGGCCTGCGGACGAATCTTGCTCAACTACCTGAGACCCTGGCCATGACGCGGCCCTTCCACGCGAGCTGCGCAAACTTGGCAACACACTGTAGATAATTTGTCTGCGTAAGATGTGCCGCTATACGTTGCCGGCCCTCACGTAAAGCCTTAATTTTCTTGAAAACCGAAGGGCTATTGCTCAAGCTGGAGATTACGGACTTGGGTCGGGCATAGTGGGTATGGAATGGAAGTTTTATTTCGTATTCTTAGTTGGAAAATACGACGAAGTAGGTAGACGCTCACTTTGAAGCTCTCCAATCACAAGACGCTGTATGGTAGAGGCATACTAAAATCAAACATATACAAGGGCATAAACACCAACGCTGTAATCATCAAGTACCAGGAGCACCATCCTCAAGCACAATCAACAGACTGTAAGTTATCGAGTCATCTCAGACGCTCTTCTTATACATGACAACCTATGTCTGTGCGAGCACTTCTCTAGCATCTGATCTAGGGGTGGTATCGTGAAATAAAACCAAAAACAAAAACCCCCTGCGCCGATCCATGCCATGCCGTACCAGAACCAAAACGCTGCTAGGTGCTCCATATTGTACATCAATACCAAAGTATGCCGAACCAAAGCCAAATGCCCGCGTGAGGAGCCCTCAACGCTAGCCGCCACCCGCTGGCCTTTGCTTCAGTTGTATCAGGTGCTTCAAACCGGTCTGAACGCCCATGTACTTTCGCTGTTTGGGGTCGTACCATCCCAGGACGTATACGGCCATGACTGCAGACTTTCCCTGCAACTCTACGAGCCCGTCAACCCTGATACATCCCCTGCTGGGCGGCTGCTTCGGAGTCTGCCAGTTCTTCGTAAACGTGACGGTAGCCGCCTGAAGAGCCGCCTGAATTCGGGGATCGACCTGGCTTACGCCACTGAACGGTGTGCCGGGAATCTCGCTGATGCCGGTGTGGACCGGAAAGTTGGACTTGTCCGGCTGCCCAGGAACCTTGACCGTTTGTTTGCCAGTTGTGCCGAGTTCTCCCTGTTCCTTGATACGGTTGAGGATGGCAGCCTGCCATGTGGCCTCGGGTGGCGGTGGCGTATTGAACCCCAGGGCTTTGCCAATATCTTGAGCCGTCTGCCCGGCCAATGACTTCAGAAACGCCCATACGGATAATGCCACTGCTTTCGGATAGATTGCCATATTGAGGTGGTTGGCAGCCAGCGAGTCCATTGGTCGATCACCCCAGAAGATGCCGTCATCATCAATGATGATGCTGCAAAGAGCATTAGCAGAAGTTCACTGGCAAAGATTTGCTATCTCGTGGCTTACCCAGAAACATAATGCTTGGGCGGTGGCGCAGGTGGGTATATGATATCCAGCCACAGTTTCTTCAGTTTGATATCGCGACCACCCAGAAGCTGAACATATGCAGGGTTCCGTTCAACCCCTCGGCGGATCAGTTCCGCGAGTCCCACTATGAAGGCAGCCGGTTAGTCATGATGCGGCTTTCCACGGTTTCCTCTCCACATCACACTCACTTTTGATGTCCTTTTGTAACTGTTGATCTTTGTTCACAGCGATAAATGTCGCCCACTCGGGATCAGAGCCTTTGTACGGTGGCTGCCTGACCTCCTTCGTCGTGAAAGGGAATGGGAGGAACAAGATGGGCTCGTCCTCGTCTGCCATATCTTCCATCTCTTTCTTTTCCTTCTCTGACAACGCCTCCCACTCGTGATCTGCCCAGTCTAGTAGCGGGTCGAAGACAACGGTCGCGAAGATTTGCCAACAGGCATATGCTGCGATGCAGGTGAAGACGGCTCGGCTGCATACGACATTAGTCCGGATACTGTCAGATCGCAGTGGCGACGACTTACTTCAAGCGACGCCGAAAGGCACCTGGCTTGGGCGGAACAATGGGCTTGGCAAAGTACACCGGAAGCCCCTCCGGCGCTGGCCTACTCCGCCATGGTAGGAAAGAGATCTGTCGGCTGATGGAGGGAATGCGATGGGCGGGGAGACGAGGAGAGGCGATTGACAAGAGGTTTGCGTGTCGCGAAACGACCGCTGCGCGCCGCAGCATCCCGGCTTTCGGCTCGATTCTGTGCGTTTCCAAGAAGGCTTCAAGGCAAAACAAGATGATAAAATAGGACAAAAGAAAAAGGTGGTCTATCAAAAAGACCGGCGCATTGTGTATTTGGAGCTGATGGATGGTGATGAAGGCGAAGTTGCGCTGCGATATTACACATCTTGTTCGCATGTGGTTACGCAGGGGTCTGACCGGAATATCATGTCCCCACTTCCGATGCGCCAACCACATGCAGCTTAGCCAAGCAGCTTGAAGCGTCACCTACGTACTTCGTACTTGAATCGTCGGTGCAACTTGTGACGCCGAGCCCTTTTTGCGCGCCTTCACCATCCACGACAGCTTCAACAGAGACGAGTATCATCATGAAGCTTACGCTGGGCATTGCCGCAGCGCTTGTTGGCTGCGCGGCAGCGTCACAGCCCGCCGCCGACGTCTACCTCCTACCGAATCGCGAAGCCGCGTCTCCTCCGTCCATCTCCAGCAGCGTCGCCGGACTCATCACACAGCAGCGAGCGTCCTCCGGCTCAGTCGCCTCCGTCAGCGAGATCCCAGACAATGTCGACGCCGAGACGGTGGTTTCGCTCATGAACCAATACGGAAGCGTCCGGCCCTCGTTGTTTGATGAACTCACCGAAGAACCCAAGCAGCTGTTTGTTATGCTGGAGGGCCTGACGGAAGAGCAGATCAAGGACACTCGGGCGAAGCTGGATGTGCAGCCGTCATTCACTATTCCTGAAGTTCCTTCTACCGACCGTCTGCGGTGGGCCGCTGGCCTTGACGTCTCTACTATCTACAAGGGGTCGAAGAAAGAGAAGACGAGCTGTTCGTTTGACGAAATGATCAATCCGTTGGAGGAGCGATGCTGGAGAGGAAATTCTTTGATTGCCGATTTTGATGTTCAAAAGGTACGCATAGAGAGACTGGTGATGATTTGATACATACCTTATCGTGGAGATGGCATGGACTACCGAGCTAACTCCGCTCTTTGCTGCGAATAGAAGCCGGAAATCCTCAACGACGTGATCAACAGCTTCTCCCGGCTGGCGTCGCTTGCTGAGATTGGCGAAATGCAAGTGACTTTGCTGCTTCTGCCTTCCGTCGGCAAGTCGTCAGGCAAGAAACAGGCGTTGAACCGGCGCCAAGCAGAGCGAGTCATCTCCTCCTTTCGCAAGACTGCCGCCCCTGCGGTACCGACCTCGCCAGCCAACAAGAACCAGAACATGCTCGTCTCCAAAACGCCCATTGCTGCCTGCTTCGACTCCGTGGACAGCTGCGTCTCTGCGACCGGCAACTGCTCTCACCAAGGACAATGCCTGGACAGGTTCAAGTCGGATGCTGCTGGTGGCCCCGTCTGCTTTGCGTGCCACTGCTTGAGCACCCGCGAAACAGATGATGGACCACTTACCCACTGGGCGGGGCCTACTTGCGCCAAGAAAGATATAAGCGTTCCCTTTTGGCTTTTTGCGGGCTTCACGTTGCTTCTGCTGGGAACGATCTCATTGGCCGTCACTATGCTCTACAACGTGGGTGAAGAGAAACTGCCAGGCGTCATTGGCGCTGGAGTCTCCAAGTCTAAATAAGAGGTCAATGGGGCCTTTCGAACGCATTTTAACCCCCTTGTGGCTTACGTTGATTTTTGGGTTCTTTGTGTCCAATGGACAGGTAATGGGCGAGGATATCATGAGATGTTGGCCTGGAACAGAGGCCAAGTTGGGCATGTAAGAGGAGGAGCACTCTTTCGATGAGAGGCTCTGCCATGTAATCATTGGAGCCAACGCCTCATGTATCATACAGATGTATTCAATAGCGGTTTGTTTTTGCTTTGACACAGTTTGATAGAAGACCAGGTCTGGCAACAGGGCTGTGACTGATTCTGAAACCAAGGGGGATCCCGTGTCTTGTGATGTCGATGATTGTAAGAGGTGGTGTTAGTGGTGGTGAGCGAATGTGGTCAAAGGTCATGAAGGACATGCAGCTCCGGGATACACGTATTCAGCTCCTGACTAATAGATGACTAGAAGTTAGTCAGTTCTAGATCGAATACACAGATCGATCTTTGGGCAGCTGAACAACAAGCATCTGGTAAGGGATGCCGAAGGCTGCGATCTTAAGGTTAATCGGGGACCATCTGCCATGCGCTTGATGTTCAAGTAGCTAGACTGCCGAGCTTGGGCAGTCCCATTCAGGACTAGACGGCTAGTGTCGCGCCAAGCATGTCAAAAGTGGGCGATGTAATGCCTCTTGAGGACTAGCGCAACTGTCCCAGCTGAGCCCATCGAGGTGGAGCCACGGCAGGAACAAGCATCTTCAACAGCAGGAGCAACCTGGAAGCTTCAAACGGCATGAGCGAAACTGCGCATAAGATATCTTACCGAGTATCTGAGGCAATAGCCCAGACGGCTTTGGGCTAACTGGGATCTTCTTCTCGCTTCCTATCTGACGCTTTCGACAACATTCTTCCATGACACTATTCCTAGAGTTCTGCGCCGCCTTCGAGCCTCGGGTTTGCCCGCGTCTGACCTGGATATTCCCCGGAGCTGAGAGGCGTGGCTGGTGGACCAATCGCTGACCGGGGGGTTTTCTGGCTGAGGGCCCGCCTGCGCCATGGCCGGACTTTTGGGAAAACGCCGCCCCAGCTTAAAGCGGTTCCAAACACTCGAGACGCTCCCAGGGTCGATCGAGACGATGAACTTCATATTAAGTCCAAAGCCCGCCGGACTTCAGTCTCAACTCCCGCGACAAAACCATGTTTCCTGTTTCGATAGCTTGCATAACTTAGCGAGCAGTCAAGAGAACGCCGGAGAGAGAGACAGATGCAGAGACAGTAGACAACTTGTCTGTCTTGTCGCCCGGTGACATACGATGGATACTCAGTCCGCGCGATCAACCACTAACAGCTCGAAAGCCGAGCGGCCAAAACTGCCCACGGCGAAATGGGGAGCTGCCTGTGCTCCGTGTGCGGCGGCAAAGGCGAAGTGTATACGGTCCAACGATGCTTCGGGAGCTAAATGCGACAGGTGAGTTAGATGGGACAAGAGCTGAGATCCCCGGGGCTATTCCCTATCCACAGTGGTCTTGAGACGAGGAAACTGGAGATGCAAAGGATCACAATATATGAATTTGGGTCTCATCGAAATCACATCTCCCGGTTATCCGGACTCTTTGATTTTTTCTCATATTGTTATCATGTTAATTCCGTTTCATCATAATGTTGTTGAGTAAACACTAACACGGCAACTGTTATCGCATCACGCAGGTGTGAGAGGCTGTTGAAAGAGTGCAGCAACCAGATCCATCGACCTCGAAAGAAGAGACAAGCAAAGCCCTCGTAAGTTGTCAACTCCCGTTCAAGTTCTTGTCAACTCATAGCATGCTTCATGCCGCAACTCTGGTTCTACTGTGTTTCCGGAGTTGTTGGCCAACTTCCCGGCCCCCCTAGAGTTACGGAACTCCGCTGGAACGGAGATTTCGCTTCTCCAAGGGCGCTAGGAAACCTCCGTCTCCATCAAGAATCAAGGCAGATTTACCCCTTATGAATTTCAGCTCTAACGTGCTCTTGGGTAGCCGAACATCACAGATCGAAGAGCGACTGAATGGCCTTGTGAGCCTTCTCAAAGCCTCTGGGGAAATATCTGAAACCCGACACCATCCCTCTTCCCACCAAGGCGACTGCAACGAAGACCCGAGAACGGAAGTCTCCTCTGACCGCCCATCGCCCTACTCGAGCTCCTCCAGTGCGATTCCCAGCATCTCTAACCAGGCCAATACTTGGATAATCGACCCGTCATACAACTCCTTTACTCCGAAATCATGCATCTGCCATCCAGATACCATGGAGGCGCCACCACCTCCCGAATCGGACGAGGTCCTCCTTGATTTTTACCGAAAGAATCTCCAGCCGGTTCATCCCTTCGTCATCATACCGCCCAATGTCTCGGCGGCCGTCCTAGCGGCAAGAAGGCCGTTTCTTATGGCCGCCATTCGAATGGTCAGCTCGTTTCGAAGCATCAGGTCGATGAGGGCGCAGATGTATCATCTGATGAAGCATATTGCAGACCACATGCTCATCCGCTCAGAAAAGTCCCTGGACCTGCTCTTGGGAATCATCGTCATGCTGGGATATCAACAGTACCACTGCTGTCTCCATGGACAGCTCAACAACTTGATAACATTGGCCGGCAGTTTGATTGGCGACATGGGACTGTCTAAGCCCCCGGGTCTGCACGAACGAACGCGGTTAATGGTCGTGCGTCCACCGGAGCCGCACGGCCGAAGTAACGAAGAGAGGAGAGCGTTCGCAGGGGCTTGGTACTGGGCATCAGTGTTAGTCGCTTTCTTACTACCCTATTCAGCACTATGGCATCCGATGGCTAACTTTCTCTCTCCACAGAATATCCATGAACTTCCAGCGAGTAGAACCGATGCGCTACAATGGCTACCTTCAGGAGTGCATTCGACATCTCGAAGAAAACCCGGAATACGACACCGACATTTCTCTCGTGTATCTCGTCAAGATACAGCGGTTGACCGAGCGCATTGCCGAGCTCAACTCGAGAGATCGAGCCTCGGAAGAACTTTCTTCTGTTCCTTCAGCTCCTGTGTCGGCTTATATCCACGCATTTCAGAACGAGCTTAACCACATCCGCAATTCTATGCCGAAACATTTGCAGGAGGACAGTCAGTAGTTGTTTATAACCCTTGCATTGAATTTCTCGTCTAACGGCATGCCATAGGAACCTTCCAGCTGTTTCTAAACAGTGCAAGGCTTCGATTATATGAGCCTCCCGTCATCGACAAGAACTTGGTCCGCTCCTTATCCAAGTCGCTCTCCTCCGTCCCAATGACTACGGACTCACCCCTTGACAAGATCTACCAGTCCAGTGCCGCTTTGACAACATGGTTCAACTCCTGGCTCTCTCTTCCCATGTCAACCTACTACTTTCAGACTACGGCAGTTGGCTCGCACCTCGTTTACGCTCTTGTCATGTTGGCCCGCTGGGCACGGCTGGCGACTCCCAGAGCAATGTATGAGGGAAAGACAACAATGCCAGACGACCCAAGTGCAAATAACCCCAATGTCGCCTTGTATAACTCGGACATGGCCAACGCGCAGTACGATCCTAGGATGATGCAAGACAAGTGTGGCATGCCCCAGGGACACATGCCACGACGACCCGATCTAGAAGACCCCGACCTGGCAGCTGCCGTGGCCATCTTGCGTACACAGCTGCAGACGCAGCCAGGCCTCATGATTAACATTCCAGAGATTCTCTCTGCCATCTCCAGCCGCTTTGAGCATGCCAACGCGACGTTTCAGCTATGCTCTGCAGACACAGAACGGGTCAATAAGAATGTCTGGATGATGACAGCGCTCAAAGTCCGCATTGCACGCGCAAAACTGGAGAAGTGGGCGGAACTTGTGGCTCAAGGAGCAGAAACCATGAATCTGGAAAGTCGTACCGAAGCCGACGAGAGATTGGCGGATTGGCAGGCGGCGATGCACATACCGCAAACCGAATGTGCCGGGCTGGATGACATGGGCCTCTTTGCCGATGATAGCTTACAGGAGCCGCAGATTGAGAACAGTTGGGGGAACATGGCGCACAGCTCGTGGACTACCGATTTGCTATCCGGGTTCGATCCCAACGGATGGTTCGATGGCTATGTGGATTGGAACACAATGCCGATGCACGCTACGACCTCTGCAGAACGATGAGCTCTTCATGCTCGCCGAATCTAGGGTTGCCTATTGACCACCACATCCGACACGACACCTTGATGATGCGAGAACAAGCCACTCGTTGGATGGTTGAGAATTTCTACGAATTTGCGCTGCACCTTTCAACCAATTCCGACATTGTATACGCAGAGGGCGTTGTAAGACATGTGGTGGATGGATGAATCTTGCGAACGTTTTTAAAATTTGTTATTGTCGGGCGTTTACCAGATACCTCAGTTTGCCTTATTTTCTCCTTTGCCTGAATCTCAAAATTGTTTCGGGCCACGCTCTTATGTACATGAGCGTTCCCTTGAACGAATTTCTGATGATAGAACGACATGCTGGACCAACTATTTGAAAATAAAAACATGAAATGGCTAGTATATTCTTTCCATTGGCATAGGATCCAGACAGCCGTATGTGTGATTATAAAATGAGCATGTCATCTCTATGAAGAATAAATCGATGCGATTCCAAGACTCAGTCTTGCTCAGAGTAACGTTCTGAAGGTCAGAGTTGGAGATGTGCGGGGTCTCATCCAACTACAGCTCCAAGCATCTCACAGTCTACCAGCACTCACCTTTCTTCTGCTGACCCCTTAGTAAAAAGCTCACTGTCAAACATCAGCGTCATCTAGACCTTTTTTTTCTGTCAAATACATGAGAAATGGACTTTTCCACACGGCAATACGAGGAGATTCCCCCACCCAGCGTCTCCTGCGACGTCGTCGAGCCGGCTGAAGTCTACAAATGGCTCGAGCAGCACAAGGCAGCCGGGGAAGACGCGCAGAAGGACTTTCAACTGGTGGATGTGCGTCTAAATGAATGGGAGGGCGGGACGATTGCTACGTCGATCAATCTGCCTGCTCAGTCGTTTTACCAGGCGCGCGAGATGGTGTACACTCTTGCGAAGCAGGCTGGGGTGAAGAAGGTTGTCTTTTATTGCGGTGAGTTTCGGGCCTTGTCACTTGGGATCATGTTATGCTCGGGGGTGTATGATGGCGTATTATTTGGGATGTATCGGATGAAATGTTGTCTGATAGCAATGTAGGGAGCTGTGGAACTAGAGGGCCGAAATGCGCGGGTTGGTTCCAAGACTATCTCGATTCAGTCGGTGAAGCCGAGATGAAGGCTCTGATACTCAAGGGAGGCTTCAAAGGGTGGCAGAAGACGTACAACGGCCAGTTGGTAGAGGCCTGTGATCCCGATGCCTGGCGCTCACCGAGCACATAGAGGGGATTCCTGCCGTAGGCGTGGCGTTCATTCATTGTTTCTTTTTGTCTTTTCTTCTCCACCCCTTGTCCGCACTTGAGCCTCGGATTATAAAAATGCCATAAAGTCTAGCAACAAAAGACGTTTTTCTGCATATCAAAAAAGGTCCCGTTATATCGCCCTCCCTTTCGTCGTCGGTCTCCGTAAACGCCAAACGAAACACATTATTCAGGTATTTTCCATTTTCATCTCAGCTTTATGCTGGTCGTTGTCTATGGTTGAAGAAAGACGGTTTTTATCGGTTTTGCCTGTCGTCGCCGCCGATCCTCTCGAGAGCTTCGAGCATGACTACGGAGTTGCCGCGGATGACCTGTCGTTTTGCTCTACAGTAAGCGTGATGTTCCTAGGGGGGGAATTGGGGGGGAAGAAGGAAGTCCATGGGGGAGTTTGGACTTGTCGGGTGGATGTAGAGACGCACAACCATGCCGAGCCTGACTTTCTCTCCGCCGTCCTTTTCCTCGACTGCCTCGTCCAGCACGATGTTCAGGAAGACCTGTGCTGCTTGTTAGCTTTCCAACTTGTATGCTTCTCCGTGTTGTATGGGGGGCTTTCTTACATCGTAGCCGCGGAGCACGCCGATGACTTTGCGGCTGCCGTTGAGCTGGACAAAGAGCCGCTTGTCGAGATACTAAGCTCGCAATGTCAGCAGAATGGATCAATTGAACAGCGACCCGGTCAGAGAGACGTCGGAAGTGAAGGGCGGCAAGCTTTGTGGGATAGAAGACGACTAGGATCCAAGCTGGACACTCACCTTCTTCAGCTCAGGTTGGGCGGGCGCCATCTTGAGCAGTTCAAATGATGGGTTTGGACGTGGTTGGACGGTCGATTTGCGACGCGATTCTGGAGCACTATCGCAAGGTTGAGAGAAGCTCGTCCGCCTGGAGAGAGCGGGTCACGTGCTGATTAGATAACGATTTCCCGGGATATCGACACTCGGATCGAAGATGGACTTGTTGCAACTTCACTCCAAGCTCACCAATCAGCACAGTCTCGGGAAAATGAGCTCGTTTGGTGCGAGACGAAAAGCAAAGGTCATCAAAGTCGACTACGATGACGACGAGAGCAGCGGAGATGCGCCGCCTGCGACAGAAGGTGGAGGTCTGAAAGATGGTACGTTCTGCACTCCATGCTATCGCGATGTCTTTGCTGATGGGAGAACAAGGCTGACTTTGGCTACGGCTACAGACGGCGCGAGGCCAGTGTTTGCATCAAAATCCAATCGAAAGCCATTGCGTCAATCCGGACTGCGCAATGCCCTAAACGCACGAGACGAGGAGGCGTCGGGCGGCAGAGACGAGATTTCGCAGGGCAACGACGAAGATGACGACGGGCCAGTAGTTGTCCGGCCGAGTAACGTTCGGGCGGGCGCATCGAAACAGAAGAAGAAGATTGCAATCTCGAAAATCTCGTTTGGTGGCGACGCGGGCCAGGAGGATGACGAGGCGAGTAGCGATTTCGCTACCCCAAGAAAGCCGGCAACGGGACCGAAAGTTCTCCCAAATTCCATCAAGCGAGGCATTGGTGCTAGAGGATTGCCGCTACCGGTTCGATCATACCAGGAGGACGACGACAGGCCAAGATACAGCAAAGAGTATCTCAGCGAGCTTCAGTCATCAACGCCTAATACCCCCAGTGACCTCTCATCCCTAAAGGCGAACCTTGACGACGAAATGGAGCTCGATCCCTCAGAACTAGAAGGGGCCTTGATAGTGGAATCCCCGATACCAACAACCGTCAGCCAGCCACAGACCACGCAGATCCTTACCGAAGCCGAGATTCGCGAGAGGAAAGAGCGGAGAGCTCGATTAGCAAAGGAAAAGGACTTCCTATCCATGGAGGATGAGGACGATGGCTTGTCGAGTCGGAAGAAGAAAGACGAGACTCGATTGGTTGCCGAAGACGAGGACCTCGGAGAAGGCTTCGACGAATACGTTGAAGACGGTGGATTGTCACTAGGCAAACGCGCAGAAAAGGAGCGCCGAAAGCAAGAGCGTCAAAAGATGGCCGAGCTCATCAACGCAGCCGAAGGCAATGCCTCGGACTCTTCGTCAGACAGCGATGCGGAGCGACGAATAGCCTACGAAAGGGCGCAGACGCGTGCGGGACTGGACGGGCTTAAGAAGCCGAAAAAGGATCCCAACGAAGAGCTGTTGCAGGTCCCTCCCAAGATTACACCGTTACCGAGCCTTGCGGAATGTTTAGTGCAGCTGCAGGCGACGCTGAAGACGATGGAGATGAACATCCAGACCAAGGCGGCGACGGTGGCGCAGCTTACCCGCGAGAGAGACGACATCATCCAGAGGGAAGCTGAAGTACAGGCGTTTTTGAACGAAACGGGCAAGAAGTACGAGGAGGCCATGGGACGGAAACCTAATCCTGCTGACGGGGTGGCCGGTGCGCTGGCTGGCGAGAGAGGGCTGGAGAGCTTGGGAGCGACGCCAGTCAATGAAGTCCATATGGAGGACGTGGCATGATGAGCTTGGTTAATTATGTTTGATCTTTTTAACATGTATGAGTATATAGCGGGTTGTTTAGGGAGCTGCCGTTTGGGCAGTGAATGCACGATAGACCGATAGGTCAAACTAATGGCGATTGTCATTGATATATATTATAATTCTGACTTCCTACGACCACTCTTTTCGTACACATGAGTGTCAATGTGGATAATGTTCCAGTAGCTTGTTGATGGGGAATTCGGGACATACAAGTAGTCAGAAAGAGTGCTGCTCTGTGAGCTGGGGTATCATGTTGCTCGAAGTCTGTGTTTATAGATGAATTCCATTCCATTACCTATGCATATCAAGTTGGTTCAAAGCTCGCGCTTGGTAATCGTCACCCAAAAGTCGGACGCAAAGAGAAAGATGGAGGCGGTCGTCTTGATCGGGGCTTCAGGGTTGACGATGCAAAAGTCAAAGCGTCGTACAAGCTGGTCGAAATAACAGTAATCAGGTTCTCCTCTTCTTCACTTACCCCCTGTCGTCCCTTGCTTCATCTCTGCCATGTGGACTCGTGTAACACGGCTATACAAATCTCAGAGTAAAACTGGTGTGCAAAACGTACCTCAAACACAGCCTTGTGCAACTCCATCAAAGCAATCTGCTTCCCCAGACACGAATACTTGCCATGTCCGAAATGCGTATCCACCGCATTCGTCATCTTCCTCAATCCCACTCCCTCAGCGCGGAGCCACCTCTCGGGGCGAAAGACGTCGGCGTCCGCGCCCCAGACGGCCTTGGCCCGGCCGACGCCGTGGAAGCCCTGCCCGATCTCGGTGCCGCCGGGGACGAAGTAGCCGTTGATGAGGTCGCCCTCGGGGGGAACGGTTTTGAAGCCGAGGCCGGCGACGGGGGGCCACATGCGGAGGCCTTCGCTGACGACGGCTCGGAGGTAGGGCAGGGTTTGGGTTTGAGACCAGGAGATTAGGGGGGACGTGGTGGTGGCGGTGTGGGAGCGGATTTCGGTGAGGAGGGCGGTGTAAGCTGGGGGGTTGGTGATGAGGGAGAGGAGGGTCATGCGGAGGGCGTGGGCGGAGGAGTTGGAGCCGGCGATGCTGGAGGGCTGTATAAGTGAGTGCTCTTGACAGACCGTCTGGAGTGGAGGGGGTCATGGATGCTGGGAGTGAGGCGTACATGGAGAGAAGGACTTGCTGGATGAGATCGTTCTTGGTCATGCCATTGTCAATGTGCGCTTGCATCATGTCGTGAGCGCGCGGAGTCTTGGGGTCGAGCCGTCTCTCTACGTAACTTCGTGCGAAGCTTCAACTCGGGCTTTTTTTTAGCATCCGAACAAAAGTCTTCGATAAGTGGACATGGCATCACTTACTGCATCAGTCGGCCAAAGCCAACCTGATCCCCTTCCTTGGGCAGCATCAGCCTCAGAGGCCACGTATGAACCAGACTCGCCAGCGCCGGCATCACGGAGACGACATTCATGACGGGCAACGACGTCGCGTTGATCTTGTTGTACTGGTACAAGTCCTGGTCCTTGTCGAGGTAGCCAAAGGGCTGGCCGAGGGAGATGTCGCCGATGGCGTCGAGGGCGAAGAATTGCGTCTTCTCGGCCATGTCAAAGGGGCGCACGTCCGGGCCTGAGGAGACGTACTTGCGCTCGAGGAGGTTGATGAAGCTGAGCAGTTGGCGATCTAGGGCGGCTTCGAAGCTGAAGCCTTCGTTGGCCTTGCCGGAGAACTTAAGAACAGACAGAAATCAGTATCAGTCACAGTTGAGAACAGTGAGAGAAGGGAGAGTAATGGCGATGGGCAGGCTTACACCGGGAGTCATTAGGGCACGCATTTCCTTGTGCTTGGCCGGATCTCGCAGGGACACGACGTTGTCCACGCCGGGGACGATTTTGCCGCTGGCGTAGAACTTGCCCTTGGTGTAGCCGCTGCGGACGGCGGACATGTGGCGGAGGACGTCGGGGTCGACGGAGAGGAGGTGGTTGGGGCCGATGCGGACCAGAGGGCCTGTGAGACACACATAGCATGTCAGAATGAGACTTCATTTTGTCAAAAAGGGTGAATCGTATGAAATACGCCGCCATGAAACGAAAGTGTACGGAACGGACCATAGGTATCGGCAGCTTCCTTTAACCGCTCATGATACCTCCCGGACATGGCGCCGGAGAGCTGCCACCAGATTGTCCATGCTGCGCTGGGCGGGCCGGGGATGTGGCGCAGGCGCTGCCAGAGGTAGATTCGTCTGGCGAGGAAGGCGAACAGAAGGATGAGGCAGATGGCGGATAGGTTGACTGTCATAAGCGGCATTGTTGCAGTTTTGGGAGTAGGGATGGACTGGATGGGAGGTCCAATTGGATATGTGTGGTTCATGCACGCCTTTGCGCTGTGTAATGCTGGATGTTACAATGTGCATGAACGTCATGGGTAATTGTCGATCGGATCTGCAATTTGCCAGAAGAGGAAAATCAGAAGAAGGTGAAGAAAAGAAAGACAAAAGAAAAAGAAAAAAAAGAGGAGGATGGGGGCAGATGGTTAGCGGAGGATAGGGAGACAGCATACATGTACATGGTTTTAGATCATTCCACGCTTTTGCCTCTTAGCTTCGACACCCCGGTTGCGGTCAATCCGGAGGCCCTTGGCTACATATATTGAATGCTAGCTGCAACACCTCGTCAATATTGATACGCAGGTCTTGGGAGTAAATCGGATTGAGTGTGTAAAAGCGGGATTGGCGGCTGAAAGATGGTCCCGGGCATGCTTAGCAGGGGCGTGAATGGGAAATGGGGGACATCATGCCGCTTTTATTCATTGGTGCTCAGTTCCCCGGATCTTATTGTGAAAGACATGAGGCCCAGCATTGAGCTCGACAGCGTGCAGTTAAAGATTACGATGGCGAGATTCTTTCGCCAGCTGTTGTTGGCCCGGCTTGCACTTGTATGCACCGGGCTGAGAGTCTAACATGCGTCTGGGCTTCCAATAGAGTGAATCCATGCACGATACCATGAAAAGTTTCATACATAAGAACCCTTCAGGTTGACACATGTTGATCCATCTGACGGGCCTCTTCAGCCTCCAGGTCCGCGGTTCGCTAGCCGCGGGCCGGGCCAGGGCTCATGGGGCCACTAATTTAGCGCTGGGCGGGACCGAGTTTGGGGGGAGTTTTACGGGGATTGGAATTGATGGATTCTGGGGTTTTTGACAACATGGAGGCGAGGTGAAAATGCAAGTGTTGAGACATGATATGTATGTACAGATGCATAGAGATCCATCATCAGATTACATTACCTTTCATGCCCGAGCCAGTCACTACATCCAAGAACTGAGAGTACCTGATGAGAATGATAGGTTGAAGGGGTCAATTGCGGTCCATTCGTGCTCTGGCAGTACGCTGAGTCCATCCAATATCCCATATCCCTAGCCCCCAATTTCCGCTGACAGCCCGAGAGTCCAGAATTGCCAACGCTCAGCTTGATCATGCTGTAAGATATCTTACAAACATCCGATACAGCCCAAGTATATGCACCTAGTTACAGATGACTCCCTAGCGAGTTATGCGTCTGGTCCAAGTGACTAACGCCGCAGGCATATATTCGCCACAATCATGCTTGGGAGGCCCTCGATCGTGTAGGCCACCGATCAAAGCTTACCACTAACTCAATCTTTTGGTAATACAACGACGAGAGAAATATGGTACGAGATGAAATTGTAATCCCTGCGTCCGGTCCGATGAAGTAAACACGGTAAGATCTCCGATGATTAGGACATTGGTTACACCCGGAAAATGATAGGCTGAGACAACAACGGTGTTCAATCTAACGGCGTCTCAGTCAAACCAAGAGCCCGGTTCCGCGTCTCTCTCTGTAACGGTGTTTTGTCGTATCCAGTGTGTGACCATCAACCCGCGGCTCACCTGCGAGCGATATTGGTATGAACTGTTGCGACACGGACGCCTATTTCCCAGTGCTGCGTCTATAAATACTCAGCCCAGTAATGGACTGTAATATTATCATTCAGAATGAAAAACATCCAAGGCATCTATCTCTCTATGTAGCATCTACCTCTAGGTAAGACATGAACCCCAATCTACATAAACAAGTCGAGTCACCATGGTCAGTTACTTTGTCTTCTTGGCCTCCTTTTTCGTATACACCAGCCCATCCCTCATGTTTCCAAACCACAACGCCCAGTAATCGACAACCAAATTCAACCGCCCATAATACGGCGCAATGCCCGTCGCCTTGGGTATCCTGTCCCACGCCTTGACGAAATACGAGCTCTTTGCATTCGTACACGACAGCCGCGGCATGCCTTCCGTCCTCTCAATGACGGGGACCACGCTCGTCGCGCTCTCTGCCTCCATCTGCTTCAGCACGCGAATGCCCAGCTTTGTCATGGAGTCGGCGCCCGGCGTCCATGTTGTCGTCACGTAGCCAAAGACGGAGACTAGGTTCGGCACGCCTTCAATCATGCAGCCTCGCCACGCGTACTGCTCGCCAACGTTGATTGCCTTGCCGTCGACGTGGGGTCCGATTCCGCTGAGGATCTGAATGTGCAGTCCCGTCGCGGTGACGATGATGTCTGCTGGGAGATGGCGTCCAGATTTGAGCACGACGCCGTCCTTGTCGGCGGTATCAATTACGTCGGTCACCACTTCGACGTTATCGCGATGCAGGGCGTTGAAGAACTCGTCATCGGGTGTCAGGCAGAGCCGCTGCTCAAACGGGCCATACGTCGGGTTGAAGTGAACCGCAGCATCGACCTTCTTGGGCAGCTTCTTCTCCAGATCCAGCGTGATCAGGTAGCGTCCGAGGCGAGGCCACCGCAGGCAAAGTTCCGAGATGAAGACCTCGAACCAGACGTCGATGCACTGGCCAACCCAGCACACCCACGACAGGGGCAGCACCATCGAGAGAAGAGATTCAAACTTCGAGTGTCGGTCCACGGAAATGACGTAGGAGGGCGTCCGTTGAAGCATCGTGACCGATTTTGCCGTTTCCGCCATTGCTGGCAAGAGAGTGATGGCGGTTGCTCCGCTGCCGATGATGACGACGCGCTTGTCGCTGTAATCGAGATCCTCCGGCCACCACTGCGGATGGACGACTGTGCCTTCAAAGTTGTTGATGCCGGGAATGGGGCTCTTCAGGGACTGCTCGTACGAGTAGTAGCCCACGCAGGAGAAGATAAAGTTGGCCTTGAGCAGCTTCCTAGAGCCGTGGACGTCGACTTCAAGCGTCCACCTCTGCTCGTCGCTGCTCCAGTCGCTGCGGACGACGCGGTGTCCGAGCCGGATCTTGTCCAGCGTGCCGTCCGTCTTGGCCGCATCCTCGAGATACGCGAGAATCTCAGCGGCGGAGGCCATGTTGTGGGAGTGCTTCCAGGGGTGCCAGGCGAAGCCAAAGGAGCGCATGGACGAGTCGCTGCGCATGCCGGGATACTTGAAGAAGCTCCAGGTGCCGGCTATAACGTCGCGCGCCTCGAGGATGGTGAAGGTTCGGTGAGGGACCTCGGTTTGCAGCCGGTGAGCGGCGTTGATGCCGCTGAGGCCGGCGCCGATGACGACGATGTCATGGTCCTCGACGGGCAGGTCGGAGGCAGCCATTGATACTAATACCTTACCTTGGGGTTAGGTAGCTCAATGAGATCTAACTTTATCTGATGCCACGGGAGGCGCTTTCAAGCAGGTGATGCGTTGGCTGGCGAGAGCGTCAGGAGATGCTGAGAGAAGGCCGCCCAGCGTGGAGATTGGGGCGGATGAGGTTCCGATTCGTTCTAGGACGTTTTCGGCTCATGGTTCTTTATACCTTGGGCAGTGAAAGGCGCCACTACCGCTACCTTAGGCATAGGCTGCGAATTAGTGAACCGTAAAGACCTGCTGCTGGCCTCCGACAAACGGGAACGTAGCCTGGCAACTGGACCAGGACGCCAGGGTTCATCCGCCTGCATGGGATCAGATGTGGTCGATGGTGACAGATTGGGGTAGCAGCACTAGAGAGGTGCTGTGCATAGGTACAAGAAGTCGATATAGACATAAGGTAGACTGTGATTGAAGATGTGAAAGACGACAACAACTAGGAATGCCAGAGCTTCAAGTGACAAGTCTCAACTCGAGGAGGACTCTGAATCCGATCCACTGATTATTAGTCTCAGCTTATACAGTTATAACTCCCAGGCTCTATCCATCTAAGGATAGCTTCAAGGCGCCTGTTGCCTCTCCGCCTCTCCGTCCTTCCAGTCTTTCCCCTGGCTAATTGCTCGTCCTGGAATCGACAAGAGACATGATTGGTCCATGTCAGACGGCAGTAAGTACTAATCCGGTCCAATCTTTCTTAAACTCAGATCAGCAATAAGCGGACTTTTTAAAGATACTATTACGCGTAGTATTGGTATCATCTCGGACGGGCTTTTAATGCAGAGCCTCAGCCTCAGCCTGCCACTGGAAGCACCAGCCCCACACCAGCTCAAAGCGGGGCGGGATCCCGCATCGAAGCAGCTAGAAGGTGCCTGTATTTTGCATTTCAACCCCACACTGTCTGCTTCTCTTCACCCAGAGCCGATCATCGCCAAAAGCTTCACGTTCTTTCTCTCCGTCTTGATCTGAAGTGACCATCTGATACCCAATCCTCTGTCTAGCTTCGCAAATCCACCACACACTCACCGCCAAGGCTTCGCTCACCATGGCTTCCGCAGACGAGCTCAAAGCTCTGGGCAACAAGGCCATTGCCGAAAAGAACTTTGACGACGCCATGTAAGTTTGCAACCCCTCCAACCGGCCCAGCAGACGAGATGGCAAAAGCTGACAGCATTCTGCCCGCAGCGACAAGTTCACCCAGGCCATCGCCCTGCAGCCCGACAACCACATCCTCTACTCCAACCGATCCGCCGCCTACGCCTCCAAAAAGGACTGGGACAACGCCCTCAAGGACGCCGAGAAGACCACCGAGCTCAAGCCCGACTGGGGCAAGGGCTGGGGGCGCAAAGCCGCCGCCCTCCACGGCAAGGGAGACCTGCTCGGCGCCAACGATGCCTACGAGACCGGCCTCAAGCACGACCCCAACAATGCTCAGCTCAAGAGCGGCCTGGCCTCTGTTGAGAAGGCCATGCAGCAGGAAGCTGGTAGGTTCTACCCGTAGCAGAAGCCGTTTCCACAGTCGACATGTTCTCTAACGTACACTCTCTACAGGCGCCGGACTCGACCCAACTGGCGGCATTGGCAAGATGTTCAAGGACCCCCAGCTGATTCAGAAGCTCGCCTCCAACCCCAAGACGAGCTCCTTCCTGGCCGACCCCGCCTTCATGGCCAAGCTGCAGCAGATCCAGCAGAATCCTCTCAACTCCCAAGACCTCTTCAGCGACCCCAGGATGATCCAGGTGCTGGGCGTCCTGATGGGCGTCGACATGGAGATGCGGGACAGCCCCCCTGAGGGCGCCCAGACGTACAATGTGTCCGAAGATACCCCCATGCCCGACGCTCCCAAGAAGCAGCCCGAGCCCAAGAAGGAGCCCACTCCCGAACCCGAGCCCGAGCTCGACGAAGAGGCTCTCGAGAAGAAGAAGAAGAAGGAAGAGGCCGACAGAGAGAAGGCGCTCGGCACTGAGAACTACAAGAAGCGCAACTTTGACGCCGCCATCGAGCACTACAGCAAGGCCTGGGAGATTTACCAGGACATCACCTACCTGAACAACCTCGGCGCCGCTTACTTCGAGAAGGGCGACTACGACAAGTGTATCGAGGCCTGCCAGAAGGCCGTCGACGAGGGCCGACAAATCTATGCCGACTTCAAGCTCATCGCCAAGAGTTACGCCCGTATCGGTACTGCTTACGAAAAGAAGGGCGACCTTGCCCTGGCAGTCGAGAACTACAACAAGTCCTTGACCGAGCACCGAACCCCAGACGTCCTGAACAAGCTCCGCGCTGCCGAGCGAGCCAAGACGGAGGCGGCGAAGAAGGCATACATCGACCCCGCCAAGGCCGAGGAGGCCCGTGAGGAGGGTAACAAGAAGTTCAAGGAGATGGACTTCCCCGGCGCCGTGGCCGCCTATACTGAGATGATCAAGCGAGCTCCCGATGACCCCAGGGGATACAGCAACCGTGCCGCCGCATTCGTCAAGCTGTTTGAGTTCCCCAGCGCCCTGGACGACTGCAACACGGCCATCAAGAAGGATCCCACCTTCATCCGGGCCTACATCCGAAAGGCGCAGGCTTACTTTGGCATGCGCAAGTACTCTGACTGCGTGGATACCTGCGATGAGGCTCTAAAGGTGGACGCGGAGCACCACAAGGGCGCCAACGCTCGTGAGATTGAGCAGCAGCAGCAGAAGGCCTTTGCGGCCATGTACTCAGCCCGTGAGAACGAGACGGAAGAGCAGACAAGGCAGCGGTTGATGCAGGACCCAGAGGTAAGATTTCCTTCGCTTCTATATAGCGACTATATGAACCTTGGCTAACGAGACATTGCAGATCATGGGCATCATGCAAGATCCAGTCATGCAGGCCATCCTGCAGCAGGCACAGTCCGACCCCATGGCGCTGCAAGAGCACATGAAGAACCCCACCGTGCGGTCCAAGATCCAAAAGTTGATTGCGGCGGGTGTCATTAGAATCGGCGGTCGGCCATGAGCGGAAAAACGGGCATAAGGGGTGACTTTGAAGGTTTTGTAAATCCAATTAATGAGTCAATGAAGCAACTTCATATGTAATGTATATCTAGTAGGTGCGTCCAAAGAAGCATTGTTTGCCTAGGAACAAGAGGCCCTCACCAACATGACATCCCTTTTTCATTTCTCTTCTACGCCAAAAGTACATACCTCCCTGTGAACGTTCCAAGGCCATAAGAACACTGTTCTTCAGGAACAAACAGACTCGAACTCGCCTTCTCACGTACTTGACGACTTCAGGCTGTTCACCAAACTCATCTCATGCTGTCTGCTTACGATGATGATTACATAATCTTACCTACATTCACTGTCGCATTGAGCTGTGGGCTCAGCGATTCTACATACTCTTTTCGATTCATGCCTTCAGTCTTGATCAGCACAATTTTTATCGAAGCACCATGAACTCATCTCTCGCAGAAAGAGTCGATGCCATAGTCATTTACGATGACGATGAAGAGGCGAAAGACTTCATCGTGATAGATGATAGTGGTGAGGGGATTCCAGATAGTCAAGAGTCCCCATCAACCCTCGATGTTCAACCCATCCGCGGCATCTCAAACTATGACCCAGTAAGAGCTCTAGCAAGAGCTCCATCGAGCACTGCACCGCCGCTGTGCAAGGAGCAGCGAGACCTGCTGCACCTCATCGCAACGGGACGAAACGTCTTCTTCACCGGCTCGGCAGGCTGCGGAAAATCCACCGTGCTCAAGGCTGCTGTCCTGATGCTGCGGCAGATGAACAAGATTGTCCACATCGTTGCGCCCACCGGCCGGGCAGCACTGCAAGTCGACGGCATGTCGACATGGTCATACATGGGCTGGACACCGGACTACCACAAAATGCCCATCAAGGATCTCATTCGCAAAGGGTTCCGGAAGCACATCAAGAAGCGGTTGAGGGACACCGACGTGCTCATCATTGACGAGATCAGCATGGTGGAGAACCAGCATCTCGAGCGCATGAATATCTGCATGAAGGCTGTGCGCTGCTGGAATGAATGGGAGAAGAGGGGGGACGATGATTGGAAGACGGTGACAAACATTGACGCCTTTGGAGGAGCCCAGGTCATCGTTACGGGTGACTTTTGTCAACTGCCTCCCGTCAAGCCATTTGAGTTCTGCATGGAGTGCGGGCAGCGGATGATTGCCGACGAAGACGACGCCGAGTTCAACTGCGAAGAGAACCATGGGCCATTTCGAGATGCGGACAAGTGGGCGTTCAAGAGTCAGGCTTGGGAGCAGGCCAATTTCGCCCACGTGAACCTGCAGGAGATTCATCGCCAAAAGGACGAGCAGTTCATCAGGATGCTACAAAAATGCCGGCTTGGGATTCCCTTCCTACCTCATGAGATGCATACACTCATGGACCATCCTTGCGATGTGCACAAAGCGACAAAGCTTCTCTGCACGAGAAACGAGGTCGCCCAGGTGAATCGGGTAAACTTCAACAAGTTGAAGACGCCAAAAGCTGAATACGACGCGCTAGACGGCTTCATCGCATATCAGGAAGAGCATCAATACCTACCGCAATATCAGCAACGTTTGCCTGACGGAACACTGGCAGCCTGTCGGGACCAGCGCCTGGAGTCTCGTGTCACACTGCGCGGCGGCATGCTAGTGATCCTGCAAGTCAACCTCAACATCAAGGGCGGACTGGTCAACGGAAGTCAGGGTATCATCTGCGGCTTCGAAAAGTTCGACCCTGAGAATCTCCCTAGAGAAGCCAAGGGCAAGGATGCCGACGCTATCCCCTCACACCTTCGCCTCAACGGAGACCACGCAGGACTCAGGGAGACGCAGATACGGAAATTCATGGAGCAGCAGCAGCAACGACAACAAAGGAACCCGGCTCAGGCACACGCTTGGCCGCGGGTGCTCTTTCATAACGGCCGAAAATGCGTCATCTACGCCTCCTGTGTCGTCAACTCTGTCGGTGACAAAGAACCGTATTCGCTGCTGCATCGGACGCAGATCCCCCTTATGCCGGGCTGGGCGATGAGCGTCCATCGAAGTCAGGGCATGACGCTGGATCGCGTCATCGTCGACCTGTCTAATGCCTTTGAGGAGGGCCAGGTCTATGTCGCCTTGTCTCGAGCGACGAGTCTGGAGGGACTCAAGATTGAGGGCAGCGCGAGCGGACTGTTCACAACGGGAGGAAATGAGGATGTACAGAGGTTTCTGCAGGCGAAGTTCGGCGATGGACTGTTCAAGGCGGTACGAGAGTTTTCGAGTTCAGGGTTTGCTGGGACTGGACAAAGCGAAAAAGACGAGGGAGGCTCAAAAAATTGCGTACGGGCATATTGGTGACCACCATTTCACGAGCAAACGATGTGCAGCGACATTTGGATAGGACAGCCTTCACCTGATGTTAATCACCGTCGTATAGCTTTTGCATTGAGCACCACTTGAGCATTTCGGCGGTATTCGCATACGAGCATCTCATAACAAGAGTTTACTCGAAGATTTCACCAAAGCGACCACCAGGGGGTTATTTCGTCGAACAATAGGCTCTCTACATTGAAAGGCTCCAACCGCCATGCCAGGCCCGCTTCGTTATCACTGTCTTCAGTGGGAGAAGTGTCGATGTCGCTCTATGGGCGACGAATTGCCGCGGCTTCGCAGACCAAGCAGCTCTACCCATTCGACCAGCGAGCGAGCCATTGCTCATGACGGACACCTTTCCTGGACTGTTTGTTTTTTAACTTTGATGGACGTTGAGGCGTTATGGTTGCCTTTTTTGTTGATTTTGCTCGATACAGGAGCTCAAAAGTGTAGGAATACCCACTGGATATGATTAAGAGTATGATGTTACTGTTCCAAGGCTTAAGAATGATACCACCTGGATGTATTGAATGATATGACCATGTGATGTGTGAAAACTATGTATGGATAAAGCAGATTTCGAACGGTCTCTGTCTCCATGTGTTGGATGAAAAGGTGAAATCACCCTTGGGCTTATTCTTCAAAGAACAGATGACTTTTGTTAAGTGTGTGGTTACTATGAAACGGACGTTGAAGTTGGATACGGTCACAGAAATCGTGTCTCTCGAACCAGAATCTCAACTGGGCGAAGAATGCAATGCCCGCGACTGGTTGTTTCTCGGTAGTATATAGTTACCTTTCTCTCGCATTACAGGGACGGCAATCACGTTTTGACTGGACCAGACCTTGGCTCACAGCTCCAATCACTCACCCCCCCGCCGTGAAACATCTTCGTCTACACCACTGGGTGGTGTCGCCTTGACAGCATCAATTCTGTGAGCCGGCCTATTCGTTGGCACTTTCCGAGGCAACAGTGGAGATGTCCTCTTCAGGGGCTGTCTAGGGAAAACAAGTCCGTAACGAATGTACTTCTCAGTTATGTATGTGAGATAGGTAGAGAAGGATGGTCGGTTTGGACGTCTCCCTCATTCAAAGCCTAGCTATCGATGTTATGTGGTGGAAGACATGTTAACAGTGACTGCGGACTCATAATAGACGGGATCAAGGAAGTAGAGAGAGCATGATCGAAGCCGTATAGGTTGCGTTTTCACATTGACTCTGGAACTCCATCTCCGAGAGCAACAGACTTGCGGAGAAGCAGGGATAGAGGCTCTCCTAAAGCAAAGATAAATATAGACACGGCAAGTGCCAGGCCCGCGGCGGCTCCAGGTCTGGGGATAGCGTCCAATACTCCGATCTAATCTGATGATTTGATGTAAATACCGTCTGGCCCTCTCCACCTCCTCACATTCACCAGGCACAAACAAACCGCCAAGCCCCGGAGATCGTCAGTAGGAAGCCACAAGTCTACGAAGTGCTTCCCATGTGCTACCAAAACTTGACAAAATCTCATGAAATTGCACGTTGGTAGGCGTAGTGGAAACACGCTCTAGGGGGGCTTTTGGCTCGGGAATCCGTGCGCTGATCCACGACAATATGTTGTTGTCTGTTGGGCGAACAATCGTCCATGAATACGAACAAATCGTCCAAGCTCAGGGCAAAGCCTCCAGTAAAAAATCGGAAATTGAAGGACAAAAGGTTCCGAGTCGCTGGCCTAAGCGGCCTGGTGCGGAGGACTTTGAAATGCATTTATGAGGCCCGTTCCTGCATCTCTGCCTGCTTTGCCTTCTTCTCAACGGATTGTAATCACTGCATAGCGAACTTTTCAAAATCACCTCTCGAGATACCAACCAAACGCCAATCAAGATGAAGACCGCCTCCCTCTTCTTCGCCGCCTCAATGGCCGTCGCCGTCGCCGCAAAGAGTCTGTCGGATGTGCTGCCGAAGTGCGCCGTAGATTGCGCCGAGACGGCCCTCAAGGGGGCCAGATGCGCCCTTGACGACACACCCTGCCTCTGTGCAGACCAGACCACCTATCAGACCCTCCTCCAGCCAGCGGTCGAGTGCATGGTCAAGGCATGCGGCCAACAGGAGACAATCAGTAAGACCCTCGCTTCACCGTGGCGACGTCGAACGTTCTATACATGTCAGCTGACACACACGTTTACAGCCAAGATTGCCCCTGCTGTGGTTCAGTTCTGCGCCGCCGCGAACCCCAAGCTCCCGTCTCCCTCTTCTCCCGCCCCGGCCGCGACAAAGACGATCCACACGCCTTCAATCAAGGCCTCGTCTGCTTCGGCTTCTCCTGCGGGTTCCGAGACTGCGTCCGAGGCGTCCGAGACTACGGCTCCCCAGAAGAAGTGGACGTCTGATCAGCCATCTGAAGTCCCCGAGGCGACGGCCAGTGAAAGCGCGACTGCTGCTGCGTCTGAGCAGCCTTCTTCGACCACAGGCACCGCGGCGGCGTCCAGCGGTGCGGCTGCTGGAGCTGCAGGGCCCATGGTGACCGCCGCACTGCTCGTCGCCGGCGCCGTTGCCATGCTGTAAAATTGTGTACGAGTTTGAATACTGCTGCTGAGTGAGATGTGCCTTATGGGAGGAAAGATGGTGGTGAGAGATGAAGGAGTCATGTTGAGTACGGAGTACATGTCTGGAGGATCGAGATGTACAATACCATGTGCTTATATAAGCCGGATTGATGACATGGATGGAAATGCAGATGCAGATTCGCGTCCAGTCGGCGGTAATTCTCCGTACAGATGGCAAATGAGATTCCAGATCCTGAGAGCCGCCCCTTGTCCGCGTCATGACGTGTATCTGTATGCATGTATGTACAAGTATCTTCACAGCTGCAATCACGGGGAAAGCAAACAAGCAACACACAAACCCATCTCCAGCTGTCATCCAACAGCCAACAAATCGTGCAAGCGGCAACATCATACATGTACGGGCGGGCCATTGTAAATCCAGCCAGCGCAGCTTGGGTGGTACCCGGTACCTGGCAGTGACAGGGACTCAGTGGCCGGACTGGCGGTGTCTTGGGCCGCAAATCACGGCCGTCGCGGGCCATTTGATGTCAACGGGTCGGCGTATCAGCGCGTGCCAGAGCCTGCCAGAGCCCGCAACAGCGCACATGCAGCCGGCGCAGGCCCTTATAGGTGCCAAGTACTGGGTACATGCAGCGCGCTGGAGAGGCGCCAAAAACAGCACTGAGAGCGCGAATGGCAGCGCCCGAGACCCCAACAAGACCCCCAAACGTCAAAGAACCCCCCCTTCAGGATCCTCCAAGGGTCTCCGTCCAGCGCATCGCATCACACGACGACTGGCAGCCGTGAGCTCTGCACTGCGGTTTCAGACGCCGCCCGCGCCTATCCTGTGCGACTCTGCTGAGATCCTACGTGGCGCTGCGATGGAGACGGAGGCCAGAGCCGGCGAAAAAGGGACCTCCACGTGACCCTTTTCTGCGTCTGCCGCCAAGGGAACCCGACCCGACTCCCCCCCACCGCCGTATGCGGCAGGTCACGATCCCGACTCAGTCTTGTCTCTCGCCTGACTTCTCCTGCTTGTCTCCCTGGCCTGCTGCCGCTGCTGCTTGCTGCCGGCAATATCACGCAAGAAGAGAAGCCTCCCCAAAGGCTGCCTGAGAGTCTGCCGCCGCCGCTGCTGCTGCTGCTTTCACAGGCTGCCACTGGGGGTCCATCCGTCCAGCCGAGGTCTTCTCTCTTTTTTTTCCATAGCTCCCAGAGCTACCTCCGACACCCACCCCGACCCCGAACGAACGCCTCGGTCCTCAGCCCCTCAGCCTCGCGCCCGCCATGTCTGAGGACGACATGGACCTCGCCGCCCAGGACGCCCAAGGCGCCGGCCGCGTCGATCGCGACCGCCGAGCGCCGCGCTTCAGCTGGACGCCCGCCTACGAGGCCACCTTCTTCCGCAGTCTGTGCGAGAGCGTCCAGCTGGGCATGCGGGAGAACAGCAGCTTCAAGGCCGAGGCGTGGGAACGCGCGATGCAGGCCTTGCAAGAGCACCACGGCGCTTACCCGGCCAAGAGCCATCTGATCAACAAGAGCGATAACGCTCGGAAACGCTTCCGCTTATGGCGCGGCCTGCGAGAGGACCCGGATTTCGTTTATAACCCCGTGACGAGGACGGTGACGGCCACCGAGGAAGCTTGGAGAGCGCACATCGAAGTGAGTTGGGCCGCGTCTCGCGCACGCATGCCGCCGGGTTGCTGATTTCTCTTGCCATTAGCGGGAGCCGCTGTCGCGAGCCTTGAGGGGGAGGCCCTTTGACCATGAAGAATACATGGAGGTGCTGTATCCGGACGTGGTTGGGTCAGGAGGGGCGCCAAAGAGGATCATGAAGCCACGACGAAAGACGGACGGTCAGCCTTGCGACGAAACGGAGATGCCGGGGACGGGCGTGCTGAATCTGCAAACCGAGCCGACGCTCCTGGTGCAAGAGCCCTCAGAGGGGCCGAGCCAACAGCCACCGCAGCCGCAGCCACCTCCGCACAAGGGCTCCCTGACTCAAGCATCGACGGCGTCTTCGTCCGCAGCAGGCGTCCAGCCACGACCAACGACAGCACCCTCGATACCTCGCAACCTCACTACTGGACAAGGCTCGGCTCTGACGCCCCCCGAAGAGTCGATCCCCCAGAGCCGGAAGAGACCATCCCCCATGGGACGACAGTCTTCCGGTGACCTTGCTCAGTCAACATCTGCCCCTGTCCTCGGACAATCAGCTCTGCCGACCTCGCCGGAAAAGCGCCGCCGACTGTCGTCTCGAGATGAATCCAACGCCAGTATAAGCACACCCACTCCTTTGCTGGGCTCTTCTGCTCTGTCAAGGCCCGCCCTCGAAGCTCGGTCCCGCTCCGAACCCCAAAACGCCGGGCTGCCATCGATATTAGAGGAACTGTCAAAGACAAGCAGGGCTCGGATGTGGAGAGAGGAGGCTGTCGACATATTGTTTCAGGATTTCGCAAACGAGGACGCAGACCTGCAGATCAAAATATCAGAGAGCATTTTGAGCGACGAGCACAAGGCCATGGTGTTTTGCAAGATGCCTCCGCAGCTGAGGCAGCACTGGGTCAAAAAGCATCGCGGCCTCGCATGATAAAGAAAGGAAAAGAGCGACTTGGAAGATACCCCCTTGGCACTGGATAGCCGAGATGATGTGAGCCTCAGGATTTTTTTCTCATTTGGATTTGGTTCTTTCCATTGTGCAAAAGACCGAACGAATCAACCTTTTGCTGTTGGAATATAAACCGAGCGGCGGGATGGTGTCGAAGACTCGTGGGAGGGAGAGGCGCGTTGAGAGATACCATGATACCCCGATTCACGGCGTTGGAATCACTTGTTGCATTTCAGCGAAGATTGTTGTCGTTGACCATGGCGTTTGTGTGTCGTTGCATTGCATGTCGGGCTCGCGGTCATGAACAACTTGCTGTTTGTACCCTTTTTCGATCTTCTGTTTTTCTTTGTCTTTGCCATATACCTGCCTATTTTTTTTTTTTTTTTTCAGACTCTCATCTCCATCTTTGTCAGTCTTGACACGAGATGGAGAGAGTTTTGACAGTCGTTTGACATGCATAGCTCTTTTGTTGAAGCAATATCAAATCAGAAACCTTTGCAACTGAGGCCTCGTGATGATGCGAAAGGGTTGACCGTAAAAGGAGGGACTCAGCCCTTGGACCTGGACTTATCCGTGATGAAGCAAAGAGTAGCACAGAAAAGCCAGTCGAAAGAGTAGAGAAGGAAGCATTCACTTCCCATTGACGCCAGCAACAAGTTTTACCCTCTTCTAAGCGAATCCTTGAGCAGGCCCTGCTTTTAGCTCTGACCCCGTCCTAAAACATGCATAAAAACTAATCCCTGCCCCATTGATGTAATCGAAAAGCTCCCCCCAAGCTTTCCCCCAATTGCCAAGGCACGAACAAGATCTACGGAAAGCCGAGGTTTTGCGAGCCGCATACGTCATCATCACGGCTTTTTCCAAGACACGACTTATTTTCTAGCTTTGGCGTGACTTTGCGGAGAGCGTTTGCGTCACGGCAAAGGGGAGGTACCTTGCGAGCGCAATTGGCTTTTTCTTTTTTCCTTTCTTTCTTTTTGGGGGAGGTATTTATAGTTGATGCGATTCCGATTTTTGTCCCTTTTTTCCCTTTTCTTCCTTATCGTGAAGCTTGAACAACACCTGAACCACTCGATTTCCATCCACTGATCTTCAACGCAAATTACTTTGATCATCCCCTTCCATTCGTCAACAGCCAAGAGTAAGTTGTTGCAATGACTTGCAGAGTCTGATGATGGCCATGGGTACTGATCGCTGGACAGTGTCTTACGCCGACGCTGCTGCAAAGGGTGCCAAGCAGACTCCCGAAGAGGTACGCCCTTCCTCTCACAAACAATGAAGATTGAGGAAAGAATTTCGGTCAGCTCTCTAACACAATCAATCAGGCCGCTGCCCCTCAACCTCCCGAAATCATCCCCAACGAATCCTCCTCGACGGCATCCCTCATCGACGTCGACATGCCCAGCGTGCACACCGTCCCGCCCGACTTCCTCGAGCAGGACGTCCAGACGGAGACGCAAGCGGAGCGCATCGCGCGCGAGGAGGAAGCCGCCGAGCAGGCCAAGCAGCAGCGGCAGCAAGCCGAGGCCGCGGCGGCAGCCAAGAAGAAGGCGGCGAGCAAGGCCCGCAAGGCCGACTCGTGGCTGACGCGCCAGTTCTCGCAGCTGTCCGACGGCAGCGTGACGGCGATTGCGCTGGCCAACGTGGCGGGCGTCGTGGGCGTCAGCGGGTTCCTGGGGTACCGCGCCTGGGGCCTGTACGAGAGGCGGGTGCTGGACTGGAAGCACGTCGGCGTGGGCGTGGGCGTGCTTGCTGCGGTGGGCGCGGTGGAGGCGGTGCTCGGACGTTATTTGTACAAGAGCAAGGAGAGCGAGTCTCGATGAAGGGAGGAAATGATGGGGTTTTGATGATTGAATTGTTTTCTTGTTCATTTTTCTGATGTTTGTTTGGGCGTTTCGGTTAGGAGAGCTTTTGGTGTTTTGACTCTTTGTCTCTCTGCTCTGATTATGGCCACCATCGTTTGAGTGGCAGTTACATACTCAAACAACGCACATAACGACTCTCTTCTAATTTGACCATTATACCCAACTACATCTTCCACAAATCCTCCAAAAAATTACCGCTCATGTTGTCTCGTCCAACGTCCCCATGCAGCATCTGTTAACAGTGCGTCTCGCAGGCCGCACAGCTCGTTCACATGCCTGTGAGCACTGTGACGTCATCGTCATCATCCCACTAAGCAGCAAGTCTCACTCACGATGCCACGGCCAGAGGAGCAAGAAACTCGATCTACTGATAAATCCTTTAGAATAATAGGGGGCCAAGTTAAAAAGAGCACCTCACAGCAATTCAACAAGCCAAGGACATCGTCAGCCGAGCATGCCGCTTTGTGCCGTTCTCTAGCTACAAACCTTCTATATAACCTAGCAAAGGACAAGCACCAAACAGCACAGCCCACCTTATCTCTCTTCCCTCCATCGTCATCTCCCACGCAACCAATATATTACAACATCATACCTTACTCCAACTTACAGCATACGAAAGGGAAAAAACATATTACAGCTTACACACGACACATGCTTCCCTACCACGACAAAAAGTCCAAATCCCGCCTCCGCCAAATCATGCACTCCCTCCGCCTGCGCCCCGCCCGCGACGAGGACGTCCCCGCCATGGCCGCCCTCGAGGTCGCCGCCTTCCTCGACAGCCCCATGCACAAGGCCATGTTCCCGAAGCGGCTGCGCATCAAGCCGGGCGTGCAGGACCAGCTCGAGTGGAACGTGGCGCGCATGCGCAGGGGGCTCGCGGACCCGAACCTGCATTATCTTGTCGTGCTGACGGACGCGCCGGGCAGGGGGGAGATTATCATCGGCTGCGCGGAGTGGTCTGCGCCGGCGCCTGCGCACGATAGGCATGGAGACGACGGGGAGGAGGACGAGGAGGAGAAGGCGAGGGATCTGGAGCTGCGGATGGCCAGGCTGCCTCCCTTTCTGGACAAGAGCGCGCTGCTGGACGCCAACGACGAGGTGATGGAGCTGATTGCAAAGTCCAAGGACGCCTTCCGGGGACAGAACCGGCACCGGATGTGGACGCTCAACTCCATCTCCGTGGACGGCGACTACCGCGGCATCGGCGTGGGGAAGATGCTCACGCGCTGGGGCATGGAGCGCGCGGACAGGGACCGGACGGGCATCTGGATCATCTCGTCGCCGCTGGGCCTGCAGCTGTACAAGTCGTTGGGGTTCACGCAGGTCGCGGAGGGGTCGAGGCTGGGGGAGCCGCAGTATCTCATGCTCAAGTTTTATGAGCCGGGGCCGGGGGAGCGGGATGAGAAGGAGAGTGAGATTGGGAATGGGAATGGGAACAGGGTGAGTGCGGCGGCGTGAGGAGGGGATTTTTTGGGGGGGGTTTTTTTGGGATTTGGAGTATTGGATGGGTGCAAAGGCGTTTGGGTTTGGGTTTGGATATTGGTAGCTAATTTGCTTGGATTGATACCGCATAGTTTTGAGCATACTGTATGGATTAATGTTTCCTTGAAACGCAGTTCACCACTATGTTATCAGCGAGATTGTAAAGTGGTATGTCATGAAATTCCTCCTGTCAATAATACAATATGCGGGCCGTCTATCGTAAGACCCTTTTCAACACCATCAATACATCCTTTAATACATCGGTCCCTTTGCCAGGAGCCCGCTTAGAATACACTGAAGACAGTCCCAAAATCGACTGCCCTCTAAATTTCTGCCCCAACATCTATAAATGTCCTCCTCGCCATCTATTCCCTCCTCATCGACTCTTCTTCACATCTTACTTCTGCTCCTTCTTTTGGACTTCGACAACCTCACCAGTCACGCTCCCAACCAGCTTGACTCCGGGAAGGTTGTCCGTCTCTGCGCCATTCGAGTGGCTACCCTTGACAATTTCCTCCCGAAGCTCTTGTCGGTCTTCGGCAAAGGGCTCGGGGGCTGTCCCAACAGCCGCCGTAGACGCCGCAGACGCCGCCGCCTCTTGGCCCTCGGTCGGCGCATCGGCTTCGGCATCAGCATCTTCGAGCTCAGCGCCGTAGATCTCCGGGTACTTTCGGAAGCACTCTTGCATGCCCCTAACAAATACTGTCAGCAACAATGGCTTCTCACATCACCTTATATCACCGGGGGAGGGTTCTCTTCATACTGGAACTTTTCAATGCAGTCCATGCCCTTGGGCTCCTCGGTCGAGTACACGAAGCAGCTGAAGGCCGTCTTGAACTCCTCTCCGCAGGGTCCATGCGCCATGCCACCCAGGCAGGGGCAGTCCCAGTTGATCTCGCCCGTCTCCGGGTTGAAGGCGCCCTCCTGGCTGGCCTCCTCCTCCAGTGCATCGGCTGATCCGCCGAATCCGGCTGCGCTCTGGGCGGGCGCTTCTGACTTGTCGTCCGTCGGGGTTGCTTCTGTCTTGGAGGCCTCGGGCTTGGGAGCTTCGGGCTTTGTCGAAGCCGGCTCGACGGGGTGAGGAGGGCTGGCCTGCTTTCGCTTCTGCTCGATCAGGGCGTCGACGGTGGGCAGTTCGTTGTCGGCATACGGGGCAGCGACGGGCAGGGCGTGGGCTACCCACAGAACGGATCAGTAAGAAGCTCCGACAGACTTACACACGAAACAAGGACATAAAGAACATACCCTCAGCCTCGTCTGCAAACACATGGCTCGTGTTGTAGTAGTAGACACCAGCAATCGCCAACCCCCACCGGAAGGCAGAGCTCTTCCATGACCGCGGCCTGTCGGCGGGAGCCGTCGAGGCAAATCGCCGGGGTGCGGCCTGGGCCAGAGAAGTGCGCAAACCGACGGCGGGCCGTGATGCCGTTCTTAGCGCTGCACGATACATTGTGAGGATATTAAAAGGGCGAATAGAGCAAGTAGAGAGGCCAATGGGAGAAAGACAACGAAGATGGGCTCGAGAAAAGCAAGTATCAATGGCGGCGCAAGTTGGGTATGTAATCGCGGAAAAAAAAAGAAGCTTGGATCGGAGCCATGACAGAATCGCCAGATTGGTCAGCGGGACCTTATTATCTCATCACCATCGGACAGACAGAGAGAGAGGGTGTGCGGAAACTTGGCGTATTTAGCCGAGGATTTCCCGTCACATGTTTCCGCAGTGGGGGAGGATTTGATGGGGGAGCAAAGGAGCTCTGCTTCAAGTGGAATCGAAGCCGGCCAGTTGCATCAAGCAAAGGCGATGAGTTCAGTGCCTGCACAAAGTCATTGAAGGCTGTAACTTGGAAGCACTCGAAATCTTGAGTGAGTGGATTCTCAGGAAACGAAGGCAAAATATTCATTCAATTAGAGGCACGGAGTAAAGTAGATGCGTAGAAACAAAGAGAAAGCTCATATGCTTGTCTCAACAGCTGCATGCATGAGAGTTCATGCAGTTCCTCGTAAGGTGCCGCAATCCTACCCTGACTAAGCACTCCTGTCAAATCACCTCGACGCCTCACATCCTCGTCAAAAGAGCATTGATATCAGCTGTCCAGGGGTTTCGCCGCTGATCGCAGGCCGCTCGGTGAGCTTGGACTCGGAGAGCATTGATGGCAGTTCCATCCTTTCATCTTTACGAGCTGAAATTCCAGGGCAACGTCGCACAAACCAGCTGATACAGACAAGGCCACACACTCGTCTATTTTGACAGCTCACTCTCACACAATCCCTAGAGGGGCAGCGAGATTAACTACTAAAGTGGCTCTGCACAACCGCGTTTCCTTTCTTTCTTTCATTCTTACTTCGTTCAACTCAACCTCTCGCACTTCATACCTAAACAGCACCCTCTCGTCTGGCCTCTCAAGTTGAGAGGGCATTCAATCGCACCAACTTTTTCTTCGTTTCACTCTCTTCTCCGCTCTCCCGTCACAACAGCCAGCCGACTATATCTCAACAGCACCAACAACAGCCACCGAGTTCTCATCAAAACAGCAACGCCCCCGATGGCTTCGGTGTTCGAGTGGCAGCCTAACAGGTTTCTGCTGGACCAGCGAAGTCCGCAGCCCTTTGCCCTCCTGGTGCTCAATCAGCCGCTCAAGAACGGCAGCAACCTGCGCAAGCTCTGGAGAAACTGTACGCTCTCGAGAACACACCTTCTATGCCCAATATGTAGGCGTGGACGTTCAAGTGCTAACTCTGGACAAGCATCTCTCCGTGTCGCTGCTGATGGCGGCGCCAATCGTCTTCATGAGCTCTCTTCGTTCCAGGGCAAATACGTGAGTTCTTTGTCTTCATTACTGCCATGACATCATCGGGCCATCGTGTCACGACACTCGGCGTAGCGAAAAGCTGCTCATCCTTTTGAGAAATCGGCTACCCATCTCCAGACATTACTGAATATACTCGGCTAACCCGTTCCAGTCAAACCTCCAAGTCATCATCGGCGACCTCGACTCCCTGAGGCCGCACGTCCACAACTTCTACACCTCCCAGCACACTCCCGCCAAAATCATCCACGACACAGACCAGGAGAGCACCGACTTCGGCAAGGCCATCACGTATATCCGCAAGACGCAGCCCCCCGGAACCGACATCATCGCGCTGGGCGGCATCGGCGGGCGCATCGACCAAGGCCTCAGCCAGCTCCACCACCTCTACCTCTTCCAGTCCGACCCCAACTACGCCGAGGGCCGCATCTACCTCCTCTCCGGCTCCAGCCTGACCTTTCTCCTCAAGGCGGGCACCCACCGCATCCAGGTCAGGGAGGACGGCGAGGAGGACGTCTTTGGCAAGCACGTGGGCATCATCCCCCTGCAGGAGCCGAGCCGCATCACGACCAAGGGCCTGGAGTGGGACGTGACGGACTGGGAGACGCGCATGGGCGGCAGGATCAGCACGAGCAACCACGTTCTCCCGGAGACGAAGATTGTCGAGGTACAGACCACAAAGGATGTCCTCTTCACGATAGCGCTGAGCTGCATCGACGGCGAGGAGGATGGATGAAGAAGCATGGCAGTAGCCGTGCTCTGGCGAGGAGGGGAGGGACTTTCGGTCATCTTTTTGATAGCTTTTTTCAAAGCGAGAGAGAAATGTATACACTTTGATATCCCCGTCACCTCAAAACGCCAAGGCGCCGCTCCGCACGCTACCAATTTGCAAAAAATCATCGTAGGAAGTGAAGCACGAGCCAGCAAAAGAGAAAGAACACAATGACGCCCGCGACGAAGATCCACTTGTCCTCGCGAGCACGGCGCTCCACCATGCGGATCGTGTCGCCGCTCACGCCCAGCGTGTTGGCGATGCCGTAGAGCCGCTTCTGCGTGTTCTTGAGCGTCTCGCGCTGCTGGCCCAGGTCCCCCAGCACGGCCTGCCCCCGCGCGATGAAGTCGTCCAGCGCATGGTTCGTGTTGCTGAAGAAGTTTTGTTCCCGGAAGGCGTGCGCCTCGCGCAGGTCGTCGCCGGCGCCGGTCGTCAGCGAGGTGCTGTTGGAGCTCTTGTGCCGGGGCTGGAACGAGGAGTGCGTCGTCGTCGTCGGCGGCGCGGCGCCGGCGCTGGCGTAGGGGTTCTCCGGCGTGGCGTTGTACGGTCTCCTGCCGAGGAGCTCGGAGCGGTTGTGGTGGTGCTGCGCCTCTTCCCTGGCTCGCTTGACGACGTCGAGCTTGGCGCGGAACTCGGACAGCTCCTCGCGGAAGCGCTTCACCCTCTCGTATGCCTCCTCTTGCTTTTTGGGGACGAGCTCCTGGCGCGCGAGGCTGTGGTATTCGTCGAGCGACTTGGAAAAGGACGTCAGGGAGACGGAGACGCTGCCAATGTCGGCGGGCGTGGGCGCGCTCTTGGATTCGAGGTTGGCGAGGTCACTGCGGATGGCCTTGCTCTGCCGCAGCACCGTGTTGTAGGCGACGTTCTTTGGTGTCACGATTACACTGTCAGTCAAAGTAACAGCAGATGCATTACAACAAGATGAATACTTACCATCTTGAACAGCGCAACAAAGAATCACAGACCTTGTTGCCCCCTGTGCAGGAGCTGGGCTCGTTCATCCATTGGAACTAAGCTGATGCTTGTTTAGTGGCCACATGGCTGTAACAGCCCCGGAATTAGCGGTTTTTCCATGCCGCCGGCAGAGGTACGAACCATTCAAGTATCTTTTCGGCAGATCGAGATTGCAGCTTGTGGAGTCGCCTAAACGGCCGAAGTGAAGAAGAGTCAAAACATCCGGCTTGGCGATATCTAATCGATGTCGCGCTTTAGATACGGCGACAACTGCAATGCTGCAGGGTTATTTTACTGCGTTTGGACTTGACCACATGTAGAAAGATAGGTCATGGAGTAGGTATAAGCCAGCAAGTGAAATGCGTAGGTTAGGTTAGGTATTACAACTGGAATCGTGGCGGATTACCCGTAACGCCCTGATAAACACCAAATCCAGAGCATCGCCAGCACAAAGCCTGCATCATCCTCTATCAGCATCACGTCGTACACTCGGCACGTCATCCGTATTCCACCAGCCTTCCTATCCATCCTCCACCGCCAAAATGCCATCCAAGAAAGTGATGTGTCGTGACATACTGCCTATTCGGGTCGGCGAAGGTAACCGCACGTTGGCTGGTTTGCCGATCTCGGCACCGAGGAGCGGCGACACCTTCACGGATCAAGTTGCCGAACGCTGGCCGATGGCAAGCTTTTCTCCATAGAAGATTCTCCTTTTCTTGAATTCTTAATTGGTGATTGCATCTCATCTTCTCTTTATAAAAGCTGAGAGTGTTCAGACCTTTTTAACTCTGAACTTCACAGACATTCTTCACTGCATTGTGGGACTGAGACATGATACCGCCATTGTCCGTATAAGCTCCATCGCCACCACCATGGGAACGCCAGAAGATGCAACAAACGCTTCCTCAGAGGCGGACCAGCACCGCCTCTCAAGTGAGCTCTCCGACCCAGAGAAGCAGCCACCGCCAGCAGAACAAACCGCCGTCCCTCCCCCTTACTCCATCTACACAACATGGCAGAAGCGCATGCTGGCTCTCGGAGCCGCTTGCACGGCCTTCTTCTCGCCCATGTCCGCCCAAATCTACCTGCCGGCCCTGACACAGCTCTCCGAGGAGCTCCACGTGTCGAGCACGCAGATCAACCTCACCATCACGACTTACATGATCTTCCAGGGCATCACGCCAATGGTCCTCGGGTCTCTGGCGGATAGCGGTGGCAGGAGGCCGGCTTACATTGTCTGCTTCGTGATATACATTGGCGCCAACATTGGTCTTGCCCTGGCTCCCAACTACGGCGCCATTCTGGGCCTTCGATGTCTTCAGTCCGCTGGGTCAAGCACCACAGTGGCGTTATGTATGGCTGTCGTGGCCGATGTCATCACATCAGCGGAACGAGGCCAGTATGTCGGCTACACTGTCGTCCCCGTCGTCCTCGCCCCAGCCATCGGCCCCATCCTCGGCGGCGTTCTTGCTCAGGAACTCGGCTGGAGGTCCATCTTCTGGTTCCTCGTCATCTTCGCGGGAGTCACTCTGGTCCTCCTTTACATGTTCCTTCCCGAAACATGCCGCCGCATCGTCGGCGACGGCTCCATTTATCCGCCGCCACTGTACAGATCGGGGTGGCAGATCCTGACCGCACATCGGAACAAGAACCGCACGGCTCCTCCGCCTGAGAACACCTTCAAGTTCAAGCCGCCCAACATCCTGGGCTCTCTTATCATGCTGACGGAAAAGGAGACGGGGCTGCTGCTGGGAAGCAGTAGTCTTGTTTTCGCAGGCTTCTACTGCATCTCCGCTGCCATGCCCACTTTGTTCAAGGACTCGTATGGATACAACGAGATCACCGTGGGCTTGATGTACTTGCCGTTGGCTGTGGGCTCCGTCCTCGCCGCTCTGATCGTCGGTCCGGCGATCAACAGGAACTACAAGCGATATTGCGAAAAGCTCAACATCCCCCTCGACCGCAGCCGCCAGCAGGACCTGTCCAACTTCCCCATCGAGCGCGTCCGCCTGGAAGTTGGCCTCCCTCTGCTCTGCCTCAGCGGCCTTGCCCTCATTGGCTGGGGCTGGGCCATGAACTACGCCGTCCACGTCTCGGTGCCTTGCATCCTGAGCTGCATCATGGGCATGGGCATGATTGGCTTCAACAACACGACCAACACGCTTCTCGTCGACATTCATCCCGGAAAGGCAGGGACGGCGAGCGCGGCGAACAACTTCTCGCGATGCCTGGTGGGCGCTGGGGCGACGGCGGCGATTGTCCCGCTGATGGACGCTATCGGTGTGGGTTGGTCGTTTACGATGCTCGGTGGTATATATGTTGTGTGTTGCTTGCCGATGATGGTCATCATGGCAAAGGGCATCAAGTGGAGGGCTGAGAAGAAGGCCAAGCTGGAGCGGAAGCAGGAGCGGAAGCAGAAGAAGAAGGGGGAGTCTCAGTAATGCGGACGAGATGAGATATGAATATGACCAAAATGACACAGGATGATGATAGATGTGGGAGAGCTCGATACCCATACGGATAGAACTTTTCTTACGAAGGACTGCATATCAGCGATCTAGTTAGCTATATTAATGGACTTCAAATTGCATACCTATATACACGACCTCATACTACACATCGTTCAGCCTGCATCCTCTGCTATTGTCTGGTCCAGGTCTGTCAAACGAAGTGCAGTGATGTCCATATACATGTACCCCTGAAGCTACAGCAACGTGTACCGCCACACAGAGTATTCAGAGTGGTTTGGTACATAGGCCGCGAAAGGACTTCCGCCATGGACACCGATTGGATCCAAGCCACCTCACCAGCCCTCCATATCGTGTAGGAAGGACTTCTGTCTGAATGTTGGCAGCATGTTTCAGAGCAAAGCATAAGCGTTGTCTAAGCCACGAACCATGAGCATACCTTCCACCCCTCTAAAGGGTGCTGCCCTGGTCACGCAGAAACCATTCATGCACCGCGGGACGGTTAACACTTGATGAGGCAAAGCTCTACTCTGGGCATCTCCGAGAAGAAGCCAGCCAACAGCAGAAGAAAGCCTCGTGTAGCACAAGGGGCTCGAAGGTCATGGAATCATTAGGCAGAGTGCCAGCCAAGTCTGCCCAGAAGCGCGGGGTATAACTTGATGTTATCGCAGGGCTGCGAGGCATCTTGAGTCTTTTGCTTTCATGCGACATATTCGGTCAGCTTGGTTTTGACGCCCGTTTGTCAGTTGTCTCGATACATAGCTGTGTATCAGCATAGCATCGATACATTGAATATCGAAGCATCCATAAGCCATGTCCGGCCATTTTGACGCGGATGCCTACAAACGCAACAGCCTTCCGAAAACGTTCTATCGGGTAACTTATCCCGGGTCTCAAGCTCGGGATGAAGACACCGGAGATTATGTATCAGACACGAATCTCGAGATTTCAGACAATCTGCATCTGAAGCAAGTCGCCGAGAACCATTTCTACTGGCGGAGAGAACCAAGCCCTTTTGTATCCGTCTTCTCTGACAAGAAACATGCCCTCAACTGGGCGTACAGACGAGTGGACAGGCTCAACTGTGGCCTGGACGAGGTCTACATCAGCAAGATTGATACGGCAAAGCTGCCGCTTGGCACCCGCGTGTTTGATGCTACGTTTCTGGTCGGCGTGCTAGATATCTATCATCCATCACCTCAATCTCTCAACTTATACGGAAAGACATAACCGGGCCTTGGATAGACCTGTTTTTAGACGAATAGATGTTTTATGTACCATCGAAATCACTGACCTTGGCTAGGTACCTTAACTCGACAGTAGCCTTCCAAGCAGACTTACATGGCGCGACTGCAACAATGACTGTAGCCTACTCGGACTACCCTCCTACTCATATCAAGCCTTGAGACGCACCGTTTCTTTAGTAAGAAGCCCTGGAGGTCAAAGACGTGAATTTACATGAAGAAAGCTTTTGTCTGGACCGTTGCAGTCTATTTTTGTAGCACAGGGTTACGTTTATCCAAGCCACGGCCACGAAATGGGCCTGCCTTCCACCCCTCCCAAGGGCGCCTCGGTCAGGCAGAAACCAAGTTCAGCAGCGCAACTTTTTATACTTGATGAGGCGAGGCTCTACGTTGGGCATCTCCAGAAACCAGCCGACCAACAGCAAATAAAGCCTCGTGCGGTACAACAATGTCGGAGGCTACCCGCATGGAAGCATCAGGCAGTCGGAGTGGCAGTGCCAGCCATCGAGGTCTGCCCAGAAGCGCGGGGTATAACTTGATGCTCTCGGCACCGATTTCAGTCGAGAGATGTTGAGTCCTTCTGCGTTAATACTTACGACATCTTCTATTAGCTCGTTTTCGGCATCCTTTGTCACTTTGCATACCTGTGTACCAGCATAGATAGCATCGATTCAGCATCAAAGTGCCCAAAAGCCATGGCCAGCACGTTTGACCTGAAACCCTACGTATGCGACTCTCTTCCGGAGAAGTTCTATCGGATCGATTATACTGGCTCCCAAACTTCGAAAGATGCCACGGGAGATTATGTTGCAAGAGCCAACTTTGACATGATCCCCATAGAGAAGAGTTTCAAGGAAATCCTCGAGGACCATTTCAAATGGGAACACGTTCCCAGCTGTTTTATATCCGTCCTCAGTGACAAGGAGCATGCCGACTATTGGGCTGGGAAGGCGCCGGCTTGGCTCCGTTCACGTGGCGTGGAGAACCCTGAGGTCTCCATCAGCGAGATCGACACGACGCAGCTCCCAGCTGGTACCTACGTGTTCATGGCCAAATCTCTGGTCAACAGGCTCGATATCAAATACAAATATTGGAAGCATGAATATCTTTTCCTGCATCGCATTCCGCATGAGGCCATAATCAGCCCGCAGGGCCTGAAGAGCCCTAAGGAGGCTGAGATGACCAAGGAGGCAGAGAAGACCAAGGAAACTGGGAAGTCTGGGGCGATTGAAGATCCAGGGACGTGCGATTCTGCGGTCAACAATGGGACAAGCTCCCCTGACGGAGAAACAGACCTGTCGGAAAAGTTCGATGGTCTGCAGATCAAGGATTCAGTGCCTGTTCGCAGCACACCGAGAAAGATGAGGAGCGAGAAGAAGCCAATCGTGTATGAGCGACCTCCTTGGTGCGTGGAGACTGTGGTTAGGATTCGCAGGAGGAAGAATGAGGTTCGAGGTAAATCAAGATCTAGGCAACACTTCAATTCTTAACAAAAGCTCAAGTTACAGTACTGTTAACAGCATGAACTGAAACCTCAATCCTCCCCAGTATTCCTTTACCGTCGAGGCTTGATCGCCAGCTCTTAGATATAACCCACTCAGTCCGATTTCCTTTCGAAAGAGTTGACGCAGTTCTCCATGGATTATGCCGTGTAACTGCTGCTGGCTAGGCTCGATTTCATTCTTATTATAGGCATCTATCCCGTAATTTTCGATCGAACTTGTGCCTCGATTATCGATGAACGAACTATCAGTCCTTCAATCATAGCGCTGAAACCGTATAGGTAAATTCATCACAAGAGACTCTCAAAGTCTATTATGACAATTTTTAGTATGGGCATTCACTGTTTTTTCTCTCTTTGAACGCCCGCTTACACGTTGATGGCCTTATGAAAGGAGCTCACGATGCCCCAAACCAGACGCTTACCCTGAATTCCAGCGGTATTCGGTTAGCGGATAACCTCGATACAAGACTTCCACAAACTTCCGCTAGCATCACAAGTAGTGTTCCACCTAAACGATGCAACTCATCCACAATTTTCACAACTTTCACTTCAAACCTACAACGACCATGATATGAGTGTTTTCAGCTAATCATTATCTGGGCAACTAGCTGCATGTGGTGGGGAATGGAAGTGGGATCCTGGCTGATATGGACTCCATTGTGGGCTCTGGGGTACGGACTTGGTGTGCTCCTCTTGAGCATCACGACCATCGTCTTGTATAGACTCTTTCTTCACCCGCTGGCACGAATTCCAGGCCCAAAACTCGCCGCCATTTCAAATATCTGGCACGCATATCACGCTCGCAGTGGACGCATGTTCGAACTGGGAAAGAGGCTGCATCGGGAGTATGGCGAAGTCGTGCGAGTCGGACCCAATGAGCTCTGGTTCAACAGCAAAGAGGCCTTTGACAAGATTTACAGTACGTGGGACGGCGCATTGATGATGGTAACTTTGACGTAGCATGACTGACAAGTCTGAAAGGTAGCACAAAGGGTTTCGAGAAGACTGACTTCTACTGTACGTTGAAACGAGTCGAACATCACGGCTGGTGACTTGCTTACGGATTGATCAACGGCTCTAGTGGCAACGAGCCTCAACACGCCAAAGATAGATGCCTGTTTGCGTCCTCATTTTGCCGACAGCCTCGATCTCCTTTCTGAGCGGGACATGAAGCGTTACCGCCTGCAGAGGCGACTCATTGGACGAGTCTACCAGACGGCCAACGTGGTCAAGTTCGAAGCAGCAGTCGACGACGTTATCAAGCAGGTGATTGCGCGACTGGAAGCCCTGAATGGTGCAGAAATCGATCTCAAGGAATGGATGCACATCATCGCCGTCGAATGTCTGGGAGCGTCGGTCCTCTCTTGGTCTCCGGGACTGCTCAAGGCGGGAACGGATTGGGGTTCCAGCGCTCACAGCTACCTTGGCTGGAGAAGGAAGAGTGTCATGGGCCTCTTCCCGACGTTGACCAAGTTGACCTTCCGTTCCAATTCGTTGGAGTGGATATTCCGGGATGTTTGGAATCTCAAGTACCCTGCTTCGTCTAAATTTCGATCATTCTTTCCTGTCAGTTGCAACAACCCCACCGGATACCTCCAAAGCTGTAGGTTCGTTTGCTCATCTGAACATTAGGACGTCGGGAAGCGCATCTCTCGAAGGATGTCCGCTCTGAAACCGAATGCCCCCAAAGACAACCGGGCAGATCTAATGGCGGACCTGATTCAGCTTCATAAGGATAAGCCTGATTTCACAGTAAACTATCTCAGGAAAATGGCCATGACCAACTTTGGCGCGGGGCATGAGACCCTGGCATCAACTCTGACGTCGATTTTCACCATGGTCGGCACACATGACGATGTGCAGAGGAGAGTAAGACAAGAGATTCGGAGCGCCACGGATGCCTCGTCATATGCAGGTACACTTCAGCTGCAATATCTGCGTGCGGCAGCAAGAGAAGCGATGCGCCTCCATCCGGTCCTCAGCATGTCGCTGCCTCGCCGAGTCCCTGACGCGGGCTTACACGTTCACGGCTACTTTATCCCGGGAGGCACGACAGTCGGGTGCAACCCCGTGGCGTTGCATCGAAACGCAGACGTCGTGACGGGATCCGATCCAGAAGCTTACGACCCGGATCGCTGGCTCGGTGGCGAGTCTTCGGGTACGCGCCTCATGGAGCGATACAGCCTCAACTGGGGCGGTGGGCCAAGGATTTGTCCGGGGAAGAACTTGGCCGAGATGGTCGTTTATAAAGTCATATCAGCCCTATTCGAGCGGTTCAATGTGGAGGTGTCTGTACCGCCGGAAGTTGGGCAACCGTCCTACTTCTTGTCAATGATCACCGGGGTCAAGGCCCGGTTCTTGTCTGTCGCTCCACAGCCGGCGGGAGAGACGGCCTTCCATGAGAGCTGAACCATATTTCATTGTGTGTTGGTGACGGAAAGGTGTGGAAGCAATCTGTAATGCCGATGAAGTCGGTTTGGCTCAGTAAAAGACGTCGATACCAGGTTGACCAATGCTAAGGCTGTAGTTATCATTTGGCATCGAACCGAAAGCCTGGGCAGGTCTATCGGCTTCTCGCGTTAGAATCTGCCGAAATACAGCTGCAAAGGAGTGCAGAACGTCAGAATGCAGTATCTTGACATATGAGGATGTCACACCTCGTGGTGAGAACCCACTTCAATAGAGTTGGGCTGTGCTGTGCTCCGGAAGATTGGTCGTCTTCCGGAGTTGCATGCCGCAGTGTGCCAAAGAGAAGCAGGGCGTCCATTGTCGAACCTCCGGTGGCTGTCGGCCGTTTCAAGAGGTCGCATTGATACGCTATCAAAGGACACTCTCCGGACCAATTTCATGCTCCTTTCCTGCGTTGATGCTAATGTATCTGCCTAGTGGGCACTAATGCTGTGAGGGAGTGGTTCTGTTGCATTCCATCACATTTGACAGAGGTTCACCCCCAAATGCCAAGGAGTCGATGGTGGAGCTGACGATGCTTGCTAACGGAGATGGCAACGAACAGGGGAAAGCGTCAGTTGGGTGAGTTGAAATCTCGTGAAGTAAAGTTCCGCAAGAACTTGTTTGCACATTGTTGGTTGACTTGAGATAAAGCCGTTGACAAGGTGGCTGTCAGCCACAGGCAAACTTTTCCCTCGCAATCGCCTCTGGACGCGAACTTGAATTGTGAAAGGGTGTGCTCGCCGTTCTAGTCCCTCAAGTCCCAGGAACTCGACAACGGGCCACTAAATCGAATGTTCGGCGAAGCGCCACCTCCGATGGCTTCGGGGATGCCTCGTGGGAAATTGAGACGGCGTTGGCTTCAAAACCGTCTAGCAACTCTGGCCGGACTGTCTTCCATCCAAGCCTAGGATGCGCCATCCCCGCTCCCTCGTGCACCCCGGACATGTCTAGAAATGTTATCGAACCCTTCCATTCGTGGCGTTATTAGAGGATAACAAATGGCCGAGAGACCTGGCCAGAAGCAGCTGAGCAACCTGGTCAGCCCTCCCCTTCATCACTCCACTTAGATAACCCGTCCATTCTGCAATGGCCTGGTACGGCAAGGCGTGTGCGGGTTGATGTTACTCTTACATACGAAGTACTGGAGATTGGCGCTCGGTACTCCATACTCCGTAACTTGAGAAGGATCATGGCTAATGATCAGTACGAGAAACCCAGGCCGGACTCCGCCAAGTGATAGTAAAAGCATTCGTCCGGGACCAATGAGCAGTGATGCATATCGTGCCCGACACTTGAGCCTTGATAAGGCGATGCGCCCACCAGGTTGGAACATCTGACGATGCTAGGCAACGGCGAAATGAGACGGCCTTTTTCAGGTAGAAGGGTGCGGCTGATGGTGTCCCAAATTGTCACCCTTGTCCTCGATCTCAACCGCGGAATTGAATCCTTTCGACCCCAATATCATCTTTTCCATGGTTAGCCGTCTCTGGCCGTTGACGCACTAGCCAAATAGCCTTTGACTTCTCCTTCTGGCAGAAAGACTTCGCGACGCCCAACGGTGACATCTTGTGAAGTCATCGCCGTGACCGATTGCTTCAACAAACACGAGGTCTGCTCTACCCCGTCTGGGGTAATCTGGATTTCCTGGCCCGCGCTCGACGTCAAATCCAAGGGACTGGACGAAGCTCGGCCTCTCCCCAGATATTCCCCAATATCTTGACTAACAGATTGCTCTTCACCCCATCGCGAAGTTGATTCCGAGCGTGCGCATTACGAAACATTTTGGAAAGCAGTGGCGACTGGCCCACTCAACCCCGTATGATTTGAGATGGACATCTGCAACGAGGATGCTGAAGGGCCGGAGAGGGCTGTCACGACTGGACGCTGGTGGGCCTCGGACGGCCGGTAGGGTTGCACCCATCGGCTTGGTGAGGCCCAAGTCGCGCCTCCTCATGGCCGTTGATGAAGTTGAAGCTGCAAAAGAGCCGATCGCGATGAGTAGCGCTCCATGTATGTACATCAAGCAGTACAAAAGACAAGCATCGTAAAATGTCCTTGGCGAAGGACTTTTGCGCAAGCCACATGGACATGTCTTCCCACCGTGCAGCGTTAGCAAAGCTTGGGCCGGCCGCCACGCAGCTGGGGGATCTCTTTGTCGACCACACACCTTTGCCCTAGCCCGTCCTCTCCGAGAGGCATGGATGGGATCACCAGGATTTGGGTTCCCCATCGGGCTGCACTCCGTCACGCCACCCGCCCTTTGGGCTTGGGCCAACGGCACATGCCTGTCGAGGCGTCCAGGAACGAGAGCGCGCAGCCCGGCATCAAACGTTGCTTCGGATTGTTTGCTTCGACTGACTCTTGCTGGCCGCCCTTTCGCCTGGACCCGAATTGCGTGCTTTCGGCGGCGGCTCCCGGAGTCCAGACCAACGGGGACCCTGGAATGCTGATACGGATGCTAGCAGTAATACTCATTACGAGTAAGACCATCTCGCTCGGTGTGCTACTACTAGTTCGCTTTGAGGTCGTCGTACGTATTATGGAGCAGCAATTGCTAAAAAGTAACCTTGAGCATTTGAGCTTTACGCTTGAAATTAGAGAGCGACGGGGGGGGGGGGGGCCTCCAGTATCTGTGGAGTGCGCATGTCTCCCCTGCACGCTGCAAGCTTAAAGGAGATGCTGCGATGCCATTGGATCCCGCCATGCCGCAGATGAGGGAAGGGGACTTTTGCAGAGTGGCGCCTAAGCGTGGGTTGAGTCGAGAGGGCCGCTCACCATGCCTGGACCAGCCTAGGGTGACATGCTGCCATGCTGACGGTGGATTTCCCGTGGCCAAAAAGGCCATTGCCGGACCCGGCCGAGAGAGAGCAGGAAGAAGCATAACAAGCTTAAGGTTGTGGTTACACGGGGAATTTCGAACATCGTGTGGAATGCAACCTCTGGCTGGCGGAGCAAACAGGGCGACCGCGCGCAGTCGATCTGGTGTCTCGTCTGCATCAGTGTCAGCGATAGTACAACTACTTGTATGTATGCAATCGTCAGACAGCGGATTGTTTGATCTTGGCGACTCAGGCTGCGGCACCAGATAGCGATTAAGCGGCTCGGCCAATATCTGTGTCATCGCTTAGATGCCAAGGAGGCTATCTGGCGTCGCCCCGCCGCCATCACAAGGCTTGTCGTGTGCCTACGCGCGTGTGCAAGTACGAACACTTGTAATAGCAGCCGCTGCTAGGCTGGCGCGCCGACTCGCCGGATCGTTTCGGGGCCCGGAGAGAACGCCGTGCAGGGCCCTTGATGCGACGCCTCTTGCGCTGAGGATGAAGCACATAGAGCGGGTTCGCCGTAGTCTGAGGCGTAGCACCGCGATCCAGGCCCTCGGTGAGCATGATGCAATTTCAGCGATCCGCGAAAGTGCCGATGGCGAAGCATGTGAGTCTAAAATAACCGAGGAGGAGGGACGGGCAGGCGAGCCCTGTTGGATGGCGACAGCGATGGCGTTGCAGGCATTGATCGTATCGCATCGTTGGACTGTGACTGTGCTTCTGGAGGAGGAGAGACGATCAATGGCAGCAATTGATACGAGGGCGCCTACCTGCTGTGAGGCGCCGTCCAGGCCATGGCAGGCGGTCAGAGGCTTAATCGATTAGCGGCCAGGCGTAGACTTTGATCCGCCTCGTGCAGGATCCCACACCACCGACACCTCGTCTCTGCACCCTCCTCGCTATCAATCTGGCGTCTCGCCACCTCCACTCTGGGCCATTTCGTGCGTGCTGGCCCCGGCACTGGCCCGGGATCTTTTGTCTAGTTGCCACCGCCTTGCCCTGAAGCAGCATCGCGCTCCGGCGGCTGCTCGTCTTGGCCCGAGGCGCCTGGTCGCTTGTGTGCCTGTCCTGGCTGCTCTAGTACCGAACGGGCAGCAGAGCCACGACCTCGTCCTTCGCCTGCTGTGCCAACACTCGCGCGATACGGGACGAACAAGGACAAGGCCGGGCCAGCACATGGTTGCGCATGGTTTGGAGTGGAGGGCCTTTGGGGGTCCTTGGGGTACCTTTTCCGCAGCCGGCTAATCGAAATCCCCAGTTGACTCAGACGCTTTCCCCCATCGTCGTACCAATATATAAGTCAACTTCTCGGCCGCATACAGAAGCGCCTCTCTTCTTCTCCTCTCGTGCTGTGAAGCCCATTCCGTCTCTGCCCACTTCATCTGCTGGGTCGTCAAACTAGAAGCTCAAAGCATCAGTCCACCATGAGCAACGCCGCCAACCTCGACGTGGACGTCATCGCCGAGGCGGACCACCGCGCCGCCGGCTTTGACGAGAAACCCACGGCCGCTGTCGACATCCGAAGCGACGCGGACTACGATGACTTCCCTACCGAGGAGGAGCTGCGCACTCTGCGCCGTGTCTCGGGAAAGATCAAGTGGGCCATGTACACCATCGCCTTTGTTGAGCTTTGCGAGCGTTTCTCATACTACGGTTCCTCCGTCCTCTACACAAACTTTGTGAACCGTCCTCTGCCTGCTGGCTCAACCACCGGCTCTGACCCCGATGGCGGCCACCCCGGTGCCCTGGGTATGGGTCCCAAGGCTGCTCAGGGTATCAGCTTGTTCAACCAGTTCTTCGCCTACATCATGCCTCTCGTCGGGTAAGCTTGTGCTTTTCTTCCGCTTCAACTTGAAACACTCGGTTGCTTACATATTGCCAACAGTGCCTGGGTTGCCGATGCCCGCATGGGACGTTTCTGGACTCTGCATCTGGCCATTGGTATCTCTACCATTGCCCACGTCATCCTGGTTGCCGCCGCCGCTCCCGATGTCATCGTCAAGAAGGACAGCGCCTTTGCCGCCTTCATCATCGGCCTCATCTGCCTTTGCGTTGGCACTGGTTTCTTCAAGGCCAACGTCTCTCCCCTGCTGGCCGACCAGAACGAGGACAGGCGCATGCGTGTCGAGACCCTGCCCTCTGGCGAGCGTGTCATTGTCGACCCTGCCGTGACCAACACCCGCATCTTCCTCTACTTCTACTTTGCCATCAACATCGGATCTCTCACCGGTCAGATCAGCATGGTCTACGTTGAGAAGTATGTTGGCTTCTGGCTCGCTTTCCTCATCCCCACCGGCATGTTCCTGAGTGCCCCCTTTGTCCTGTGGAGCCAGAAGAAGAACTACCGCCTGCAGCCTCCCACCGGCTCTCTGCTTCAGAAGTTCCTGCAGATGTTCTTCTACGCTCGCAAGCGCTCAAAGGGCTTCTTCACGATCGACTGGGACACTGTTCGCCCCTCGCGCATTGCCATGGATGCCCGCCCTAAGTGGATGACCTACGACGACGCCTGGGTTGACGAAGTCCGCCGTGGTCTGATGGCCTGCAAGGTCTTCCTCTTCCTGCCCGTCTTCTTCCTGTCCTACAACCAGATGACCGGTAACCTCACCATTCAGGCGGGTACTATGGAGCTTCACGGTGTCCCCAACGACATCATCCAGAACCTGAACCCCATCTCCATCGTCATCATGATCCCCTTGATCGACCACCTCCTCTACCCCGGTCTCCGCAGACTTGGCATTGCCTTCACGCCCATTAAGCGTATGACGACTGGTTTCGTCATTGCCGCGCTCTCCATGGTTGCCTCTGCTGTCATGCAGCACTACATCTACAAGAAGAGCCCTTGCGGCGATCACGCCAACGGCACCATCATCGTTGACGGCGAGGAGGAGCTCTGCCCCCCTGCCCCCATCAACGTCTGGGCGCAGTGCTTGCCCTACATCCTCATTGGTTTCGCCGAAATCTTTGCCAACGTCACCTCTTACGAGTATGCTTACTCCAAGGCTCCTGAGAACATGAAGTCTCTCGTCATGAGTGTCAACCTGTTCATGAGCGCCATCTCTGCTGCCATCGGCGAGGCCTTCACCCCTCTGTCCGACGACCCTCTCCTGGTCTGGAACTACACCACCGTTGCCTGCATCTCCTTTGTCGGCGGTGCTGCTTTCTGGTTCTGCTTCCGCCACCTCGACTCCGACGAGGACAAGTGGAACATGCTCAAGAAGTCCGAGTACATTGGCCAGAATCAGCCGGGTCTGAGCAAGGAGGCCGACGTGGAGCCTTAAGACTTGTCTTCTTTTCTTTTGACGTATGGGTGTGATGTTTTCAAGCGGGGATGGGATATGATACCAAAACTATGTATAGCACTATGAATATTATTTAATGACTATTACAACAATGCCCTGAATATCCGCCCTGTTCTTGACTTTGCAACGTCAAGGTGAGGACTGTGAACGAAAGGAGACGGTAAAGAATGACGGCGACTTTACTAGTTCAGGCTGAGGGGGGCAGAATCCGGGGATTACTCTTCTGGGACGCCGAAGCCGGATGCGGAGAGGACGAGTTTGCGTCGGGATTTCGGTACATGATCCCGACGAATTTTCGGAGCAAGGTAGGATCCCTGTTTGCGTTGATTGTTGGACGCTGAGAGGGCGCAGATCTCACCGTTTTCCCGATCTATAAGTGCTTATGCTCTCCGGATCATAGCGCTGCGTTTCCATGACTTTGTCCAGAGCCTTTGAGTCGTCGAAACTGGGCTTCGTGGTATGAGCCTGGAGTGGGAAATAAGCACTGGACAAAGTTAAGAGGAAGAAGAATGAGGATTTGCTGGATGATCTGACCGGAAAGCCTTCTTTTATGATTTCGAAGAAAGATTTTCGAGTGTTTGCGGGACAGCGTTGCTCAGGACAATAGGGAGCACAGCATGGACTCACGAGACGAGACGATATCGCGGGTTCCCGTCGATACAACAGAAACTTCGAAACAGCAGCACTTTTCCAATGAAAAGCAAGCACACGATCGAGAGCATGGCCTCTATGAAGAGCCCAACGCCTCTCTTCCCGCCACCATCAACGCCGCCTACGACTGGACCGGCCCCGACGACCCAGACAACCCTCGCAACTTCTCCGCCTCGCTCCGCGTCTTCAGCACCATCGCCATCACCATGCTCGCCATGATCGGCACAGTCGCTGGGTCCATGTATGCTCCCGCCCAAGACGCCGTCGCCTCGTCCTTCCGCTGCAGCCGCATCGTCGCCGTGCTTCCCCTTTCGCTGTACAACCTCGGCCTTGCATTCGGGCCCATGGTTGGCGCGCCTCTTTCCGAGACGTATGGCCGCAAGTCTGTGTTTCTGATCTCGACGCCCGTGTTCGTGCTGTTCATGCTCGGATCGGGCTTCAGTCGCTCGGTGGCTGGGCTGACGGTCTGTCGGTTCTTCGCGGGCGTCTTTGCTTCGCCATTGATTAACAATGCGCCTGCGACGCTGCTCGACTTTACGCCGCCGCGGTACAGGGGCGTGAGTTTGGGAGGATACTACGCCGTGCCGTCCTTTGGAGCGGCCTTGGGGCCTTTGATAGGAGGGTTTGTTTTGCTTGTCAAGCCATGGCAGTGGACGCAATGGATCTCCATCTTCATCACGGTTGCGTTCTACATCCCTGTGTGCTTCACGCGCGAGACCTACAAAAAGGTCATTCTCAAACGGCGAGCCACGCGTCTGGGCCTACGAGACTCGGCCTCACAGCGGACTTCCCCCGGACGAGCGTTTCGGCATTTCTTCACTACGCTGATCCAGCGGCCGCTGCACATGCTTTTCACGGAGCCGATTGTTACCCTCGTGAGCGTCTACAACGGGTTCTTGTTTGGGCTTTTGTACACGTTTGTCGTGTCTGTGCCTTGGATATTCAGGCACTACTACGGATGGTCGGTGGAGAGCGAGCCGCTGTCGTATCTGGGGCTGATGTGCGGCACGGCGGCCGCGGCGGCGCCCCTGATTGTGATTGACCTGCGGTATTATCAGAGGCGGTTGACGGCGTGGCAGATGGATCACGACGAGGACGAGCCTTTGCCTTCCGAGAACCGCCTCATGTCTGCTCTGATAGGAAGCGTCATGCTGCCGATTTGTCTGTTCGTGGTGGGCTGGACGGTGCAATTCCGCGTGCACTGGATGGTGCCGATCATCTTCCAGGGCCTCGTCATGCTGTCGTCGCTGCTGGTCTACGCGGGGGCCAACCTCTTCATGCTGGACGCGTACGGCCCGCTGTACGGGGCGTCGGCGTCGGGCGCGATGATGTTCAGCCGGTACTTGCTCTCGGCGGCGTTTCCGCTGTTCGCGCTGCGCATGTATGAGAGTCTTGGGGCCGGGTGGGCGACGAGCGTTCTTGGGTTTGTGACGTTGGTGATGGCGCCGATACCGTGGTTCTTTAGGGCGTTTGGGGAGAGGTTGAGGGGGAGGAGTAAGTATGAGATGAGTACTTAGGAGGGTGTCATGATGATGTGATGATTATGGCTGTCATTGCGATGTGTGTGTATATGTATGAGTTGTCTTAGATGAATTTGTTGAGATGGTGATGTACGATGGAGGCATTGTTTGCGCGGCTCACCGAAATAGAATGCGGCAGGGGAGATTGTTGTAGATCGAGAGAAGACTCGGATCGAAACTCCATTCAAACTCTAGCAACGTCTTGATTTTCCTACCTTGATGACATGTCGAGATCCTCCCTCTCCACCATTACTTGTATCCACAGAGCAAGGGCATCTACAAGCCAAGATCCAAATCGTCACATTTCAGAGCCCCATAGTGATCACAAACAGCATCATGTAAAGGTCAGTGGGATGCGTAATTCGGAAGAGGCTGAGCACAGGCGCCAAGAGATAAGGAAAAGCAAAAAGCAAAGGCATAAATCAGGAACAATCTCTCTTATACGAAGTACAGTAGGAGCTGCACTGTAATACTGGAGATTGGCCTATGCAGATCGGGAACATCGAAATTATAGTTTGCCAAGAGTGGGCTCCGCATCAGATCTACTATATTACACCTCTTGGTTTTTTTTTTCTTCTCTTGGCCATCTATTTTTGGGTAGGATCGTGGGTTTTCTGGGAGGCTGTATAAGACGGATTGCGTTTCGAAGCAAGTGCCGGTGTGGAAGGGCTAGTATATGCCGTGGATGGCCGGACGATCGATCTTGGTGCGACACTGCCTTTGACTAAAAATATCGAGTGGTGTAGGGTTATGAATTGAAGCAACCTTCAGTCGCTAGTTCTCATGGTGATGTTTGAAAGCGATTCGTTACAGTTAGAGTGGGCAATGCAGAGAGGCAGTGCATCAACTTGCTGTGATGTTGTCTCATTACACCCACTGTGATGATTGAGAGTAAAACCTGCCAAGAAGAACGAGAAAAAAAGGGCAGAGAGAACTTGACTCAAGATCCTTGACTGCAAACTTGCGATTGGCAGCTCTGCCATCGTGGCTCTTCGCTGCCAAGAAGCCAAACTGTCTCAGTTGTGTTGTGTTCGATCCATGTTCTTGATACCCAAGGCGCAGCTTCTGACGCATCTTGGCAGCGGCAACACCAGTCATGAGTTTTTGTTGTTGTTGGGTTCTGTTTGCTTGTTTTTCTACTAGTAGTATTCGATTTGATCCTCGCGTGCTTCGAGTCTCATTAAAGTGCCGAGCTTGAGAGCCAGGGCCCCGGTTGGTGATGCAGCCCAACGGAAGCCCGGGGCTTTCGTCGTTCGAATGCCGCAAGTACCTATGTAGGTAGTGTGTAACTTAACGAAAAACTAATTCTCCAGGTGACAATTCACAAGAGGCCGCAAACGCAAGTTGTCTGTTTGCAATTGCCGTTTGTATAAGATTCGACGGAAGAGCGTAAAACTGCAGGTTTGTAGCAATGACCGGGGTTAAACAATCCAATGAGACCAATCCGATCCCAGCTCAGGGTTATCCAGGGCTACACCACGCACCCTGGTCTGTACCCAACGGTGCCATGCTTCAGGATCTTATTCTGAGGCATAATTAACCTAAAATGCGTCGTAATCATGCAGCTGTCATCTTTATTCTGTGGATGTTGTTCAGTAAGAGACTGTTTCTTCGTCTCCATCAATAAAAATAACCATAAAAAGAAAATGGAGATACGGAGTCGCGATCGACGACTTTGCGTTTCAAGGGCTTTCTTCGCCCATGGACCCACGGACGTCGAGTCGCTGGATCCTCGTGAGAGATGCTTGGCTCGCCTGACATGTGAAGACCTTGGCGCATATGCCGGTAATATGGGACCTCATACTTGTACGTTCCTGGAATTAGCCCAGGCTAACACACCTGTCGATCGAAGAACCTCAAATAGAAGCCTCTGATGGACGGAACACGTTATCGAGGCCTATGGGATACGGGAGACTCGGAGTGCAATTGTGCGGTTCGACAGACTCCATCTTCCGTTCCCAACGTTGGAAATCCTTGTCAAGGCCACGACAGGGTGGCAAAGGGGGGGGCTCAAGCTTGCAAATGGCTTCGTATGCAATCCAGCTCTTGCTGCCCAAAGCTGGGCCATCTGCCCATTTTGCAAGATAACGGTTCACCACTTATCTGCCTTGCAGATCATACAAAACCCCTGAGCGTATCTTGGCCCCCCCCCCTGTCAGGACTTGGCCTCGCTAAATAGAATTTGATAGCATCTCCTGCTGCACTGCCGATTAGTGGGATCGGCTTTTAAGGGCGGCGCAAAGTGCCGGCTGCTGCATGGGGGGAGGGTAGGAGTGCGGTTCTACGAGATGTATACGGAGTACGGAAGCAATTGTATGTATGGTAATACAGTACACAGCAGAGACGCCCCCCCTTCTAGCGGAATAGCCGACGTAGCTTCTCTACTGGAGCCCCGGCAAACTGAGTCGAAATGAGACGCCTATTTTCTGGGTCTTGAGAGGAATGAACCTGGTGTTGCGACGTCTGGGCATTTTTTCGCGACTCTGTTGCGTCAGCTCTCTGTGCGCAGCATATCGCATCTCCATCTGCCTGTCTTGGCTTTCTTCTTCGAAGGGGCAACGGAGAGAGTCAGGGAGCTACCGGGGCAAGGGTCTTGAGAATTTCGTCAAGGTGGTCCAAGAGCAAACTGAGCCGGGGGAGGGAGATTGTGGGCGGCGGCGAGAGTACTTAGATATGAAAAGGTCCTCGAACGTTGACCGAGGGCCTGTTCGAAGGAAGTTCAAACAGACAAAGGTTTTTCAATTTCTCTTCTAGACATTCCTTTGGTGTGTGCCTTCTTTTTGAAGTGCTTTGGGACTTTTTGTTTGACTTATACCTGGCGCCTGTCTGAGCTCCCACAGCACATATCCGTCCAGAGAGACAGTTTTGCCTACATACCCCCTGATAGAGACGACTACAACAACAAGGAAAGATGACGAGACCATTTGGTCCTGTGGACCACGACGATATGGAAAGGGGACACCTCGACTCCAGCCCCAACAGCCACACACGGTCCTTCTCTGGCGATGTCACTCGCACAAACACCCCGATCCCAGATGACGAGCGGTCCGCCTGCGACGAGAAAGATATGAAAGCTTCCCTGTCTCATGCCGTTGACATCTACGACCCGAACCGGCCAAAGCTGCCTATCCGACAGAGACTTCAACACTTTACATGGGCGTGGTACACTCTGCCCATGAGCACGGGAGGTCTCTCCCTGCTCATCTACGCACAGCCATACCAGTTCACCGGCGAAAGGACGATTGGCTTGACCGTGTACATTATCAATATCCTCATTTTCTCACTGGTGACAATGGCCATGACTGCTCGCTTCTTCCTGCACTCCGGGGAGCTTGTCCGGTCTCTCACCCATCCCCGAGAAGGCTTCTTCTTCCCCACATTCTTCCTCTCCATGGCCACCATTATCACGAGCACGCAGCGATACGTCATACCGGACGACCATCCGATTCTGGAACCGGCCGTCAAAGCTGCGTTCTGGGTGTACGTCGCCCTGACGGCGGTTCTCGCCATCGGCCAGTACAGCTACGTGTTTGCGGCCCATAACCTCGCCCTAAAGACCTTCATGCCGACCCTGATCCTGCCCATCTTCCCCATCATGCTTTCGGGAACCATTGCCTCCGTCATCGCGGGCACGCAGCCCGAATTCGACGCGATGCCCATCCTGGTCGCCGGCCTCACCTGCCAGGGCCTCGGCATGTCGGTGGCCATCCTGATGTACGCCCACATGATCGGACGCCTGCTGCAGTTCGGTCTGCCCAACCGGGAGCACCGACCGGGCCTCTTCATGTGCGTGGGTCCGCCGGCTTTTACCGCCCTGGCTCTGGTCGGCATGGCGAACGGCGTGCCTGACGGCATCAGCGAGCTGGGCATCGACAAGAGCGTCATCAAGGTGGTGGCCATCCTTGTGGCGGTGTTCCTGTGGGCGCTGAGCTCTTGGTGGTTCGGCATCGCCGTCGTCGCTGTGGTTTCTTCGCCGCCAAAGTATTTCCATCTCGGATGGTGGGCCATGGTCTTCCCCAACACGGGCTTCACGCTGGCGACGATTTCGATTGCCAAGGAGCTGCTGAGTCCCGGGTTGCAGTGGGTTACTATCGGTATGAGCTCTTGCATTTTCATCATTTTCATCTTCGTGTTTGTGTGCCATGTTCGGGCGGTGGTTGTTCAGGATATTATGTATCCGGGACGAGATGAGAATGTGGAAGATCACTGAGTGGTGGTTGATGGGGACAAGATGTGTGCGTGTGTGTGTATGTGTGTCTGAAGGGATGGGGCACGATAGATGGAGGTTTCTTGTTTGATTCCTTGTTTGCATGGTTTCCTCCTGGGATTGACGGTTTGATTGTTATTTTGCTTGTCTTTTGCCTTATAGAGGTTTGTTGGAACTTGTTACTTGTTGAATGTACTTTATGCCTGTAATTCTAGACGCTGCTGGGGCTGATGGGTATATGGGACTGTACGATACACGTGTATCTAAACTTGAATGTTAGTAGAAGCATGACGGACTGTTTTTGTTTTTATCAATACCCTGAATGTAATTCAGCCATACATTCAATGTCTACAGGACCATGTGTAAAAAGATTTGATGCTCCGAGACCGATTGCCGGAACAGGCAATCGGCATCGGCACGGCACCGGCATCGGGCGTTAGCTCCGGCCTCTTCAGTGAGCGGTCCCGGGATCAAACAGCCAATACTCGTTGTACTTCAAATTGAGCATAACTTGGAGCTCTGGCTTTAATCTGTTGATAGCTTTAGGATTGAATGTTGGCTCATTCCATTACATTCTGGTTCTAGACTCCATGATATTGCATGTTGCTGCAGCTAGATTTGCCTTATGGATATGGATATGCCGCGGTCTAACATACAAAAAATCGGCCGCGTGGCCTAATGGCTAAGGCGCTAGATTTCGGTTTCCATATACTCTCTCTAGAGATTCCAGGTTCGACTCCTGGCGTGGTCGCTTCTTTTTTTTGCCCTTTTTCTGGTCCAATCTCACGATCTGTCATCATACTCAAGAGTTCCTTCACTGGTCTGACACAAGCAGTTGAAGAATGTATCATTATAATCACGTCTTGTCCACAGGATCTATATACACGCCCTCTCTACTCAGAGAACTTGAAATAAAGACTTGAAATTCGGACTGTCAATCTCCCACCCGCCAGCACCGTTGGGCGCAAACCTGAAATAGCGACGAATATTGTCGATATCCGCCATCCAAATCTCATCCCTATGCCTGTCCAGGTGCTCAAAGATGGACTCGCACATGACCTTTGTGCGCGCCGTCGCCCACCAAACCTCCTTTGACAGAAGCCGCCAAGCAGTCGCGTAGAAACAGAGCATGATGACCAGCGACTGCGTCTGGCTCTGCGACACCTCCTCTTCAAACTCCTTGCTCGCCTTGGCAGGCCAAAAGAGAGTGTAGACCCCTATCTGCGGCAACAAAGGCTTGATGACCCGGCCCTTTGCCGCAGCGTCCATTGTTCGAAGAAGCGGCGTCAGCCGGTCACAGGCGTTGAAGTCCCCCGAGTCGATGCAGCATCCGGCGGCACGGCTCAGGGGAATCGTTCGCGCGCTGAAGAAGAAGTCGTCAAAGACAAAGGCGTCTCGCAGGCCTGCTTCGAACTGCCGGAACTCTTCGATGCTGGCGTAGGACATGGGCGTCTTGAAGATGCCGTTTGTGTATCGTTTGTCCTCCTTCATGGCCTTCATGACCGTCTTGAGGCCGGCTGCAAACTTGAGTAGTCTGTCGGGCTCGCTTTTCATGTCGATCTTGTCGTCTTCGTACGTGAAGAAGGGCATGGACCAGGCATAGTGCACCAAGAGGAGGGCGCAAGCGATGATTACGTCGTGGTTGAAGTCGTCTGTGCCCTGCGATAAGAGGTCTCGGAAGCCGGAGAGAGTGAGGTCGAGATGGTAGGCCATGGATTTGTTGTGTGCTGGGTTGTTGGGCCAGAGGCTTCGTTGGTGAGATGCCGCAATCATTAACACGGCGTGCATCACGACTTCGTTCTAACAGGGCGTCAATATCACCAAAGCAAAGGAAAGCAAGCTTTGACAAACATTTAAAGCCAGAGGGAGCACGCCGTCTCTCCAGACTGAGCTGCCGAAGACGAGTGTCGGCGCTGTGCAGTGATCAAAATGATACATGAGCTGCAGACTGGACATGTCGAGCCCCTGGTCGAGTGGCTTGGGAATGGGGCCCAGACCGGCTCTCTGGTTGTACATCTGTTGTCGGGAGACCTTTGGTAGCATTGCCATGATGCTAAACTCATAATGGCAGGGCAAGTTCCTGGAAGAGCACCTCGAGCAGACGGGGCGGACTTCGTCGCACTGGTGGAAGTTGTGAGCAGATGCTTACGGGTGGATCGCTAGGATGTTCACAAAGAGTGCTGCCATACCTTGACTCTGGACGACTTACACGTGAAGCATCCAGCACGAGATTTGGCATGCCGTTTCCGCTGCCGTGGCTCCCGCCCCAGATCGTCCACTTGCGGCGCCGAAGCGACTTGACTCTGGCCGGGCTTCAACGAGAGGGCAAACACGCCAAAATTTCCGTCCGAAGGCATTGCGGTTACTGAACTGTACTCCAGATGAAAAAGGGTAAGAAGTCAAAGAATAGCACATGAGTAAGTGAGTTGTCGAGAAACAGGAGTCGTGACCTCGTCTACTATTTAAATAAGGCTTCGGCTTTCGCTCGCTACTGGGATGACATGTAAGAGGGCTCGCCTTGTGGCTTGGCTTAGACAAACTAACACAGTATGAGTGCTTTTAGTGTCGTTCGGATAATTACATACCAGGATCTGTCTTTATAAGACAACAAGGGAGAGGTGACATGAATTCGAAAAGATGGAGAGCCGGAGCTGATGATGAATACACTTGATTGGACTGACGTTCCCTATCAACGCCTATGGCTAATAGATTCATACGTAGTAGATACACAATAATTCAGAGCCAACCATTGAGATGATGGCCTCCTGGCAGCACTTCCCCCAGTTCAAAGAGGGTGAGGCTTCGGTGCCTACAAGGTGTTAGCATTCTCACACCTGTTACGTTTGAATCAGCGGCAACGTACCTTTGGCGGCGTCACCCAGTCAAAGTGACCCAATCTCTTGGTCGTCCAAGCATCTCCCGGATACAAAACACCCTTCGGACCACCCAAGAACTCCTGCGGATATCCAGGGTGGAACGGCACCGCGCTCTCAATCGTCTCTTTCTCCTCGTCACTGAGATCAATCGCCAACGCATCGATATTAGCCTTTAGCTGCTCAATCTTGCGACCGCCCAGGATGGGAAAACAGTAAGGAGCCTTGGTCCTGGCCCAAGCCAAAGCGATGCTGGTGATGGACGTGCCGCGCGCCACAGCAATCTTCGCCAGCGTGTCCGCCATGACCGTCTTCTGCGGCTTGTCGACAAAGGGCACCTTTCTCCCTTCCCGCTCCCCCTCCTTCTCGGCCGCCCGCTGCGCCGAAGTGCGAAAGTAGCCCATCCCCAAGACGCCAAAGGGCGCCTGGGCCATGCCCTCGTCGATGCACATGGGGATGACGTCGCGCTCAATCTCCCGCTCGGCGGCGTTCCACTGGCCCTGGTAGACGGAGAACTGGGTGAGGCCCTTTTGGCGGGCGTACTCGTTGGCCTTGGAGACGATCCAGGCCGGGGTGCTGGAGATGCCGAGGTAGAGGACCTTGCCGGCGACGACGAGGTTGTGCAGCGAGTGCATGAGCTCTGGGATGCTTGTGGTGAAGTCCCAGGTGTGCACGTAGTACTGATAAGGATTCTCCTGTTAGCAACTCTCATGAAGATGGTTTTGAGGCAGCAGAAGAAGAGTGGCAGTTCCCTTACCAGATCAATGTAGGATGTCTGCAGGTTCTTGAGGCTGGCCTCGATGGCGACGGTCAAGGACTTTTTGTTGTTTCCGCCAAAGTTGGACTGGATCCGCGTGTCTTGCTCGGCCAGTCGCCAGGGAGACGTGTACTTGGTGGCGACGATGATTTCCTCCCGGTTGTCGCGCGTCTTCATCCATTCGCCAATGATTCTCTCCGACTCTCCGTTCTGGTAGTTGTTGGCACTGACATTTCCCCCATATCAGCATATTATATAAGTACTTCTATGAAACCCTCTGGAAAGTGTCGACTCACGTGTCGATAAAGTTGCCCCCCTGACTGTAAAAGTAGTCCATCAGCTCAAACGACTGCTCCTTGTCGCAGCTGCCCATGATGTCCGCCCAGGCCGTGCCGAATCCCATGCCTCCGAGGCAGAGGGGGCTGACTTTGACGGCGGCCGCGGGGGCGAGCTGGCGGTGGTAGCCCAGCAGGCTCTTGGGCGGGGGGGCGTCGCCGGGGAGGTTGTTGGCGTTTTTCTTGGACATGATGGCGGATATTGACAGTCGCTTTTGAATGGATGGGGTGTTTTGGTTGTCTGGTCCAGATGCTTGATGTGCTTGAGGCTGGGCGAGACGCTTCCAGTGTCCATGATGAGCGATGCTTCAACTTATATAGATGCTTCGACGTTGTCCACTTTCTTGTCCGTTTTCTCTCTTCACTTTCTCTCTCAAACTATCGTATATCAATCCTGGCATACGAAGCTTTTCGATGTCCAAATCAGGCTGTCGAGAACATCGTATTCTCAATATGCAATACCACAGTATGGCTTCACACTCACTTACACGCATTTCTCATCCACCGTCGTGTGCCGAATCGGGAATACGACGCAAGACGGGTGCTAGCGCAAGACATGTTCCCATCCGCTGCGGGCAGATCGACCCGAGATTGGCTATTTGAAGGGATCAGGGGCCACTGTTGCCGTCGTTCCACGGAATATTATCGAAGGCTGCATTATGAGCGTGCTCAGGAGATCTCAAGCAAGTGGCCAATTGCGGCATTTGAATGTTCCCATTGATGCGAATGAACGTACGAGGGCTACCGTCAACCTCCACTGTCGTGTGAGTGAGTTATGTATCAATGAAACGGCTGCAAAGCTCACGGTGCTTTGTACTTCGGACATAGAGTTTGATTACATGTTGGCCGGATATATCGCAAAGTCCGTTGATATAACTCATCGTTTGATATATCCATCGTTGATGCTTGGTAGAGCTATCCTTGTGGTGAATCTGTATATCGTATGTCGTTTGCGGTTTACGACGAGAGCTGCAATGGTACCTCGGGAATAGCTGCCGATGAGTTAGCGTCCAAGGAGGGAATCGCGTACATCAAAGGCATCCCAGCCGAACAAGTCGATCCGGTAGGCCAAATCTTCTTGGCTGTGGAATGTGAGACGACTCAAAATACGTGGAAGCATCTCGGGTGTAAGTCAATCTTGGCCGTCGAGCTGTGGTATCACGAGTAGCCACACTCACGCAAACTCGATTTTCCTTTTAATGGATACTTAGAGGTTATACCATTTTGCATGATGAGAATAGTTCGATCCAAGCGAAAGATGCAACTTCTCTCATCCCCTCTCTTTGCCGAGACTGTCCGCGCAGCTTGGTTTGGGCTTCAAGCTTATTGATACCGGCGAACACGATGCCTCCAGGTACAAAGCCAAAGCCAGTGGAGGCGCCAGTATCGAAAATTGTGTGTACGTAGTCCTGGCATTCTATACTGTACATCTATCAGTTCGAATACTTTAGGCTTTGGAGCCCCACAATCACAGGAAGATGCTTGGTTTTGAATACATCTTTGCTCGAGATAACCAGACCACAAGGATCTCATATACCGTACAGTGAGGCCCGAAGCTGCGGATATAAACGGAGGGCTCACCGCGCCAATAGCAATCGAGGTGTAAGCAGACCGCACCAACTAGCGTTGTAGAGACAGCCATAACAGGAATAAGCCGCCATTCACGGCATCCCACACCTCTCTTCTTCAACTACAGTCTACTTCCGGTCCAGTATATTAGTTTGCTTCCTGTCAAAGTACCATCATGCTTAACGCCGTGGACGAATGGAGAGGCACAACGGATCCCGATCTGCGACGCAGAGTGCAGAACAGGCTGAACCAAAGAGCATATCGTCAAAGACGAAGGCAGATGCTCAGGGTCCCCGGAAAGACGTCCGGCAGAACTGCCAATGAGACGATATCGCCAGCTCAATGTCTGGACCGGGATGATGCCTCTTGCCCAACAGCAGCAGCCAGGCCTGTGCGCTGCCGGGCAGCAGCGGGAGACACGGGCCACACTGATAGCCACAATGTCTGTGGAGAGAGTCTCGCCAACAGGTCCCCCAACACAGATACGCATAGTACTATCAAGCCAGCAGCTCCCTGGTACACCGACCCGGCCGCGGTAGTTGCGCAATTCCGGGGCCTGAAGCTCGGCCGCCACGCAAAGCCTTCGCCGTCCGACGACCACGTCTTGTGCATCATGCAGTTCAACGTCATGCGAGCCTTTGGCACCATCACCTCCTTGGTTGGACTATCGCCGACTGATCTGTTAGAGGATGACACACCATCTCCGTTCTCCTCTCCCACACGCTGCCTCATGCGGGAGTCTCCCGCCCGTCATCACTTCCAACAATTTTCATTATTACCCGAGAGCCTCTCGCCTACATCTCTGCAGAGATCCACGCCCCACCATCCCTGGATTGACATTCTGCCCTTTCCCCAGATGAGAGATAACCTACTACGCCTCGAATCCAGCTCGAGCGTGGCAGCCGAAAAGCAGCAGTACGATGCGGATAGTCTATGCCACTGGATGGTCGGGCTCGACCCAAGTCAGAAAGAGTCGGGCCTCATCTTGTGGGGAGAGCCCTGGGATCTGGCTGCTTGGGAGGTGACAGCGGAGTTTCTTGATAGATGGGGATGGACGCTTGAGGGTTGTGTTGACTTGTTCCGGTCAACAAATTACTGGAGAAGCAAGAGAGGGCTGAAGCCCCTTTTTACCTTGGGGAAAATGGGAACGCTGTGACCTGGGCAGTTCTTGTAATCGAGGTTAACAGATGGCTTACACGGTAACAGTCCAATGTCCAAGAGGCCACCAAAGCAACCCACAGTCTTGCCACGCAGAAAGCCCTCGATGGTATAAGACAGCAAAGAGCCGAAACTCAACATGCTTCTTTGCCTTCGCCGCACAAGTCACTGGCGACTTTCCCACATGGATCGACCAAGACATAATTGATGAGCATCAAAAGCTCAAGGCCTCGTCACACATTTCTTTTTAGACGACCACAACGCCCACAATGGTGGCGGACTCCCAGAGCTGGGGTATACGCTTCGTTGGTGAAAGCCGCCGTAGATATCGACGACGTTTTCTGCCCATCTGGGTTTATCATGATGGAGATCCTGACGTCTGCTTTGAAGTCGAGCTTTTTTCTGGAAGATGGGCTTTGAGGGCCTCAAAATGAGGGTCGCAGTGGTCATGGATATGTGCCATGGTTGTGTGATTCTGGTGAGGGATGTAATGGAGCCTGGAGGGGGGGATGAACACCGGAAATCAGTGAACAGTGGAGGTCAATACTGTTACACAGCATGGTCACTCGTCAAGTAACCAGAAGGAATCATGATAAATCTTCTACATATCCTTCAAACTCTCATTTGAACGCCGGGTGTTGAGAATGCTTCACAACTACCGGATCCATGGGCAAATTAGCCCCTTGGAATCGATAATCTCATCCAGCGCAGTAGGAGCAGACCTCCGCCCGCAGTCCCAATTTCGACAACATCATAGAATAGGATGTATTCAAATAGTTCCATTGTAAATCGGTGGATGTTGGAAGGACTCCCAAGGCTCTAGACGCGGTCTCAATGACCGACGGGAACCGATCACTATCTCATTATATATTCCACCAGGTCTGAAATTGGATAGTGAGGTCTCAAGCTAAAAATAACATGGCAAGAGACTCATAAGAAAGAGATACGTAGTAGTATAAGCCAAGTCACCATAGATTACTGCCTCACATCTACTCCCGTATTCGCAGTCCACATTCCTTTCACGTGTGAGACACGGCCATGAGGCGGCGACGCATGCAAACGTTCCGAGGTACCAACAGGTCTCAGTCTTCCGTTTCCCCTGACTGCAAGCGATTCGAATGCGCCTCATTCCTAATCAAGATCCTCTCGCCAACGTCAGCTTCTTTGCCTCAAATACACCAGCTGTCAAAATTCCGCCAAAAGCGCCTCTAGCATGGCACATAGCATCACGAGCAGAATCACGCGGCAGATGAGTAAAATGCGTATTTTAGATACCGTTACTCCATTATTCCCTATTCGAAAGGGTCAACATCAAAAGGCCAACCCAGGCTACCTTTCCCAAAAGTGCCCTCAATTGCAGGAGTAAAACATCCGTAATGCCCATGCTATGCAAAGACCGGGGTATTATGATAACAAGAGAAAAGGCAAGCAAAAAAGGCTGGACAATAATACAGGTATCCCATATCCCGAAAGTAGTCGTGTCTAACCCATGCAGTCATATATGCAAATCCCCCTCCACACCTTCTTCAAGGCCACCATTTTATTTGTTTCTCGGAACGTTGACAGACGGCCGCCGGCTAGCAGCGGGCGTTCCTCTGGGAGTACCCCGGGGAGTGACTCTGCTCTCGCCAAAGAAGCGATGCTGCTGGCTGAACCGCCTGGTAGCGTCGGGCCGCTGCTGGTGACTAGACGCTGATGCAACGGAGGCTGTAACAGATTGAGTTAGCATTGCATCATGGGAGCAGAAGAAAATGGGCATCAACTTACATCGGCGCGTCGCAGGATCGTACGGAATGCTGCCACGGCGGCCTTCGTTAGTCTGCTCCATGCGAGCATCGGCCAGCCGCTGAGCAAAGGGCGATCGGTGGCGCAGTTCAGGGCCCTTCCAGTAGATGATGTAAACAGCCACAACAAGGCAGAAGGAGATGCAGAAGAGGATGGTGCTAGCGTATTCCAAGTTGTGTCCGCTCGACCTGCCAATGTTGTTGAAGAAGGGCAGGGCTGGAATGGTGAGAACACCGGCCAAGAAGTCTCGAGCCCAGCCGTTACCACCAGTGGCGGAGGCAGAGTAGGGGCCGTAGGCGCAGATCATGTAGTCGATCGTGGCCATGTAGATGGCGTAGTTGGCAATGCCGACAATGGCAACGAAGATCATGGAGCCGATCCAGTGAATGGGAGGGCCCTGGATGGTCCAGGCGAAGCCAATGAGGCCAATAGGCAAGCAAGGGGCCGTGTACAAGAGGAACCAGAGACGGGACTCGTACTGAGCACGCTCGTCGTTGGGCTTGGCCTGTCGCTCCTTGATGTTGCGCTTGATGGCCGGGATGAAGAGGAGCCAGGCAATGACATAGCCGACACCGATGGGGATGAAGCTCAATCCAATCTCCACAGTGCCGAATCCCCACTGCTGGTACACCAGGGCGAAAGACTGGATGAACATGAAGATGAGGGCGTCGGAAAAGCCAGAAAGCAGGGAGAGCACCAGGACAATGGGCTCCGTGAGGAACATCTTAAATGGGCGGACCCAGGTGGTGAGAACCTCCTTGGCGGAGAAGCGGTCCCGGAAAGGCACAAGCTCATCGGGTCCCCAAATGTTCTGGCCCGTCGCCTCACGGCGCTTCTTGGCAATGCGGTTCATGATGATGGTGGTTCGGGTCTCGGGGACGGTGAAGAAGTGGAGCAGCTGGACGAAGCCGCCGAGAATGAGCTGGACCCAGATGGACCATCTGTATAGCGCAGTGTAAGCGGGATGTTTCAACAAGATGTTTCACGACGATGGCTACTCACCTCCAGGCCAGATACTTCTCGGTAAAGCCACCGACAATGGGGCCCAGGACGGATCCACCGACAGAGGAAAAGACGACGTAGGCGACAGCGTATTGCTGGTTATCCGCCTCCCACATATCCGCAATCATTCCCAGGGTGACGGAGCCACCAGCCGAGGAGAGACCACCGAGAGCACGACCAACCATGATGGAGGCAAAGTTGGGCGCCAACGCGACAGGAAGCTGCCAGATGTTGACCAGGAACAGGGAGAGCTGCAGGACCGGCCAGCGGCCAAACTCTTCCGACCACGGCGCCCAGAGCTCGCAACCAAAGGCGTAGAGAACCAGGAAGATCATGGCACCGCACCGCGCCGCCTGCTCGCTGACATGGAACTCCTCAGCGATGCCAGGAATGGCGTTGGAGTACAGAGAGGTGTTGAAGTTCATCGACACCTGGACCCAGAAGATGACCGTCAGGATGGACCACTTCTTCCACGTGGGGAAGCAGTAGCCCAGCTCGTCGTAGCAGTCATCCTCGGTGATCTCGTACTTGTCGTTGGTGCCGAGCCTCTCGAGGTTGTTCGCGTTGCCGGTGGGAAGGCCAGATTCCTCCTGCTTCTCGATGTTCTCGGAGCTGGAACCCTGGCCGTGTGAGTTGGGCCTCCTCAGCCGCTCATTGGCGAGGTCCAAGTCACGTTGGTTGAGGACCTGCGGAGGGTCCTCCGAGAAATGGGTGTGGGCGGGCATATTGATGTATGTTGAAGCAAGTTCTTGTTCCGCCTAGTCGGAGAACAGACTTGCTAACATGGGACAGTATGAGGAGAAAGTATGGGGAAGGAGTGAAGTCGGGGAAAAGATGGGGGATCGGAAGGCGAAGTCGTGGGCTTTATATAACCACCAGGAGCGTCCAGCAACGGAGACTTACGACCTTGGCCAAGGTAGAGTATTGGACTAGCCTTGTCTCTTTTTTTTTCTTCCTCCCCGTAAACTCGCTCAAGGAGATGTACACCCAACAAAGGCAAAGAAGCCACTCCAAGGTTTAGCATGCGGCCGGCGGAGGCAATAATGGAGAGTCGGGGTCTCACCATGTCGGTGCTGGAGCAGGGAATATCCACACGCGACGGAGGCTAGCCGATATGACGTCCATGGTGCCCCATCACACCTCCCACCGAACTCTGCACCCCAATAAGGTAGATTCGGAGATCGTCTTGCTTTGCCTAACACGACAGCGGCGCAGAATGCAGACCGTTGACAGGTCTACAGTACGGACGCGGATGCTGCTCTAGGCCGTATGCGAAAGGCTATCGGAAATGGCGCCTTCTGCAGCTTGTCCTTGCAGCCGTTCTCGGAATATGTGGCCGGCACACACAGAGAGCGGCCGTGTCGTTGCACTGTACTGTGTACTAAGCGGGCTGGGGGCATCCACGAGCACGAGGACCTGATGCCAGGTGCTTATTTCCCCCTTCTGGGGGACTGGGGAATGTTCTCCGCATGCTTGCGGCTCCAATAGGCAGTATCCTCAGCAACAAGGGCGCTGTGAGACACACACAGCTCAGCCAGCGAGAACGGACGGCCCAGCACTCGGGGGACCCTGCACGTTCTCGGCCATGATTGCAGGCGAGACATGTTGTAGCAGAGACATGTACCACAATCCGGGCCCAAGAAACGCTCGTCTGCACGCGCTTATCGCTTTTCTCGCCGTGGGAAACAGGGTTCTAGACCATTGCGCATCCCGGAAGCATAGTCGGGCTGTTTTGAAGCCATCGTGCCATCTGCTCCCCGCATAGGGCCTCGACCATTGCCTCGTTTGCCCTGTTTTTGGAGTTGATGTCGTCGTTCTTGGCCTTCGGACTGGCCGTGCTCTCCCTGCTTCGCAACTTTTCAGAACTTTCTCTCCTTCTCCAACACCACAACGGCGCAAGTCCCTGGCCTCCACCGTTTTAGCCCCAAGCCACGGCGAAAAGCAGGTGCTTCCATATGGCCTCCAAGTACTAATAAGCAGGGCTTCCGATCTTGATTCGGCAGCGGCGCCAGAGCGTCGCTGTGAGTGGTGGCGGTAGGGCCGGAAGACGGCACTTGACCAGAGGCTAGCAGGGGAGGCATCGATCGGGCCAAGCAATCGAGCAACCACCGGCCGTTTGGTGCCATTAGCGAAGCAGCAGAGCATCGATCGCGCGTGCCTCTGTAGATTAAGCATCGTGCACTCTGTTTAGCCGACTGCGACGGCCACGCTCCCCCTCACTTTGAGAAAACCCCCCGAAGGCGTTGCGAAAACCTTGCTGGCGACGACGAGGCAGCGCGAGCGCGCCCTTGCCTCGCCGGCTGCACCTCATCGGACAGTCTCGCAGCGCGCGCAGGAGCCAACATTGAACCTTGCCAACGCCCCTGCGAAAAACCATCGTCCCATGGGTCCCTCGAAATGCTTCTGCCTGGTGCTGATCCCTCGCCGATGACGTCGTGGTGATGGAGGCTGATGGAGGCGCGATGGGGTTTGAATGGGACCTGCCGAGCAGCCTCTTGCACGCCCCGGCCAATGACGAGGCGCCGCCCGAGGCTGTCGATGGAGCGCCGTGGAACCCCGAGTCAGTGCTGGGGGCGCCGTATGAACTTGGTTTTCGCCTTCTGGCGGTTTCGATGCGTCTTCTCGAAGGGTTTTTGCGTGAAGAAATCCAATCGTCTCTGACGATGCTAGTGCCTCGTAGCGTGCAAAAAAAGTGAACTGACTGGGGCGGAAAATCATTTTCACGCTCGCACGGCTTCAGCCTCGCGACCCTTTCATTGGAAGAGTCGCCTTGGACATCGTCAATGGTCCAGATAGTTCGGTAGTTGCGCCAAACCTCCTCCTCCAATCCCAGCAAATCCGCAATATTGCCGACTCGATTCGACCCCTCGTCTCGTGCCTTGGCCTCGTCAACTCAGCTGGCGCTAGAGCTGCTCGCTTCATCGTCCCTCTCGGCGGTACTGAATCGTGGGCTCGCCTTCGCTTCGCCTTCAGAACCCAAATGTGGCTGCCTACGCTTGTACTCGAGCTACCGTCCATGTACTCCGTATACCGGTAGTTGGATGATTATTCCCGCCTGACGTGTCGTGCTGCCCCCAATCTTTTCCCTTATTTCCCTGCGCAATGCCGATCAGTCAGGGTCTCAGGCATTCACATTTGGATCAAGTCTCTTTTCCGCTCATTGACCTGCAATCGCTAATTCTATTCTTCTAGGCCTCAACATGTCTCGCTCTCGCTGTGCCGAGACGAAACATGTACAAGAGCTATTTTCAGCTCGTCTGCAAGACAGTCCTCTTCCGACCCCTTACTTGACGAATTCTGCTGATTGCGATGCTGCCAAGCTGGGGCATATGGAGCTGGCTCCTCCAGTACCCGCAGAATAATACTGATGCCTAGCGAACCGCATTATCGACCCATTCACTCCCCTCAAAGGACGGCTGGGACGCTCTCCATGGGCAAGCCATCTCCAGGCTCCAGGATTCTGATGGCAAGTCAGGGGCTCGATGGAGAAATTTTCCCCAATATCCCCATACCATCGAATCAATCGATGTGGAAAAAAAGCCAGTAGGGTCCATATTTTCCCCCTGGGCAGCATCACGAGTTTTGTTTCCCCTTGGGCACATCCCATGACATTCCACTTTTTGTTTGGCCTCAAGTTGCCTCAGCTTCCAGAAAGTAATGCCCGAACGCTGCACATACTGTACTCCGCACTGGACGAGCAACGATCTGCGTGTCTGCGGTTCCGGGCACGCCGCTCGTGTGTGTGCGTGTGTAAGCTGACAACGCATTACAATATCCCATCGCATGACCATGGACGTTTTCACGAATTGGCCCCCCAGACGCCACTGATGGTATGAATATTGATCTGATGTCAATGGGAATAACTTGAATCTGAATCTCAGGGTTCATGGTATTGTATGAGCAAGGAAACTTCTGAAGATGGCGGACAGACTATATTGGGAATGATGACTATGAAGGAGGGCGAAAGCTGCCACATGGTCATTTAGGGGAGCATTTCTTCATGGTGGCTCTGATGTTCCCAGACAGATCGCCCTCCAATCTCCAGCCAAGGTACGTATTACGGATGTCGCATCGTAGGGCCATTTGCATGAACCGCGGTGTAAAAGAGCCCTCCTCAGCAAACGACTGTGTGGAATGCTGGCCCCACCCCTACATATACTGTACAAACTCGATATACGAGTGAGATCCAGCAACTCACGGATATACTAGCTATATATCTCCTAATTCTCTCGTATCTACTCCGTAAAGCATCGATCGATATGCGGTACATTCATTCCCATCTGTTACATTAATCAAACACGTGATAATACTTACGCTGTAGCTTTGCTCCTATCTACAATTTATGGATTCTCAGCGTTCTCTTCAGAAAGTGAATGTCGTGAAACTCACCAGTGTTGACCAAAGTCCTACTTTATTTAATAGCAGTAGGAACCGTAAACATATGAAAATCAATCAGACACGGGTTGGGTCATATTGCGTGCAAATCGAGCCCAATTGCGGACTCCCCGCAAACCTCGCGTATTCGTCTTTCGATCAGCTCATTCCCTTATCTCTCTCCTCACACCCGTTGCCTCAACCCCAGAAACCCCGGAATTCCCCAGACAGGCAGCAAGATAACCGTAAATCCCTCGTTTCGCGTGCCAGATTCCAAATACCATCTGGCTGATGGAATGTACCGCCGCAGAAGCCTTGTCGTTAGGGCTCGAGATTCCATAACGGGCGCATTTTTGCTGCCAAAATCGCTTTGATTCACATTGATTCTACTTAATCAATCTACTTGACCCCCGATGATATATAGATTTCTGTGAAGAAAAAGGGATGAAAACACCTATCAGAACATAAACATTACCTGCCATCCAGCCAATCTTGGCCAATATCAAGCCGGGTTCTGTCGCGTTCTTGCTGTGTAAGTGAGGGAAGCACGGCGTCGAAGCCCAGCTGTATGTGTGCCGCCACTGTCATGGCGGATGCGCCGGCGGCCGTTTCAAGGGGGTCTATGAATGTGATGAGGACATTCAGTCCTCTGGGGATAAGGTGAGGTATTGCACCCTCTTGTGAATACATGAATATTCTAGGTTAGGTGGTTGGAGCAACCGGTGAGACGATATCTATGAACGGGTAGGTAAGTTTCAAGCTTCCAACAAGTCTATTCACAGTCAGACGATTACGAGTAAAACATCAAAGAAAAAAAAAATATATCAATCGCACAATGCTTCACATGCCCCCTCGTCTTCGCCTTTTGATGCCAATTATTCGATTCAACTCGGTCATATCGTGGACAATAGTCTCTTACCACACGGTGGCTTGAACCCATGTCATCTTAATGTGGGCACAGCTGCACGTTTCAACGCGAACTGTTTCCTAGTTCGGCCAAACCCATCAGGAGAAAGACGACGCCACGGAAAATGCGGTCACAATATGCCCAACTTTGAAATCAATCACTGCTCTCTTTCTTTCTCTATTCGCTGAGCCAGAGGATACAACTAAAAGAGAATACTCAGAGATTGAGCAAGGGTCTAATTGTGCCGAGGACGGACATGAGCGATCTTAGGAAGGCCAAGAGATGCAGCACCTGCGCCACTCGGCGCATAGCGGTAAGTCTGTGCCATCCATCTACGAATCATCCAGGGCAGCACATCGTAACAACCAGATTCAAAGTGTGATCGCAAGTCCCCCTCGTGCTCTCAATGCCTATTAACAGGGCGAACCTGCGGAGGCTATCACCGCCAGACCACCTTCATCCAGGGCGCCATCGGGACCCCCAAGTCCCGGAGCAGAAAAGCACATGCCATCGACGATCCGCAACCCTCAGCTCCTCTTATTATTCTTAGCCAACCCACCGCCACACCAACACAAGGCAAGGCAAGGCGACGTCGACGACGACAGACAAAGGGACCCGCAATCAAGTATCAGGTTTCGCAGCAACCCAGCGAGACATTTTCCTCCGAGCTGGACTACCTCATCTCCCTCATCATTGACAATTTCACCCCCGCGGAGGAGAGGGCATTGGTCAGCACCGTAGACGGCTCGGCCGCCTGCCTTGACTCGAGGGTCTGCGGTGCTTGGGTCACGCTTCTCCCGGCCATTGCAGCGCGGGCGTCGGTTCACCTGGACGTCCTTGAGCGTGCGGTCAAGACGTTGGGCTACACGATCCTGCGGAAGATCCCGCGGGCGCTTGAGGAGTACGGCGAGACGCTTCGTTTGTTCACGTCTTCGCTCGGCAGCGCCGGAGAGGGCTCATTTGAAGAGTTTTTGGCTGTTGTACTATGCTTGAACATTGCTGAAGTATGATAGCCAGCCCCCCCCTTGCCTGAGTCTGATGCAGATCATTGACCATGTTCTTTCATAGGTCCTATTAGGCACCGAACATAACGGATGGTTAGCGCACTGCCGAGGTATCACTAGACTGATTCGAGAGAAAGGGCCAGACGCCTTCAGGGATGGCATGCCCCATCAGCTCTTCACAAGCTTCCGCGTATACATGGTACGTCAAAAGACTTCACGCATCAAGTTAGCCCACAGTGTCACTTACACCAACGAGCTCAGCTCCTCGAGGCTATTCAGAACCGCACGGAAACATTCTTAGACGAGCCATCATGGAAGACGGCCCCCTTTGCATCCGAGCCAAAATCTCTGATGCAAAGCCTGCTGGATCAGATATCCGGTCTGCCGTCCCTTTTACAGCGGCTGGACACAATATCCGACGACGCCAACCTAAGAGACCATAATGACGGTATCGTAGCTTTGTATAATGACTTCGATGATCAGCTGCTTCGTCTTGAAGACTGGGAGGATAATCTCAAGACGAGCGCACAATCAAGGCTCCTTTGGTGGCCCGTGGCACTATCCTCAGACACGGGAACCCAATTCCCAATCTCATACGAGTTTACGAATGTCTTGGTCGCCAACACCATATCCCATTACTGGGGCTTCCTCTTGGTAGTGCAGATTTCTGTAGAGACTTTACAGGCTATTTCCGAGAGGCACGGAATCGTCGACGACTGCCGCATCCTGAAGCAAAGAGTTGCAGCCTTGGCGGATCGAAAGTGGACTCTGGCAAACGACATCTGCCAGAGTGTTCGATATCATCTCCGGCCTGAGATGAAACTCTACGGTCCGGCTGCGACACTGTTTCCCCTAAACGTGGCGTTGCAGGTATACAGACGGGGAAATAAGACGAAAGAGACGTTGTGGTGTGAGGAGACTATTTCCAGACTTGGTTCGATGGGCATACGGCTTGCTTTCCATGTTCCTCCGATTGGAGAGGAAAAGTCTCCGGGAGGGTTGTCTGTGTGAGTAGGTCAGAGCATAACCATACTGACGTGCAAATGTCTCCGTGGGCAACCTGCGTATGAATCTTGTTTTGTACTTGAACTGCCTGGTGATTTCTTGTAGATGTACTCTGCATCAAACGACTAACCAGAATGATGTCTAAACTTTCTAATTTATGAGAATCCTGAATAGAAGTGAAAGCGTAAACTGAAACTCGTATACCAGTTCGAGAAGGGAATGAGATTATAGACTAGGTCAGTCTGAAATAAGCATACTCCGCTTCTATGCCAATTCAGGAAACCATTCGCGTTTACTTCACGTACGGAGAAATTCCACGATATTGGAGTACACCCCGTTCAGGACAGCTATAAGAAGAGCTTTTTGTCTCAAACGAACTTTCCTTCAATCTACTCTCTGTATAACCCATACTCGTGATTCCCTTCTCAATATCATACCACTGTTTACCTTCATCAACTTCACCAACCGCAAAATGGCCTCCAACGAAGAACTCGTCCAGAGCATGGTCCAACACGCCGAGTAAGCACCTCGCCTATCTACTCTGGAATAGAAGCCCGTCTAAGAGGATGATCATCAAAGGAAATGCTCCTTGACGCACCAGCCATTGCCAACCTTTGAAGAAATGAAGGCCTTCATGCCTCCCGGCGCAAGTGTGGTCATGGTCGGTAAGCCAAAACCCCCTCAAAGACTCCTCCTATAAATGCTGGTCTCGTCCTCTATACGGCGGTAACTGATATTATTCCTTTTCAGTGACTTGTTGCGACCCCCGTGTCCTTCCAGACAAGTTCTTTGGAGGATTCCAGATGAGTATGCTCAAACTCATTTCTTTAGCCGTAAATGAAGAGGTTCTGACGTTGCAATCTCTCTCTCTCTCTACAGAAATCAGCGAGATCCGTAATGCAGGTGGCCGGGCCAGCGAAGCTCTTCGCTCAATCATCTGCGTCGACCAGATGCTTGGCGTGGGAGCAGTCATTGTCATCCACCACACCGGTAAGCTACAACTCCCCTTCTTCCTCCCTACTTACCTATAGCTTTCTGAAAAACCCTGAGATCTAACGGAATGCTTTTGCTAGATTGTGGACTTACTCACCTCCGAAACGATTCCCTGCACAAGGCTCTGACTGAAAAAGCATCCGGCAATGCAGATGAGATTGCCAAAATGGACTTTGGTGAGATCCTCGAGTAAGTGAATCGATGCTTGCGATTCGTTTCGTGAAAGGCCCGATGCTGAAGGTTATGGTGTTTTAGTTTGAAGGCGAGTGTTGTTGAAGATGTGAAGATACTCAAAGAAAACCCGTACTTGAGAAGGGACTTGAAGGTCTATGGGTATGTGTATGATATTAAGACCGGAAAGCTTGAGGAAGTGAAGGAGTAAAAGAATTCCAATCCCGGGATTGGATGGATAGTAAGCCAGTGTCGTAATCCAATACTTGCAAACATTCTTTGATCACACAAGGTCTAGATTTCATACTTGCATAGGAGTGAATTCACTGTTCACAATGGCTCTGGTGTACATCAAGTCTACCAAAGAATATCGCAACAACGGAACTACATACAACACAAGATATATCGCCAAATATACCCGAAACACCCATATGTTCGACGCACCGACTCCACGCTTAAATCGCTGCTCTGGGTATCGCTGCCCGTAATCATTCACGCCAAATCAGAATCTTCAATGCCACCCCTAGCCTAGCTAGTTATTGATACTGCGAATTGTATCCCAACCAATCCGACTCTGGATCCGGCATCCTCATCGACTCCCCCGTCAACCCATTCACGCCCTGAGTCTGCCATGATTGACCATTCGCCGTCCTTGGCTCAAGTAATTTGGGGCAGTTGAAGAAGTCAAATATGTCAATGTTGTCGAGTTCGCTTAGGGAAGTCACTTGCGTTGACGTCGGCTCCGAGCCCGATTGTCTTGTCGACGACGTCAAAGTTGCGAGATCATGTGCGCTCCTGTTGGCCATTCGTAAGTACATGGGTCGGCACAAACAGGCTGGTGCAATCATAAGTAGGCTCACCTTCGCATGGCTGTAAAGTTCATGTCTCCCTGCCGCCCTCTCTGGACAGCTCTGGAAAGGATTTTGGCATAGTTATTCGCAACCTCCCAGAACTGCCCAATATGGCCGAGTATCTCGATGAAGAACTCAATCTTGGGGTCGACAGGGCAGCCTATAGAGGCTGCATGAACCAGCAACAGCCTTGCGGCAACCCAGAGACCAAAGATGAAGGGAGGCCCGAGATTATCTAGACCACTTGCTTCAAATACATCTCGGGCAATGTCTGCCAGGCTCTGAACGGCGGACAAGCACCGCTGCATGGCGTAATACGACGGGACGAACAGGTGCGACCTGACGGTCGGATACGCCGCTGAGGAGTGCAGTCGCACAACAGACGTAACGTAGGCGCCGTGCAACATGAACCAGTTTGCCACTCGGCTCCCCGGATCAGAGTGGCAGAGCGCAGAGATCTTGCTGTAGTCGCTGGGCAGGCTCCTCAGCCAGCCGTCAAGTGCGCTGTCCAATGATCGGTACGTGTTTCGCCAGTTGGCCACATCGGCCGAAGACGTGATGTCGACGGGCGTCTTGAGGAAATCGTGCACTTTGCTGAGTATCCTCAGTATCTCGCAGTGGTAAGAAAAGCTACCCAGATTTTCCGGCTTATTGGTTGCATATCCAGTCGTGCCGTACGGCTGGGATGTCGATATCCAGGACCGCGTCTCGACGGGAACATTCCTGGAGAAAAGATCATAGGAGCTCGGAAGGACCCTCTGCATCTTTCTATCTTCCAGCATGAAATCAAACGTCGTGGTGGCTATCGTTGCGTACCGGTCAAGCAGATACACCATCCAGCACATCCGCCGCCGCCCTTCATCCTCGATCCACGAGTCCGGCCGTCCGGCAGTGACTCTTCGTATCGATCCCGTGTGCGGTAGACTGTCAGTCTCGACGGACAGGTAGACGCTGCTTTCTTCGCACAACCCGAGCTGTTTGACGTTTTGTGCCAGAAGCGCGAGAAGATTCCAGCCCTTGGGGCCGTTCGAGGTGCCTAGTTCATCCAAGCTGAGTATGATCAAGGCCCTGAGCGCGGGGACGCTCACGTTTTCCATTGTATACATCTGCACGATTCGTTTCGATACCGCATGATGATGGAGTCTCATCTCAGGAGTCAGCCGAGGGTCTTTGAGGAACCTCAAGGTTGTGGCCACGATGGCATGCAAAAGCACACGGTCTGGCTCGTTGAGAGAAGTCGACCCAAAGAAGAGGCCGAATGTGGTTTTGCGGTCCAAGATGGGACACCAGGGGTTGCAGTGTTTGAAGTAGAGATCGACGATGGTGTATACGATGTCGTGAGGGGGGAAGTCGTTGACGGCGGATATGGACGAGGGGCCCCTTCGAGAGGTTGAAAAGGTGGAGGACGGATAAGTCTGCGCATAGGAGTTGTTCATCACGGGTGAGTTGGAATTGGCAAGAGGTGGCATTCGGGCATCGTGGTAGTTGTCGACGCCATTCGCCTCCCATGCTGGGCTTACAAGGCCTGGCCTCAGAGTAGGAGTGCTCCGCGCAGCTCCCAGCGGAGCAAGCCTCGCCCCGTCTTGATGAAATGCATCGGCTGGAGATGGCAAGTGGCTGCTGAGAGCCGGCGAGAGGCCCTGAGTCTGTGAGCCAGATACATGATCGTTGGCGATGTGCTCTTCGACACGGCGCCCCAAGCTCTGCAGCAACGCATCGATGCGGTTGACCTTGGCCTCGAGCTCTAGGCTGAAGCCGATGCGGCTGCCCGGTTTCTGCCTCTCAAGATAGACGCAGGTCCGGTTGTGTCGCGCGCACCATGAACATGCGGGCTCGGCGCGGTCACACTTGACCTTGCGCGCCTTACAGAGCTCGCAGCTAGAAAGAGAGACGAGAGGGTCAGCGAGGCTGTTCTGATACGCAGATCGAATGATAAGTAGTCACAATCACTCATTATGGGAAGCCATGATGTGGATGACAAGAAGTGAGATGAGATAATATGACGAGTAGAAGCCTCGAAATAGAAGGACGATGCCGGAGATGAGACGTGGAGAGATAGGATAGGATAGATGACACAGGAGATAAGGTCGGTAGAGGAGAGGACAGATCAACACATACGACGTCTTCTGATACTTGGTCCGCTTGCGCTTCTTGCCGGCCACCTGCGTATCGCCGTTCTGCGACGACGAGGCAACGGCAGGCGTGGTTTCGTCAGCGCTGGAGCCGTCGTCGTGGCTCGATGCCGAGTTTGCGTCGTCCTCGGGCATGGACAGCGAGAGCGGCGCGTGCTGCATGGTTCCATGTGCTGCGCTTAAGGGCGTCCCCTGGCTGGGTCGGAGCTGCGTCCTCGTCCCCTTATCGCACATGCAGAGAGTCGACGCCGATGGGGAGACGCTGCGGGCAGTATCTCGTCATTCCTGGCCCCGACTCACGGCGAGTCTCATGGTGGTTTTGTTCTGCAAGGCTCGGGGTCGGCTGGGCGTGGAGGTGGGGGATTGTTGCCCGTTATTGGCCGTCCATTTTCCTCATTAGTAACGGCCGTGAGCCATCCAATCCGATCCACCGTGGAAGACGCCGGGAATACGGCAGCCCAGGGCTCTGCATGTGCTGATGATGGCCCCTAGCGGCGCTGTAGCGGCTCAGTTACAGGGCATAGCGGGCAGCTCTAGGCGCCAGCTACAGGCCCTTTGGGGGCTATCCGCTTCTGCCTTACAGGCCGTTTACGGGCAGGGACGGGCCCTGTTTGGCTGGGCGGGCTATTGAATTCCATCATGGAGGCTCTAGTCAGAATAGAGGCTTGCCATCTCCATCGTCTTGCTTCTCCCGTTTAGCCATCAGCCCATCCCGTGAATTCGCTGCCGGACTCGCGAGGATGCCGAATCTGCCTCAATTGGCCTCTTTCTTTCCCCTCCCCTCGATCCTTGGCCTGTCTCGTGTGGGGAGTGGTTTGAGATCAAGATGCCGCGGCTTCATGCAAAAACTCCGCAGGCTGCATGTGGTGAGGGCGTGTCTGTCTTCTAGTGTCTGTCACCCTTCTAGCCTACGCCACTTGCCGGCTTCATTTTTTCGCCCACCATCTAATCAATCAATCTCCATCAGGCTCAACCGAATCATCGCCAAACAGTTTCAATTGGCGTTCCGATCATGCTGTCTTGCCAAGAGCCGCCTTGACGCACCGAGCGGGCATCGCGAGAGACATCCAGACCCGATTTGCCTCCCAATCGCAAAGCATCGGCATACACCCTCTCGCTCCTCATGCGTCCGCAGCTTCTCCAAACCGGGGATTACCTCAAGTTCCGAGACCGCATTTGCGCCTAGTGCTGCGGTGTTGGAAGACCCTTGTCAGCAGAACGCTTGTCGAGGGCCACCACCACGAGAGCTTCACTAGCCGTTCTCGTATTGCTCCTCCGTTGGAGCTCGTCGGAAGCTAGGAGATGTGATTTGGGCTAACGAAGAATCGAGGCCTTGGTGAAGATTTCACGGACTACCGACTGCCCCCGCTCCTGCAGGGGTGCCGTTCAACCGCTGCAAATCGAGTCCATATCTGGATACCTACATCTGGATACACCAAGCACCGACATGTTGGTAACCAAAGGCGAGACACGGTCGTCGACATGAATGCGGAGAAGACAAAAGCTTATCTGAGCGGCCCCAAACTTCTCCAGTCGTTCCATTTGTATCTTCTAGTGGCCGGGGTTGTCAAGCGACTGACGCACATAAGCTCGTGGGCCTTTGAAGTCTTTGCTCTCCAGACAAGGAAAAGGATCATCCGATGCTACTTGGGTTGGCGAAGAAAACACCCTCCATGAGCGTGACCAGCTGCCACGAACTCGATTAGCGCCCATCGCTACCGTTATGCTGTCTTGGCGATGCCGAATGAAACGGAGTGTCAGTCAATAATAAGCCTTCTTGGCGATCCGCTCGTCGTCTCCACACACGCTCGGTCTTTTGGAAACCGAGACACTGCATGGCTGATCAACGAGTCCGGTAATACAACCCCGAAGCCTTATATGGTGGGAACTCGACAGGGTGCGCGAACATGGAAGATGGAGAATACTACACGCCTCGGTGGGCTTCCGGACATGCTTCCAAGGCCCTTGAGATGCGATATCATGGGCCAACTTTAGTTCTCACGGGCACATATGCAGGCTACGCGACGACCTATGTGAGACTGGCAATACCTCAAGTCACGGCGCTTGCATTGAGACGTTAGATTGGAAAGTCGAGCGGCATGGGTGGTGTGATTCGTGCCACCGCAATACCTTCAGCTACCGGGCTCTTCCCCAGGAGCATTGCAATGTAGGACGCGGCGGAGCACGTGTATATCGTGGCCATGAGGCAGATCGTGCATGCATGCGTGTGTCTGCGTCCTTGCTGGGCCGATGAGTCTGCAGATTCAGAGTCTAGACAAGGGAGAGGTAAACCGCTGATGCATATTATTGGTTTCTAAACTGACAAAAATCATTACATGCTCTTCATGAGTAAATCGTATACTAGTACATTACACCTCGGCCTCGTTCAACCATCCTCTACTCATATCGACCGCCTTCTCCCATCGTGCGAACCGCTTGCGCGCCTCCTTTTCTGAAATTTGGGGCCGGAAGATGGTGCGGCCCTCGTTGTTCACGTCCTTGAGGTCCTCAAAGCTCTTCCAGACACCCACTGCGAACCCTGCGGCCATGGCAGCACCAAGCGCCGTTGTTTCACGCATTCCGGGTCTGTTGACAGGGAAGCCAATGAAATCTGATTGTGTCTATGATGGATGGTCAGTCTTGGAAGATCAAGTTTCGGAGAGTGCAGTTGCACACGAACCTGCATAATCAAATCGGAGGCGCACATGCCACCATCCACGCGAAGCTCCGTGAGCGGCGCTCCACTGTCCTTCTCCATGGCTTTCAGAATGGCTTGCGTCTGGAAGCATGTGGCCTCGAGGGTGGCACGGGCAATGTGGCCGCGCTTGGTGTAGGCAGTGATGCCAAAGATGGTTCCCCGAGCATCATCAATCCAGTAGGGGGCAAAGAGACCACTGAATGCAGTGACGAAAGTGCAGCCTCCGCTGTCCTCAACCTCCTCGGCGAGGGCACTCAGCTTGGATGGCGACTCGATGAAGCCAAAGTTTTCTACCAGAAATGTGACGCTGGATCCGGCGGTGGCGATGCTGCCCTCGAGAGCATACATCCGCTTACCCTCGCCAAAGTCAAAGGCAACGGTAGTCATAAGACCGTGTTTTGAAATGACGGGCTTAGGGCCTACATTGTACAGCAAGAAGCATCCAGTGCCATAGGTGTTCTTGGCAAGGCCAGCGGTGAACCCCTTCTGGCCAACCAGGGCGGCAGACTGGTCGCCCAAGCAGCCGGTGATTCTGGCGCCCTTGAGAGCAGTGAAGGTGAGCGAGCCGTACGCCTGAGGATGGGAGGAGCTAACGATCTTGGGAAGCGTGACCTTCTTGCGATCGATGCGGAACCAGTCGAGGAGATCATCGTCGTACTCAAGGGTCTCAATGTTCATGAACATTGTCCGTGAGGCGTTGGAGGGATCTGTGACGTGGATGTTGCGGGCTGGGCCGCCGTTCAGCTTGTATACGAGCCAAGAATCGACTGTGCCGAATGCCAGAGTTCCAGCCTCATAGGCCTCCTTAACCGCGGGTGCATTTTCAAGGAGCCACAGCAGCTTGCTGGCGGAGGGATATGTGGAAAGAGGGATGCCACAGCGGCTGATGAGCTCGCCGGAGCCGATGCGGTGCTTCAGCTTGCGGACCAGCTCTTGTGACCGAGCATCGGTCCAGACAACAGCATTATGCAGCGCCTTGCCCGTCGTCTTATCCCAGACAACGGTGGTCTCGCGCTGGTTGGTGATGCCCACGGCGACAATCTGCTCGCGGGTGTGACCCGCGTTCTCAAACTCCTCGACAGCCCCGTTTATGCAAGTCTCTACTGACGAAACGAGAACTTCAGGGTCCTGCTCATGCCAACTGCAAATGATGTCAGTTCAGTTTTCTTGTTTTCTAGTTTCCGTGGCGTTGAGAATTTCAAATGACATCAAACTGGATGTGACATCATGGGATCGACAACGTACCCAGAATGCGGATAGTGCTGCGGAAACTCTAGCTGATGTGTTGCGACCATGTCACCCTTCTGGTTGAAGATGAGGAACCGAGAGCTGGTGGTGCCCTGGTCTATGGCACCAACGAAGGTGGGTCGAATCATGGTCTTGGAACTTCGAGATGCTCTTCTGGATTTGAATCTGTTTGACAACGAGGACAGCATTCAACAAAGGTGTGATTGTGTGTGCGGAAGCCAAGGTGGAGAGGAGGGTGTGGGTCTTGTGAGTTGTGGGAGGAAAAAAAGAAGAAGTGAGAAGAGGGAAGAAAGGAGACACGGGAGTCTTATTTCATGAAACTGACAACAACAGAGCTGGCAATGCAATGCTGAGATGATGAAGAAGAAAGGAGAAGGGGAGATGTTGTTGTATAAAAAAGCGAAGAGACAGGGCAGGTGTGTTACGAGGAGCGTGGCTGAGGTCGGCCGATGAGCGGCCCTTTATGTTGCCCCCAAGCAGATTGGCTGCCCTGGCACAAGCAACAAGCAGCATCATCCGCGGGCGGCATTAGTGCGTGCCTCGTTTTGCTAGTTTGCTGGCCCATTAGTCGCCCCCCGGAGTAATTGGGTTCCAGGAAGGACATCAGTATTTCGACATCGACTCCGGCTCGCACCCTCTTCTCGCACGGCGCTTAAGCACCGCTAACGGGACGCGTGGGATCTACCCCTCAGTCCCACAGTTCTAATTCCAGGCTCCCCAGATTGTGGAGGCGGAAACGGTCACGAGGGGGCGAGAAACTGAGATTGAGGGCGCTAAGGGGGAAGACATGACATGGGACTGGGTTGGTGTGCGAGAGAGAGAGAGACCGAGCCTGCGAGTCCTCTTACTACCTATTCTCCCAACGATTGGGAGGGTTCCGAACCGGTGGAGAAAAAAGACGAATTGGGGGCACCGAGAGTTTGGGGGTGTTATTACGGAACGCTATACCGAGGGGCATTACGAGTACTACTTACTGGATCCGACCAAGGCTTACGATTACGGAGGGACAGATCGCGATTGCTACCTACCTACTGAGCGTGGTAGTATTGTTCATGTGTTCGCAATTTGTTAAGGGGGAGAGCCTGGGCTGCGGTTACGGCTTGCTTACTTCCCCACGGGCAGCTAGAACGTGTGACTGCGACTTACTCGGTTGTCTGCCTCGGCTTCCCCCGTTCAGGTTGGGCTGCTTGTGGCTTACAGCCATCGAAACTGGAGCTTGGAGTTTAATCACGATCCTCCGTACTACGAAACTAGCAAACAATTTGAAGCCAACCCCAATTTCCCCCCCCGCGCAGCGTGACAAGCAGAGACTGTTTACAAGGGGCCTCCTCCGTTTCGGGCATCAGCATCCCGAGCTCAGATCCGGGGTCACGATGCAAGATGCAAGAGAGGACACAGCAAATGCCCACAATCACCTCCATCCTAAAGGCAGCCCCTCGGCCTCTGCCGCCCCGACCTAACTAACGCAGCTCGCCATACTCGAAAGCTCAGGGCCCTCTTCTGCTGCTAGCCTCATCAGCTCTGCTTGCCTCTTCTCGCCCCGAGTGGCTCTGGAACGCAGCTAGAACAGCCGCTACCGCTCGGGAAATCCCCTCCCCCCAAGCATGGCCGCGATCTTGATCGGAAAGAATAGCGAGGGGTGGGGGCTGCAGCTTGGGATTGCAATACCGAATGTGGCTGAGCCGAAATCTGCAAGGTTCGCACACCCGGCCAGGGATCCGGATAAGCGCCCGTGTCTCATATGGGAGAGTCGCGTTTTTTGACTAATGGATATCGTAACGGTAAAGAGAAGAGAGGGGGTGGGAAAGGGGGGAAAGAAAGGGCCACGAGACGGGCAGAGATTTGACAGGCGCGGCTCGTCTCTCTCCGGTGGAAGCCGGCGACGACGGGATGCCGGGCATGCCCTCGCACTAAGGCAACCGTTTGATGCTTCGCACTTGTGCAGAACGAGACACACACGGCATGCCCTCTTTTTTCTCCTCGTTATGGAGATGCAACGCCGCTTCCCATCCTTGCATCGAGCATGGCTTGGCGCAACTAGGGCTGCTTCCAGCGTACGGGTACTTGTATGTACAGGACCCAGAAGCTTAATGTTTGATTGTGCTGATCTGTTGCCTGAGAGGGAATCGTTCTTCTGGGTGCGGTTCGTGTGACTTTAAAGATAAAAAGAAGCATCGTTGCTCTCTTCGTCTGCTGCCAGTTCTTGTGTTCTCTCCCCCTCCCCCTTTTCGCCTGCCGCGCACCGCCAGATCGTGCTCCTTTTGTGACAGAGACAAGAGGCTGCTGCTTTCTCACTCCGCTACTTGTACTCTGCGCTAAGACGACTTTTGCAGCCGGCCACGTCCGGCGGCGGCCGGCAATCCCACGAGAGAAGTCTCACCAGGGTCCTAGCCGTCGCCACGATAGTTCCGTTTAGCCAGGGAGGGGGAGGGGTGCGTATGCGCATGCATTTTCGATGCCCTCCCACGGACACAAGATGCCTCCGTGTGTGCGTGTGCGAAGCTGGACCTCGGCCATGGCCCGTTGGTTGTCTGCCAGCCTTCGTTCGTGGGACAGTTCGCTGCTATGCGTACTAGTAGTAGCACAGCAGCAGCATGAGCGGTACTAGCAATTGCATAGCCGGGGTGGCATGAAATGTTTCGGTGTAAGCCGCCGAGTGCATGTGTCGTCTAAGAGATAATGAGCCCGAGCACCGCGCCTTCGCAACCCGAAGCACAGCCAGCTTTTCGGTAATCTCATCCATCATCGTTCGATTCTTCAGTTCCCGTCGTCCGTGCCGACCAACGTGAATTGGCCCTTGGCATCACCTGAGCTTCGAGTCATTGGTTCTTGTTCTTCCCTTTAGTGCTCCTTCGTAACTAATTCTCTCTCTTTGCGTATTTCATTTCTCGTCGTGTTGGTCTCCAGGCCATCCCGTCTCATCGACCCCCGTATTCGAAGGCGGGGAAGAACGTGTTCTCGATTGCTGCTCCAGGTCCACAACGCAGCAGAGGCAGGCAAACCCTTGTTTGCTTCGACCAGATCTGTCTTCCATTTCTGTTCGACAGTCTCTTCAGACCCGTCAGCTTGCGCGGATAGTCTGGCCATCTTGCGGACATACACCCCTCCCCCTTCCCACTCGCCTTCATCTCGTCGTGCGTCTGCAGCACCGCCAACTTGTCCGATCTTGTGGTCGTCGCTTGTCTGCTGTTTTCATCCCAGCCAGCCTTAGAATCTGTGCATGCTCGTAGGGCGTGATTGGTAGCTCCGTACCTAGCCCCACGGCAATAGTAATCTTCTTTTCGACTTTTGCCAGGCGTCGGAAAGGGAGGTTGATATCGTGAAGGCCGGCCTGGCTGCCGCTGCAGCACCCCAAAGTGAGGGGGTAAGAGAACTATAATTTCACCACCACTTCCCACCCTCCCATCTTCCTTTGATGCCAGACTTGGACATTTCTTTCCTGCTTTTCTCTCGCTGTGACCAGAAGACACTTTTCCATATCTTCAACAAGTACACACATAGTCTTGACGTTGAAAGTCATTCACAAATGTCCGAGTCTGCAGAGGCATCAGAGTTCTCCATCGACAAGTCGGTTCCTATTCCCATTCACCACCCCAACATGGGAAACCCAACTTTCAATGACGCAGAGAGAGCAATCTTTCTGTCGCATTCCTTGGAGGAGGAAGAGGAGCAGTTGGCTTGGAGCAAGATCCGGGGCTACTGCCAGGACTTCTTTTCAGAGTTCCTAGGGACCATGATATTGATCCTGTTTGGTGATGGTGTCGTTGCGCAGGTTGTGCTGAGTGGTGGCACCAAGGGTGACTACCAAAGCATCTCGTGGGGATGGGGGTGAGTTGTCCGCGGTCATCTGTATTCTCAAGAGAAAGAGAGCGTCGTCCGGCTAACAGCACAACAGCATCGCCGTCATGCTGGGCGTCTATGTCGGCGGCAAATCCGGCGGTCACCTCAACCCTGCCGTGACCTTGGCCAACTGCCTGTACCGCGGCCACCCCTGGCGCAAGCTGCCCGTGTACGCCCTGGCCCAGCTCCTCGGAGCCATGGCCGGCGCCGCCATCGTCTATGGCAACTACAAGTCGGCCTTTGACGCCTTCGAGGGGGGCCCCGGGATCCGGACCGTGACCGGGCCTACCGCCACCGCCGGCGTCTTCTGCACGTACCCTGCGCCCTTCATGACCCGTACTGGCATGTTCTTCTCCGAGTTCGTCGCCAGCAGCATCCTCATGTTCTGCATCTTCGCTCTCGCTGATCCGAACAACATTGGCGCTGGGAACCTGATGCCGCTGTGCCTGTTCTTCCTCATCTTTGGCATCGGTGCTTGCTTCGGCTGGGAGACGGGCTATGCCATCAATCTGGCTCGTGACTTTGGTCCCCGGTTGGTCTCCTTCATGATTGGATATGGCCATGAGGTATGGTCCGCAGGCGGATACTATTTCTGGGTATGTATCGTATCTCGTCGTTTCTTCCCCCTTTGTCGCTACCCCTTGGACGGTGATGATGGTTCCCGTGATGTGTCGTCTGCTGACTATGTGCTGCAGATTCCTATGGTTGCCCCGTTCCTCGGCTGCGCGTTTGGAGGGTTCCTGTACGACGTCTTCATCTTCACCGGCCAGAGCCCCATCAACACGCCAATGCTGGGACTGCAGCGGTTGCTGCGGCCCCGCAAGAGCGTGTGGTCCAACACCCATCAGTCCGCCATCGAGACGAAGGTCTAGAACTTGGTCGATGCTGGGGGAATGTTACCCTGAGATAACAACAGAACGGGGACTGCCTCGGTAATGAACAGCCAGAAGAAAAAAGCAACATGTATTATGATTGGAGGGATAATCGGGAAAGATGTGGGCCAGCAATGAATAAGGGGAAAAGGGACGGAACACCAAAAAGTCGACGATGTGTTTTGAGGGAACTGGTTTGCGAATCTTTTGTGAAATCTCGGAGTTTATGATTGGGTGTATAAGTAGGCATTGGTATAGCAACGGATAATCTAGCGAGCGATAATAATATCAGAGGTAATGTTTTCTTTAATTCCAACAGAACACTCGGAAAGAAGTGCCTTCAATGTCGACATTGAATACCGAGCATCGACAATGAGGCGTCTGTCCTGTCCTCGTGATTGATACGGGGAGAAACAGCGGAACAAGGATATGTGTATGCCTGAAGGAGACCCTGAAAACAACAAGGGCATATAATCATACAGCTGTGACCAGCCTGCTGGAAACATGATGGCAAGTGATTGAGGTAGATGAGTTGTGATGGACAGCAGGGTATGAGGATTCGGAGAATTTCTGGGAAAGGGGTCCTGATGAATCTGCGGTGGCAGGAGACGAGATGAGCATAGTACCAGTGAATGGTACTATTACCCTACAGATTGACGCGGGAGGGAGACGTGGCTCCTGCCTGCATCTTGCAATGGCCTGTGATGTAGATGAATTGAGTGAGTGCATGAGATCCTCAGCTCAGCTCAATGCGAGGCCAATGCGAACCGGCGTGTTCAGCCAACCGGCACTTGCCTGATGCTAAAGCACGGGGTCCTGTCACCGGCATCGACACCGCCTGCAAGTACGCGTCCTCCTGCGAGGCTCGTTGCCACTATCGTGAGATTCTGGCAAGACAAATAACGTTACCGGCAAGCTACCGGGTCTGAGCGTCTCTAAGCGATATCTCCTTCAGCCGTCTTTGCCAAGACATTCTCATCTTCTCATTTCTGTCGTCTCTCACAAGCCTTGCGGTGTGAGATCCCGCGCTCGGCCAGCAACACCATAGCAAAGTGTTGCACGGCCTTCTCCGAGCAAGGGGGATCAAACGACGAGAGAGGCGGCAGAGATGGTCACCTGGCCCGTGTGGAGCTGGCTGCCGCGGAAAGAGAAGTGAGATTTCTGATTTTCCTTCCTGTCTGTGGCCTCTTTCGTTTTTAGGAGGTGCCTCTGTGTTGCGTTGGCGATACTACCTAGTAGGTATTATCGACCGTATGCACACGCCCTGCGTCTGTGACCGTACTCGGCTAGGGGACTGGCGAGAAAACGGAGACATCGTGAGCGAAACGGTGGTGCTACTGCCGCGTAAATCCCGGTGCAGTGAAGAGCTGTCATTGGACGGTAGGTTGAAGGAATCGTCGGATGGACATGTTGTAAGAGAATGTGCTGTGTATGATGCGTCCCTCATGAGGGCGCGGGGAGCTTAAAGCTGAAGGAGGAGAGGTGATGCATGAGGATGCTTCCTTCTCTTAACATTGTGAGCGGCTGAATCGTAGTGACGGCTCGATGGTCTCGTGGCAGCTGATTAGCTGAATGTAGCTGGTGTGCGTTTGCAGCTGAAAAGGCGTGTGTCCGTTTTGAGCCTGGAGGTTTGCGGATAAAGAGGACGAACCCCGGCCCTGGTCAGTCTCGATGGTTTGAAGCTGAGGTGGAGGAGGATTATCCGGTACCGGCCGTCAAACCGTGGCTGGCTGACTAACTTGTGGCTGGTTGTGGCTGGTGTTTCTCCAAACCGGCACGTGACCAGAGCGGCAGCAGGAGCGAAGAGGCAAATCGGCGATTGTTTTCGAGGAGTCGCCTCTTCCTTTTAGCATTTGCCATGCACTCGCTCGAATCGCCAAGCATGCAATCCCTCAAATGGTGCATCCCATCGAGGCTCCGGAGCAGTTGCATTCCGCCAATCGCAAGACCAGGTGACTGAGGGACGCTATCACGGCTTTCTCTATCGGTTCTGGCCCGTCGTGACAGCTTCAACGTCTGTCGCCTTCGGGGATTCTCTACCGAACGATTCCCGACCCCCTCAGCCATGGCGCCCCCCAAGGCGACCCCTGTCGCGCGCCACAGCCGAGCTGGTCATCGACTCTGTCCATTCAAGGCCCTAGTCTGGGCGCGTGGCTCTCAAATTTCGGATCGTCAGCCCCGAGTCGCCCCCGAATCCAAGCGTCCGCTCCACTCCGAGCGTCAACCATCCGCGCACTGCTTGGAGAAGATTGGAGAAGAGACCCGCGCTGGCCGTATCCCGGAGGCCGGGCTGCCGCGTGATTGGCCTGGAGTTGACGATTCGATCCGTTTCAGGAAAACCGAGCTGGACCTCTTCCGAGCCGGCTGCATCGGGATCGCAGGGCCAGAGCCTGGTTTGCGTCGCTGATCCGGCAGGCCTTCCTGCGTGACATCACAGAGATGTGGCAGTGATGTGGCCCAAGTTTGCGATTCTGACTGTGAGCACCGCCTAATTCTCCGAAATTAGGAAGAGAGACAAGTGCAATTGATCCCTTGACGCTCGCAACAAGCCACCACGTGGAGAAGTCGCACGAAAAACCTAGAATACGCCACGGGTTGTTCGTTCAACAAGGCCAAAAAAGCACCAGTCTTACGACTACGGAGCCTCTGATATCGACTCTGTCCAGCCTGCTTCTCTTCTCTTTCCCATCTCCTATCTCAGTCTTCTCCCTCTCGCCCCTTTTGCTCCACGATTCAGTGCCAAGAACCCCAACCTGATCGTCATATCAAGCCAACTCTCGTTGACCCACGTCAACGTCCCGTCGGCCGTCATTCACCGAGCTCAGTCTCAGTTGCATCATTGAAGTCACCTCATCTGACGCACAATCCATCTTCTGATTCTTTTCGTTCCACTTCTGGCTTCACAGCGGACTCGCCTCTCTTCATTCTTCTCCTGCGCCCTGCGGACCCCGCAAACATTCGCTCTTCCTACATTGTTTAAGAGTGCCTTTGCCCCCAACAATAATCTTGATTCCTAAATCCTCATCAACCGCAATTTTGCGCAAGGAACAGGCCCTACCACCGGAAGAATTACTGCCGTCTGCACCTCTGTTGCGCCTCTCTTCTAACAGCTGCTTCACAACTTCATCGCCATGGTTCGAGGCTTCTCAAGCCTCCGACGGCCCCTGCTGGGTCTCGGCGTTGTCGCAGGCGCTGGAGGCGTCGCTCTCTACGCCAACACCAGGATATCTCACACAACTCACAAGGCGATTGCGGAAGTCAAGCGCGACAGCAATGGCCGCATAATCCCGCCCTCGTTCCCCGCCGTTCCATCACGGCTGCAGCAGCTGGCCGAGCTGCGGCGCCACAGCAAAGACAATGAGAATCTCGACGAATACGACCTCATCGTCATCGGTGCGGGCGCGACGGGCGCTGGAATTGCGCTCGACGCCGTGACTCGAGGCCTCAAAGTGGCCGTTGTTGATCGCGACGACTTCGCGGCGGGCACCAGTTCCAAGAGCACCAAGCTGGTGCACGGCGGCGTGCGCTATCTCGAAAAGGCCGTCATGAACCTGGACTACTCCCAGCTGCAGCTGGTCATGGAGGCGCTACACGAGCGCAAGACATTCCTGACCATCTCGCCCCACCTCTCCAATTCGCTTCCCATTTTGCTGCCCCTCAACAACTGGTTGCAAGCTCCCTACATGTGGGTTGGCACAAAGGCCTACGACTTGCTCGCGGGCTCGCAGGGCCTTGAGGGCTCCTATTTCATGAGCAAAAGCAAGGCTATTGCCAACTTCCCTCTGTTGCGCCAGGACAACCTGATCGGTGCCCTGGTTTACTACGACGGCCAGCACAACGATTCGCGAATGAACGTCTCTCTCGCTCTTACTGCTCAGCTCTACGGCGCTACTGTTCTGAACCACGTTGAAGTTACGGGCTTGGACAAGGACGGAAACGGGCGAATTCGTGGCGCAACTGTCCGAGATACTATGCCCAACGGCGACAACAAGGAGTTTACCGTGAGGGCCAAGGGCGTCATCAATGCCACCGGGCCCTTCACCGATGCCATCGAGCGCATGGACGACCCTTCGCGCATGGAACTCGTTGCTCCCGCTTCCGGCGCCCACGTCGTACTCCCCGGCAGCGTGTGCCCGAACGGCATGGGATTGCTCGAGGCGCGAACTTCCGATGGGCGAGTCGTTTTTGTACTGCCCTGGCAGGGCTACACCGTCGCTGGTACGACGGATCACCCTTGCGAAATTGAACAGGAGCCGGTTGCGCCAAAGGAGGATGTGGACTTTATTCTCAAGGAAGTCAACAAGCTTCTCAAACCGGATTCGAACCTGACTCAGAAAGACATTCTGGCTACTTGGTCAGGTAAGCTACATACCCCCCTTAAAATGGCGGAAGTTTCCTGGACTAACATGATTTAGGCATCCGACCTCTTGTCCGAGATCCCAAGGCCAAGAACACCGAGTCCTTGGTTCGCAACCACCTCGTCAGCGTCTCGCCTTCCGGTCTCCTGACCTGCGCCGGCGGTAAATGGACCACCTACCGCCAGATGGCCGAGGACGCAGTCGACGAAGCCATCAAGACATTTGATCTGAAGCCCTCTGTGGTGACTCTGCCCGATATCAGCGGTGCTGGCCTGCCCGGTATTCAAACCACGGGTCGCTGCATCACCAAGCGTGTTCCTCTGATTGGAGCTCACGGTTACTCGACGTCTCTGGCTTCTAAACTCATGGAGGCTCACCACATTGATGCCGACGTTGCCCATCACCTAGCACACAACTATGGTGACCGTGCTTGGGCTGTTCTGTCAGCTTCCAATGCCGCCACTCGCCTGATCCCTTCGCTGCCCTTCATCGAGGCCGAAGTCCGCCATGGCGCTCGGTCCGAAGCCGCTTGCACTGCCGCCGATCTCATCTCGCGCCGCATGCGCCTCGCTTTTCTAGACGTTGAGAATGCCTTGCGTGCGCTGCCTCGTGTCATTGATGTTATGGCCGATGAGCTCAAGTGGTCGAATGATCGAAAGCAGCAAGAATGGAAGCAGACCATCGCATTCTTCAGATCAATGGGCCTGGACGAGGCTAAGATGAACATTACGCGCAAGGAGGTCGAAGCACTGCCTGCTCTGCCAAGCCGAAACCCTAGAGTTGCTATCACGACCGAGGAGTCGGAGCTGGGCAAGGTTGAAGCCAACGGCGTTTTGGCTTAATGCCACCTGGGCTGATATTGATTCTTGTACATACGGTTTTCGATGGATTGTTGGTTTTGTTTTCATCTTCTGGCGTCTGATACCTGGAGTTGAAATCGGAATGAAAGGATGCAAAAGACTTGTTACACAGGGTAGAAGCGGTTGGGATTACAGACAAGGTATGGGAGTTATAGAGTGCTTGTCATTACTACGGCTATATACAGTAGCATCAGCGGTTATTCATGATCTTTTGGCTCCCTGTGTAATCCCTGCTCGATGAAAGTGTTGCATGAGCTGGTGACATATAAGAGCCCGCTGTACTTTGGAAGGAGGAGTCAAGAGGCAGATGCAAGTACATCGGCTCTTGAGGAGGAAAGGAAACAAGAGCCCGCAAACAAGCAGTTGCAATGGCATATGCTTCATATAGTCGCCATGCCCAGATCTCATATGCAGCACAGACTCGGGAGTCTCTACGCTCTCCGCCAGAATCACCGTTGGCTTCAGTATCAAGTTTTGATGGAGTAGTCGCCTTTCTTGTCTCTTACAAGCATTTCTTCTTTGGCACCCTTCCCACCGTCACCACGCGTATAACTACAGCTACGTCCAAAGGGCAGCAAAGATGGTCTGGGTGAAGCTTTTGGCCCTCATCTTCATGGCAGTCGTGCCATATACTACGGCTTCACCGGAGATCAATCCCCGGTTCCATACGATTTTGAGCCTTGCAGATCTCGAGTATGAGGACAAGTACGTCGTCGGTCTTCAAAACAACCTGTCGCCTACGGACTTGAAGAAGCATCTCCTGCGCGTCTCCGCCGTCCAATATCGAAACAAGAACACCACGTTCGAAGGCGGCACTGGCGTCAGAAAGACATATGCCATCGGTGACTACCGGGCGTACTCTGCGGTCCTCGATCGAGACACCATCAAAGAGATCTGGAACGACACAGTGGTGAGTCAATGGAAGGTTGCAGGCTGTTGCCCTGTGGTGCTGAGCTTGACGTCTCTAACGCCGAGGGGTGTTGCCAGATCGACTACATCGAAAGGGAAAAGGTCTTCACCATCCACGGCAACGTGGCGACTCAGGAGAAGCCGCCCTGGGGCCTTGCGACACTCTCCAATAAGAAACCTCACGGATTCCTCTACCGCTACGACAAGAGCGCGGGCGAGGGAACCTTTGCCTACGTGCTGGATACCGGCATCAACACCAAGCACGTCGACTTTGAGGGCCGAGCCTCCATGGGGTTCAATCCACCCGAGACGGAACCGACGGATATCAACGGGCACGGGACCCACGTTGCCGGCATCATCGGCGGCAAGACGTTTGGCGTGGCGAAGAAGACGCAGCTTATCGGCGTCAAGGTGTTTCTAGATGACGAGGCGACCACGTCGACGCTGCTAGAGGGGCTTGAGTGGGCAGTCAATGATATTCGATCAAAGAGCCGCCAGAGCCGCTCTGTCATTAACCTGTCTCTCGGTGAGAAGCCCTCCATGACTTGTATAGCGGTGACAAGTAGACTGAGCTGACGCCGAGATAGGAGGGCCCTATTCGGAAGCGCTAAACAGGGCCGTCAACCACATCTCCGACATTGGTATCCTCCCCGTTGTTGCTGCGGGTAATGAGGGAATCCCAGCCACGTTCTTCTCGCCCGCCTCCGCAGACAGGGTGCTGACAGTGGGAGCCATCAACTCGGACTGGCAAGAGACCAACTTTTCCAACTTTGGCCCCCAGGTCAACATTTTGGCTCCCGGACAGGATATCCTGTCGGCGTATATCAGTACAAGCAGGGCCACTCGCGTGCTCTCGGGCACTTCGATGGCGGCGCCTCACGTTGCCGGGCTGGCGCTGTACCTGATGGCGTTGGAGGATTTCGACTCGACGAAGAAACTGATGGACCGGATATTGCAGCTCGGGAAGAAGGATAAAGTGGTCAACTTGATGACGGACTCGCCGAATTTGATTGTTCACAACAATGTTAAATGATGCTTTGCTCTTGTCTGTTCGTTGTCATTGGGCGTCGTGTGTAGATACCTAGGTAGTATAAATATGCCTCATTGTCATGGTATCAATAGAGATACTTTTGTTAAGACTTTGTTGGTTGCTGTGCATAGTTGGTGATGAGCCAAGCTCTTTCGAAGGCCTAGTTCATTGTCTATTGTTTATTATCTGGGCTTTTTGTAGGTCTGAGGTGAGATCTCACAGCTTGCCGGGTAGCAACGATATAGGCGACAGTGTGACGTATCATATGATACTGTTTAGCTGGTCTCTCATGTTGATTGATTCATGTAATTGTATGATCAAATATTCAAAAGCCATGCATGACCTTTCATTCAGCAGCATGGCCGTGAAAAGACAAGAAGTTGAACAAGTCATGAAGAAGCAAGATGATGTTTTTGCAACACATTAGCCAGAGCACAAAGTCGTCATATACTGCCCAAAGTGGCACGATGGTCACCTCAGCCCAAGTGGCCCAATGAGGAGCAGACGAGAGCGGGGTGGTTTTTTTGCATGTGAAAGAGAACTGGACCGTCACGATACGTCAGACGGTAGGACGAGAGGCATTTTGTATTGATGATTTTGTTTGCAGGGGGAGGGAGGGAGGGAAGAGGAGGAAGAGGCTGAGATGCCTCGGCTCTTCGTGCGAGTTGGGGGGATTTGGGGCTATTTTGAGTGCTATATTAGCTTTTGACGAGGATTTGAGTGAGGAGATGTTGACATCGATATCGATGCTGGAGAGGGTGCAGGGTTAGGGTCAGGGGTTAGACGACGTGTGTAGCGATATATTGGTAGCCTTGTCTGGGATGTTTATGAACGGGATGGATGAAAGAGTCGATCGGTGAGGGGTCGGATGGCTGTTGATGGATGATGAAGAAGGAGATAGTGACGGGATGGCATAACGTATGGGCTATGTGATGTTGGGTCCGGACAGGTTGGCGGGGGAAGATTGCGGGGATTTAACATGGACCATGATGGATGATGGAGGGAATCAAAACCCGATCGGAGCGAGAAACTCTGGGCATGGCTTGTGTTCTTTTTTTAGTGTATGATCAAGAGCGTTGAATGGATGGCCATACGGGTCAATTGGGGCTGATGATTGGGCTGTCATTTTACACAGGACTTTGTGATGGTTGAGAGAGGAGACGAAATGGTTCGGTGAGGTGACGGACGGCCCCCCTGTGGCGGTTTCTCTTATAGTGAGTTGTGATTGCTGGTCCGTTGATTGTAGTAGTAATTGGATGCCTTTAATCTACCTTATAGTAGTAGGTGGCCACAATACATCAAATGTAGTGCACTTGTACTTGACTGTTGGTAGCTGGAGAGCTCGAGGCCGCAGCCACCTGTGCCGTGGCAGTCGCATCACCCGATAACAGGCGAGAGTCTCCCAACAATCGATGTGTGCCGTCCCGTTTGCTTATGCAAGATAAAGCAGCCTCGAGGGCGGATAAACACATACTTGTAAAAAAAAAAAAATATTCCCGCATGCGAGGAGAGTACACGTAGCTGGGCCTTTTGTTTTGTTTTTGATTTTTCCTATTCTATTTCTCCTCTGTGTGTGTGTGTGTTCAGTTCTGTGCTCTTCTCGTCATCGGCTCATCGTCATCTGTCCGTCCCTCTCGTCACCTCATCATCAACCCCTCACCTGTATCTGGCTCTGTCTCTTCTGCTTCTTCAGATCCTTCTTCCTTCTGCTCTCCTCGAGTGCCCTCCCTCTCTCTTCCGATATATATACATAGTCAGTCATAGTCAGTCAATCGTTTATCCCACAGCCAAACAAACACAATGGGCTCGGAAGAGGAGCAGAAGCCCGTCATCATCGTCGGCGGCGGCCTGGCCGGGCTGGTGGCAGCTCACGAGCTGGCCAAGCGCAAGGTGCCGACGGTCATTGTCGACCAGGAGAACGAAAACAGCCTGGGCGGGCAGGCCTTCTGGTCGCTGGGCGGCCTGTTCCTCGTCAACTCGTACAGCCAGCGCCGGATGGGCATCAAGGACTCGCGCGAGCTGGCGATGCGCGACTGGCTGGGGTCGGCGCAGTTCGACCGCGACGAGGACTACTGGCCGCGGCAGTGGGCGCGGGCCTTTGTCGACTTCGCCACGGACGAGTTCGAGGACTACGTGCGGGCGCTGGGGCTGGGCTTCCTCTTCAACGTCGGCTGGGCCGAGCGCGGCGACGGCCGGGCCGACGGCCACGGCAACTCGGTGCCGCGCTTCCACATTGCCTGGGGCGCCGGGCCCGAGGTGGTGCGCATCTTTGCCGATCCGGTGCGCAGGGCGGCCGACGACGGGCTCGTGACGTTCCGGTTCCGGCACCAGGTCGACGAGCTCGTCGTGGACGGCACCGGCAGGGCCGTCGGCGTCAGGGGCAGCGTGCTCGAGGCCGACGACTCGCCCCGGGGCGTCCAGACGTCGCGCACCGTCGTCGACTCGTTCGAGCTGAGCGGCGCCGCCGTCATCGTCACCTCGGGCGGCATCGGCGGCAACATCGAGGCCATCAAGAGGAACTGGCCGGTCGACCGCCTGGGACCAAAGGTGCCCGACTTCTTCGTCACCGGTGTGCCCGCCCACGTCGACGGCCGCATGCTCCAGATCACCGAGAACGCCGGCGCCAACCTCGTCAACCGCGACAGGATGTGGCACTACACCGAGGGCCTGCAGAACTGGGACTCCATCTGGCCCAACCACGGCATCCGCATCCTGCCCGCCCCGTCGTCGCTGTGGCTGGATGCCTCTGGCAAGCGTTTCCCGCCGTATCTGTTCCCGGGATCGGACACGCTCGGCACGCTCAAGGCCATCTGCGCGACGGGCTACGACTACAGCTGGTTCATCCTCGACCAGAGCATCATTGCGCGAGAGTTTGCCCTTTCCGGCTCCGAGCAGAACCCCGACTTGACCAGCAAGAGCATCTGGGAGCTGCTCAAGAACAGATGGTTTTCCAGTAAGGGAACGGTCAACGTGCAGCTGTTCCAAGAAAACGGAAAAGATTTCGTCGTTCGAGACACCCTCAAGGAGCTGGTGGCGGGCATGAACGAGCTGGCCAAGGAGCGCAACGGCCCGATCCTCGACTACGACAAGATCAAGGAGGTTGTCGACGCTCGCGACGACCAGTTCAACAATGCCTACTCCAAGGACGCCCAGGCCATGCTCATCCACAATGCGAGGTCGTACTGGATAGATAAGCGCAGCCGTGTTGCGACGCCTCACAAGCTGCTGGACCCTGCCCACGGCCCCCTCATCGCCGTCCGACTGAACCTGCTCAGCCGCAAGACGCTCGGCGGCCTCGAGACGAACCTGAGCAGCAACGTGATGAGGAAAGACATGACGCCGTTCCCGGGCCTCTACGCCGCCGGTGAAGTGGCGGGATTCGGCGGCGGAGGCGTCCACGGCTACAACTCGCTCGAGGGCACCTTTCTGGGAGGCTGCATCTTTTCGGGTCGCACAGCTGGGCGAGCCGTGGCGGATGAGCTGGCCGAGGTTGTCAAGGACTGAGTGCGCTCGATGAACATCTTTGGAGGAGTAATGAGAGTACACCATTTCTTTTTCCTATTGCGCGGGGGGAACAAAAGGGCGAGTTGGAGGAGTTGGTAGCATTCATGACTTTATTTTCCTAGTGTGTATGGTTACAGGTTTACCTTTCTCTACCTTTTTCAACTCAATGAGACCAATGATAAAGCACCGTATCGACCAAGTCTTTGTCTTTTTCTCCATTTGATAATAGTCCTCATGGAGCTCCAGTCTGTCATCTTGTCATCGTGCAGTTGGGGTTTGTAAGGGGGGAACAGGGGAGGGATGGCCTCCGATCAACACGAGGCTAAATGCGTGATTGGTGGAATATTATGCCAGGCGACATCCTTTTGATCGGAAGAATTGACCGAGAGGCTCGGGCATCAGCCGTGATGCAACTCTACCACAGGATTATCTTCCTATTGCTCAATTGGAGCGAATGGGGGATAAGCATGTGGTCGTGGGTTGGAGGGAAATCTGGGGAAATCTGGGGAAATTGTCCGGGGAGGGGGGAAGACGCCCCTTGTGTATAAATCAGGACATGGCTATCCATCCTTCCCTGATTTACCTGAGTCCTAATTCGAGCAGAAGCAGGTCTTTTCTACAGACTGACTGAGTGGACTTGGAAAGAATGCATTTCTCGTCGCTTTCGTTGGGCCTGCTCTCTGCGGCGGGCATCGTCAATGCCTTGCCCGGCCTGGGCCTCGGGGACTGGCTCTGGCCCTCAAAGATTCCCAATACCGTTGTCATTGACGGGTGGCGTCTCGTCGATGCAAAGACGCGGCTCTTTCTGGGCGACCGTGAGCTCAAGGCTGCGTTGAAGCACCTCACAGCCCAGGCGGACAGGTAAATATAAGAAAAGAAAAATACAAATCCCAATCTGTGTGGCTTCGCAGATATATACTTACATATATATAACGAAAGCTGGCTGGACCAAGGCCCCTGGACCGTCACCGCCAAAGCAAAGCCTCCCCCCAACGGCACCATCCACGACTACACGTCCCAAGCGCCATACTGGTGGCCCAACCCGGACACGCCCGACGGATGCCCGTACATACAAAAGGACGGCGTGCGAAACCCCGAGGTCGATCAGTATCAGGACAGGGTCTCGGTGGGGAAAATGTTCAACTCGACGTATGTGCTTTCGCTGGCGTGGTATTACACCGGCGAGAAGAAGTATTCGCAGCACGCGGCGGACATCCTGAGGACGTGGTTTCTGGACGAGGACACGGCGATGAGTCCGAATCTGGAGCATGCGCAGATTATCCCATGTGCGAATACGGGGAGGTCGATTGGGATCATTGACTTTAGCCAGGAATACACCAACGTCGTTGACGCCGTGTCGATACTCAACTCCGGGCCGGCACCGGGCTGGACGAAGCAGGACAATGCCAAGTTTGTCGACTGGAACAAGCGCTTTCTGGCGTGGCTTGCGGATTCGCCGTTTGGCATCGAGGAAGCTTCTGCGCAGAACAACCACGGGACGTTTGCCAACATGCAGATCGCCGCCCTGGCCGTCTTCACGGGCAACCATTCTCTAGCTTTGCAGAGGACGAGCATTGCAAAGAGCTTCATCGACAGCCAGATTACGAAGAACGGCTCCCAGCCGCAGGAGCTGGCCCGGACGCGGAGCTTCCACTACTCGAACTTTGATTTGACGGCGCACTTGAGGATGGCGCTGATTGCGAGAAAGGTGGGCGTTGATTTGTTTCGGTACAAGGGGCCGGAGGGCCAGACGCTGTTCAAGGCGGTGGAGTTCCTCGTGCCGGCGGCGGAGGGGGGAGCGCAGGCGTGGAAGTTTCCGGAGCTGGGGTTCACGCAGTATGCGGCGACGGATAATGTGAGGGCGGCGGCGCAGGAGGGGGATGGGGTTGCGAGGGGGGCGGTGGTGAAGGGGTTGGAGGGGCCGCCGGGGGGGGATATCTTTGGGTTGAGGCCGGCGCCGGAGCAGTTGGATAGTATTGCGACGGTTGGGTGAGGGGGATGGAATAGGGGGGATGATATGGGTGTGGGGACGTGATATGATCCTGCTACATGACTCTAGTACTCTGTCCTGATACTGTTACTCTCCACTACTAAGACTTGCTATCTACGGCTGTTGCTACTATTTAGGCACTACTATAAGGTGTTATCCTTGGCCTGGAGATGTAGGCTTACAACGTCGATTATATGAAGCGTTTTGCAATATAAGAGACAACCCTTGGAAGTATCACCTACCTAGGTAGTCTGCAAGTTCTATTAAACTAACTAATCCCATTTCTCTCCTGACTAAGCTATATCATCTATTAATGTCATTGCTGCGATGTATTCTCGATGTGAGCAGCCTCACGAGCTAACTGCGAACCTATATTCGTCAGTAACTCACGCTATACACCTTCCAGTATCCCAGTCCCCCATCCAGAGACGCATAACTCGACGTCCCTCCCCCGCCAACACTCAGATACCGCTCCGTCCCCTTTACTTGAAACGAATACCCCTTGCCAGCCTTGTATCCCACCGTAAACACAACCGCCTTCCCGGCATCCCCACAGAGCACCCCGTTCTCACAGATATAATTCCGTCCGCTATCGTCCGAAAGCGTAAACTCATCTCCTCCAATGGTCACCGCATGCGCAATCCACCTCTGAGCAACGGCGTCGTGCTCTTCAGTCGCCCTGCCGAGAGCGAGAGCGCTTGAAAATGTCGTCTTTTGGGCCAGTGCAAAGCCGTTTGCTTCAAGAACGAGGTGGCGGCCTTCGGTGAGCATCCCGCGAAGCGGCTTGAACCCCTTCTCAACTTGTGTTGTCAAGTCGGGGATCACGCCAGTGCCGGTATAGGGAACCGGGGGCTGGACCTCCGAGTACAGGGACTGGCAGTACGACGAGCCGTCGTACACACCACTGGAGTCCGTATGCGGAGTTTGCGGCTCGGGAAGCTCTGGGATGGAGTAGTCGGGGTGGTCGAAATCGAAGGCATCGGTCAGGTCGGACATGTGGCTGCGGCGCCAGTGGACCATCTCCTCCGTCGTGACCTTGCGGCCCTTTGCGGCCTGCCACTTCTCCACAAACATAATCTGCGAATTGTGGTCGCTGTGAGCGGCATACACGCCGCCGTTGCGCGTCCAGGGCGAGATGATGTAGAACGGCAGCCTGAAGCCAGGGCCGACAAAGGTGTATCCGACTTGCCCGTACGGGTCTTGGATCCATTCGCCGGCGGTGTCCTTGGGGGAGCGATAGGGATCGACGTGGTCGAACCAGCCGCCCGTTTCGTCGTACGAGATCATGAGGACCGTCTTGTTGTACTTTGGCGAGGTGAGGACGGCCTGGGCGACCTGGTGCTGCAGCCAGGCGCCGTCGTGAGGAGAATAAGGAGGGTGCTCGCTCAGCTCCATGGGGCCCACGATGTAAGAAACCTCGGGGAGCGTGCCGTTGGCGGCCATTGCGTAAAACGTGTCAAGTGTGAGCCCCTTCATGCCCCTTTCGTAGAGACTGGAGCCCGGCTCGGCCTCCTGGAACTGCTGGAACCGGGCGTACGAGTTGTCGTCAAAGTTGTCCGCGTCCTGGAAGACCTGCCAGGTCACGCCCGCGTCCTCGTAGTGCTCGCCCACCGTCTTCCACTTGAGCGGGTAGCAGTTGAAGCCGCCGGCCTCGCACCCGGGCGTGATGTTGTTGTCGATGTACGGGTTCCCGCCTTCGTCCGGGGTTTGAGGGCCACCGGGGGCGTTGACGCTGCCGGAGAGCCAGGTCACTCTGTTGGGATTGGTGGCGGCGACGATGGCTTCCTGGTAATCATACCATTAGCCTGTGCTTCATCTCTCATTCGATATATGCCGTGAGATATGGGCGTATTACCTGGTACATGTCCACAACGACAAAGTTATCCGCCAGAGCAAACTGGATCGGGATATCCTGCCGCTTGTAGAACCCGATGCTGTACGGGCTGTTGTCCACGGCCCAGCGGTCATTGCTGCCATTGTTCCACGCCGCGTGGTTCTCCTGCCAGCTGTTGGTCCCCGTGAGCATGCACTGCGTTGCGTTGGTCCAGTTGCCGCCGAGGTAGTTGATGTAGAAGGGCGTCACGTAGTCGGTGTCGTTGGTCAATTGCGAGTCCGTCACTTGTTTCCAGACCGGCACGCCGTTGTTCATCTGGAGGTTTGCGTCTGCGAAGCCTCGGACGCCGGCCATTGTGCCAAAGTAATGGTCAAAGGCACGGTTTTCTACGTTTGTTGGAGTCAGCACATGACGATTCACGCTTCATCTTGGTGAGCGTATCATACCCTGCATGAAGAGGACGACATGGTCAATGTCCTTGAGGCTGCCGGCGTGCGCAAGGCCAATGACGGCCATCAACATCGCCACCGACGCAGGCGCAAGAGTCCCAAGGCGAGGCATCTTAACGATGGCAATCACGAAGGAAAACAGTTGAGTTGCCAGGAGAAGCTCTTCCACCCCGCTTCATCACAGAAGATGGATCTACGACAGACATTTCGCGACTGTTATACAATCCGCCTCGAGTGCACATCATCAGAGCCGTCCCCTCACTTCGACGTCAGTTGCCAATCGCAATGTAACATCGACGTCCCGACAAGGCGGCCGTCCGTGCCGAAGCCCACGGTTCATTATGCGGTTAAAGGGTAAACGCCTGTGGTGTTGCATCTCCCATCTGGTCTTTTACCGACACCCAAACCGGAAGGTAGGTGGTCACCGTCAAAGCAGCAGATCGCCATGAAGTTGGAGCTCCGGTGTGTAATGCCACTTTAAGCCAAGGGGGCTGACATCGGCAGATAGCTAGTACATTTGGTCAGGGTGTATGTATTGCCGGAAGAGGAGCAGGACAAGCCACTTGTCATGCTTGAATAGGGGTTGATAGGGCGATTATATCGTGGCTATTCATCAACAGTATGGTGGCTGTTTCCTTGCACTATCAGTGAGGCTCAGAGGCGGTGGTCATCATTTGTGCTGCAAGGCAGTGAGGAGAATGTTGAGGATAGGGGTTAGCTAGCAGGGTAAGGTGTGTAGCACCCGCTTCTTTGTCCTCTTAGCAGTACTAATGTCTTTGACTACTATGAGATGTGGCTGAAAAAGAAAACTTCAAAGCCGCTAGAAAAAGATCCAGGTCCAATGTTGCGCTCGTGACATGTGATTGGATCCATCGGGGAAGGACAGATGCAAGATTCGCAGCCAGACGATCAAGACATGTGCTTTTGCGAGAAGCCAATAGCGGCGGCACGGTGGCCCTCGTGATGGCGGCCGTGGTTGGCTGGACGGCAAGGCGCTGCAGGGATGGGGGAGTTAGTGCAGGGGACTTGCGAGGTTCCGCAGGACGAAGACCATGGTACAGCGTAGTAGTAGTATTAGTAGTAGCTGCATGATGGTTGTTGAGGAGGTGGAGACTGAGAGAGCATTAAGCGACAGTAAAGAGCAGGAAAGGCCTCACTTGGACGGCTTGAAGATGGATGAGTAGATGAGGGTAAGTCTGAGTCTGTGTTGGCAGGCGAGGGGGGTAAAGGGGGAGAAGAGAGAATGTCTTGACTTACACGGAACCTGCCGTGAGACGTAAGCCCCCAGGACACTAGACAAACCCTTCAACACCAATCTCCCACATTCCCGAGAATGATCTGATAAAAACATAAAAAACAAGCAAAACTCCCACCGGACAGATAGCGATACCATACTAAGCTACGCATCGGTGCTACTAGACCAGAGCCCGACAGCATCTTGGCCTCTCCTCCCTGCGGGGCCCGCCACAAACCCGGACATTCAACAAATCAAACGACGAAATCCCCACGTGCGGCGAGTGGCCCGGCAGTCGATGCCGACAGAGTGGTGACGAATGCTCCGCGCGTCTTTATACCGATGTTGCGAGAGGTCTTGGCATTGTCTTGCCTTGCTCCGATCACCGCCTTTGGTCTTGATTTCCTCTGCACTTTTGCCTCGATGTCATGACGTGTGCGAGTACCTTAGTCCTACCTTTTCTTCTTGTTCTCTGGATTCCTGACCTTTGTTGTCCTTGTCTTTGGATGAGTTTCTGTCTGGATGAGTTTGTTGAGAGACATTCTCATCAGGACACCTTCTAGCTGAAACGTCAAAGAAAAGAAAGCAAAAAAATGAGGGACGAGCTCGAGGACCATCGCCTGCTTGATGAAGTGGATGCCGGTAGCGATGAGTCGGCGACCCAACCAAGCATCGACGAGGCACGAGAAGCAGAGACAAATGCAGAACCCGCGGCCCGTCGAAAACCCAACTTCACAGTCTTCCGCATTGCCGGTCTTGTCATCGCACTCATCCTGGGCTCGCTGCTCGTGCTGCTGTTCGCCCTGAACCGCCACACTTCCGGTGCCCCGTTCGACGACAGCCAGCTGGCTATTCCTCTTCACCCATCCGAGCACTCGACAAGAGACCCTACGACGCTGACATTTGACTGGCACATCACCCTGGGCACAAGAGCCCCTGATGGAGTGGAGAAGCAGGTGTATCTGGTCAACGGTGCGTGCGAATTCAATTCATGCAGCACTGAACCACCGAGGACTGCCATCCCCGATCAAGGGGTCACAGTCTGAGGGCGTGGTTCGTTCGATTGGCTGGTACGGCTTGCTGACGCTTCTGAGCAGGACAGTTCCCTGGCCCAGTTATCGAGGGCCGATCCGGAGACCGCATCCAAGTCCGTGTCCACAATGACCTTAAGGAGAAGGCCGACGGCGTTTCGCTGCACTGGCATGGCCTCCGCATGCAGGGATTCAACGCCATGGACGGAGCCGTCGGCTTCACTCAGTGTCCCATCCCCGCCGGAGGCTCGTTTATCTATGACTTTCGCATCCGCGATGACGAGCACGGCACGTTCTGGTGGCACGGCCACTCCCAGCTGCAGAGGGCGGACGGCCTCTTTGGCGGGCTGGTGATCCACGAGCCGAGGCATCGAAACGACAACGAGGCTACGCGGGACGAAGCACTGCTCCTCATCGGTGACTGGTTCCATCGCCGGCAGAGTGGTGTCCTTGAATGGTACAGCAGCCCGGCGAGCGCAGGCAATGAGCCTGTGCCAGACTCCATCGTCATCAACGGCCGTGGTCGATATGACTGCTCCATGGCAGTGGCGGCTCGGCCTGTCAAGTGTAAGGCAACAAGCCTGAGCGACTTCCCGCCTCTGATCAAGAAGGCCACGGGGGAGACGCTGCTGAGAGTGGTCAACACAGGCACCGTCGCGGGCTTCACTGTCGGTGTTGACGGCGCTTCCCTTGAGCCAACACACGTCGATGGAGGGTGCAAGGTGGATTCGAAGCCGGCTGATTCCATCGGCACTCTCTATCCCGGCGAGAGGGTTGATATGCTGCTCAAGTGGAAGACCGACCAGGCGGCGGAGCCGTGGTTCAACGTATACCTAGATCATGAGTGAGTTATCCCCACCATATCTCTTCCAATTCCAAAAGGATAATAGGAAACAATCGTCTAACCAGCTGTAGAAATCTTCGCTTCGGAAACCCGGCGTTGAACCCCAACCATACCTTCCCAGCTCTACCGAAAACAGTCACAGCTCATGATAGGGACCAGGCACCCCCCTTGAAATTCAGCGGCAGTCATCTTGATCTGGCGTCCCTTTCAGCCACCGAGAAGCCATCTCCCATTGTCACGGCGGAAGAAGAACAGACTATTCTGCTCTACGTCTCGACTCAGAAGCTTGCGGTGCATGGAAACAAGCCAATGGGCTTCGTCAACCACACGGCTTGGCAACCCCAGTCGCTGCCGCTGCTGTCGCTGAACCGGTCATCCTGGGATGACAACCAGCTTGTCCCCTTTATCGGCAGCGGGTCAAAGCCCACAAAGGTCAAGCTGGTGATTAACAACCTGGACGATGGCTCTCATCCATTCCACCTCCACGGATATTCATTCCACGTCCTGTCCTCTTTCCGGGCCGACAACGCCAAGCTTGGGAGCTATAATCCTTACGAAACACCAGAAAGTAAATCCCAAGGCCAGTGGAAGCGGGAGAAGCCTCTCCGGAAAGACACCGTCAGCGTGCCGAGGAAAGGCCATGTGGTGCTCTCCTTTGTCGCCGACAACCCCGGAATGTGGATGCTACACTGCCATATGATGGTACACCTGGAAACAGGCATGGCGGCCGGCTTGCAGGTCGGAGTACCGGAAGATGAAGAGCATATATATGGATTAGACGAGTCAGCAGCACGATTGTGCAAAGTGTCGGAATAAGCGAAAACCAAGATACCCAGAGACCAAGAAAACAACAACATGATACCACGACAGAAATCATTATGCATTGCATTGGAAAAAGGATGTAAATAGGAACCAAAAAAACTGAATAAATATTGATGAACCATAGCGGCCCAAGAAGTCTTGTAAAAATGTACACTGAAGATGAACAATGGGGGTATAATTGACCAAGAATAAACATCATATCTAAGACGTAAACATCCCTCGACGGGGAACTTTTCGTAACGTTTACCACAGCATCAAAGAAAATATTGAGAAGAGTAAGGAAAGGATTGTGATCCGGAATAGAGAACCCGGATCCATCAGGCTCCGCGCATCGTTCTCCTCGTCGCCGCCATCACCAGTCGGCGTCGGTGCCGGGACCGGGACCCCAGTGGGCACTGTTGGTGGCGCTCCAGCGAGCACTTTGTCGCCGGACGGATACTGAATGTTGTATACGGGCTGCGACTTGAGGGGATCGGGCACGCCAAGGGTGCCCGGACAGGACGGCTGGTTGGCGTTGGGCCAGTCCAGGGTGCAAACTTGGTTTTGTCCAAGGGTGCATATCGAGTCGAGGATGTTGTACAGGACATAGTTGTTCGCAACCCACGAGTTCTCCTGCTCGAGACAGCTGGCCAGGAAGTTCATGCTGTTTGCCGCGCTGAGAGGGAGCTTGCTGCCCTTTGTGTGGAGCAGGCTCGCGCACTTGGACGCATCGACGTTTTGCGTCGTCATCTCGACGGGTCCTCCCGCAAAGGGCTTGTCGGTGGCGGAGTAGCCCGTGTAAAGATAGTTCCAGGCATCGTAGCTGACGTCGTGGGCGCCCTGGGACTGGTCCACGCGGAGCAGATAGACCTGGCGATCCTGGTACTGGAGAGACACGCAGATGTTGTTGCAGTCGACGGAGTCGGGCCAGTAGGCGACTCGGTTGGTGTTGACCTTGCAGCCCAGCACGCCGATGGACGACGAGTAGCTGTCGTGGGGCGTCGCCCAGACGGTTGTTGAAGATGAAGAAGAAGAAGAGCTGTCGCCGCGAGGGAGTGAAGCGGCAACAGCTGCAGTTGCCAGCAGGGGCAGAAACGCCACAGGCGTTGCCATGAGAGAGTGGAGGTTGGGGCGCATCACGAGAGCTTCGTCATAAGGAATGGAGACTGACTCATCACAGGCCAGACCGGGGCCAGCGATTCAATGAGCGATCAATGGGAACAAGAAGGAGTGGCAGGCGGCATTGGGCGCCGTGGCGGCGAGGGCGAAGGACGTGGCGCTTGATGCTGGAACAGCGTCAATTCCGCGCGTCTGTACGAGTGTGCATGCAAGAGGGAAAAAAAAACATAAAACCCGTTCGACAATCGCGATGCACCAAATCTGGGGGAAATTTGGTGGTCAGGGGAATCCGTAGGCGAACGGGCGGGCTAGGCCAGTCTGGGCTAGCCGAAACAGCCCACATGCAGCCTTTCCCGATGGGGCCGTTGGCGGGTAAAACGTGGGCGAGCTCCACCAGTTTCTCAGAGAGGAAGAAGCTCTGGATATCGTATTTTGGAGATGTCTTGTCTGTTTTGCTCAGATGCAAAATGATCTCACGAGGGCATCAATATGTTGCACAGAATTGGAGATGAAAAGCATGAGAACAAAAGTGGTATTGAAGCGTAGATAAGACAATGAAGACGAGGGCGGATGCGGGGAATAGATAAGAGTACAGGTACAGTAATCAAACACTGAGCAGGCAAATTGTCTGACACAAGTGCCCTCATTTGGTTTTCATTTTCCCTTTGTCTCGCCATCCGTCGTTGGAACCAAAGCTGCTCATCCGCCCAGCATCAAATGATTCATTTTTTTTTCTTTCTCTTTTCCGGTCATTTAGTTCTTCATTCTTTCATTTATTTCTTCAAATGCAGCGTCTCCTTGATCTTGTCCATGGCCGAGTGGCGACGCTGAGGCTGTCCGCCGGGTCCCGCGCCGGTCTCAGTCTGTTTTGTCGCGTTGAGCGGCTCATCGCCCTCGTCGGGCTGCGTCAGCGCGTGGTCGCCGTGCGCCTTCTCAGGTGTTAATTTGTTAGCTGAGCCTCATGATTGGCTGGACATTACCTTTTGCTCCTCAACCTCGGCGTTGTGAATGAGGTCGTGGCCCTCAATGGCCGCCTCGTCTGTGATGCCGGTATTCGGGTTCATGGTGATGATGGGATATCTCAAGCTTCTTCAAATGTTGATAAGATTCACAGTTCCAGTTGCGAAGTCAATGGAGATTAAGCGTGCAAGTAGTGGCAAGGAGAGAAGCGAGCTGTCTTATAGCTCTTCGACAGCTCCCCAATCTGAGTTTTCGTCATATGGCGAGAGCTGGGTGACGGTCTGCTGGGAGTGGTTGCCATCAACGTCATGATGAGGGCCATCAGCCGCAGATTCTCGAATCGCAGCGCTGATACCCCGCCTTGGCTGCGCAGCCATCACCAGTTGTCAGGCGAGACAGTTTTCGAACAATGATGAACACCGTATGCCAAACCGGGTTTCGACATGCGCTGATCCGTGGCAATGCTACTGTGCTTCGTTGTCGATGTGCGCCAATTGTCCAATCGCGGGGGCTGAGACAGACGGTATGCGGATAAAGGCGAAGCTTTCGACTAGTAGGCGGATAGTGAATGAATGGAGAACGAATGATAGTCTGCTGTTCGCCGCATTTGGTATCGACGTTAGTGTTTCTATTGTTAAACGTCCTCGTGACCATTTGGTGTGGTGTCGGACTGTCTCGGAAGGCTGATGGATAGAGCATATCGACATATTTTATGATTACAATGGAGCTGATGGCTAAAAGAGTACATGTCTCTTAGTGTAAGCTCCTTGAGTCGTCTTAGAAGAGAACGACATGTGATATAAAAAATGAGAGCTCGATAGCAAATCAAGAGTAAAGCTTTTGAGAGTCTTTGATGTCGAATTCTGGGTCTAGAGGTGCATCACTTTCTATAACGTATGGCAGCCAAGGCTATGCTGTGCAACAGTGAGGATAGGCGGGCATCTTGGGTGACGCTTTACGTGTGCCCGATAAAGAGAAAATTGTGCAAGATGAGGTGTAGTTTTGGATCAACATCTGACAGCTATGGAGCCATAAATTCTGGACTGTCTATGAGACCATCATGTGGAGTTGGAGCGATGATCAAAAACGTAATGAAGAATTTCACTGATATCAAGGAAGTATGATGATATATATTGTATGATATGATACTGAGATTATGCTCGACAGAATGACAAGCGATGAATGTGTGGTGGGACACTCCATGATGCTTGAGATTGAATCTTCATGCATTCAATCACACGAGGGATCCTGCGCACCTCTTAAGCTCATACTGAATGAAGAATCCTGTTCTAAGTTGATACATTCATACACTTTTAAGAGCGGGTCCCTAGACCAAATCTAGAAAACTTCCAAGGACAGAAAGTCGACGTTGATACGTTCTAACCCTAACCCAGATCATTTGAAGACTAGGCCAACTGGATAACAGCCTTTGGGTGAACTGCCATTAGACTTTCCATCACTCCGCCGTCTCGTGCTAGGCATCAGTCACTCACCGGTCACTGCTATGGATCCAGGCATTCTTATAAAATCATGGGATATCTCACAAGTTCAACAGTCAATCTGGTGATGAAATCAGCTGGATGTACCATGGCGTTACATCGCGATGCCACCAGCCCAACGACGGCATATTGAGCCGCCCATGGCACCACTATACAGTTATAGACGTCGAGTATTCCCATGACTCAACTACTAGATTTCTACAGGAGAAAGAAGAAACTCCGCACATGATGTACTTGTCGGTGAAGAAAAGAGACTATTCCAGCTCATCCAAGACTCTCCAACACATCACTCACAGGCACGCGTTACTACAAAGAGAAGGTAAAGGACGCCAGAATCCAAAGAATTTCTATAAACATTGTTGTTTCCTGCTCCATTTTATATGCCTCATTGTTAAAAAGTCGGTCTCAGTTGAATCACATAAAAAAGGACCCTGAAATTAGTTGGTGCATGTGAAATGCCGCCACGTGAAGCCCAAGTGCCGAATCTCGAGTAAACTCGTGCTGCGAACGACTGGCTGGCTGACGCTCTTATTCATGCTGCGGGTGCCCCTCAGGTCTAGGCGATTTCCCCTTAGCGCCAACCGTACGCGTACCCCCGGGGACTCCAAGCGGAGGTCATCCACTGAAGTTCCCCCGTCGCCGCTAGTTTAGGGCCCCTCGACCGCTATAGTCCCTGCAGCACAAGTTGAATGCGTCCGTGCAGTCCTCTCACGTTGCCTGGGCATTTGACGATGGTAGCGCGATATCCCTCATTTATAGGGGGGGTTTGAGGCTTTATGCATATGAAATAAAGCAAGATGGATGGGCAGGGTATGAAAGTGCCGGCAGACTCGTGATGCCGTCGCTTGCGCAGGCGGGGAGCCGTGAGGTAACGACGCCATCACCAGCTTCTACCTGTACTATCCTGGACCTCTGTGGATCCGACCTCTCCATATAAGAGATCGATGACGACCGCTTCTCGCACACACTAGACTAACAGCCCATCTCTAAACAGCTACTAATCTGACGGCGTCTCGCTGCCGGATCTGCGGCCAAGTGAGAGGTTAAAACCATTCCCTTCCCCGTGTCACTCTCTTCACATCGCCAACAAGCAAGACCAAACCACACACAAGACACCGGAGCAAATGAGGCTCCCCTCACTATTTCCCGCAGCGGCCGCTGCCGTCGCCGCCCTCTCGCTCTTTTTCGCCACTCCGTCATCAGCCGCCGCCATTGGCGTCGCCAGTCCAAAGGCTCCTCGCGATGCGCTGCCCGGGACGATTTCCCTCGCAGACGGACAGTCGCTCCTCACGTTCAAGTACTCGACGCCGAACCCGGACCCGACAAACTGGATTGGCGTCTATGAGACATACTATGGCGGGCCCGACAACGAGGAATTTGTCGCAGGTTCCTTGACCTGGGCGTATGCGCCTGACGGCAACGGCGAGGTGCACGTCGATGTCTCAAGTCTGTCTGCTGGCTATTACAGGGCCTATTTCCTGGCCAAGGGTGGCTACCAGTGGCTTGCGAATCCCATCGACGTCATCGTGCCTGGCTCGGGGCCTATCGAGTTCATCAACGACCGCATCATCACCCAGAATGCCCACCAGGGGAGCCCTTTCAAGGCCAGGCTGGGCCGTCTGATTGCCAATCCCAAGGACAATCAGACCAAGTTCACCAAGGTCACCACTTACGGCACCGACTGGGTCAAGGTGGCCAAGGATGGAACCATCTCTGGGACGCCCGGCCCCAAGGACAAGGACACCAGCTTCGTGGTCAAGGCGACGGCCAGCGATGGCTCCTCCGCCACGATCCAGGTCCAGATTCCCGTCAGGGCCAAGAGCGAGCCGCTGGTGCGGGAACTCAAGGTCATGTCCTTCAACATGTGGTTTGGCGGCACCAACGTCAACGACTACCACAACAAGCAGGTCCGCTTCCTCATCAACACAAACGTCGACATTGTCGGTCTGCAGGAGAGCTGGAACGGCCAGGCAACTCGTCTCGCCCAGGCGCTGGGTTGGTACTACTGGCAGAGCCCCAACGAGGTCGGCATCATCAGTCGCTATCCCATCGTCGAGGTCTTCCCGGAGCAGGCCGCCGGCGGGTCGATCCGCATCGAGCTGGACGGTCGCAAGAGTCAGCTCATCATGTGGAACGTGCACTTGGGATACAATCCGTATGGACCATACGACTTCTGCTTCGACAACCTGCCTCTGGCCGAGGTTCTCAACCGGGAGTACCAGTCCGGCCGCACGCCGCAAATCATGGAGATCGTCAGCGCCATGCAAGATGCCCTTGCCGAGGCCGACGACATCCCCGTCCTCTTGACCGGCGACTTCAACGCGCCGTCGCACCTCGACTGGACAGAGGCAACCAAAAAGGCCCATTGCGGTACTGGTTTCGTCCCCTGGCCGAGCTCCGAGTTCCCCATACAGTCAGGCCTAATTGACTCTTTCCGTGAGGCGCATCCCGACCCAAACGCCGAGCCCGGCATCACTTGGTCGCCCATCTATCTCAACAACAGCGGTCGCCCCGAGCCATTGGATCGAATCGATTTTGTCTACCACAAGGGTCAGAGTCTCAAGGTTCTTTCGTCAGAAACCGTCGTTGCCGGCGAGCCCACCCCGGAGCCGAATCAGCAGAACAACGAATGGACGTCGGATCATGCCGCCGTCTTGACGACGTTTAGGCTGGGGCATTCCGACGAGGATGGAGAGCTGTGAGCTTTGTCCAGACAGAATTGTGGCTTCTGTCGTGCATTATATGGGAGTTTTGGGCGTGCCTTATCATTCTAGAGAAATACTATTGGGTGGCATTTGGATAGGATTGTCTTACTTTCGTACATGCGTCACGATCTTTGGAGTATAGCGAGCGGGGTAGATGTCCAGCGGCAGCGAGACATGCGTGCATGACTGGTCTTATTGTGTACATATGGGTGGACAGCTGAGTTAGACCTGATAAGATGAAGTGAAATATATGAGAACGAGTAAGATAGTACATGTCTATCTATATGTGTCAGGCCCACGATGTCTACGACAAAAGTGTCTCTCCCATTGCAGTGACAGTTCAACTGAGTTCTAACGACGAACCTCCGGTCAAGACAAGAGACAACGAAACTCAATATCAAGAACCAAGAGGGGGTGGATGATTCTGGAGCATAAAAAATGAATGAAGGGACTCCGGAAAGAGTTTAAAGAATCGGACGAGAGCAAAGACAATTCCAGGCAAAAAGCAAAAAATTGCGGCCTGTGTGGATCGAACACACGACCTTCAGATAACAGGTGATTGAAGTTGGAACTTCAGTCTGACGCTCTCCCAGCTGAGCTAAGGCCGCTAGATGAAAGTGGGTTGTCAACTTTAGACTATAAGCCTAGAGCCACAGCCTTGAACACAACCACCTGGGGAGATGATGAGTCTATGGTCATTGACAGAGTGGACGCATAGAGGCTCGACTTGAAATATCTAGATCAAGACGCAGTCATGTTGGATCTGTGTTAACCTTTTTGTACATGTGTGTGTGTGTGTGTGTGTGTGTGTGTGTGTGTATGTTCGGCTCCATGGCATGTACGTTGCGGTAGGTTTGAGACAAAGTAGTTCGAAATAGCCAGCGATATCTTAACCGCCTATCAATGGGACTCTCGCCCGAATCGAAAGTGGAATATGAGCGGCAGTCTGCCTAACCGCCCGTTTCATTGCTCGAGGCGCTTATATGTGCCTTACATGCTTGGAGCCCCGCCTGGTTAAACACGCATTCTAGCTTCAACCCCTATGAGGCAGCCAGCCCATTCGACATTCGTTCTGGCACAATTCTTTTATTTTCCGTTCGTCTTCTTGCAGAAGTCTCTGGCGCAGTATTTCTGACCGATGAGTTCTATAAGAACTGGCAACTTCAGCCTTCTGGCTACCATCACTGTAACGATTTTAACCTAGGTACTATCAGGTCTTGAGACGACTTACAGGATCGACCGCCAAACTCAAAGAGCAGATGGCTTGTAGTATATTGAAGAGGTAACAACGGCAATCCATCCATTCAAAACAGTCGGGATGACTTTGGCTGCATGTGGCGCTTCAGCTCAACATAAAAGATCGAATGGTAACTCCGAATGGCAGTCTACTCTTAAGTGGCTGTCCTGCATTTACCCCTGCTCGCTATTATGCACAGCCTAGTCATGTCTCCTCCTTCAATTTGTGAGGCCGAATGTTGTCCTCTCTTGGCCCAATGTCCGCTGGGTACAGATTCCCAAGCTCAAGTTCTTAACTCTCAGTTTAGAGGGGTATTGAGAGTATCATCGCCATGGGAACCATAGAGGATAATCACACAAGCCTTTTGGCTTTGATTACCACTCTTTTGACAATCGTTACCTATCACTTCGTCTTGCAACGACTTACACCATCGACTGTCAAACCTAAGGGAGCCCAAAAATCGAGTGTCGTACATAATTTGACATATCGGGTGATGGGTGTTCCTATTGACTGGGATCGCGAAAGACTGCGATTATTTTTGACGGCCGAAACGAACCTTGAAAGTCTGTCTATAAAGTCTCTCGCCCGTGAGGCAAATACCGACTTCCAGACAGCCACGGCCACATTGGGAGATGCTCCCTCCCATCTTCGAAATATCCAAAGTTGGCAAATTCGGATACCCAAAGCTCCCAATGCTCAACCATTTGGCGAGCAGCAATGGCTTGTTGTTGAAAGGGACTTTCTGGGCATAACGACGCTTTACGCACCGCCTCCGGACGACCACAAAGTCGAGTAAGCCGCTTGTGATTGATAGGACATGATGGCATTGGCTGACCGCATTCAGTGTCGTTGCATTATCTGGTCTGGGCGGCCATGCATTTGGATCATTTCGTGAGAGAAAAGGCACGCACATGTGGTTGCGAGATTCTCTTCCGGGGCATCTCACCTCAGAGGCTGATGGCAAGCCAATGGCGAGGGTCATGATCTACGGCTACGACTCGGCTGTTGCACAAAGCAAGAGTATGCAGAATATCGAGGACCTAAGCACAACGTTCCATAACAGCCTTCTTGCATCGGCGGGCTTCTCGCCAACCAGACCGATCATCCTTATCGGCCACAGCCTGGGAGGACTGATCATCAAGCAGGTAAGAGATGCCAACAAGCTGTCACCCTTGCTTCCTGCTATTAATTCACACGCGAATAAGTCTTTAATAACGATGTCGAGATCGCAAATCGTCGATGACCAAAGACTCTTTCGTTCCATATATGGCGTTGTGTTTTTCGGAACGCCACATGATGGGATGGACATCAGCTCCCTTATTCCCATGGTCGGAGACGGTCCAAACCGCTTCCTAATTGAATCCATGAATCGTATGAACTCACAGATACTGAGCATACAGCAACGGGACTTCCACAGGGCCCTTGGCAGCGAAGGCGATTCGGAAGTCTTCTGTTTCTACGAAACGGTCGAGTCTCCAACAGCGCAGAAAGTTGATGGCCAATGGAAAATGACGGGACCAACAACGATCCTCGTCACAAAGTCTTCGGCAACACACTGTCGTCCCTGGGAAGATGGAACAGAGCATATCTGTGCTATTGCTCGCGCTCATTCCGAAATGGTGAAGTTTGGACCCCACGATCACGAGTACAAGAATGTGAGAGAAAGGATCAGAAGTCTTTGTCGACGGGCTGTTAGGGCGAGGAGTCGTTTGCAAACAATAACAGCAAAGTGGGCGTACTGATAAACATCTGAAAACAATGACCCTAGCCGAGTATATATATGCTCCAATTTTCGTTCCGGACAGTCACACCCCGGATTCTGTAGGACGATCTGAAGTTCTGGATACAATCAAGCAGCAGCTCGGCCAGGGCGAAATTGTTCCCAGTCTCGAGAAGAATGTCACCTTTTGGCTTATGTGGCGCTGAGTACGGCTTTTTTTCCCTCATCTCCCTATTTATGAACTTCGGCAACCGTGTAACAGCACAATGCAATTGGCATTGGCCTACGTCTGTTGGCTCAAAGGTACACGCCCTGATATCTCAGTGTTCTGGGTCCGTGCCAGCAATGTCGATTGCCTCCGTGCAGCTCATGCTTCCGTCGCTGAGAATGCGATACTGCCGGACGAGGAGACCCTGACACTGACATTCTGCTGCCGGTTAAGGACTGGTTGTAGGAGCAAACTATGTAAATCACAATGGGTTCTGATCATCGCTAATGCAGGTGACATGGAATCATTTTTTCCTTCTCAGCGGCAAGATGATGTCGAAATATCGGATGTCGAAGCCCAGCGTAGCACCAGATTAGTTCGGTGCCTACTGAATTGCGACCATGGATATTATTTGATTACAACGAGGAATAAGCCAGCCGGGATCGGACATTGCCAAACATCCCGACTGAAGATCCAAAATGGCCGATGGCGAAGCACATTAGCTTCAGCTTGGCCAAAGCACATCAGTTTGCGCAAAGCATCTCTAAACAAAGCACATCTCCAGAGAAGCGATCTTCTCTGTCAACCAGACTCGAACGTCTGCCTCCTGCTCTTGCACAAGCAACATCATTTATTTATTGGAAAAAAAGCATATCTTAAGGGGATTACATGCAATTATTGGATGAAGGAGATGCTACATGTACCTTCTTTGAGCGCTGAGCGAGCCCTTCGAAACTGTGGGAAGAGACTCAGAGCATACCCTTGGGAGCATGTCAGTCGAGCTCGAAAGCCATTGGGCGTCCTCAAAGCCTTCTCATTCATCTCAAAAGGGAGGGGATGGAGCATAAATACTCACAGTTTGGCTCAGCTAGTCCCACAAAAGTGGCTCATCGATAAGAGTTCGTTGTATGAAGCATTCATTGTATGAACCATTTCAAACGCGTATGGGCTGCTTTCCCGCACGCAGAACCAGGTGACTATGAGAGATGCCTAAAATATCTCTCTGATATGCTGTACTATTTGATTCCTCGTCTACTCTTGCGATGCCATTTAAAGTGAACATTTCGTCATGTCTCCTAGGTGATTAGAATTAAACGTCCTTCTTTCAAGATCCCATGGAAATGGTGTTTTTGATGGCTGATTACGAGAACACTACGGAGATAGCTGATGGATTTAACAAAGACCTTCCCCTTTCCCAGTCGTATGATTGGTTGTATGGAAGAACTACAACTACTCTTTCAGATCTAGCTGCATTTTATACCTGCGGCGCTGACCTCATGGCGCTTCCCAGTCTCCCTGTCTTATATCTGACTGAACCAGCGTGCCGGGATGTAAGCTTTCTGAAGCCAAGATATATAAGCGTCGATCTCAGGTGTTAGTTCAAATGTTCTTGAGCAAACTACATCAAGTGCTGTTTAGCACAAAAATATCTCTTCATAACCCTCCTCAAGCGCATCATGTCTTCCAAACTCATTCGCATTGCGCTGGTTGGGCTCTCAACCCACGCCACCTCATCTTGGGCGGCAACAGCTCATCTGCCATACCTGCTGTCTCCGCGAGGCCAGACTCAATATAAAGTTGTCGCTCTTCTCAACTCCAGCCAAGAGGCAGCTGAGAAAGCTCGCTCCCACTTCAATCTCCCCTCCGACGTCAAGGCATACGGCGACCCCGCTCAACTTGCTGCTGACGATGAAGTCGATCTGGTTTCGATCGTTGTTCGATCTGATAAGCATTATGCTACCGTTGAGCCATCATTTCGAGCAGGAAAGGCTGTCTATGTGGAATGGCCCCTGACTGAGAGCTTGGAGCGCAGTCTTGCTCTAGTGGGCAAAAGGGATGGCCGTGACAGAAACGTCATTGGCTTACAGGGACGACTTTCACCGGTTGCCGCCAAGGTCAAGGAGTTGATGGCGTCTGGCAGACTTGGAAAGGTTCTCAACAGTCAAGTTCGAGGCTTCTTCGCCATGGGCTTGGGGAAACAGCCGGGCACGCTCCTCGAAGGGCCTATGGAAGAGATGTTCAGCACGCGAGGGATTGGAGGCAACCACTTCTCCATCGGGTATGCACACATGGTTGATCTTGTGCACTCTGTGCTGGGCGAGTTCAAGGACTTTCACAGCCAATTGCAGATTCGGTGGCCAGAGGTTGTTATTGTCGACAAAGATGGGGTGCAGCTGCGTACACGAAAGAATGATGTTCCCGATTTTGTAAGTGCCCATGGAGTGCTCGCTCCCGGCGCCGCAAACATCCAAGACGGGGCGACTCTGTCTGTGCTGTACAGAAGCGGGAAACAATTCAAGGGCGAACTCCCCTTTGTGTGGTATATCCAGGGTCAGACCGGAGAGCTGAAGATTACAAGTCCCATTGGACCAATTCTCCAGGCGGCCACGGTACCTGGTGTCAAGATTGAGCTTCACGACTATAAGACGGACGAGGTGACGGAAATTGAGTGGGAGTCGGAGTGGAAGGACTGGCAGAAGGAGCTGGCAACGCCGGGATGCAAGTTGGTGGGAGACATGTACAACCGATATGCCCTGTGGTATCAGCAGGAGGACAAGGATGCGGCTCCAGTGGGAGGAGAGTGGCCGACATTTGATGATGCTATTCGCAGACACGAGGAGCTTGACAGGATGCTGAAGGATTTTGACAAGACTTCTCAGAGGTAGATGGATGATGTTATAGAAGAGTATTGGTTGTCAAAAGTTTTCCAGCCTTGGTTTTTCTTTCCCCTCATAACGAGAAGAAGAATTGATGAAAAAGAAAGATAAACTTGTCAGGGAGTCGTTCCAATGTTGACAGCATGAAGCCTTCGCAATGTGAAGTCTGTCATGGTAAAGGCAAGCGGCGAATCAGCTGCAGGTATTCGGGACTACACTTGATGATGTGTAACAAAAGAAGCATAATTGGCTGCAGTATGTTATATAATTGATACGTGATATTGTCATTGGATTCCAATGGCCGTGGCTTCTGAGGGAGAATATTGCCTGTAGGTTATGTTGTTTGCTTCAAGTTCCAAGTTGAATGTCTGAGTGCAGCTTACAAGATGTGTAGCGCTATAAATACGGAGTATAGCGGCACCCGTTTCAGCTGCTGGACCCACACCAAGAGCCCTGACGTAAGAAAGTCCAAGCTCCATCAATTCTTCAGAGCTTCAACCTTTCAACTTCTTTACCATTCATCGCAATCGAAGGTCCATTGTCGCAGCACCATGGACGGGCTGGACGAATTTGAGAAGAACCTCGCCGCCGAAAAGGCCGAGCGCGACAAGTCAGAGCGCGACCAGGAGCGGCGCCACCATCACAGTCACAAGCACCGGCATCATCATCGAGAAGAGCGAGACAGAGACAGAGAGAGAGATCAAGATCGCAATCGAGATGGCGAAGAGCGACGCAGACATCGCCATCGTGACAACGAGAGAGACGGAGACCGCGATAGAGATAGAGAGAGGCATAGAGACAGGGGAGACCGAGACAAGGACAGAGACGACCATCGCCGTCGCCGACACCACAGCGAGCACGATGACGATGATCGACGGCACAAGAGGAGACGCGACGACGACGATGCCGACGAGGGACGAAAGCGGCGCCATCGAGAGGAGAAACCCCGTGATCACAAGTCATCAGACGACAACGCCGACCAAGAGAGAAAGCCCAGCGACGACGCAGAATCAGGATCAAAACCGCTGGAGCGCGATGCTTGGATGACGGCGCCGTCCGCCTTCGAAGTCGAGCATGTCCACCGCCCTGGGCAGAACAAACCCCGATCGCCGACACCCGAACCTCCCAAACGAGTGATACACCATCGCGAGCTCAACAGTGGCCACCTCGAGGACCTGAACAGCGGCAAGGCGCCAGCAAACCAGGAGCAGCCATCCAAGAGGACAGTCGACTACACATTTGGCGACGCGGGCTCAAAGTGGCGAATGACCAAGCTGAAGGCCGTTTACAATATCGCAGAGGAAACAGGGCAACCCGTCGAGGAAATTGCCCTGAAGCAGTTTGGTAGCCTGGAGTTCTTTGATGACGCTCGCGAAGAGCAGGAAGAGATGGAACGGAGGCGACTGTACGGCGAAGACGCCAAAACCAAAGACAAGCCTACGGGCGAACTCTACAACGAGCGGATGAGAAACCTGAGGGGTACAGAACCCGTCATTCAAGACGTTCGTCAGGGCAAGATCTTGCAGGAGAATCCTGTTCAGCCTGTCCCAATCCCAATGGACCAAACAGCGCTGAACAGACTGCGCGCCCAGATGATGAAGGCAAAGCTACGGAGAGCCCCCAATGCCGCTCAGCTGGAAGAGGAGTACAACCGTGCGGCAGCGGCAGCAGCCACCCGCATCAACGCACCTGAAGCTGTCGTCCTGGGCGTCATGGAGAGTCGTCAGCTCGCCGGCACTCGTGGCGAAGTCAAGGCCGTCGACAACAAGCGCGGCCGTGAGCGCGGCCTCGTTGAAGAAAACACCGACATGACCATTGAGCAGATGCTCCAGGAAGAGCGCCGGACCAAGGGCCAAGCAGGCGGCGAAGGCCTGCGCCTGGCCGAGCGCATCGCCAAGGACGCCAAGTTCGACGACGATCTCGAGTACATGGACGAAAACGCCGAGAAGCTGGCCAAGCGCGTGCACAAGAGCGAGGTCAACCTCAAGAACATGGCCGTCAGCGAGTTCCAGAAGATGAATCGCATCCTCGAGAACTGCCCGCTGTGCCACAAGGAGGACAAGGGCCTGCCGCCGATTGCGCCCGTCGTCTCGCTCGCGACGCGGGTGTTTCTGACGCTGCCCACCGAGCCGGAGATTAGTGAAGGAGGGGCAGTGATCGTGCCTATTGCGCATCGGAACAACTTACTCGAGTGCGACGATGACGAGTGGGAGGAGATTCGGAACTTTATGAAGAGCCTCACGAGGATGTATCACGATCAGGGCCGGGAAGTCGTCTTTTACGAGAATGCTGCTGCGCCGCAACGGCATATGCATGCCGCCATGATGGCCGTCCCTATCCCTTATGACCAAGGCGCCATGGCACCAGCCTTCTTCAAAGAGGCCTTTCTCTCTTCCGACGAAGAATGGTCTCAGCACCGCAAAATCATCGATACGGGCGCGAAAGCCAAAGAGGGCATGGGCCGATCTGCCTTCCGCCGGAGCATCGCCAAGGAGATGCCCTACTTCCACGTGTGGTTCACGTTGGATGGTGGGTTAGGTCACATTGTCGAGAATGCGGACCGGTGGCCCAAGGGGGATCTTTTTGCGCGAGAGGTTCTGGGCGGAATCGTGGATGCTGATGCGCATATCATCAAGAAGCAGGGGCGGTGGGCGAAAGTTGATCCGAGGGTCGATGGGTTTAAGAAGGAGTGGAGGAAGTTTGACTGGACGAGGGTGCTGGCTGATGCTTGAATGCCTTCAGCGTTGTGTCTGATGGTGTGTTGTAGGTTTCATGTACGTGAAGAGCAAGAAGGGATCTGATTAGGGTCGTCGTACGGGTTTATAAAGCTGATGAGCCAAGGTGAAGCTCATTCATAACAATTTGGGATGTCAATATATCAGCAAGAATAGAAGCTCGGTATTAACAAAATGTCCATCGCCATGTACGCTGATAACAGATCAGACCTCGACATGAAAACGCGCGATTAAGTAGGTGCATGTAGTATACACAGTATAACAGACAGAGATCTAAAGCAGCAAGATGGGTTCATCGCATGTTTCTCATACCTAGGTAGGCAACTTTCCTCCTCTTTCATCTCCGTATATTCTTCGGGGGGGTATCTTCATCCTCTTTCTCCGTTCTCTTTTTTCGCAAAAAGGAATCAGCCATCTGCCGACCAGATCTTCTCTAAAAATCCAGCGGTCCAAGACTTTCGTGTTTTGTACAAGTCCAACTCCCATATTCCAGCTTCCCAGATTAAAAAGATGGTAAATGATTGTAGAGAAAAGAATCAGCCTCGCTCATATGGCGAGGCTTTATAAAGAATCAAATAGAGGTTGCTGTTGTTTCACCTCGCTGGAGCTCCTTTTCGTCCCCTCTCGCGCTCTTTCGATGCCTCCGCTTGATAGTCTTCCCACTCCCTGCTAATCTCCATCAGCACGGAGCCCATTACCGTGGCGCTGGCCATCAGTCCGTGGCCCTCTCCCTCGAGCACGCGGACTTCGCACCGACGCATCGTCTTGCCCAGCCACTTGACATTCTCGACAGGTACTCTGGTGTCCCTGCTGCCGTGGCGAATTATCACGGGGCGCGTAATGTCGACGTAGCGGAAGCCGATGGTATGCCGTCTTTCCAGGCAGACGAGCAAGTCCACTGCTGGGTTCGCGTTCGTCGTGGCAAGATCCCAGATGGCGTGTGTTAGTCGGATATCGTACGTCTGTTGTCGCTCCTTTTCGGCTAGAGGATCTACTTCAGGAGAGAAGCTTGACGATTGGCCGTCCGGGGGAAGTTGGGGCAGCGCCTTATCTGTGCCATCCGTGGCACCGGAGACTGCTGAATCTTCGGTGGCAAGCGTGCCATATGAGTCTTTGCCATCTGCGGCATGATTGATGTTCTCCTTATCTGCAGATGGCGTGGCATTTCTGTTGCTGTGGCTGTCTTTCTGCCCCGTTTTCCGCTTTGTCCGCTTGGTATTCTTTGGAAGGGAGCTTGTGATCGACGAGCTGGTCGCCGACATGAAGCTGCTATTAGCCGCCTTGAGGAACGAAGTAGGCAGGACCCGTAGAATTCTCTGAGCCGTTGGAAGCGTGTGCGATGGCGGCATGACCTGAGATGACCCAAAGACATTCATCTGGGAGGGCGGAATCCATGGCGCAAGGAGGTGAATCTTGCCTCGAATGTGCTGGGGCATGCGGAGAGCTGTGGCTAGGGCGTAGATGGCGCCAGCCGAGTGAGCCATGAGGGAGAACTTTGTGATTTTGAGCGTCTGGCAAATGGCATACACATCATCTAGAAAAGGTCAGTAAGCAGGCTTTTGAAACAGGTGGACAAACAGCACTCACCGGGCCAACTGAGGGGAGTGCTTGTCCCGTCAGTATAAGGCTCGCTGTCTCCCACTCCAGGTCGGTCAGGCGTAATGAGGCGAAGCCTGAGCGTCAGCGCCAGCTCGTCGTAAAACGCAGTGATGTATCTCGTCAAGCCCATTCCCACACAGCAGAAAACGGCGGAGCCCTCGGGGTCTCCGACTTCTGAAAATGAAATGATGCGACCAGTTTGAGGATGCCGAATCTTCTGAGACAACCGCGGAGAGCAAAGGTAAGATTCAACCGCGTCATCGATGGAATCGGCCGACTGGGGTCGCTCGTAGCCCGTGGGCTTGGTGGACTGAATGGGCTCCTCACTGGTTCGCTTGGTCTCGTGCGGACTCGGACTGAGAGGCGCAGAGAGGCGCTTCAGCCTGGAGCTGCTGCGCTTCAGTTTGAGCGCTTCATTGGGGCTGGGGAGTGTACGGGTAGAGAGCCGGTGGTCTTTGCGGTCAAACTCATCCCGCCGACGCCCTTGTGAGACTGAGGGGAAGGGGGCTCCATCGTCCTCGAGCTCTTCTTTCTCTTCCGCGATGTAATCCACGCTCAGGTAGGTGCTAGACGCTATCCGCCGTGGCTTATGGTGAGGCTTGTCCTCCTCGTGTGAATATGTCTTGCCCGTGTCTGAGCCTGAGCGACGATGCTTCATTTTCACCGAGTCGCGGTGGCTGAAATCGGCAGTTTCAAGCATTTTCTCGCTCACGGATAGGTCGCCGTCCTTAGCTGATCGTCGAACGCTGGATCGCTTTCTGCTGGAGCTCGAGTTGCGTAGACTGGAATCGCGAACCGGAATGTGATGCAGGCCGTCTCCCAGCAGTGAATCATACGCGGTGACCGTCGATGGCTCTTCGGTAATGGCGCCTCCCACGAAGAAGTTGTCCGTCTTGCTTCCGCTGCTCGCTGGTGTTGTTGCGACAGGGGTAGAAGAAGCACGTTTCCTGTCAAGCTGCGGCTCGCGAAGGTGCTCTTTAGAGCCCATGTAACTGAGCACCTTGCTGGCCCGATTCGACTTTTTCCCCCAGCTGTCGAGCGAGCGGCGTGGCCTAAGCTCCGGATGCGGCGCAGAACCACGCTCTACAGACAGGTTTCCGATGCTGCGCGCATCATCATTTTTGGAGGCAAAGGAGCCCGTTGACGACGGGCGAGAGCTTGCGGCACTTCGTATGAAAGATCTGAAGCCGCTCTCGCGACTGGTGCTGCGGTGGCTGCGAGGGCTTTGCGGCGCGGTTAGCGGTGAGAAACCGCTCGGAGGCTTCGAGGTGCGAATCACAGGTGGGCTCGCAGCAAGGTCGTCGAGGGAGAGTCCGCTGTAGTCGTCGTGAAGCGAAGGCTGCTTGTAGGCTCCGTAGTCGACGCCGAAGCTGCCAGAGCCGCTCCTGGAGCTGCGGCCTAGATCGGGGCTCGTCGGTAGGGAGAGACTGGTGGCCAGGCCGGAGTCGAAGTGGTGGTTGGCAGGCTCGGCAATGGCGCTAAGGCTGGTGATGAGGCTGGAGATGATCTCGGGGCTGCCAGGCTGGATGGCGTATCGCTTGCGGTCGGCGGCGGTCGGCGTGGTCGAGATGCGATTGCGCTGCGAGGGGTGAACACGATGGGCGCGCGGCGGGATAGGGGGAGGCATGGCATCTATGGATGAGCGGTCCATGGCGGGCAGCGGGCAGCCGCAGGGCGGCGACTAGGTGCGTCCAACGAGCTGGACGGTCTGCCAGTCTCCGGGATGTGACGGTGAGTGTCTCGCCTTGTCGCAGCGTCAAATTGGCGCACACGCAGACGCAGCCACGCTTTTCTGGCCCCGGCGGCGGCAAACAAACCGTCTGGGAGTGTCTCTGCTGTGCATGAATCCCTTCCCCCACGCACGCTCTCTCACACACTGACTCTCACGCAGTGCAGCCGGTCTAGCCAATGCAGGCAAAGCGGTCTCGGAGAGGCAAGACAGGAGAGAAGAAGAAAAGAAACAAGGAAGAGCGAGTCCAGCGTGGGACGGCTTGCGCTCGGATGCCGCCAGAGGGACAACCCAAGAGGAGGGCGGAGACACGAAGACGGGCGGTTGCGAGCTTGGACCGTCTTGCTCGAGAATAGAGGCAGGGAGAGTGCCTGGCAGGCGGCTAGCAGATCAGCTGCATGCGTTAGCTCTTCGTCTGTTTGTGCTCAGAGAGACGCAAGTAAGGCGGTATGTAGTATCCAAGTCAGTTGGGGGCCGAGAGAAAGAGAGTCGTACCAGGTTCACGATGCGATGCCGTGGTCTGATATGGGTCTGGATGTCGAGACACCTCACACAGAGGCACAGAACCGCACAAGCCCAAGGAACAAAGAACCAGCACGAGCACAGAGCACAGAGCACAACTGAACAGCACGCACAGAGCAGACAGAGGCCAGACACAGCTGGGGGCAGATTCCACGAGCGAACCAGAACAAGCAAACAACAGCTCGCAGCTTGGTGGGAGATTTGACAGAAGCTCAACTGATGATGAGCCGGCCCCCTTTCGACAGCTGCGGCCCACTCCCCAAGCAATATCACCAAGCGCTGCAGCCAGGGCCAGGGTCTGGTTGTAGGATTTTTCTCCCACGAGAACCCCTGCGGCTGAAGAAGCGATCGAGCATTGATTCGACCGTGACGAACGGGCTGGAGACGGAGCCGCGGCCGCTGATTCGGCGGCGGGAGCAGGGGTGTCCAAATTGATTTCTTGTAGTCTGGTGGAGAAGATGGAAGAGAGACGACAAAGAGGGACGAGACAGGGGTTGAGGGCATTCGGGCTCGGCTGCACGTTGACCCCATTCCGGGCGTCTATGTACGAGTGTCCGCCTGCAGCTCTGGGACGATGGATTGGAAGCTCTTTGACGAAGCTGCAGCCGTGCATGACAAGTGCATCTACAAGAGGCCAATCGGGGACTTGAGCGTCGCATTGGAAGAGATGCTGACTCTTTGTTGTAGATTTGTCCACTTCCAACTCGTCATTATACAGGGTCTGGGCCTGGGATTTGTGCGACTGTGGTGATACACGCAGTGACACGCCAAATTCACCCCCTACAAGCGAGGCAACTTACTGGACAACAACTGCCGATCTCCAGCAGGAAACAATTAATGAAAGGGTTGAACTGAGATGAGCAGATGACATCAATGCAATCATACGTCTCTATTCAGCATCAACCGACGTCGCCGAGCATCCTTGTTGCTGTCAGATGAAATTGCCATCGTACGGCTATTCCGATCAGGTGGAGGCTTGAGGGGAACCTTGAGCCCTCGTCATCGTATTCGAGAAGCTTTCTCTGTCCGAAGAGGTGACGTCTAGAATGAAGCATTTCCAGCAGCTGGTTTCTCGTATTACCTTACTCAATGTCTAAGACGTATCCGACTACTCGGAACTTGAGGGAGTAATTCAGGCTGCTGACTGCTCACTGAGCAAAGTTCAATGCTGACTTACCCGGGATTGCTCCAACTCATACTGAAATTCAGTATCTGGGCTGATGGACAACAATGTCATATTACAAATGTCAAATCATGCTTTCCGTAGCTGAATCCCATTTGATCGAATTGGTTATAGATGCTTCACCAGTAAGACTAAGAAACACACCGCCCTTGATAGACGCAGACGAAGCCCAGTTGACTTATCCAACTTGAGTGGCTTACACTGTCACATTCCTCCTTCTTACAATCGGACATGGCATCTACTGCCCCGAACTAGTATAGCGCCTAAGTTGTCGCCGTAAGATCTTGGTCTGCGGAGGAATAAGATCTCGTCGGCCATTCAACGATGACGAATTCTAACTTCGTGGAGTTGCAATACAAATGGCCTTGTTCCATACAAAACCCAGGGTCTTAACAGCAACCCTTCGGCTTTTAAAAACATGTGTCCAAATAGGGCTGGCAGCTGTCGACGATCCTTCAGACAACTACGACCCTAATTCGATCGCCGACGTAACTTGATTCTCATTGACAATGAACGCACCGCCCACCTTCTCCTTTGTGAGCTACGACAACCACAGAGTTCCCCAGGATCCCAAGTTGCGCACCTTGATCCGCCGACATGCCATGCGAGATGTGGCAACTACCAGGAAACAAAGGGGGAACTATCGCGGCAATGTCATCCAGTATCCCGAATCAGCCCTGGCTGGAGAAGAAGAAACGATGCCATTTCGTGGCTCTAATGACCAGCCTATCAAAGGAGGTAAAAGACGGTTAACCAGGCACAAGTCATCAAAGATGAATTCGACAGATGAACATGAACAGATCAATAAGCACCAACTTGCTTGTCTTCATACGATATTCGTGGATAGCCTGGAACAACAGATGAACACGAGATTCCCCATCCTGGAACTTATCGCGCCATTGACAAGCCTGCATCTCGGCTTCGCCACCATCTCCTGCTTCACTTCTGAAGCCGGGAAGACTGGCGATATTCTCTCTGCATTTCCACTGTCCCATTTACAGAGTCGACGGCTTCTGTCCTACTTGCCTAGTCGATACGGAAAAGTCTCTGCGTTGACTTATACCGTCGACTGCCTTGTGGCGAGACTCGATCAGATTACCCGGGTCTCCTTTGCATCTTGTGCCTCTGAAGAAGAAAATCGCACAGTCTTTTGCCATTACGCAAAGGCTCTCAAGGAGATACAGAGGGCAATCGATGATGAGGCCCTCCGTATGTCTCAAGAGACATTGTACGCCACAGAGCTGCTAGGAATATTTGAGGTGTGGCGCCGTCGAGATGAAGTCCTTTGTTTGATGGTGCACTGAGTTCGTTTGCTCACCTAATAATTTTCTGTCTTACACAGCTTCTGAATCCTCAACCGGAGATGAAATCTTGGATATACCATGCGGGAGGCGCTGCCCGGCTGATTCAGCTCCGTGGCCCCGATAGGTTCCAGTCAGACTTTGAGTTGGCCTTATTCATGGCACACATTGGCCCAATAGTCAGTCACTTCGTCTTCGAGATCCTCACTCAGGTACACTCAACTAATATCATCGTCTCGCAAGGTCACCGAAGCCTTCCTAAACAACAAGAGCTGTTTCCTCACTGAAGAACCATGGAAAAAACTTCTTCATACCGCCATTTGCAACGACCCTTCAATACCGTCAGAACAGAGTGAGCTTATATACGAGTTATGGAGTAGTCTGATATACGGGCCAAACATCTTCAAAACTGTCACCGACCTCGTCCTGGCTCCCGTGGAACCCCCGCCGTCCGTCATAGAGTTGACAATCAGGCGTATTCAAAGGGATCTGGATCACTTGACTATGTGGGAAGGGTTGCTTCATGATCAACAGTCTGCAACAGAACGAATCTGCCCAAAGGGTCAGAAACCGAATAAACCTTCCGATTGGGGCTCTTCAAGGAGATACATGCCGTGGCAGATATTACGGGGCACTTATACCATGTGCAGCATACTAAAAAGGCGGCTCTTGACTTCTCTTGCGCCTTCTCAGTACCCTCACATGGAGGAAGAGTGCCAAGCCTTGGCTGAAACGGCTATGGGATTGGGTCACAATGTATTCAACGCAAGCAAGGAGAATCGCCTTCCGTGCGGACTGTTCACGGCGCAAACCGTCTGGGTGGCGAAAGCGGTTATTAACACGAAGGGCGTATGGAGCGAAAGCAAAGCAGTTATAGACAAAGTTGAGGTACTTGGAGGCTATGAGAGGACAATGATTGACAAGTGGAAGTTTAGGATGTGGTGTCAAGGGCTTGGGAGAAAAGAAGTATAAGCTGTTACTCTGTTAAGTCAGAGCCCGACTAGATAATTGACAAGACTGAAAATCGCAGGATCAAGGCCTGGCATATACTCTGCATCGATCACTGTACAATCAGCATATTCGGTAACTATCGTTCTTATGAACTGAATGGTACTTTTGTACTTTTTGCCTTCAAACACGAACGCAGCGGAAAGATACAGATGTAGTCCAGGAACTCAAGGCCGGTGTTGAGCTACTGAAATCATCTGGCAAGTCCCTGCTCAAGGCACTGCTTCAACGTTTTATCAACCCCTCCAAAGTAATCTTTGCAACGTCAGTATACAATGTCAGAAAGAAAACCGTACCCGTTAAGTTGACTTACCCAAAACTTCCTTCTTCAGCTTATCCGGAATATCCACCAACGTCGGAAGGATATTATGCAGCAACTGCTCCTTGCCATCTTTTTCCTTGCACATAATCTCCCAAAGCTTGCGAGCCTGCTCATAGTCCTTGTCTGTAAAAGACGTCGAATACGGAATCACGCGTCCCTGCCAGTGCTCGTGCGTCGGCATCGTCACCCTCTTGCTCTGCGCAACGGGACGCAGCTGCGAGAAGATGTAGTCTGGATCGCTGCCGTAGTTGCCGTTCATGGTGCCCGGGCCGTCGCGCACGTAGGGGGCGTAGACCTTGTTGATGGGGCGGTTGGGCGGCAGTTGGAAGTAGTTTGGGCCGACGCGGTATCGGTGGGCGTCTGGGTAGCTGAACATGCGTGCTTGAAGGACTAATTTATGCATTTTAGTGGTGTTGTTTATGTAGATGGCTTTGAAGGGCTCAAACCTGGATCAGCTGAGGGTCCGACGCCTGGGACCATGTTGGATGGCGAGAAGCAAGCCTGCTCAATGTCCTGGAAATAGTTGTCCGGCTGCATTGATTCAACGTCAGTTCTGTCCTCATGAGGCACGAAGACGAAGTGTCACGAGTATAGGCGACCTACGTTCTTATTCAGGGTCAAGCGGCCAATACGGCGAAGGGGATACTTGTCATACGGCCAAGTATACGTGCAGTCAAAGATGTCAATGGGCGCCGACTCGACGTCTTCGGGCTTCATCACCTGCAAGCTCACTGTCCAAGTCGGATAATCACCCTTGTTGATGGCATTGAAGAGATCTTTGACGTGGTAATCGGGCTCTTCGCCGGCGAGACGGACAGCCGTCTTGGAGTCCATGGTCTTGACTCCCTCCTCGGGCTTGAAGTGCCACTTGACGTAGACAAAGCTTCCATCCTACATCTTGTCAGGCTCCTGCGTTTTCAGTGTGTATCTCAAAATGTCAACTCACCGATTTGTTCAAGGTATAAGTGTGAACGCTGAAGCCATTGATGTTCCTCAAGGAGGCCGGGATTCCGCGCGGCCCAAACAGGTGCATCAAAGCATGGATGCCCTCGGGGTTGTTCTTGTGAAAGTCCCAAAACATGGTGTTGTCAGGAACATTGGTCTGAGGGTGCCTCTTGTGGCTGCGGTTCATGGACGGGAACTTGATCGGATCCCGGATGAAGAAGACGGGAAGATCATTGAGAACAAAGTCCTGGATACCCTCTTGGGTATAGAACTTTATTGCCCAGCCGCGGATATCGCGAACGGTGTCACTGGACCCCTTTTCGCCGCCGACTGTCGAGATGCGAGTTAGAATCTTGGTTTTCTTGCCGATGCCATTGAGGAAGTCTGCATCAGTGAGGTCGGAGATGTCATCCGTGACTTCAAACTCGCCAAAGGCACCGGCAGCCTTTGCATGCACGCTCCTGTGACAATAATAGTGAGCTATAGGCTCTTTCAAGTGAAGATGAATGATGTTCCTATCCCTACCGCTCTGGTATACGTTCACGGGCGAAATGGGCGAGGACTTCAATGGTTTGGGTGTCGCTCAGGACGACCAAGCCACCATTGGTGTTGCCATAGCGAATTTGCCGCACAACGCCTGGGCCGGAACTTGGCTGGCCTAGAGAACATAGAGTGAGCTTGCATGATGATAGTGTTGAGGGGTGGAAACAGTTGGGCTGATACATACCATTGGCGAGGGTGACAACAGGATTGTTTGAATCGTCCGAAGTCGACTATGATGAGAGTAAGCAAGGAGTCTTCTTACAAGCGATGTAGAGACTATAATTCACCATGGTGCTTCCAGTTGCAACAGTTCACCTCGATAAAATATATTAAAGGACTGTTAATGCCTTGTCCCCCATCATAAACCCGCCAGAATAAGATGCCCTTTTGTAACACGAAGACGACTCTTCAGCCCGTCACTCAGAGTTTCATTCCATCATTCCATCATCTTCATCTTCACCGTCGATACATCAATGGCTGATCACCCCGCACTGGTTCTTGGCTTTTCTGCTGCCGGTGCAGCCGACTCCCGATATGTGATGAGATCCTCCAACACACGAGATGCAGCTAAGGAGCAGAGTTCAGCTAGCGCTTGGAGCTGAGCTGGGAGCGAGAAACGAAGCACAGATTCTGCACCAATCCGATGCTGGCGAGCTTGTGAAGCTCAGCAAGCCACGCTGTGCCGGAGAAAGCATATCTCAAATCGCTTCTCGTTGATTGGATCAATCGGTGTGCTATGTTCGGCCATTTCGCTCCTTCAGATACTCCGACGACTTGTGGCACGTTTCTTTCGCACCAAGATGACAAGAGGCGCCGATGAAGCTCGCTGCGGGATGAACGGGATATAAGTGGGTGTGGGATTGCTTTCATGCCCCGGCCGGCCAGACTGTGAGACGTGCTACCGAGCAAAACTCTCACTCTCAATTCATACTCAACAGTCAAGATGGCCGCCCAGGTAGCTAAGCCTCACGTCGAGGTCAAGACGACCAATCGTCCCGATGAGTGGAAGATTGAGCAAGGACTTGCTGGGGCCGAGCTCCCGGTCCTTGATATGACGAAGGACCAGACGGAGCCTCTGATTCCTCAAACGTTTGGCCCTACGACTATAGATCGGGAAGCGATCAAGTCTGTGGGCGACCCTAACAAGCTGTTCACCAGAGAGAGAGAAGGCTGGACGGGGTAAGTCATATTCTCAGGACATCAAGGGAAGGGCTGTAAGAGACTGACATTAATGCCTTCAAGGTTTGTCGAGTGGGAGAATTATCCCGAGAAAAAGGCAGCCGCTCACAAGATCCTGACGTCGCAAACCTTCCCCCCTAATCCGGAATTCCAGCTCGGTCCCATCCCCGGAACCAATCCTGTTCTTCCCGGCACTCACTGGAAGATGTGGCATCATGCCGTTGGTGGCGAACTCACCAACATCCCCGAAGACTCTTGGTCCACCGTTCTCAAGGAGAAGCATCCCGACATGCTTCACCTCTTGCAGTTCCCGTACAATGGAGAGCCTCCCAAACGCCTGGTCACCGACAAGGAGATCACCCCTAATCCTCTCCATTTTGTGAGAAACCACGGAGGGATCCCTCTGATTGACAAGGACAAGTACAGCTTCGTCTTGGATGGTCTCGTCGCGAAGCCACGCGAGTACACCCTAGACGACCTTATGGACGAGTCGAGGTTTCCGCGCATGGAAAAGATCATTACCATGCAATGCTCTGGAACGCGCCGCATTGAGCAGATTCTTAAGTATCCCGGCCAGGGCGATGAAGTTCCCCAGGCGCCATGGGCAGAGGGCGCTATTGGAACTGCTCGGTATCTTGGAATTAGCCTCAAGAAAGTGATCAAAGAATGCGGAGGCCTTATTGACGGCGCCAAGCACCTCGAGTTCTACGGCGCCGACACTTACTTCAAGGACGACAAGACGATGAACTATCTCGTCAGTATCCCATGGTCCAAGGTCAAGGCAAACGAAGTGATGCTCGCCTGGGAGATGAATGGCGAGCCTCTCCCCGCCATCCACGGGTTTCCTCTCCGCATCATGGTCTTTGGCTATATCGGCGCCCGGAGTGTCAAATGGCTCTATCGCATCAAGGCCATCAAGGAGCCTTCTCGAGCACCGGTCCAAAGCCAGGAATATCTGTACTTCCCCCAGCAAGTCGGCAAGCACAACTTCAAGCTCACCGACGGCATTCAAATCCAGGAAATGCCCGTCAGCTCCGCCATCATGTCGCCGTGGCACAAGCAAGTCTGCATTCACAACGGCAAGATCAGGTGCAAGGGCTGGGCGTACTCTGGCGGTGGACGGTGGCCTGAGCGAGTTGAGCTGTCATCTGACGGGGGCTTCAACTGGTACACCGTCCCCGTCGATAAGCTCTCCAAGAAGAGGAGATGGACATGGCGCACGTGGGAGTTTGAGCTTCCTTGTGATCCCGAGGGCTGGGTCGAGATTGTGTGTCGTTGCTGGGACAATGCTTTGAACACGCAGCCGCCCGATGTGCGAACAGCCTGGAACTGGGGCTTGCATGTCACGAGTTCGTGTCATCGAATCTCGGTCTACAGCGTCAACAAGAGCCGTCCGTTGACCAAGGCCCGTCTTGATGAGTTTGAGAAGGCGGGGATTCCGTTTGGGCCGATTACTGTGCCGCTTGCTTTTCCTGCTCAGACTTGGGAGGACTATGAGAAGTATTGGAAGACTCATGATCCCCGTGATGCCGAGGATGACTGAGTGATTTCTTTTGGACGTCACCACTGAGAGAGACTGTAACAAGATGTACAAAATACTGTAAGAAAAGCACTACACGGGAATCTCTCTCACTACCAATCCGACTTGGTGCCTATATACGCATGTATCTATTGTCTAAAATACATTCTCGTCAGAATTGCCTCCACTGTGGACTATCAAACTCACTTACTAAATGACGGGGTTTACCAGCCCCGTCTTAACATCAAAGACAAAACCTCGTGTCTTTTCAACCAAGTCCTTCCTCACAAAAGGCGTCTTCTCAAGCCACGCAAGGTCATCTCGGACGCTTTGTTCGACACTATCCACCGCATGTTAGCGGGAGGCCGTCTCTAAACCTTGAACCGACAATTAGACAACTTATGTAACGTACTCAGTGATCGCGCCTATGTGCATGGTATCAATCACAGGCCAGTACTCGGAATCCATCTTTGATATGAGAGAGCGTCGAATGTCTTCATCTCGAAATCGAAGAGTGCCGCAGTCGGTGTGATGGATAATGGCGATTTCCTTGAGGCCTAGGACTTCGTCTAGGATGATGATGTCGCGGAGGGCGTGGCGAACGTTGCCGCCAGCATTTCTGTGGACAACAACTTCTGAGGGAACGGTTGGTTAGACGGTTCTATCTCACAGTAAGTTTTCAGGTTTGAGCGTACCTCCAGGCTGAATGTTAAAGAATCGCTCTGGTATGCAGCGGCGGTCGTTGCATGTAACTGAAAGTTATATCCGTGTAAGTAAGAGCATCTTGGGAATCTCACGAGCTGAAAACAGCTATAAAGGGATGGGCTCCTCACTGATCAGAGCTGGATTCTTCCCATAGCCAGGCTCAGTATGATACGGTGACGGCTTATAATTGTCTGCCACTGCTCTGAGAATATGATAAATTCTCGTACACTTGTGGTCATCGGAGGGAAAGGTAGGAGACCGACATACTTGTTACGCTCCAGTAAGTCGGCACTTGTAGGCGTCGATTCCATGGTGAAAAGGCCAAGTCAATATTACTCAAGAAGTTTCCTTCTAAGATAATGATACTGCACGATTGAATGCAAGATACGAGACTTGTAATGATGCTCTTACAAAGTCTCTGAACTTGAGTCATAGCCTCGACCACAGGACCGAGGGGTCTTTATGATGTCGCTACCCGCCCTAATAAATGCTTCTGCCGAATATCGGCTGGCATGCTGTGATATTGAACTACTGACTATAAAGGGACGCAAGTCGAACATATTGGAGGCTAGCTTTACAAATGGTACACTCTTTCTTGTATGTATCAGAGTTATTCCGTGTCGTTTGATGATAAACGCATGCTATCTAGCTGTTGCGAAATGAACATGAGCATGTAAAGAGTCTTCAAGAAATAAATCAACTGCCCCGAAGTGGAATGGTATTGCCTGTAATATCAGTTGTGAATCGGCGCTACTATCGTACAGCTTACAGACCTTCACATAAAATAACGACGAGAATACAAGAATGGGTAGTTGAGAACTTGCTTATACACAATGAACTGAACTGCATGAGTAAGTTGACTGGACTTTGGCTCTCCATGAGAAGCAACACATCGTCCGGATACGCTGACAAGAAAAATTGTGCTTTGTTGCTAATGTTATAGATCGATGTAAGCTATGTAAGCGAACCAAGCGAGTGATACCACCCAAGCATAAAAGCTATAGATATTGACGTGACCATTGTTTGAGTGCGATACCTTGGCATTTAAGAGTTGAAAGATTCATCTACACATTATTAATCATGCCTTTTGTCAGAATCGACGTCATCAAGGGACGCAGAAGCCCCGAACAGTTGCGCAAAATGGACGATGTGATCCAACAAGTCCTAGTCGATACCTTTGATCCTCCCGAGAGAGACAGATACCAGGTTAGTAGAAGATAGTTTTAGTATTCATTATATGAAATTTAAAGCTCACTATGTACAGATCTTTAGTCAGCATGAGCCATGGGAAGTCATATGTTGGGACACCGGTCTCGGCTTTGAGCGAACGGATGATGTTGTTAGCATCCACATCTTTGCCCAAGGAAGGAATCGAGAGAAGAAGGTGGCCATGTACGAAACATTAGGAGAAAGACTGGAAAATGAGTGCGGGCTCAAGGGTAATGACTTGCTCGTGTCTGTTACACCTCACGCGAAGGAGGATTGGAGCTTCGCCTATGCACGGGCACAGTTCCTGACTGGAGAGCTCTGAAAGAGTCGGTCATTTTCATACACAATACGTTAGCAGCTAGAATCATTGCAAATAATTTATCTCAGCTGATGCCGGCTTATCGGGGAGAACGCTGAGAAACCAGCAACTTATTCCGTATCAAATGTTCAGTTCGGGTCAGTAATAGAATTGACTGTCTGACAAATGCATTGCACGCCCGTATGAGGGTTGCCATCAAGTGACTAAATCAGGAATATTGAAGTGTCAAATCGACGCAAAGTGGCGGGCAGCTAAAATGAAGCTATACGTATGGGCGCTCACGTAGGTGTTAGTAAAATAAGAATCTCATGGTGGCGTCTATAAGAAGTGATGCCGCGCAGTTGTGACGAGAAGAATCAGAAAGCTGTCGGCTGTCATTAGCACGAAGAATCTCCCGACGTCGCCCAGCGATTATCTTACGAACCACGAAAGTATCTACATTGATACAGCTTCTGTCAAACAACAAGACGCGATGGCTGTCACGAAGCTTGGTCCCTCTATTCACATCACTCATATCGGTACGGCAACCGCCATCATCCAGATCGACAACCTGACAATCCTCACCGACCCGTACTTCTCCCCGGAAGGCACAGAATGGATTGGCAGGTCCGGCGCCAGACTGGTCAACTCATACCAACCGCCCCTTGGCCTCGAGGATCTGCCACCGATCGACCTCATCCTCCTAAGCCACGAAGATCACAAAGACAACCTGGACGATTTGGGCCGTCAGCTCCTAAATGGAAGACACGTCTTCACCACAACTGAAGGCGCCCGCAATCTCGCTCCCAGAAGAGGCGTACGTGGAATGAAGCCGTGGGAAACGACAACTTTGCAAATTAGCGGCGGCCCACGGTATGAAATCACCGCCACGCCTTGCCAGCATCTTCCCGGCGGAGAATGTCTCGGTTTCATCATCACCGCGGAGCATTTCGGTATGACAAACGGAAAGCGCAATGCCGTGTACTTTTCGGGAGATACGGTCTATATAGAGGAGCTTGCGCGGATCAAGAAGCTCTTCCACGTTTCTGTTGCTCTGTTCAGTCTTGGAAAGGCCACGGTTCCCAGGCCTGGGGGCGGCACGCTTCAGATTACGATGGATGGGAGACAGGCTGTGCAGCTTATGCGGGATATTGAGCCAGATGTTGTGATTCCGCTCCATTTTGAAGGATGGAGTTTGTTTAAAGAAGGGAAGGATGGGATCGAAGAGGTGGCGAAGCAAGAGGGTGTTGAGGACAGGTTCAAGTTTCTGGTTCCGGGGGTCAGTACCAAGATATTGTAATGTGACATTGTTCAAAGACTAGGATATTATAGCTTGACATATAGTTATAGACCGTTTGTTTCTACCTGTAAAGGATTTGAAATCATGATAAAATAGCAGAGACTCATGGTGCGTAGAGTTGCCTATTTGGGTAAGCCGTCTGGTCGCCTTTTCGCCTTTAGCCTGTCCTTCGCTCACCTGTCACTTCATGTTCCTTACATGAACAGCTTCACATCAAAGCAACATCCATCCATTGTTGGTCGAGTCCAGAGTCGTCAGTGAACATGACCTCGGCATTGTTTTCTCCGGGAAGCACACTCAGCGGATCTGGCGGTGCAGGTGAAGGATCACGTCCTACCAACACATCGCCCGACTACCTTTCGACCCACGACTTCTCAACTCCCTCGACAGGCTGGCAGCTGGATGACTTCGTGCTCGATCCAGGCTATGTCGCATCACGAGAGGAACTGCGCTGGCTGATGCTCAACACTGCGCAAACCGCCCCGTCCTCTCCAGCCCATGGCGACAGCTTCATATCCGGAGTAGACTCCCAGAGTGGCGAGGACCCGACTTCAGCACAGGACGAAACGTCGCGTCTCTTGTCACAGGGCAGAAGAATCGAGTACCTTAAGAACTATATCAGTCAGGTTGCGCCATGGGTATGCTCACCGATAACAACTCGTTTCAAAGCATGCATGTAATGACTTATGGGCAGCTCGACATGTTTGACAGCTCTCGTGCTTTCGGGCTGCAAGTCCCTCTACTGGCACAGAAATCCCCAGCTCTCCTGTGTGCAATTTTGGCCATTTCGGCCCGCCAAATGGAGCGTAAACAAGCATCCAATGGAACATCGACACCCCACAAGAGCTTCGATAGCCTGGAGCTTTATCAAGAGTCGATTCGGCTCCTGACTCCTCTCCTGGAAGCTCACGACCCGGCGGTGATTCCCATTTGCGTGATACTTTGCTGCCTTGAAATGATGTCGGCAAGTGCAAGAGACTGGCGCCGCCACCTGGAAGGATGCGCCGCTCTTTTTGATGCATTTCAGGTCCACGGATTCTGTGGTGGGTTGCTTCAAGCTGTGTTTTGGTGCCACGCGAGAATGGGTACGTTTTGCTTCCTCACATGCTTCTGCTTTCTCTTGACCAGCTTCATCTGACCAGAAGCTGTAGATCTATGTGGTGCTTTGATATCAGATGGCACGCAGAGCACCATCATCCCACCCATTGCTTGGCTGCCCCCTGGCACCGATGAGGTGAACGCCCGCCAGTGCTTTCAAGAGATGCAGGGCCCCGATATGCACGCCAATTACGCAGTGTATCTATGTGCAAAAGCCTGCGAGCTCATTTCGGACCGCACTCATCACGATGAGTTGGGTGTTTCCAACGGATGCACAGGAGAAGTAATCTCTTCTCGCTGGATGAGACTATGGAGCGACCTACAGACTTGGGTCGATGACCGTCCCCATGAGCTGCTGCCATTGCAGACTGTCGAGTCGCAACCTTTCCCACAGATACTCTATCTTCACTGGGCGGCTATATCGTCGAACCAACTGTACCACACTGCTTGCCTCTTGTTGCTCGGCTCGATGCCCAGGAGACAAGGCTCGATTTCGGGCGTGACGGGGTCGAGCATCTGGCATGCAAAGCGTATCTGTGGAATCTCTCTGACAAACCCACATCATGGATGTTTGAACAATGCGATTCAGCCGTTGTGGCTGGCAGGCAGGCTTCTTACCCATGAATCGGAGCATTCTATCCTTGTTGACCTGATCCGCGATATTGAGTCCACAACGGGCTGGGGAACCTGCTGGAGGATTCCCGACCTAAGAGCGGCCTGGGGCTATTCTATCAGAAAACCTTTTCGTCCAATAGAACATGCTCATGTCGACCGGTCTCGAGATACTCATAACGGATGAAAGCCGGCATGTTTGGGTACATACCTAATATACGACAAGCTTTCAACTGTGCCACTCTTGAAGCAGTCGCTCAACGAAGCCGTCCACACGCCAGCCCAGAGCACCAATACGATTAAATCCGATCAATATCTCTCTCTGCTGAGTTTCATGCGTCATATGTCGAGCAGCCAGATAGAACGAAGCCAGAAGACAAGGATCCCAACATTCGTATCGGTTGTTGTTGACCGAGATGCCGCATATTCTCTGCGCATGCCACAGCCGCGACAGAGACCACGAACGCCGCTGATCAACCTGCAATGTTCTTGGTTTTTGTGCCAGGATTAGCATCATGGCCGTGTGATACAACTGGTTGGCGAATGTGCCCGCGCCACTGGTGAAGTACAGGGTCGGGAATGGAGACCCTTCGCTGTTGAGGTCAATGACGGGGCGTAACGTGGGTGGTCTGTTTGTATACCAGTCATCGAGGCTGTTGACAATGGACTTCCAGCGAACTGCTCGAGGTCTTGGTTCGGTGTTGAGGCTGTGTGTTTCTTCATCTCCGTATGAGAATTCGAGCACTTGAGTGCAAAGGACAAGAGATTCGTGTGCGTGAAACAGATCCAGATGATCAGACTCAGCTCTCTTCTGACCGGATCTCTCGATTGAAGCTTTGAGAATGCTGCTGTTGACGACCGAGGTGGTTTCTCCCAACAAAGCAACGGCAACGCCTGTATGGCTGTAAGCGAAGTTTCTATCGTGGATTAACGGCTCACTCACCTAATCTCGCAAGCAACCATAGCATACGCTCGTCCACCCCTCGAAGCGGGCCGCTCTCCGCCATCTGGGAATAGATCATATGTAGAGATGCATTATTCGCCAGTGCGGCATCCCACGATTGAGGAGGCTTAATGAGAAAATCCTTTGTGGCTGTAAGAATCGACCAAAGCTTAGCTTCCCATGTCTTTGAATGCTCAAGACCATGCTGGATTGGGTATGTGACGGGATCTCCGTTTGTTGGATGGCTGTGATGAGATCCCTGATCATGGGGATTGTTTGCGTAGGAGACAGCACATAGGTTCAAGAGTGCGTCGAATAACATGTCGGATCTCGTTGCAAGATGCGGAACGACAAGCCCAAATGTCTGATCCATATCCCACATGTCCAGCTTAGATTCGTACAAGTGTTAGACTGAATCCCAGGAAATCAAGGCAAAGAAGTCTTCACTCACCCATGGCGCAACCTTGTATCTGTAATGCCTCAGCAGTTCGATTGTTCGGCCCGAAGGCATGTGACGTTGAACGTTGTCGCTTATTAGGCCAAACTCGTCGATGCTGTTCAATATCAATGGAAGAGAGGTCACATTGTCTTCCGCATGATTCTTGTAAGTGGTAGTCACCGGAGCCAGTGTGTCGACACCTGCATCTCCCGTTCCAAGGTTCATGAGCACATCCAGCGCGATCTCGTAACTGTCGCCATGAATGATACCCACATCCTGGTGACTGTGGTCATCATGACCATGGGGCGATGCATCATTTTGAGCTTGTGCATCATGACTCTTGTCGACCCTTCTTCCGAATTGCTGATATGAGACAACTGAGTCTAGGCGGAGACTTTCCTGCCTACCAGAAGAAACACTTGGAGTGGCCTTCGTATTAGTACCACTGGGAGGCAAACCACGATGCGCATTGGCATTCTCTCCTTCATTGAAAAACTTGGAAGCGGTCGAAGTTGACGTCTCTCCCCTGCGGGCACCATCCTTTTGCTTGGTAGCTTCATCAGCTACGAACTACTCGAAGTCGGCGTCAGCAAAGGTTTCAAATCTAGTCAGGCAAAGGTTAGTCTACTCACCTTGACTTTCGAGTATTTGGGAGTTCCGGGAGTTCTGGGGTGAGAATCACCACCGGGGTCAGAAGCGAGGGTAAAGGCATTCTTCTGCAGGAATGAGACACGTTGCCCATAGACACATTCCGCTTCGGCATCAATGCAGCGTTGACACCGCGGTTTACGCTCGTCACCTATTTTCTAGTGAGACTTTTGAGATGACTGCATGAGACAAGAAGGGATATATGGGAAATGGCAACGATAAGCGTGCAGATGAATCCTGGAAGTGGTGTGTATGTGCTCAACGCTGGAGGACTGTCGCCTTACATTTTCGTCGCCGAGTGCGACATCTCAAGCAGCCGGTTCTCGCTCGTTTCTTTTGGACGCGACCAGTGCTTGCACCTTCTTGATGCGCCATGGCATAGCATTGATCTCTGAGAGGATGTTTGCAGGACGTGTAATCTCGGTCAACCACAGCGGATAGCTTCAGACCTCCCCGTGGATGGTGACGAAAGATGGAACTCTGATGAGATTGAGAGGGATTCTGCTCTATCTGGTAGTTTTAGGCGCAGCTTCGGCTAATCAAGGCCGCGGTAGGGTGGAAATGACGGAGTATTAGTGGTCGATTTGATGAGCTCAACACCATCAACTGAACTATTGTCTTGCTAAACTAGGCCGCCGTGGCTCTCGTCAATCTCTATATGTTATGTCCGGCGGGCGGTTACACATACCTAAAGCAGTAATCCGGAAATGCATGCAGTAGTTGAACCAATGCACAATGCAGCCATACCTCCTCTGATTAGGACTGACGAGATGTCTCATGCCTCCTCGCATTCTCTTGTGTCACAAATAAGCATCATTTGCCACATATAAGCAGAACAACGCCCGAATCGACTAATCAGGATCGTTTGGCGGGAAATTTGCAGGCTACGGGCTTCAACTTGACGCAGGTTGTGTTGGATGGGATTCAGGAGTGGATCGGGGGTCACAGTAAAAGAGATGTGTTACAGCAGATATCCAGCAGTAACTCTCAAAAGCCTCTCATAGAAGTGATGACAGTTCAAATATTTGAAAGAATTGATTCAGCTATTACAAAAAGCCTTTCAGCCATCGAGCTACATCTACAGATCAACAAACTCTCTCTTCAACAACTCATCTTGACGAACCCTTTCCAAGTATCCCAACACCTTGGACACAATGCTATCCACATCAAACCCAAAATACTTGTATGCCTCAGGACCCGGGAGACTGTGTCCAAATTGCCTCACGCTTATGCCCGCATCGGCATATCTCTCCCAGCCATTCGGTGCATATGGCTCGACCACAATAGCCGGGATCCCTTGGTGTCTCCGCAGGGTGCTTCTCTTATACTCCAAGGACTGGCCCTCGAACAGCCTCTGACATGGGAAACTAACGACTCTGCAGCGAACCCCGTTGTTTTCCAGTAGCAAGGCGGCAGCATCCAGAACATGTGACAATTCTGCGCCGACACCAATGAGGGTGAGCTGAGCATTGTCGTCTTCCTGAATCACATACGCTCCTCTTGCGACACCATCCCGCCGGGTCTGTTTCAACTGCGGCACTTTATGTCTCGAAGTCGATATGATGGAAGACACACCCTCAGCTTCAACAGCAGCACTCCAAGCACCCGCCGTCTCCTCACTATCCGCAGGACGGAAATACAGCAAGTTCGGCATTGCTCTAAACAGCGCTGCAAGCTCAATGGGCTGATGAGTCGGTCCGTCTTCTCCCATGCCAATCGTATCATGGGTTGCTGCATGAATCACCTTGAGGCGTTGGAGGGCACCCATTCGCACGGCTGGTGCTGCATAGAGGTAGAACATGAAGAAGGAACTTGTAACGGGGATGAAGGTTCCTGGAGAAAAGGCTGCTATGCCGTTGGAGATGGCACACATGGCATGTTCGCGGACGCCGTAGTGGATGTACCGGCCTGCGTAGGAGCCGTTGATGCCGCATGCTGTGCGAAGACCAGGCTGTTGTTGCAGCACCGTTAGCAAAGAGGGCAGGGAAAAGGCCTGGATCGGTAGAGGTTCACTTACATGTTGAAAGTCTTCTTTGCCCTCCCAGGCCATGTGCACAGATGGCGAGAGATCCGCCGTTCCCACCATGAACGATTTAAACTGCTTGGCCAGAGGATTGAGCATCAGCCCAGATGATGCTCTCGTCGCCAATGGCTTATCAGAAAGACTGTCGGAGCTGGGTAGGAGATCCTTCCAATTAGACGGCAGTTTCCCATCCATACGGCGTCGGAAGTCTTCAGCAAGCGAAGGATGAGCAGCAGCATATCGTGCCACCAAATCATTCCACCGCGATACAATTTGTTCTCCGCGGCTAGGAAGATCCGAGAAGAACTGGCGGACTGAATCTCCAACGACAAACTGCTCATCTTCATTGAAGCCATACGCACGCTTCATCCGTTTAACATCGTCGACACCGAAAGCAGCTCCGTGAGCCTCTGCTTGTCCCGCAACAGTGCTGTCTAGTCCAATAATTGTTCTGACGTTGACGAATGTCGGCTTGTCTGTCGAAGATCTTGCTCTTTGCAATGCCGCCACGATGCCATCTACGTCGTAGCATCCGTCTTCGACATCAATTACATCCCAGCCGCAGGCTCGCATTTTTGCGTTGACATCTTCCGTGTTGGTCAGATCGACAGAGCCATCGCAAGTAATTTGGTTGTTGTCGTATATCACAGTCAGATTATTCAATCTGAGGTGCCCTGCGAAAGATATCGCTTCCAGTGCCACGCCTTCTTGCAGACAAGCATCGCCAACCATACACCACGTATGATTCGACACGAGTTCATATCCAGGCCGATTATACGTTGCCGCAAGGTTCTTGGTAGCCATGGCCAGCCCAACAGCATTAGCAACTCCCTGTCCCAGAGGCCCTGTAGTCACCTCAATACCTTCAATCTCAATCTCTGGATGGCCAGGACAAATGGAATCCCAGCGGCTCGAGTGGTACGACTTGAGTTGATCCATTGTCATGTCTCGGTATCCCGTCAGATGCAGAAAGGCGTATTGGAAGAGACACGTGTGGCCATTGGACAAGACGAATCGGTCTCGGTTGAAGAATGCCGGCTGTAAGGGTGCGTAGCTCATCACGTATTTCCACAGGGCGATACCAATGGCGGCCATGCCGATGGCGCCGCCTGGATGGCCGCCGTTGAACTGCTGGCAGAGATCGCTGATGAGCAGGCGGAAAGTCTTGAGGACCAGATCGTGCTCTTTGGCTCGCTGAACGTCATCTTGCCGATGAGATGGAACTGGCTTTTCTGGAAGAGGTGTCCTGCTGGACAAAATTCCGGGAGCCATATCGTTGGATTGGCAAGGTTAGGAAGCGGATAATGAGGTGAGAGTGTGTCGAAAGAACGAATTGTCAGACTTCAGGTCATACAAGATCAGCTTCCAAATGATGATTATAAGAGAAGCTGCCTCAAATATTATCATCTGCAATCGTTTGGTCTGCAACCTCCACAGATATAGGCTAATAGAGGACGTTCCATCCGCTTTGAGGAAGCCGTAAGAATTGCCTAATCAGGAAGTTTTAGCCACCTCTTGAAGCCCGATCACTCGAGCTCCTCGGAAGCCATCGAGTCTGTGTACCCTCACTGCCATTCTCGTGACCATTATTCTGTACTTAAACCTGACGGGTGTATTTTGATTACCTTGGAGTTGAGATCTGGGCAATTGTGCAAACTTACCACCAGCAATTTACCTTACGCCAAATCCCCGTCGTGCTTCTGTCGTTTGCCTTGAACTTTTCAAACCATGGTCTTAACAACCATTTCCCGCGACGATGCTTTTGTTGCCTCAGATATCAAGGACAAGATAATCCAGGCTCCACGGCCCAATCCGTCACTACAAGCAACAGCCGACCACAACCTCAAGCTGGTTGAAGCACCGGTATTCGAACCTGGGCGCGGAGAAGTCTTGCTGCACATAAGAGCTACTGGAATCTGCGGGTGAGTATTGAGGACTTCGAGAAAAATGGCACCCAGCTGCAAATTAACAGAATTCGAGATCGGATGTTCATTTCTGGAAGTCTGGGAGAATAGGCTCGCTCGTCTTTGAAGGAGACTGCATCTTGGGACACGAAGCGGCTGGTGTTGTGCTCAAGTGCGGAGAGGGGGTGACAAACCTCAAGCCTGGTAGGTTGCTAAAGACAAATCGCTATGAAAGCACTTTTCAGGGTCCATGATGTTCTGATGTGGGAGAATAGGCGACAGAGTTGCCATCGAGCCAGGCGTTCCTTGCGGAGAATGTTTCCTCTGCTTGGACGGCCGGTATAACCTCTGCGAAGATGTCAAGTTCTCTGGCGTCTATCCGTATCCAGGCACAATCCAGCGGTACAAGACCCATCCAGCCAAATGGCTTCACAAGTAGGTCCCATCACTGACACTGCGAGATTTCCATCCATGGTGTTCACGTTATGCTGCTGCAGGCTTCCGAGCAACATCTCCTTCGCCGAGGGCGCCCTCCTCGAGCCTCTGAGCGTTGTCATCCACGGCATCCGAACGGCCGGCCTCAGCCTTGGTTGCGGAACAGTCATATGCGGTGCCGGTCCGATTGGCCTCATTGCTTTGGCTGCCGCAAGAGCATCTGGCGCTCATCCAATCGTCATCACAGACATTGAGCCCAAGAGGCTGCAGTTTGCTAGGGAGTTTGTTCCCTCCTGTCGGACTTACCAAGTAGATCCCTCCCTAAGCGCCGAGGAGAACGGGCGCAGTATCCGGCAGCTGTTCCGGAATACTGTTACCGGAGCTTTGCAAGACGGCAAAGAAGAGGTCCTTGAGGAGTATTTTGCGCCACGGACGGTGCTCGAGTGCACTGGCGTAGAAAGCAGCGTGTGTACCGCAGCTTTTGCCGTGCGACGGGGAGGCACCATTTGTGTTATCGGGGTTGGGAAATCGATCATGAACAACTTGCCCTTTATGCACATTTCTCTTGCCGAGGTAAGTAGCCGGCTTGTGTGCCAGGGGGTCTATGGAAGACTCTAGTTGCTGATAAGTCCAATAGATTGAGCTCAAGTTTATCAACAGATACCGGGATACGTGGCCGGCGGGAATAGCATGTCTGAGCGGAGGAATCCTCGATCTAAAGCCCCTGGTAACCCACGTCTTTCCCCTGAAGGATGCAGTTGACGCTTTGCATCTGGCCGCCGACGCTCGAAATGGGAGCATCAAGATTCAGATTGTAGACGAAGCTGACGAGGACCTGCTGCAATGGAACTCGTAAGATGGACTATGGGGACATGGAATAGGACTTGGAGTGAAAGTGGATGCCCTTCTTGGCCCTGGGAATACTAGAACTTTGTCTTAGAGACTTGTAAAAATCAATGGGGCTATTCGTCCGTAGTTCCGTACATGCATTGCGTCCGGTCTGTTGTGTGACTGTCGATGCAAGCGATACATCTTATATGATCCCACACCTGTGTTACAATATTAATACTACACCACCCTGTGTACATGAGATACTACAACAGGATCATCACACCGACCCGTGGTGGTTCTATACCTCGATGAGCTTGTTGTGCCTTCAGCTGTATGCGGGTAGACACACAGTATGAGACCGGACATATGCCTAGATCCACACCGCGGAGAGGGTTCCGAAGGATTAAAGCCAATCAAGCGGTGGCTGGGTGCAACTCCTCCCTGCAGCCAGCATCGGCGCACACACATACAACAGAACGTATGCAACTTATCGTGTGCTGGCCAACACGAAGCAATGAGGGGTTGTGGAATCTTCGGTGATCTCTGAAGGTTCCTCAGAGGGAAATAAGAAGGCGATGAGAAGCTCTTTCCTTGGCCTTTCGAGCTCTGTCAACTCAGAGCCAACATCAACCGCCTCCCTAGTGTATTTCACACGGCCTGACATCAGCTTCCGCCAGACGACACTGGTTGACCTGTCCCCGAAGCCTCGACACTTGAGCTCTCCGGGATACGCCAGTTCGAGAGCCAAATGCCTGATCGATCCTCTCAAGCAAGGGGCCGGCCGCTGCGCCGTGTGTTGCCGGCTCCCGCCCAACAAGCTCCGGTAGCGGCGGCTCCAGCTCCTCCGCCGTCCTCGAGGCGCGACGTGATTCTGGCAGCTTGTAACACGTGCCGTAAGCAAAAGACAAAGGTTCTCTCCAGCTGCTTCAACACTCTCCATGTCTTACGTCCCGACTACTAAAATCAACGCCCCGGCAGTGCTCCGGCGAGCGGCCAAGCTGTAGCCGTTGCCTCCAGCGCCGAAGCGAATGTCTCTACACAACCCAGCCCGGCGAAACAACCTCCCAGGCCCTCAAACGAGGCTACCGGGACCTGCGCCAGCGCACGAGCGTCCACGAGGAGCTGTTCGAGCTGCTGCGGAACCTGCCCGACCGCGAGGCCGACCACGTCTTCAAGAGGATCAGGGACGGCGCCGACGTGAACACGATTCTCAACCTGATCCGAGCGGGCAACCTCCTGCTGCAGATGGCCGTTGCGCCCGAGACGCGGTTTCGATACGAGTTCCCATATCGGTCTGAGATGCCGGACTACTGCATTGAGAACAACCCTTACCTGGACTCGATCATCTGGGGCGCGGCGTCGTTGTATGCGCACCAGGATAGGCAGCCTGACGTCCTGGCTGCTGCTTCTGCTGCCGGGAGAGCTGGTGATTACGGGACGGAGGGATATGAGAGCATCTACCTGAAGCCGTTCCATGCGGCCGAAGTCGTCGATCCTCGGTTGATCGATGCCAGGATATCGCGGTGGACGTCGGTCAGCAATGACGATGCGCTTATGCGAGAGATGCTGGCGGTGTTTCTGCGGTGCGAGTATATGTTTACATCGGCATTCCAAAAGGATTATTTCTTGGACGACCTGGTGGCTAAACGAGACGAATTTTGCTCGTCGTTGCTCGTCAACATCATCCTCGCTTATGCCTGCGTACGATAGCCCCCCCTGACGCCCTTCATCGACACACGTACACTTCGTAGTCTAATGAAGCTCGCATAGGTTTGTTCCCAACGAGTATCAAACCGCGCCGAATACTGGAATCCCGACACGCTCGTGTACCGCTTCCTGGCCGAGGCGAAACGCATCTGGGAGTTGGAAGCGCACGAACCACGCATCACCACGATTCAGGCCGGGATCCTCTTCAGCGTCTTTCACAATCTCTGTGGACTGGATGAAATTGGCCAGCCCTATAGGCTTCAGGCCATAGAGCTAGCTCGAGAGATTCGTCTTTTCGACAGTACTGTGGGCGGACGCAGCGAGAAGATGAAGAGGTGCATGTCGTTTATGGCATGGACCTTGTTTAGCTGGGAATCGTGAGTACCCCTAAACGATTCAACCCCCGGTTTACTCAACTAATGATATTGTTACTATGTAGTCTTGTTGGCTTCTCCTTCCTATTCTCCCCTTTAATCAAAGAGCCACCAAACTGGAGGCTGCCGGACCCCTCAAAGGAGCCAAACTGGTATGGCGAGATATGGCTCAAGTATCCTTTGAGCACGACCCTCTCGCCGTCGTATTTCGGCTACATCTTTCGATCGAAATGTCAGTTTCGGGTCATTATGCATGATTTTGCCTTAGCAGCGTATACAGAGGGCTCGCAGGTGACGGTTGAAAAAGCGTACGAGCTTCGTCAGAGACTGAAAAGCTGGTACGAAGGCTTGCCTGGCCCCTTACAGCCAAGGACAATCGTGCTCCCTGCACACTTACAACTCCAGTAGGCAGCTCTAACAGTCCTCTTCCTTGTCCAATCGCTAACATAGCAACAGCACCTACTACCACTACCTCATCATCACCATCTTCGAACCCCTCATCGACACAGAAACAAACATGTACCAAGAGCCCTCTCCCAGGGAGATCATCGCCGAATCCAAACGCCATCTGCAAACCCTCATGCGCCTCTACTACCTCCGCCACGGCTACGACGCCATGGACCTCTTCCTCGTCGTCCCCCTGATGCTCGCCGCCTCCGAATGCCTCGAGGCCATCGACGAGGGGACCACCGGTCAGGACCTCGAGGTCCAACGCTCGACGCTCATCCTCGTCGCAAAGGGCCTGTACGACCAGCGCCGCAACCACTACCTGGCTGAAGCACTGTTCCGAGTTATTCGGGGCCGCATGCGCCCTCCGGAAGTCGCCCTTCTGAGGGAGACGATGAACCTTGACGACAAGGAGTGGGATGAGAAGCGGGATATGGTGCAGGCTGTGAGGAGTTCGTGGCCGGTAAGCGTGGTGAAGAAGAAGGAGACTGTGGATTCACAGATCTTGACGAACCTCGTTGAGAACTATGGGCATTTGAATGTGGAGGATACTGATGCCCCACAAGGCCTTCATCCCAGAGACAAACAAAAGTTATGGAGCTGAATCGGTCCTCGAGTGGCTTTGCATATTTGCATTGGTGGAGTTTCCTATTGGTTTTTTGGATACCTATGTCTCCCGAACACGATGACTATTATCATGAAGAGCTGTATGGCCTTGAAAAGACCTCCATCTACTGCACATGTTCCTTCTCCTCTGCCTTGGGAATCCTCACCATCGTAATCGTAATCAAAGCACCCAGCAAAGCAAAAGCAAACCCAAACCACCAAATCGCTCTTATCCCCTGCAACCCCACCTCCCCATCAGGCAGCATCTCGATCTTGATCCCGATAGACCCAGCCACAGACGTGAAAATCGCCATCGTTAAGTTCTGCACCGTAACCAACAGGCCCCCCGCAGCGCCCTGATACGACCTCGGCACGCTCGACGTGATGAAGACGGCGGCGGCCGCAAAGCTCAAATCAGGCCCAAATGTCGCCAGAGCCACGCCCGGCATGGATAGAGCCCAGTAAGGGGTGCTTGGCGTCTGGGGGAGGAAGAAGACCGGTCCTATACCAAAGCATACCATGCTAATGGCTAGGATCCAGTGGCCGGGGACGACGTGTAGCGTCTTGGAAACAACCCATGCCGCAAGGACGCCGACGATGCCGTTGGGGAGCAGGTATAATGCTGCTGTGAGGGGAGACGCGCCTTGGTAACGAAGCCAGAACTGTATGGCATAGAATTGCCAGGCACCAGCTAAACATGTCCCGTTAGACTCTGCCAGTCAATGAAAGTAAAAGCTGCATGGGATATATTATAGAAGAACTCACTAAAAGCCCCATATCCAAACACGTACGACACCAAAAGCGCAACGAAACCAGGCGTCCTCCAAAGCCCACTGGGTATAAGCGGCCTCTTCACCCTCTTTTCCACAAAATAAAACGCAACAAGCATCAACAGCCCCAGAATCACAGAAACGTACGTATACGCACTCCACTGCACCGCAGACCCCTGCGTAAGCCCAAACAAGACCAGTCCGCACCCCAACGACGCAAGCAACGCACCCGTATAGTCAAACTGTCTCACCGAGGGCCTTTCCGCAGACGAGCTGTCCGCCGCGGGACGCAGATCCGGAATCGTAAAGTACGCCGCCACAGCGCACACCGCGAGGAACATGGCCGTGGTGCCAAAGATCCAGGGGAGGTGTGCGCTGAGGAGCCCGCCCTGGACGCATCCTATCCAGTATCCAAAGGGCGCTCCCGCAGCCATCATCGAGAAGACGCGTGTCTTGCGGATGCCGGGGTTATACACGCGGCCGAGGATGCTCATCGAAGCGGACACCAAGACGCCCACCGCAAGACCCTGCATGGCCCTCGCGACAAAGAAGAGCACTTTCAGTTCCGGGGAGACGGCCGCAGCAGTGACGCCGTTCCAGATGGCTTCCCACAGAAAAGCCCCGACCATGAGTGGCTTTGGAGGGGCGAGATCAGCCAGCGGACCAAACACAATGACGGACAGACCGCTGGCCAGCGCAGAGGACCCGATGAGCCACGGGGTTTGCGCGGGGAGCACGCCCAGCGCTTCGCGGAAGACGAACTGCGTGACGGCGACTTGGCCAATGGTGAGAGAGAAGATGACCTGGCCGGCGGTGCAGACGAGGACGAAGATGACTTCGGAGAGGAGGTTGGCGAGTTCGGGGGGGACGCCTTGGGAGATTGGGTTCGTGGGGGTGCCTTGTTCTTCTGGGAGGCCGGCGGGCGGAGGAAGGTGAGCTTCGAACAAGTCATTTTGTCTGAGGTTGATGGTGCTTAGTTGGATGTCTTGCTGGATCTGTGGGTTTTCGGGGTTGGATGATGTTGTGAGGGTCTCGGCGTGAGCCTCTGGGGCCATAAGAAGCGTTGCTTGCGTAACGGACATGGTGATTGCCAGCTTGTTTCTCGCGGTTGCTGCTATTTAAAGGATTCGTTCACATGTCGAAGAAGTGACTGAGCAAGGGTTCTACAAGTTTTAAATCCGATGGCCTGGGAGAGAGTGTGTGTCTGACAGATTGAAGGACTGAAGTGTCTAGACGTCGTGAATTCTCACTCCCATTTAAACCCCAGTTCTTAACGGGGACCAGCTGCACCACACTCGACGTAATCGTAAGACAAGCGACTCCCGCAGCTAACCATTGATAGAAAGTGGCGGGCTGGCAGCATAAAGTATGGGCGAGTCACTTTGAAGCTCTCGAATTAGCCAAAATTGATGCAGATTTATTTGTAATCCACTTACACAGGAACATCAAATCTACTGTGATACTCAGCTTGAGTCTTTGACAATTTGGCATCCCTGTAAGTTGCCACTCAATATCAATATTTTAGAAACGACCTACATAGAATCAAAGTACATTAAACGTAATGGTAACAATGTAGCCTTCCCTATATGGACACGAATGGTCCGGCTCAACCGCCGAACAGATCCCTACTGATAGAACAAACATGCAATTCAAGCAAATCGCCAGGGTGCCCCAAAGGTGCACACCACTGATGCAGAATATCCTCCCCAGAAACTCAGAAGAAATGATTGCCATGAGCTTTTCAATTCCTCCGTGAAGCCCCTTACGAATCGGCGTCTAGCCCCGTGATCACCGCTGTTTGCGTCTGTACGAAAATGTACAGCATATATGCAGCTTTTCCTGTTGATCAATACCCAGCTGGCCGATGGATTGCCTCCATAGCCTTCGAACAGCTCTCATTCTGTTTCGAGGCTGATCAGGCCAGCAAAATGGCTTTGCGCCTTATAAGACAGACCCTGTATCTTTTTCTATTTTTCCCTCAGTCCAATTCAATGACTCGCGACGGCCGCGAACGCATGGCCAAAACATGACGAACGATGCTATAAAGGAGAATTGGCTGGTATGGGATGAGCAGGACTCCTGAGAAATAATGGATTGTCATGTAGAATTTGTCGGAGCTGCAACTCCCGTCCGTCAAGATGGCCCGTTGACGCCGTTGGCCCACTCGGGCGAGTCTAACCATGTGAGCAGCTTTTGTAATAGCTTGTTGATATTGACCGGCTTGGAGATGTAATCGTCCATCCCCTTTTCTAAGCAAGTCTCGCTGTCGCCCCTCAGGGCATACGCAGTCATGGCAATGATTGGTATGGGGATGCCATGTGTCCGAATCTTCCTCGTCGCCTCAAAACCGTCCATGACGGGCATACTAATATCCATCAGGACTAAGTCGTAGGTGTTGGGGGAAGCTTTCAATGTCGAGACGGCCTCTGCTCCGTTGGCGGCAATGGTGGTGTTCTGGAAGCCAAGAGACTTCAGGACGCGGGCCAGCACTTTCTGGTTGACAAGATTGTCCTCGGCTGCGAGAATTCGCTTTCGTGGCGCCAGTTCCTTGATTCGCTTCATCATCATTTCCTTCTCTGCTTCCTGGCGGGACTTTTCATTCTCGTGCTCCAGCTTGGACCCCGGAGCACCGGGCTGGTTGGGACGGGGAATCTTCTTGAGCTTGACAGTAAACCAGAAGACGCTGCCGTGGCGCTCCTGATTCGGTCGGTAGCCCATCTGGCCACCGAGCAGTTCGGCCAGAGACTTGGCTATAGACAGCCCCAGGCCAGTTCCCTGGTATCGCTTCTTGGTGGGCTTCTCGAGCTGGGTAAAGGGCTTGAAGAGGTTCTGCACAGCATCCTCTGGCACGCCGATGCCGCTGTCGGTGACCTCTGTCAGTATCGTGTAGTACGTCTCGTCCTCAGCCGTCACTTTTGCAGCAACCTGCACCGAGCCCGCCTCGGTAAACTTGACGGCGTTGTCGATGATGTTCTGGAAGATCTGCCGGAAGCGAAGCGGATCGCCCTGGGCGGACTTGGGCAGATCCGGCGACAGGAGGAGCTTGATGTAGACGCCCGGCAGCAGCGTCATCTGGACATTGCGCACGACAGACGTGATGATGCTGGCGACGCCGACCAAGTCCGTGTTGACGGAGAAGTTGCCCGACGCCAGCTTGGAGTAGTCGAGGATGCCGTTGATGACCTGCAGCAGCACCTGGCCCGACTCGGAGATGATGTTGGCCGTGTCGCGCTGGTCGTCGGTCAGGGCCGTGTCGAGCAGCAGGGTGCAGGCGGACAGCATGCCGTGCATGGGGGTGCGGATCTCGTGGCTCATGTTGGCCAGGAAGTCGTTCTTGAGCTTGGCGCTCTCCTCGTACGCCGCCACCAGCCGCAGCTCGGCCTCTCTGCGCTCCGTCAGATCACGCGTCACCTTACCAAAGCCGACGTGGACGCCGTTGCGGTAGATGGCGGTGATGGTGACGTTGGCCCAGAAGCGGCTGCCGTCCTTGCGATAGCGCCAGCCCTCGTCCTGCACGCGGCCCTCGCGCAGGCAGGTGATGAGCTCGTTCTCGGGTTTGGCCGCAACGAGGTCCTCCTGGCCGTAGAAGTTGGAGAAGTGACGGCCGATGATGTCCTCCTTCTTGTAGCCCTTGAGCAGCTCGGCGCCCGTGTTCCAGGTGGCGACGTAGCCGCGCGTGTCGAGCAGGAAGATGGCGTAGTCCTTGACCGTCTGAATCAGCAGGCGAAAGACCTCGTCGACGGACAGTGCGTGCTGGATGACCTCGCCGCGGGCCTCAGCCGTCGTGGGCTCGACCTCGTCCCACTCCAGCACCAGAGACAGCAGCTGGTCGCCGCGGAAGATGGGGATGATGCGGGCCGAGTACGAGGTGCCCTGGGCCGAGTAGGCGGCGTGACACAGGTGGAACTTGCGCGAGGCCACGGCGACCTCGATGGCGGCGGCCAGCGGGATGCGGTCGAAGCGCTCGAGCGGCGAGCCGCCGTACAGCGTGGCGAAGAGGTCCCTGCCCAGGAAGTCGTCGGGGGCGCACTTCCACGCGTCGATGACGCCTTTGGAGACTCGCAGGATGCGGAACGAGGGCGAGACGACGAGGGTGGGCACGGGCGAGAGGTCGAAGAGGTCGGAGGCGTCGAAGGTGTATGTGTCTGGGAGGGTCGGGGGTGTCGCTGTGTCGTTTGCGTCGTCTGTCGTCGTTACTCCGTCTGCAGTCGGTGCGTTGGCCGTCTCTGCTGTCGCTGTTGTGTCGTCTCTGCCGCTGCTGCTATTATTGCTGCTGTTGTTCTTACTATTGCTGCTGTTGGCTCCTGATGCCGCATTCACAACGCTGCCGCCGACGCCGTCCATGCTCATCATGCTGGTGCTCATGCTCGTGTCCAGGCTGCCGCTGCTACTCATGGCCATCATGCTGGCGGCGTTTTCCTTGTCGCTGATGCTGCTACTGCCGATGCCGATACCGATACCGTGCGCGTCCGAGTCTCGGCGCCCCTGGCTGGCCTCGTGATCGTCGTCGTACTGGCTGAAGTGGCTTGACACTCCCGCGCCTTGAGAGATCATGCTGTCGACGCCAGGCCCGTCATCGCGGGCACCCATTTCGCACTCGCTGAAGAAACTGCTGGTGGTCATCCAGAGGAGCAGGGCCCATGTCTAGTGCCTGGATAGTGCGGGTAATAAGGCAAGGTCAAGCAAGGTCAAGCCAGGCCCAAGCAAGGCACATGTCCACTCGCCCACCCATCCCCATTCTTCTGCCAGAGCCTAGCAAGCAAAATACTAATCTCCGTAGTTTCCTCCTGGCGACATCGCCATGACGTAACGACTTCGGAATGTCTACTCCGCACGGCTTCTGCTTAAATTCCCTCCTCGTCCGCCCTCCTGAGCCCGTCTTCCACCATCCGTCATCTCGTCTTTTTTTCCCCGGGTTGGGGTTACGAGTACTCCGAGGTACAGACACACGTCGAAACCTGCTGCGGGCCTGGCAGAAGCCTCTCGTCTCTTCTCTCCCCTCGTCTCCTCTCGAGCCAAACGGGGCCTCCGGAATGCAAGCCCTGCTTACACGGGAGATCACCATTCGTGCTGCCAGGCCCCTTCTCCACTCTTCCAACGGTTTGGCGTCGACCAAGTAATGCAAACGTGGCTTAGCCGGTCAAGACCGAGACCGTTCCGGCTGGCACAAAGAGCAATGATTGTCGATGAGGGGGAGCGCCATGTCCCAACAGGCCGTCTCTATCTCTATCCCTGGCACCCAGCACAGATCTCCGAGGACCACGCGAGGGACACGATAGTGACGATGACTATCCGGAAGTCCTGACGAACCAAGGAACACAGACGGACTGCGCTGTGACGACACCGGGTTAGCTCATCCTGGGGGACAGGACCAAGGCCGTCGTGGCTGAAAGGTGGGATTTTCACTCGTCAAAAGTCCGTCACTAGTTCGACTCGCAGCCGCTGCAGAACTGCAGTGTGACGATGCACGAAGTTTTCAAGGCCGTCATGGCCGATACCTGCCCGACTCGGTACAAATGCCACCCACCACTCCGGAAGAGACCAGCAGCCCGGGCATTCAATCTTTTTTTGCAAACCATCATGACGGACGACACCTGACAGAAGCCATTCACTCTGTAGATGTGGTAGTTTCATCTTCAAAGGGAACAACTTCATGTGTCTCAGACTTGAGTCGGACATCTCGAGGTATAGAGTACCTCGACTCCCTCACTCCGACCCCGCACAAGTTGATGCAGCACAGGGTAAGGCCAAGTAGCTCATCGCAAACAAATTGTCATTTGAGTAGGCTCGTGAAACCATCATCAAACTACTAGTCGATGTTCGACAACTAGTAGTATGACTCGAGCGATGATTTCGGAGTACGGGATGAACGCAGACACTGGAGTGTCCTGTTGTCCCTGCCAGCCCTTCAACAGGGGCAGCGATTAATACACGTATCTGCCATCTGATATCATGCTGACAATGTTTTATCAAGCGGTGACGGTCGCATATCGTAAATCGTCTACAAAGCGTCTACAAATTACCCAGTGTCAGAGTTCGACTTGGAATAGTTCGCGTTAGTTGCTTTATATAGTCGCTGAGAGACCTACCAATGGCCATGCTTTCAGTTCCCCTAATAAAGCCACGAACCAAACAGACGTTATCTACAACTGCTGGACTCAGCCCATACTTTTTGTAAACATACGAAAACGAACTGTCTTCTACTACCTATCCAGACATTCCTAATCGTTCGCTCTTCATACCCAGGAGTAGCGGTAATAGGCTGTTTTGCTGAGGAATCCGCGAACGCGTATATGCAAATTATCTGTCAGCATAGCAACCCTTGTTAATATTGGCTTCATTACGCACTCGCTGTTATATTAAGACTCGGATCGGATTCCATACAATTATTGAGTGACTTCGGGAGAATTACCTTCTTTGTATTCTCATACCTATCCAGATTATTGCGGGATGGTAGAAAGCTATCAATCCTCACCGAATAATATATATATATATATATATATACCTATATACATATATACACATAATGGCGAGATATTATCGATGGTTATCTAGGTTTATTCTGAAGCTCCTATCAGCATCTCTCTACATATCGTATAAACAGAATACAGATCCATACTGAGACATAATGGACGACCACGGTAACTCACCATCTCTAGACATCGCCATTATAGGCGCAGGCGTCGTTGGCGTACACGTCGCTCTGGGCCTCTTACACCGAAACATACCCTTCACCATCTACGAACAATCAAGTCGTCTCAAAGAAATGGGCGTTGGCATCGGAGTCCCCTCTATAATCATCGAGTCCATGACCGCTCTACACCCTGATACCGCAGAGAACTTGCTCAAAGTTTCGAATGTGCTTAACAATGTGAATGTTGTCAATGGCAGCAGCGATGAGGATCTGAAACTGCGTCCAGCGGATCGGCTGTATGATGTGGTCATTGAGCCTTTTGAATTCCGTGGTGCCCATCGTGGCCGATTGTTGGATGGATTGCTTCCTATTATACCCCCGGGTCGTGTGAGACTGGGGAAGCATCTTGAGTCAATCGTCGATAGGGGAGACGGCGAGAAGCTTGTTCTCCAGTTTAGCGATGGCAGCACTGCAGAAGCAGACGCAGGTATAGTCACCGATCTCCCTCGAACTAATATGAAGTCTGCGGACCTCCGAAGGAGCTAACGCACCTCCCAGTCATCGCCTGTGATGGCATCAAGTCCCGCGTCCGCCAAATCCTCCTCGGCAAGGACAATCCGGCGTCCCTCCCGCACTATACCCACACGAGCATCTACCGTGGCCTCGTCCCCCTGGACAAAATTTCGAATATCCTTGGAAATCTTGCCAATTGCGCCGTCCAATACATTGGCCAGGGAGCATCCATGGTGACGTACCCCATCGTTGCTAAAGACGGTGTTTACGTCAATGTAGCCGCTTATGTGCACGACGAGGAAGACTGGCCTGATTCCGACTATATGACCAGTGTGGGGAAGAGACAGGATGTCGAAGCTGCGTTTGCTCATTTCGGTCCTTCTGTAAAAGAGCTTGTAAAGACTCTCCCGGAGGAGCTCAACCGCTGGGCTCTATTTGATAGTCACGATCACCCGCTCTCGAGCTACGCTTTCGGACGTGTGGTTCTCGCAGGGGATGCCGCCCACGCGTCGACGCCGCATCACGGTGCTGGAGCAGGCATGGGCATCGAAGACGCATTGGTCTTGGCAACAGTCTTGAAGAAGGCAGCAGATAGTCTTGTCTCGGCACAAGGCTCTGCAAGCAAGCATAAGTCTCTCGAAGCAGCTTTCAGGGCCTATGATTCCGCCAGACGCGAGAGAAGTCAATGGCTTGTTACCAGTAGTCGACATATCGGAGTCTCAGCGCAGTGGCGTGACCCTGAAATTGGGGGTGATCTTGATTTGTACGCAAAGGACTTTACGGAGCGACTGCATAAACTCATGAACTATGATTGGAAGGACGCGCTTATGCGGGCTACAGATGAGTTTGAAAGGCAATCAGAATTGAAAGGGGAGTGATGAGGGTCATCCCCTGACTGAGCAATCAGCTCTAACAGAGGCACATAGCCTTTCCGTACTAGTATCGTACTACTAGTATATCATATATCGACTCGTCACATATAGTCTGCATTTGCTGGCCACTTTTCATGAGTGTCTAAATCATATGACCAAGTTAATATGTCGCCCCATTAGCAGTCAAGAAATCAAAGTCCACGCCATCCTGAGCCTGCAGCACACTCCTCTCATACAACCCCCTATACCCCCGCGCCGGTCGCCTCCTAGTCTCCGCAGGTCCAAGCCCTTCCACTCTCCTCTCCAACCTATCTTTTCTCTCCGCAACTCTCCTCCTAATCTCAGCTTCATCAAGCTCCACCTCCAGCTTTCGTCTCTCCACATCACAGCAGATGACATCTCCATCCCTCACAACAGCAAAAACACTTTCCGGCAACGCAGCTTCAGGCGAAATATGCAAAACGATGCTCCCTCCCGCCGTGCCGGACATGCGTCCGTCTGAGAGGCGCAGCATGTCCTTGACTCCGCGAGCTGCGAGTTTGCGCGGGATGGGTATCAGTCCTGCCTCTGGCATCCCCGGGCTTGAAAAGCCAATGGGGCCAATCCCCTGTAATATCAATACGCTGTCCTCGTCAACATCGAGGTCTGGATCATCAATGCGTTTGGCAAGGTCCTCGGGGCCGGCGAATACCACAGCTCGGCCTCGGTGGCTGAGAAGATGTCGGTACTTGCTGGCACTGGCTTTGATAACGGCCCCGTGGGGAGCAATGTTTCCGTATAGAACTACGAGGCTCGAAGATGGATACAGGGGATTCTCCAACGGCCGAATGATTTGAGAAGTAAACGGAAAGGGGCGAAAATTCTCCTCATCCAGAGCCTCACCCAGGGTCTTACCCGTTATCGTGAGGGCATCTAGCTTCAGCAGAGGTCGTAGAACATTGAAAAGAGCGGGAATGCCACCGGCGTTATGCAAGCCCGTCATGTAATTGTCGCCGCTGGGCTTGAGGTCAACTATCAACGGAGTCTTTCTTCCAATCTCATCCACTGTTTGTAAAGTAATCTTGCCGTATACTTCTGGATGCCTATTCGCAATGGCGAGAAGATGCACGATGCCGTTGGTAGAGCCTCCGATTGCTTGTAGGACGGTAATCGCGTTGTGGAAAGATGCCTCGGAGAGGATGGACTGGGGAGTGCGTTTGTGCTTGGCTGCTGCTATCGCATTTGCGCCTGTCTGCTCGGCGATCCTCAGTCGTGCGCTTGATACAGCGGGAGCAGTTGCACCGCCTCGCAGTGGGATGAGTCCAAGAGCTGCAGTCAAACAGGCAATTGTGCTTGCAGTGCCCATAACGCCACAAGTTCCGGCCTATCCAGCTTCGTGTAAGTCAAAACGACCCCTAACCCCCCCCCCAACAGAGGTGACAAAGGCTTACCGTTGGAGCAAGCTCCTCGTTCAATGCTGAGATGTCCTCGATATCAATCTCATTTGCCCGGAAAGCCGCCCAATTGTTGCGACAGTCTGTACAGGCTCCAATGCGGCCGCCTCTGAAGCTCCCGGGCATCATTGGTCCCGTTATGAGAGGTAGGATGGGCTTATTGGCGGATATTCCGCCCATGAGCTGAGCCGGCACTGTCTTGTCACATCCTGGCTCACGACATCACATCAGCCAAAACCGTGATCAAGACGACATTTGGTGGATATGAAAACTCACCACCAATGACAATACACGCATCCACCGGCTGCGCCTTGATCATCTCTTCCGTATCCATACTCATGAGATTCCTCAAGAACATGCTCGTCGGCGAAGAAAACGACTCATGAACGCTGATCGTCGGGAACTCAATCGCCAGCCCGCCGTTAAGCTGAACGCCCCTCTTCGCGGCCTCAATGAGCTGCGGGACATTGCCGTGGCAGGGATTGAAGCCCGAGTACGTGTTGATGATGCCGATGATGGGCCTTGAAAGCGCATCCTCGCTGTATCCTAGGGCTTTGATGAAGACCTTGCGGAGGAACAGGGAGAAGTGAGGGTCGCCGTAGTTGGAGAGGCCTTGTCTCATGCCCACTGCGGGCTGGATTGGTCGAGAGAGGTCATAGTCGGCTCTGGGATCTGGCGTGCTGTTGTCGTTTGAAGCTCCGTGACTTTCCATGTTGCAGTGCCTCTCTTCTGTGAGGATTGGGCAATGTTCGTATGAAGCGATTTTGGTGTTTTGTGTCGGTGATTGCGTGATCTTGCACCAGAAGCCCGTTGGCAGGGATCAGCTGTGGGTGTGGAGGGGTTGATTGTCATCGCAGATGTGTATCGGCTTGAGATCTGAGCCATGACTTTGACGGCGATCTTCATCTCTGCTATCTTAGATCTCATAAGAAACCTAACTGTTCCTTGCTGAAGAGTATAAGACTGCGAACAGCAGCAGCCAAATGTTATCATCTTGTCAGCAGAAACCTATCGAGTCTCATATCTCGTACCGCCACTGAAGCATGACGATTGAGATCCAACTGCACGAGAAGCTGCTCCTCGTATCACCAAGATGGCAAGTCATTGTCTATACTTTCATGACTGAATTGAGACATATCGTATTGCTCTCCTGTTACAAGACACTTCCTTTTGCTTTCCCCAATTCCAGTTCCAGTCTCTGTAGTCTTCGGTTAAGTGCACCCCGATCAACCAATATCAATCGCCGATGAACCAAGCCACGACTCAATCTCAACACTAGGTACAGTAACGGATCAGAGACCAGGGGTAAAATATCTCGATCGAGTAAGAAATCTGCTGTGGTTCCCGCCATGTTTCTGTTAGTCATAATTTCTGAGACCGGCGCATTCCGTGATGGGGCCGAAGCAAGGCGAAAATTCTTACATACCCCGGCCTATCACTTGTGATACAGTCAACGATATTCTTTCAATTTACGTTGACTTTTCCGAATCAGCATATAATCGTAAATCATTCAAAGACTTCACACCGCATCATTATGTAGTAAATGTTGATGGGTTCTTCTAGAATCCACAGGTAGCAAAGCAGGCATTTCCAACTCCATCCCACGCATCGCGGAGGGCGTCAACTCACTACCAACAGCAGAATCCACTTCTCGAAATAGTGGCATCGCAAGCTCCCGGCTTACTGGGGCTCCAGTCCATTTTTTTCTTCTTTAGCTCAGAAAGACGTTTAAAAAAGAAGCACTCCCAGTGTCATGTCCTCAAAATGGCAACGTCTGTCCATGTTTTCGTTGCTTGTTTGTTTGTTTGTTTTGTGCCTTGTAGATCAGTGTAGATATACCCAAAATGGCAACAGCCGGTTCGTCTCTTCCTCATGGATAACCCCTTTCTTTACACTACCCCAGATTCTCACAGAGTTCCAACTCTCGGCTCTAGCTCTCATGACCCAATGACCTTTACCATACACTAACAGCCTCACTTATAGTCACACTCGCTGCTGAAGACATCTCAATAACATCCTACCCCGATGGCGGCCTCCAAGCATGGCTCGTCGTCCTCGGCTCATGGGCCTGCATGATCACCTCCATGGGGCTCCTCAACACCATGGCCGTGTTGCAGGCGAGACTCTCAGAGAATGAGCTGAAGCATCTTCCTGAGTCGACAATTGGTTGGATTCTCAGTAGCTATGCCTTCTTTTTGTACTTCTGCGGAGCGCAAGTCGGTAAGTCGTCTTTCACTTCTCTTGTATCTGATATACCTCGAGAAGACCATTGAAGAGCCTATCGCTAACGAATCGACTTCTACAGGTCCCATCTTTGACGCGTACGATGTGAAGTACCTGGTGATACCAGGTAGCATCGGCATCGTCCTCTCCATGATGCTCATCGGCCTCTGCAAAGGTCCGTCACTCATTATACCCTCCCCCCTTTCACACCTCCAACTCACACAAAACCACCCCAGAATTCTACCAATTCTTCCTCTGCTTCGGCCTCCTCGGCGGCGCCTCCGCCTCCCTCCTCTTCAACCCCGCCATCGCCATCATCGGCCACTACTTCGACAAGCGCCGCGCCCTCGCCACGGGCATCGCCTGCACCGCCGGCGGCCTCGGCGGCATCCTCTTCCCCATCATCATCCTCTACCTCACGCCCCAGGTCGGCTTCCCCTGGGCCACCCGCGTCATCGCCTTCATCTGCCTCGCCATGGGCTGCCTCGCCGTCTGCCTCATGAAGAAGCGTCTCCCCCACAACAAGAACACCAGCATACGCCCCGGCAGCGCCATCGACCTGGCCGCCCTCCGTGACCCAAAGTACGCACTGACGACGCTTGCCGTCTTCCTCGTTGAGTTTGCCGTCTTCATCCCTTACACGTACATCTCCTCGTATGCGATCCACGCCGGGATGCCCACGCAGCGAGCATACCTCCTCAACGCCCTCGTCAATGTCGGTGCGATACCCGGTCGCGCGCTTCCGGGCTATGCAGCCGACCGCTTCGGCGCCTTCAACATCCTCGCTCTGACGGCGACTACCTGCGCGGCTCTCATCTTTGCGCTTTGGTACAATGCCGGCACCAACGAGGCGGAGATTTACTCGTTTACTGTTCTGTACGGGTTCTGGTCCGGCGCTGCGATCAGTGTCACGCCTGTATGTATCAGCAGGGTGTGCAACATCGAGGATATCGGGAAGAGGACCGGCACGGCATTCTTCATTGCGAGCTTTGGTGTGCTTATTGGGTTGCCTATTGCCGGTGCCTTACTGAAGGCTGATAACGGCTCGTATAACGGCGTCATTGTGTTTGCAGGGTGTTTCTATGCGGCGACTGTTGTTACGCTGTATATTGCCCGAGGTGTGGCTGCTGGTTGGGGACTCAAGGTTATCTTCTAATATGAACCGCTGACGATATTGGGAACGTTTAATGACGATGATGACCCATCAACGATGCCTTTATACCACGTATGTGTAAAGTCTCTTATTGTTAGAAAATAGAAATGAAATAGAGCCATCCTGATACCTTACAATTCTCTGTTGTATTCCGTATACTATTCTGCATCTACTCTATACAGGTCGTCCAAATCAAGGTCCATTCAGGCCCGAAGCAAATGTAACGAAAACACAAGAGAAAGAAATTCCGGCAGCAAAAATAACAACACCATCCCTTAGTCTTCCAGAGACACCTTAACCCACTTCTTTTGGCGACCTCCTTTCTTCGCCTTCTTGTCCAGTCCTGCCTCAGTCTTCTCAACTGTTTCGATCAGCTCGACTTTGCCCACAGACTTGGCAATCTTGTTCGCGTTCCAGACCGAATTTGTGCTGTTTGTAGTAGTAATCTGGGTCTTTTGGGCACACGAAAGCCAGCTCTTTGCCTTTTGAGCGGCTTCTGTAGCCTTTGGGGCAATGGTTGAGGATTTGCTTTCTTTCGGGACAGCAAATGCGGTCTTGGCCTGTGGCTTATCAACCTTCAAGGCAGGAAAGCTCTCCTTAGTGACCCACGTGGGAGTCTTCTTGGAAGTTCGCTTCATGACAATCGGCGTCTCCTCAGGCTCACTCGCGCGCCAGCTAGGTTGGGGTGGTGGTGGTACATAGACTTTTCTAAAAAGATGCTGTTAGTTCTGGCTTCGTGATGTAACGAAGTTGACCATGATGTCCTCAATACTTACTCAGTGTCTGCTCCTCTAGTAAGCCGCTCATATTCGGCTCTAGCATATGTAGCGTACTGGAATAAGCCTCGCACCCCAGGAAGTCGATGATTCTCTCCGAGGACTCTCGCCCTCTTGCCACTAAGATCGACCGCGTCGGGGTTTGCACGGTAATTGACAAGCGTGTGCAAGATCTCGACCAACCGCTCCTCTAAGTCGTGAGCTTCCTGTCTCACAACCTCATGTAATGGCGTCCGTCCCAACGAATCCACTCCGTTGACATCTGCACCACGTTCCAACAGGTCAACGACCATGTCCCAATAGCCAAATCGACACGCAATGTGCAGAGTAGTGCTTCTTGTTAACGTGCAGACAATGGGATTGTAGAGGCGGCCTCTTTTGGCGTACTTTTTCATGGCCTTGAAAAGAAGATAGACAACGTCTTCATGATCCTGAGCCATGGCACAAACGATCGGAAGGTTTCCCTGTTCATCTTTATGAAAGACGCTTGCACCTCTCTTGATCAGGAGTGACACGACAGATGAGTGGCCAGCGGCGGCGGCAAGATGGAGAGGTCGTTGCTCCAAAGGCGCACAGCTCATCGATTTCCAGCACTTGTGATTGCACTGATGGCGATAGGCAGTCTGCGTCGGGAGGTTGTGGTCGGCACCAAAACGCAGCAGCACATCGGCAGTCTGTGCCACATTGGCATCCCATTGCGTTTTCTCAAGGACAAGAGCCCTTTCTGCTTCCTCAGCCTCTGGATACTCCGGCCAGTAAGCCTCCTCGCAACGAGAAGACTCTGCGTCCTCATCTCTGGCAACACTCTGAGAGTCCTTCTGTTCATCAGACAAGGCGAAGTCTCGAAAGCGGCTCCACGGCAGCTTCCGCATCATGGTAATGTGAAACGCGGTATAACCAAAAGAGCTGTAAGTGTTGGGATCGGCACCTCTGGTGAGGAGGTATTCTACTGTTCTTGGAAGAGCATAACTGCAGGCAGTTCGGAGCGGTCCGTCCAGAGCCCCCAGACTTGTGCTGATAGGTCGAGAGATCGCATGATACAGAGGCTTGAGGTCGGGATACAATGCCATTTCCTCGTCGAGATTGACGCCTTGTTTGAGGAGATATGTTGCCATCTTAGGCGCATCATAGAGCAGTGCGGATTGAACAATGTCCATGTCCTCCATGAGGGTGAATGATCTGTGAGCGTTAGCCTCTGAGGTCTGATTGAACTGGATCGGATATCTCACCCTCTGAGACGTGATGTATGCTTGCTGTCAATCGCCCACTGCATCAAGTTCCGTGAGTCGTGCTTGGCCGCATGGACGAGGACAGTCAAAAGACCATGACTGAGCCCCTTTGACTCTGCCAATTCATTGAAGGCTCTGTCAAATAAGGCTTCTGAAACAGCCCAGTAAAGACCGCGGCAGCATTGGCTGAGAGAGCTCAAGTCATTCTTTCTCTCGATGTAACCGATAATCTGGTCCATCAGCTCCTGCGGGAGCTTACTGATGGCAGCCATTGTGCGTGCCGTGTGTTGTTCTTTTGGGGATGAGATATGCAAAAGAGCCAAAATTGATGTTGCAGAAGGGAAAAAGCCGTGAGTGTGGAAGAAAAAAGAAGGTCGAGGTGAATCATATGGGCAGACTTTATATTTAGGTGTGTGAAGTCTAAGCCAAGCCACCAAACTTTGTGTGCCAGCTGTCAAACAAAGGTGAAGAATAGCCGAATCCTTGACCGCCGAAGTCAATTCTATTGTCGAGTCTGCTTAATTGTTCCTTTTGTCATTGTCGTCGGTAGCACAGGCAGATGTTGATGAAAACCCCTATTTCTATCTTGTAAGTAGGTAGAGTCAGCAGAGGTAGCTCACCTCGATCTGCCTGCCAGGATATCGCTCTACATACATAGCGCAGCCCTCAACCGTCGAATCTTACCAAAGGCAAATAACCCAAAGCATTATACCGTTTCGTATATGAGCTACGAGTACAGTTACATCCATATGTATGGATAGCATCTCTCCTGATCTCGATATTGCCACGTCTCTCTTGACTCCAGCCTTACCCAGAACTACCAGATAAGGTCTCGCATTTTTTCAAACATCTTTATGAGCATAGCATTGACACATTGTAGCATTGTAGTACTCGAAAATACAGCTTTATCAGCGGAGCTAGATAGCAAACTGTACGCTTGTATGATCATGTGCTCATTATATCCTTTACGCCATCGCCTGCCCAACGTCTCACAGCCCGAGTTCGTCCCGCCCCTTTTCCGTCTAGACCAGAAACTCCAAAGAAGATGCTGACAGCAAAACTAGGTCAAAGATCAAACGGAGGAAGCTAATTACATCGTATAAGGCGTTTCTTTTCGGACAATGTACACCTCGCCCACGAGGACCGTGCAACCGACAATCATGGCAATGGAAATGATGGGAAGATTCACGCGGGCAAAATCTAGACTTCTGACGCGGATATGCTTTCTCGCAAGGATGTCGCGCCAGAGCAGACCTGCAAGCGAGGCGCTGAACGCAGAACTGAATGCTCCGTAGTTGACCCCAATGGCCATGCTGTACACAGTAGCCCAAAACGTTCGGTCGCTGATGGGGACACCGTTCCGCTCATGGATCTCCTGCCACTTCTGGATGATCCGGCAAAGTAGTATCGTGGTGCCAATGTTTGTTCCTGCAAACTGTATCTTCGTTAGCCCGCTACTGAAGAAGATGGTTAGAAGAGTACCTACATTGCATAGTACAACCGAAAGGAAGCCCATGCCCCCTATGGCGCCAACCGTTCCAGTCTTGTTTACCCAGTGGTCCCATCCATAGGCAAAAACCGGCACCCAGCCCTTGGTGACCAGCCCCTGAACAAGGACGAACATACAAAAGGCGAACGGAACGAGTGCGAATGGTAAATGAAGAGCAACAGCCGCCGCCGTTGGAAATGTCTCCTGGCACCACCTGAGCGCATCCTGGCCTAGGGACAATAGTGTGGCTGGTCCGCGAGGCGATTGAACAGAAGACAATGAATATTGCCGTTTTCTCTCCACGTCTTCGTCTGAAGAGGGCACGAAAAGTCCCCCAGGTTGCGATTCGGTGACAACCTGGTTCTGTGCGCTCTTCTCCCCAAGCGAACCAACGTCACTTGTGGAGTTCTGTTGCTCCTGTGTATCGGCATCCGCATGTGGCGATAGCATCGAGAGCTCCATATCAGTCGAAGACATTGCGGCGAGGGCGCGGGCGTCGGTATCTTCGGTCAAGAGAATCGTTGGAGTTGACACGTGGCCGTGGGCAGGCGGGCTTAATACTTTCCTGCTGTCTTCCCCATTCGCGCCGTAACCTGCCTTGGACGTATCATCAAGCTCAGTATCGTCGTCCCGATCTTGGGATTGAGCTTCCTTTGATTCGAGTCTCGGAGAGGAAGATTCGGGCCTATGATTCGTAGCATCTTGCAGCCCAACCTTGGCAACAGATGACCGCCTCGTTTCATCGGCCTGGTGAAAGCTTCGCTCGGCACGCGCAGTTTCAAACTCCAGTCTGCCCTTTCTCGCAATTTCGCGCGTTTCTTTCCTGTGATACCATCCGAAGCCGAGGTCCCAGCAGAACATGACAAAAGCCGCCGGCAAAGTGACCCAAAATACGGGGTGAGCGCCGCTTTTTGTGCTTGCGGCGTTAATTGCCAGCACAGTGATGAGAGTGGCTGCCATAATGACAGCACCAAATGCCGCTCCGCCTTTGTCTATGAATGGATTCATGATCTCTTCTAGCGACAGCAACTTTCCTTCCTCATCGTTGGCGAGGTCTGCCTCATCCGCATCGGTATGACCCCTCGCGTGGGGAATATTAGGGTTGACGGGCTTCTTGCCCTTGACGTGATCCGGAAGTTCGTGCATTTCGATAGAATGAGGGATCAGGTCTTCGTTGGCAAAGACAATGTAGAGCAAAAAGGGAAACAGCACGATAGCGGTGGCGACCACAGGGACAATCATGTTGGCCGTGTAGTGGATGAACTTGATGTTGAAGGCCCCCGCGAGCACAAGATTGGTCGGGTTGGAAGACACCAGGATGGCAGACGCAACGTTTGCGATTGCGAACTGGGTATGGATCCACGCTCTGGGATGTACAATGTTGCTTGATACCCGCGTCATGTAGGCCAGAAAGGCAGTTCCTGATAGGATAATGGGATCGTTTCCAATGAAGCTACCCAGGACGAAGAAGAAGGCGTAGAGATAGAAGAAGAGCCGATGCCCAACCTTGCCTCCCCATTGTAGCACCTTGAACGCCAGATATCGAATGAGACCAGACGCGTCGATGGAAATGGCAATGTAGGCCAGCGTGAGGAAGAAGGCCATGATATCAATTGGCGAAATGTTATCGGCGCCAATGGTGCCATCATGGACTTCCTGCCGACCAACAGCTCGAATGGCCAGCAGAAACAGATCCGCGATGAGGGGAGCAGTGACAAAGTTCATAGGGAAGTTGAGTCGCACCCAGGGCTTGGTCTTGCCGTTGTTGTTATTGTCGTCATCCTGCACCAGCGGAGGAGAACGAAACTGTCGCTTGGGGATGATTCTCAGGGCTCCAAGTGTATCCAAGAAGAGGTCCCAGAGTTTTCTGGGCACGAAGATGGGGATATGAAACGGACACAGGACGTTGATATCTGAGGTGAGATGTCAGTCTGACACCTGGACTGAAGCTTGGAGCTATGCTATGAAGCTGGTGTTGAAGCTGTGCTGGTGAGGCGAATTGACCTACTTGTGAGGACAAACACAATGAGCGTGATGATGGAGCGCCAGTCTTTGATCTGGCTCGTCGAGAGCGAATCGCCGTCATCCTGCGCCATGTCGGTAATGAGAACCTCGTCTTCGACGATGGTTCGCCGTATCCCAGGCTGGGGGTTGGCTGAACGCCAAAGAGAAAAGAAACAATGTCAATGACGTTGAAAGATCAAACTTGGATTCGATCTGGGTTCTCACCGTCGCCACCTGCCAATGAGTTGCGGTCAAAGGCGGTAGGGCTCTTCGGCGGCTTCTTCAGCGCTGTCGGGCGGCTTCAGCGCACTGATTTGGCGCTTGGTCAACGATTACAGGCGTCCACGGGCCCTAAGCAGCGCTGAACGATTGGGCCATCCAATCCACACCGACTTTGCTGATAACGAATCTGCAATCCACAGCAGCTTCAAGTTCTTTCCAAGGTTCTCTCTTCCAGCGTTCAGCAGACGACAGTATCGTCACTCCAATTCAACCATCAACAGCCAAACTGCGATCTGTTGAGTTTTTCTCTTATGCTTCCTCCCAGACTCAGCCCCGCTCCAATACCAGAAACCAGGCTCTTGGCTTTGTTAGCTCATCCGACAGGCTCCTTCACGTGCATCTGGCCCGAGGAACGGATTGGCACCTCTCTGTGATTGCGGCCACCAGGAAGCAAACAACAAGCCTCAATACTCGACTGTGCTGGTTCGAGTCTGTCGATCAAATTCTGGCTAATAATGCGGGGGGTTACAGCCATGCAACCTTCTTGGCGTTGGGACGAAATAGCCTCAGCCCGTCTGGGTCACCGAACCCTTCATATACCAAACACTGCCTGAAGGGATGTGCTGCAGCTTGCCTGCTTGGATTGGTGCGGCGCCACTTGCGCGACATTCGACAATGGTCCCTACCTACCTATACGATGCTTCCAGAAGGGATCAGGGTTATAGACGGCGGAATACATACCATCATCCGGACGAGGCTCTGGTGGCAGACCAGGACGACATCGAGGCGGTCGATCAAGCCCATATTTGGCCCGTCAGCTGTCGCCAGCTGGTCTGTGTAACCCGCCAGCTTGAGCAATCATGGCTGTGCTCGTCTCGTCTATGCCTCATCCAGCCGGCTGCAGCAGGGCGAGCGGGCTTATTCTGTTGCCTGGACCTCTCCCGTAGCGACGAGGTCGCACTTTGCTTGCCGCAGGATGGAGAGACACCGAAAAGGACGTATCTATGACGAACAGAGCCATTCCTTCCATTGCCTGGGCTCGACTGGACGGAATACTTTCCGTTGTACATTTGACCTGCGCATAGGTTCGTCTCCGAGGTGGCTGAAAGGGAGGGAGGGAACGGTTGAAGAGCCTCATGGCAGAGAGGGATGCCTCCTTTGAAGTTGAGCCTTCTGGTATGTCTTATAACATGCTCACTCACCACCTCCCCCCTTGCATAGGGCGCTATGGTCTTGCACCAGCTGTTGGGGTATTCCTGCACAGCCGTAGTTGACTCTACTGAGACGCTTGCCTGCCAAGCCGCCGCACGGCGATTGCACCCTCGCCAGAGAGCTGTTGAGCCGAATCCATCGGCGTCTATGAGGAGCTGATGCCGGCGCTATCGTGGGCCGCGTCGCTGAGTGATGCCATTGTCTCTCATGGCGGCGATCTGTCGGTCTCCCTCGCATCGGCAAGCAATGCCACGAATCCCGTCGATGAAAATATAAAAGTCATATGCGCGTGGCCGGTCTCTGGCCAGTATGGCCCCGGATCGAGAGTCTTGTAAGTCAAACTGGTCAAGCTGCTCCATTTAGCGCCACCGAGTCAATCATACCCTCAACCAACCAACAAAAGCACCCTGCTTGTCGGGAGCACTCAGTTGTGGGCTTTCTGACCCTTCATCAACAGATACTACGTGCTAATAGCAGCATGTCTGTTTGCTCGGAGGGAGATATGGATCAAGAACGCTTGTTTGGCTGCGGCACTGCTCCTCCCAGCTGTAGCTGCTGTCCATGGTATCGTCCTGGCAGCTTTGCATCGCGACAGTAAGGAGAACATTCCGCCTGCAGTCGACCGAGAACAGAGTTGGGGCGTCCAGACTAACGCGGTGTCAAACCATATAGAGGCTGTTGACATGGACATCTATGGTTCCTTTCAATTATGCTCAATCGGCGTCCTCGTCGTGCCAGTGACCGTCAGTCTGTCGGAGACGTATCGCAATACTCCAGGTCGCAATACAATCTTTTTGTGGGCAGGCCTGATTCTTGCCGGTAAGTATACAAACATCACCGCTCATGTCTCAGATGCTTTTGCATTCCAAACACTGCACTTCGAGGGACTCCTAGCGACTAAGTGATCACTCCTTACATGCAGGACTCCTCAGCCTATCTATCGAGTTTTACCGGGCCCAAACTTTTCCCTGCAGCGAAGATGGCCAAGGCAACCCCATACCCAACGACCCCTCGAAGTTCCCTTACGGTGCAAGCACAACGTGCGGGCTCATATGCTCCGAAACAGAGGGGCCGTTCTCACCCATGCGAAAGGGCTCATCCAGTGACATCTACGTGGTTCCTGCACCCAGCAGGCTCACCTTCGGCACGGCGACACTCCTTGCGGCCGCGTGCTGCGTCCACACCATCGTCTGGATGGCATCAATGTCGGAAATGGTGTTTGAAGACAATTGGAAACGGCCCCTTGGCATCAGGGCCGATGATAGCCAGGCCGATGAGCAGATTCCGGGCACCAACGGCGCGACCAAAAGGACCATGAAGGATGTCAACGCAATGATTCGCTTTTTCCTCTCCGTGGTGGCAGTTCCCGTGTTTGGAGGTGCAGGGCTTGCCATTCTCATTGTCGGCGAGATCAACTTCTTCAGTGGTCCAGTCAATTACCAAGTTGAGTCGTTGGCAAGCATTGGTGAGTAGTCTCGAGCTTTACCGCACTTAGCCCCAAGGCGGACACTCGCTTTTATAACGTACTGACTACGTAAAGGGCAATGGTCACCTATCGTTGGGACGGGTTTGGCAGTCATTGGATCACTTTATCTTGTCCTTGCTGCTGATGTGGATGCCGTCAAAAAGGAGTCCGATCCCACTGATGTTTGTCTTTGCACATGCTGCTCGCATCGTAGATTCGAGCCTAACAACATTCACGGCCCTTCTGAAGCATCGTCCTCTTCGAGCGGCATGGGTCTTGGATCACACGCTCCAGAGGACGGGTACACCACAGAGACGCCCGAATCGAGTACCTTTCCAGAAATGAGGCAAACTGACACAGAACCTGCCATACCCTCGCAAAACCTCGACCGTGTTCAGACTATGCAGACCAGCACGTCCAATCATACATCAGTGACCATGCAACGACACACGTCTTCAAATAGCACGGTCAGGCCACCGTCTACGACAGGCTCCAGTAGCAGGCGACAGGTCGCTAGATTCATTGTTTCTGTGGGCGAAACACTCGGCTCCAAAGCACATAATCTGGTTGATGACTCCGAATACAGAAGGGGAAAAGCGGTCGATTGGCCAGAGATTCCTGGAGAGTCAATGAGAAACAAGCGACTCCGCATCACGCGTGCCCTCTATAATCCCAGTCGGGATGCAGATGGAAACGCCACTCCATTGCCACGCTCCCCTTCCCGGGCGAGTAGCTCTAGGGGAGATACCAGAGAGCGGTCCCCTCGGCCAGGCCTATCGCCGTCTCGCTCCCATTCACCCACGCGTCCGCCTCCTTCTGTAGCTCGACAGCAGCGAGCCGGTACAATGCCAGAAACACCGACGTTTAGGCGTCAAAATCACCGCCCATCACCTCTGCCTCTTCGGTCGCAAGAGCACCAGAGGGCGCGGAGCGATACACTCGAAGTTCCCTCTATAAGCCATCATACTTCTTCTCAAAGCCATTATCCGCAAATGGTTATGAGCGGAGGGCGAGGTCTGACACAAGACTCACAAAGCGGTGATGGCAGCAATGAAGAGACAGCTCCGGCTGTACGGGGTGCGAAAGCGCCTTCCGTCTCATCCCCACAAGAGTCACCATCATCATCCTCATCATCATCATAGTTCTGCATTTTGGATTATTGAATATCGTATTGGCATGGTCCCAGTCAGCCGCTTCGCATTTACCAAGCATTTTGGACTCTGGCGTTCAATCATTCCCCGTTTCTTTTCTTCCATCATATTTCAGAGATCGAATGGCATCTCAACTTCACCAAGACATGCATATGGGTAGGATACAGCGTTTCAAGGCCTTCATAGAAATAGAATAATGCATTTAATGCTCTCGTCTTGCATCAACTCGACGGCTCTAAAACAAGGCAAGCTTGTTGACCACTTGAAAGGGTAAAGTACAAGAGGAGAAAATCACCGCCATCTGTCTCAGCAGTTGTCCCGGCCTCCGTCATGACATCTCGCGATTCCCATTCTCGCAACTGTTCTAAGGCTTCATCCTGGCGTACCGCATGATACCCGTCTTGACGTCCAGCTCGACGCCCACCGTGACGTTTCGGCCCTGGAGGTAACTGCTCTGATATCGAGATTGTGATCCCTACCGCGGTAACAACAAGCGCGAAAAGGTCTATTGCAATAAAAGCAACATACACAGAGATAAATCCTACAATCTCAGCATCACCAACAGCTCGGAACAGCTTGAGCCATCGGATGCATAGAAAGAGGCATACGCAACAAGTGACAACCGGTACAGCAATGCAAATGGCCAGGGAGCGTATTACCGCCACAAGGCGTGACACCTCCCACTTGAAGAGAGTTATCGCGTCGGTACAGTCCTCTATCAGCAAAGGCAAAGCGTAGTGATAGCAAAGGTTCGTGAAGCAAGCGACAAGGGCCGCGATGTAAAACATGCGCTCCTCGGGTCGATGTTGAGCTAGAAGCGCCAAAATGGACAAGACGAGCCCGGGGATATATGGGCATGCGATTAACAAAGCAAGTACGAACATGGCGAAGGCTTGCGAAAGTAGTGATTGTATGAGATTGTTGTTGGACAGTGATGAAGGCGCGTATGTGGCTGGCAGAGTATGGCTGAGAATGGCGAAGAAAGTGACTCGGCAATATTGCGAACGAATAACTCTGAAGACGATGTTCTTTTGGTGTGCCGTATGAATAGCAGAAAGTAGCTTTGGTGGAACAGGCTGGATCCACCAGAGAGTGCTTGAGGAGAGAGAAGGGGAATAGGAAGAGAAGTATGGGTCAGCAGGTTGAAGAGCTGTATTTATATCTATACCATACACTACTATTATGATTACCGTAGCATACTTCAGTAAGTTATGTCCAGTTTGCTCAGTTGCTAATTATGTGACTTACGTCCGAGCCCCTTGTTCAAACTCTCAAAACTTCTGTCCAATCCGGAGCCGTGAGGTGGTATCTCAAGGGACTCAATGATTGCCTCAAGCTCAGGTACATGTAGTTACACTGGCGCCTATGTTATATATTTAGCATATTAGGGGCATGAGATATATATGGCTTGGTAGCTCGTTTGTTCGGTGCTTGTTACCTGTGCTGGCCCCAATCAGCTACTTCACGATATCATGCGCTCTAGACTGTAGCAACGGTCTACCTTGTCTTCCGCTCTACGTGCTTCTTACACGGATTTAGATTACCATATCATTAGGTTCTAAATAGGTATCTCAATTACAACACTCGAAGACATGAAACATGGGTCCATATGCAATCCTTGCAAGTCATGTATTCCATGCTCATCCAAAGTTCGAGCAAAGATTTATAACCAAAGCAAACACACTACCAGTCTTCCCCCCATTGATATCCATCCCTCTCGGGGTCCATTCGAGCATATGTCCCAGCTTCAACTCAACAAGCCTGAATCTCCAGACACTTCTTAAACATCACACCCGTAGCTACAGCAGCAACTCCAAAGATGAACCATCCAAAATTAATGACAATGTGCACTACCATGGCGGAAATACACCCAATAGTGTACGAGACATCCCGAGCTTCACCGTTGGCCCGGAACAGCCTAAGCCACCTGACGAATTGCTGGAGGAGCACAATGTCAGCTATAACGCAAACAAGATGCAACAGAACAAGGCAGTTCCCAACGAATCGCATGTATGCTTTGTTCGGTTTGAGTAAATCTTCAATTTCGAGTGGCTGGCTCAGCTGCCCAGCTTGTTGTTGTTGGTTCTTGCGGAATCTGGCAGCCTCGCATAGACCAAACCAGCACCTGGCCACAAAGCGTAGTGGTTGAGAAGCAGCATCGACAACTTCCGGTTGACGTCCGTCCACTCCCGACCGAACCATCATATGGCGTCTGGTGAAGATGGGCAAGCACATGGCCACGAGCCTTGTTGTCCGCCTAGTATAGGTGGTGATATGAGATCCGTCCTGTTCCATGACATCCTGAACCCTGTAGTGGACCCTTTCAAGGATGGGAAAGAACATCCAGATGAATTTCACTCGCCACTTGAATACCTGTGTGGTTTCGGCTTTATGTCCATCCTGTTGCGAAGTTTGCATCATTTTCGTAGGCTTGCCCTTCCAGGAGAAAGTCGGCAGAGAGAGAAAATGGGAAATGGTGTGAAGAAGGAAGACAGCAAAAGCCATAATGGCATAGCCTCGCTGTTGAGACAAATCCTGCTCTTCAAACCGCTGGATTGTGTGCCACATCCAGACGTTGAGCACGATGAACCCAGCCAAGAAGAGTGGATGACATAGAGCGAGAATTATTCCGATTATCCACAGCAGGCCAGCAAATGCCCCAGCTGAAAGCCCGGCAAAGAGCCCGACACACACTTTCAGAAGCATACCGACCATGTTTGACGAAGTTCACCGGGATCTTGTGACAAGGCGTCGGAGGGTCGTCGGCGAAGGTGGTGATAGCGTATCTGGTTGGCAAGATATGTGATGAGGCAACGCCAGAGAAGTCGATAGGCAGAAAACGATGATAGTGATAAGAACGATGAGACTCAACAAAGACGGTTTGGTTCTCGTCTTAGTTATGATAAAAAAGCGAAGAAAGAAACGTCGAGGGCGAATAAGGCATCCAGGCTCATATGTGAGCGCTGACTGTTAAAGAAGGAGAGCCTGATATAGGAGATGCAACAAGCGAGCACAATAACCGTCTTTATATTGATTTGTTTCTTCCCTATTACTGCTATGATAGCACGCATTAGATGGATCAGACCAAGCTTGCTCAATACCGCTTTGTGGAGGCTGCATACCAGGGGCCTTTGTTCAATCGTACCTGAAAGGACACATGTCTTATCTTCTGGAGCTTCTGAAGGCAATGGCTTGAGATACTTAAAAAAGGGTTGGGATACGTAGCTATGCAACAATGGTTCTTTGTGCTTTTTATGGCATACAAGCCCGTCATAAGTAGTGCATCGAGCTGTTTGCTTGGTGTTCGTTGTTTGTAACCGGGCTTGGCGAGGCAATCTTGGGGCTACAGAGTAGATAAATGATCTGGATGATTCGATAGTCATTTGCAGAGATATTTACAGCTTTTACTAGTGTAAATGTTTACACACTCGGGCAACGATTCAGCACCAGACAAATCAAATTGCCTGGTCAGATAGACTACGAGGATGGAATTAAAGAAGAACAGTAACATGAAAGAATGATCATAGAAATGAATGGAAGGCCTATGCAATAGGCTGCTAATACATTCACCCTAATCCCTATCTCAACTTCAACAGAGCATACCAAACTATCCAGACGTCCTCCCTTACTCTATTCTATGCAATGTTGTCATTAGACAACACATGAAATAAACGAGGCCCCCAAGAAATGACAAGGCAACGGTGGCAATATTGAATGCCGAGACAGCAATACACGCAATAGTATACGAAACATTCCGCCTCTCGTCGTCAGCCTCGAACCTCCTGAGCCACCTAATATACGGGAAGAGAAGTATAATATCAGGTAGCACGCAAACGGTAAGGACAACGGCCGTCAGACAGAGACTCGCAACTTGCATCTTGATCCCCGATCCCAAAAATTCCCACCAATTCTTCTCCTGCCGATCCGAACTGTAGCCTGCCATGGCACGGTACATCATTTTCAGGAGGGCGATCAGGTGGGCAGCGGCGGCGATGCCATAAAAGACGGTGGCCATTTGGCAGTATCTTCGATCGATTTTCCGGTGCTGCTGGTCAAACTCGTGGTTGCGAATGTGCTGTAGCCACTTGCAGAGGATGATGTATCCTGTTGCGAAGAAAATGTGCAATAGCCATCGAAAGATGGAAAAGAGCAGGACAATCCATGACGCGAGGCTTTCGGCGTCCATGGCCATGATAGAGGGTGAGGTTGTGTAGAGGTGAGAATGTGAATTTGCCGAATATGTTTGGGCAACGAGGAGGACGGTGGTAGTTTGATACGGATCAGTCCATCAAGGAGAGCGGAGACAATGGATGTGATAAAGTCTGGCTTTCTGCTGTATGATGATCCGAGCAGCGATAAGTAAATGATTCAACAGTCTGAATCCCGGTGAAAGAACACTACTTGTAGGAAGGAAAGGAAAGGATTTCAGTTGATGAGCGAGGCAAGTCGAAGAGAGGTATTTGTACCTGCGTTTCCCGTCGCTAGCAAGGTCTATGTTCTACAAGCCGCCAGGAAAGTGCAGTCTTGGCCGTTTGCAAGAGTGAATCAAACATTTGTCTATCATTCACTGCACAAATAGATCATGCTCGTCTAGCTGCCGAAGCCGAGTTTCAAACGGGATCCAACACATGATGGACTATTGGCACAGCGCTTGGTAATCTTCTCAAAGCAAACAGTCCAGTTTCTATATAAAGATTCGCCGTCAAAGGCCGCAAGATATTTCAGGAGATACGGGAAATGCTCGTCTGACCTACCGAAACTACGAGGGATGCCATTGAATCAGGTTGCCTGTTTCTTTGTCTACCTTACATGTGTTGTCATTGGATCCAGCCAACGAACCCGAACTGCCGAAACAGAACGCGCTGGCAAACACGGTCGATATATTCTTAGCTGCTACCTAGGTACTATATCGAGCAATAATAAGAGACATATTATCTTGTACCTTAGCTTTCATCGATACCAACAGAGGAACAATAATAGAGCATGCTATCTCTGGAGCCAACACACAAGTCGTGCATTAACAAACATAGGTTATTGCATACATTCAATCCAATATAGACAGTGAGCAGGTGTACCTGGCTATATGTTCTTTGTCCTGCATTCGAAATTGACACAGGCCATTCAACCATAACATGGACAGGGTGATTTGAATCCAGGTAGTTGGGCCTCATCTCGACATGGGAAGGAATCCTTACTAAGCTAGACGTTTCTCCAGCTTATACAGTAATTGGCACATTCAAACAATATAGGACTCAAGCCCTCTCTTTCTTCTAATTATCTGCACTATCTTAGCTGACAGGAGCCATTCGCTGTCAACCTCCTCTGTGATAGTAGTAGGGCGCCTGTCAAAAGGACCCTTATGACGGTGACGTCACCGTTGAATCACCCACGCACTTCCTAAAGCGGACATGACGATGCTCTGAGCCCTCCCTCATCAGCCTCAGCCTATAGTGACAGGATGTCACTTATAAAACAGGATTTGTTCACAACGACAGGACTAAAAACGGCCGTCAATCCGTAGCCATGCACCTGCCATGAGGTTCCCCAACTTTAAACTACATGGTACCTGCATCATCCCCCTTCCCGCCACTCAATTTACGCAGACTCACAACTCACTTTCACAACTCACAACTTACGACTTACGACTTACAACTTACAGCCCGGCAACCGTCAAAGTCGTCAACGCCAAGACAGCTTCACATCACCAACATATTCTCCATAACATTACCGCATAATCATCAACCATGGATCTCCTCCTCTCCGTCCCCATGATCTCCTACTTCCTCGGCCCAGCCCTCACCTCCTGGTCCACCTCGCTCAACCTCCTCTTCTTCTACATGACCTGGTCCACCCTCGTCCTCTCGCAACCGCCCCTCGTCGTCCACACCACCGGCATCCTCGCCATCCGCATCGTCTTCTTCCTCGTCCCCTCCCTCGCCACCCTCCTCTTCGACGTCTCCCTCCCCAGCCTCGCAGAGGGCATCAAGCACGGCGGCCGCAGCGCCCTGCCCCCGCGCGACGCAAAGTCCCTATCCCGCCTCGTCGGCCTCGTCCTCCTCAACCTCGCCATCCTCACCGCCGTCGAGGCCGGCATCGACTTTGCCTTCACCCTGTTCTTCAAGGAACCCATCTTCAAAACGGCCACCACGTTGCCTCTACCGTGGCAAATCTTCAAACACGTCCTCATACTCCTCTCCGCGCGCGAAACCCTCCTCTACGCCATCCACCGCTTCGCCCTGCACACCAAGTCCTCCAACTCTACCTTGCGTGCCCTCTCAAAACGGCACCAAAAGTACGCCCACTCAAAGGCCGGCGCGCCCTTCAGCCTGCGTCTCCTGGCGGACCATCCTCTCCCCCTGCTATGCTACAAGTTCATCCCGCTCTTCCTCCCCGCGGCCCTCCTGCGGCCTCACATCCTGACCTACTTCCTCGTCTTCGCGCTCTGCACCGGCGAGGAAACGCTCGCCATGTCCGGGTACACGATTGTTCCGGGCATCATCATGGGCGGTATCGTTCAGCGCACGGCGATCCACTACGCCGGCAAGGGGACGTCCAACTTTGGGTCGTGGGGCATCCTGGACTGGCTGAATGGGACGAGTCGCGGGAGGGATGTGCTGGAGGACGTCAAGAAGGAGGCGGACAAGCATCAGCTGCAGGAACGGTCTGCGAAAAAGGTTGATCAGGGGGCTGGCGCGCTGCAGGAGGGGTTTGACAGCTTGAGGGAGGGGGTGAGGACGAGGTCCAGGGGAGGGAGGAAGAAGGCTTCGCAGTGATTCGAGGGTCATTTGTCGTTTTGTTTTCCTTCTGTTTGGTTATAGTGTGCGTTTTAACGAGCAATCTTGATACCATCATGAGTTCTGTTCAATTGATGAAAGATCGCAATGTACCAGCTCTCGTCACCTGGACTCTTTAAACGCAATGAATAAGGCGTTCCTGTCTATGCCCTATATATGAGCTGTAAATATCTCAGTGCAGCCTCCCAGCCATGCGTAAACTGTCCTCTTGAAAATACCTCCCTCTAGTAAGTCTATAACACTTACTCCGCAGCATAAACGCCATGATAAGCCGTCCGTATGTCGTGTATCTAAACCCCAGGCAAACACTCCAAAGTGAATCGCATTCCATCCCATCTAGAAGACCCTTTGCTTCTCCAGATGCATCCATCCCACCCTCCTTCTCTCTTCACCAACCATTCTTCTTCTTGAACCAAGCCAGCGTCTCCAGACCGCTCGTCGCCCGCATTCCGATTCTGGCATCCAGCACGTACGCCTCCCAGACCTTGACCTTGTTGATCTGCTCTTCGCACTCCAGCATCTTCTGCCTCCTGTACTCGAGAACTTGCTCCTTTTCGCCCTCTGGGGGGTTGCAGCACTCGGTCCATGCGATGGCGCCCAGTTCGTAGACTGCTGCTGGCATGACATAGTCATCTTTCATCGTGCCCTTGAAGACAGATCTATAAATCTCATCAGTAAGGTTCTTCCCTCGTTCCTAAGCCACAAGGCATGAGCTTACTTGTCGTGGGCAAGGATCTTGTCCTGCAAGAGTGTCCTCGCCTCGTCCAGCTTACCCGCGCCTCTCAGCAGCGATGCCCTGCTCACGGCCCAGACACCCATCTCGTCTTTTTCCTCCTGGATCTTGGCGATGACCTCCTTACTGGCCGTGCACCGCTCCCAGCTCAGATAGTCAAGGCCCTTTTCCAACTGTTCCGGGCCCATACGCTTCTGTCCATTCCATACGTAGCACATCTCCAGCGCCGGACTAGAGCCAATTGCATCCGCCAGGTCAACGCCCAGAGCCTTGGCTCGGTCTTCCCACTTCTGGATTTTGCGCTGTAAGAAGGTCTCCAGAGGCAGCTGGCGTGCCATCAACCGCTTCTTGCCGATCACCGTCGGTGCCTTGCGGAAGAACTCCTCGGTCTTGGTCTTTTGCCGCCTCGCCTCGTCCTTGTCGCCTGCGTGGAATGCATCTCGGTACAGCTCCACGGACGCACAACCAGCCATGTAATAGTACATTGACGGGCTCCAGTCGTTGACCTCGAGGCACTTCAAGAATGAATCGCGCATGAGCTCCCATTCATAGGAGAACATGCCGTCGAGAGACAGCTCAAAGTTGTTCAGAGCAGCAACCTGCTTCATCTTGGACTCCTTGCCGGTCTTGAGCAGCTCCAGCGCCTCGGTGAGCTTGCGCTCGTTGGCGAGCATTCTCGACTCTTCCACTCTCCACAAGCGCGAGTCCGGATACCGGGCTCGCATGTCGGCCAGTAGCTTCTCGCACTTCTCAATCGGTGGTCCCACGGCTTCGGCATCGTCATCGTAGTCCTTCTGGTCTGGCAGAATATCGGCGGCTCCGAGCAGACCGTTGTAAAACACCAGCAGCATCATGCCGGCGACAGCGCCGTTGATGTTGGAGTGCACGGCTGACTTCCAGAGCATCTTGACGGCCCGCGAACGGTCTCCGTGGAAGCCAACGACGGACAGAATGCGCGAGAATGCAGGCGGGATCAGGCTGAGGATGAGCAGGAGAACTCCAAAGCACATGTTGGCTCCGGAATGGATGAACTTGTCGACGGGGTTGCCCAGCTCCAGGTCGGAGCTCAAATCGGAATCCTTAGACCGCAGGCTCTCCTTGGACGCACCCTCCAGCTTGCCCAGGTTCAGCCTTTCCAGCTGCGAGACGGGTAATGCATCGGCCTGGTCGCTGGGAGTCTGCTGTCCGGAAAGGCTTTCGCTGCCGTCGACGGAGGCATCAGGGTCACTGCTGCCATTGGTCGTTGTCGTCGCACTCGATTCCGACCATGAAGAGTCGCTGGTCGACGAGCTGCCCACCAGAGACGTCCGAGACGAGCCCGCCGGCGACTTGCCAAAGATCTTCGCCTCAGACGCCACGATGGCATCGAGCGTCAGAAACGCCTTTCGCAGCTTGTAGAAGCTCCGCATGGCCTCGACCAGACTCTCATGCAGCACGCCGACGACGGCCCCCATGAGCTGCGTCTCAGCAATGATCAGCTCGTACTCGGTCCCCGGTGGATACAGCTGGCTGCCGTTGTACGCGGGCCCGTGTTTCTGCGCGCGCTTGAGGTCGGCCCAGGCCCTATTCTCGCAGTCGTTGAGCCTCGCCGTGGCCTCGGTCATGACCTGCTTCTCGAAGCCCAGGACGGAGCGCATGAAGAAGGCGACGGCGGAGCCCATCTCGTGGAAGGACGAGTCGCCCAGCTGCAGCTTCTCCCAGGCGCCGTCGATGTCGTCGTTCATGATGAGCTCGACCCATTTCATAGCCTCGACCAGATTCTCCTTCTCCTTGGCGATGCTGTCCATGGGCGAGGGCGACTCGGCGCCGCTGCCGGGTTTCGCGCCGGAGCGGAACCATCCTGTGAGTCGGCTCATGGCAAGCAATTGGGATTTTTTTTTTTTCCTTTCCCTTCTTTCTTGCTTCTTCTCCTTATCTTCGATCCAAGTCTCTGATGATGCTGAGGGTGACGTTGACGCTGATGTCGACGGCCAAAGAGGAGGGCGAGCCGTATGAATACCTTACCAAGAACAAGCCCGGCTGACTGATGCAAATGCTGACTTCCACAAGCAAGGATCCGTCGCCCAAATCCTTCCCGTCCTGCCTGCTCTGCCCGGGTACCTATCCAAGGAGGGGGGTTGGACAGTGGCTCAGCTAAATACTCGGTGACGAGGCCTCGAGAGAAGCGAGTGACAGGTGATAGGGCACAATTGCGTCGACTAACAAGCCCGCATGAAGAGGGAAAAAAGATAGAAATGACGCCAAAAATAAGAGAGACAAAACGACGCTTATGCCATGCAAGCACCCCTCAAAGTCACACTCGGTTTGCTGGCAGATGCTATGCCATATAGCGATGCCCAACAGCCGTAAGCGGGATCGACCAATGCAGAGCAACTCAGAAAGAGGAGAACCTCCTTCAATGCCGTTCCTTCGAAATGGTAAGGAAGAAAGAACCAAACCGAAGCCCAGTTGATCGGTTGTCAAGAAGTTGTAAAGAGAAAGAAAAAACGAAGCGAATCGTAATCCAGGTTTTGCCCGTGGGGTCTCCAAAAACAGCCAACCGTAAAGGTACAGATAGGGCCCGCAGCCAGTTCTTACAGGCACTTCTAGGCCTATTTATCGCCTCTTTATCTACGGCGTCATTCGCCTTTCTCCGGACTTGCCTGCACGTATAATTCTCTCTCCTTAGGACACATTAAATCCAGCCCTTCCGCTCGGCAATAAAGCCCTCAAGCCGAAGATTCACGACTCACCGTTGCCCATCTGCGGCATTTCGGAGCCGGCGTCCGCTAGTCCGCGAGTTACCAGGAGATGGCTGATGCCGATACCCAGGCAAATGGCGTTCTGCAAGACCGCGAGGCGTATTCGAGACACGGGATACGGAGTTGGTGAGCACACCGTCACTGGGCTCAATTTCCCTTTGCTATACTCCGAAGACAAGATCCTTGAGCAGTAATCACAATGTCCAACGGCTTAAGCAGAGGAGCATAGAGGACGGCAAGACGGGCTCGTAGATGATGCTCATCAGAAAAGACCGTTTGCCGCCTCATCCGTCATAGATGAAGATTGATCCATCAACTCAATGGTAGTAGCACAAGCCCAACTCGCCACCACTTTCACGCTGGACTCTCAATCAGGCCCCTAAACCGCCCCACGACGGCGCTACAAAGTCCGCCAACCAGGCCTGCTGTGCAGTTGCCCCAAACCGGCAAAACCGGTCAGCTCAGGCACCGTCCGGCACTAAAGCCCGAGGTCTACAGGGCTGTTTTACTGCCCTCCAGGTGGCTGGCCGTCTCCAGGGCTGTCCTCTAGCTCCGAGTCCAACCAATGCAGCCCCGGATCTGCATTCTTCCGGACCGATGCTTCCAGCTCACCCTCCCGCCGTTCTGACTGGACGAGGCTCCAATTAGGTGAGCTGGAGGTGCTTCTCCTAGGAAACAGCAGCCATTCGTCATCCTCCTCCAACCAGCACAGGCCGACTGCAACCCATCAGCTAGCCGCCCAAATCCTTGCAACAACAAGCAACACGCCGGACAACGCGACTCGACTCAGCCTCGACGGCATCTCCCTTTTCCCATCATACTACGCACTTACGATCACCCATCATCTCCGCCATCGTCGTTTCCAGCTTCTATCCATCTCCGATCCCGTGATTCTCCTCACAGGCATCGACTCCCAAACCTCGATACCACCAACCTTCAACCCCCCATAGCTCGCATCATCACAACCATGGCATCAACCACAGAAACCAAGCCCACCGAACCCGAACAGCTCAACGCCAACGAGCAGAAGCCCGAGCAGAAGCACCTGGCCCTAGGCGAGGACGACGAATTCGAAGACTTTCCCATCGACGGTACTTGGCAATCCCCCATCCTCTCTCCCTATTTCCCTTCTTCCTCTCTCTTCCCCAAACCTCCAAATCAACAAAAAAAAAGAAAAAACGAAAGAATAAGTTTCTAATCAAAAGCCTATCGCAATATAAACAGACTGGCCTGCCGACCAAACCGAAGCCGCCCAGCGCAACGGCGAGACCAAGCACCTGTGGGAAGAGAGCTGGGACGACGACGACACGAGCGACGACTTTTCGAATCAGCTCAAGTGGGTGGTTGGCTCTCTCCTTGTTTCTACTGTTCTCCTCACCGCGCTGTCGCTCGATTTCCGCCCCCGTCGCCGCTTTCGCTGAATTCAGAACAAACACATACACATTTGATCCCTCCCCTTTTTTTTTTCTCCCCTTTTTCTTTACGCCTCTCGCTGTTTCTTATTTGCGCTTGTTATTTACGCCTGCTGTTACGTTTATCACATACTTTTCCTTGGTGTTTTGCTGTTTAGACGGGATATACTGCCTACCCTACTTAATGTCTTGTTGAGATGGATTATTACCTATACATACATGGCCTTAGAACGCTTGCTTTCCCCACCTGTTCGTTTGTTTGGTTTGTTTGTTTGTTCGTTCGTTGTCATTTCATTCCTTAAGAGTACACGATCCTGACGTGTTTTCTTCTATAGGGAAGAGCTGAAAAAGGTAGAGGCGGCCAAGCGGAGATAATTCGAGGACGGGAAGGAGACCCTACGGGGACATCGATCAGGCGCACCAAGTCGCGTCATGGACATATCAGGAATGATGAGCATATAGATTGGGTCTTCCGAATCAAAGAACAAAAAAAAAGACATTACCCTGTCCCTCCATTGCATCTTGGATTCATTCAACGCCTAGCATTCACGAATGTATGCATTCACGCCCAAGTCATGACATTGATAGTGAGGTCAATATGCTATTAACATTGTTTATTTGGTGAATTCACACTAGGTATTTTATATGTATATTTCATTCGTCACAGACGGGATGCGTCGAGCCGGCCTTTTTTTTCGCCATGCCTCCCGTCATCATTTTCGCTCTCTGATATTGAGTCGTGATAGTGTTAATTTACTTACTAGACAGAGCAACAACACCGGGCAGCTCCTTGCCCTCCAACAGCTCCAAGCTGGCACCACCACCGGTGGAGACGTGGCTCAGCTGGTCCTCGACACCGTACTTGGCAGCAACAGTGGCAGTGTCACCACCGCCAATGATGACAATCTTGCCGTTCTTGCAGCCCTCGACGACGGCATCGAGGGTGGCCTTGGTGCCGTTGGCGAACTTCTCAAACTCAAAAACGCCGGCTGGGCCGTTCCACAGGATGGTCTTGGCCTCGGCAATGGCCTCCTTGTACAGCTCAATCGACTTGGCGCCGCAGTCGAGGCCCATCCAGCCGTCGGGAATGCCGGACTCATCGGTGGCGGTGCCGGTGTTGGCGTCCTTGTCGAACTTGTCGGCGGTGATGTAGTCGACGGGCAGGACCAGCTTGACGTTCTTGGCCTTGGCCTTCTCGACCAGCTGGGGCACGGTCTTGGCGCCAGCCTCGTCGAAGAGGGAAGTGCCGATGGGGATGTTGTTGAGGACCTTCTTGAAGGTAAAGGCCATGCCGCCGCAGACAATGAGGGTGTCGACCTTGTCGAGCAGGTTGTCGATGAGCTGGATCTTGTCAGAGACCTTGGCGCCGCCGAGGATGGCGAGGAAGGGGCGCTGAGGAGACTCGAGGGCCTTGGCGAAGTAGTCGAGCTCCTTCTTCATGAGGAAACCAGCGGCCTTCTGGGGCAGGTCAACGCCGACCATGGAAGAGTGAGCACGGTGGGCAGTGCCGAAAGCATCGTCTGTTTTTCCACACGATCAGTTATCTGCCGAGGGGTAGAAGCTAAGGAGGCTATGACTTGTACTTACTGACGTAGACGTCGCCCAGGGCAGTCAGGCCCTTGCGGAACTCCTCCACCTTGGCCTTGTCGGCCTTGGTCTTGTTGCCGTCCTTGTCCTTGGCGCTGCCCTCCTCCTCAATGTGGAAGCGGAGGTTCTCCAGCAGGATGACGGCGCCGTTGTCGGCGCCGTTGACAATGGACTCGACCTCGGGGCCGACGCAGTCAGGGGCAAAGGTGACAGACTTGCCCAGCAGGCGCTCGAGCTCGGGGACGACGGGCTTGAGGGAGTACTTGGCGTTGACGGCGCCGTTGGGGCGGCCGAGGTGGGACATGAGGACGACGGCCTTGGCGCCATTGTCGAGGGCGTGCTTGATGGTCGGGATGGCGCCGACGATGCGCTGGTTGTTGGTGATTTTCTTGTTCTCGTCGAGGGGCACGTTGAAGTCGACCTAGAATGTCGTAGCTGTTAGCCAGCTGTAGATGGATTCGAGCTTATACATCTTCTGCGGTCATCCATCCTCCTTCAGTGGCTTCCTCCAGCTGAGCTTGAGGTCCGTGCCAAGAGCTCCAAGCTCTGCCATCTCCCCATTTCTCCCCTTCTTTTCTTCCCTTTCTCTACTCAGCGCAAACAGCAAAACCCCTCCATGCTGTTGTAATGGCGGGGCAAATCCAGACTCACCCGAATCAGGACCCTCTTGCCCTTGAGGTCGAGGTCAGTGATGGACAGCTTGTTGGAGAGAGACATTTTGGCAGGAAATGGGCGTGGATAGCGAGAAAAGAGTCGCGCTGTTAGGGAAATCGTGGTGAAGATGTATGGAGGAGACAAGGAGAGAACCAAGCTGAGATTCTATGGGAAAGAAAAAGCACGCAGAATCAAGCTGTTACGATAGGCAAGCTTGGAGGGGCCGAGGTGGGGTCGTGAGCAATAGATTACAGCAATCGATTGCTCGATACAGGGGATCGCTCGCTGGCAGCTGTGGGCGGGGGAGCCTCTGTAATATTGATGGATGGATCTCAAGCAGCCGTTAATTGAGTCCCGTCTTCATTCCGACCACCCATCCCAATCCGCTGCAGCTCAACCACGCCAGAGTGACGTGAGCTTCACTCGGCGGCGAAAATCATGCGCAATGTATCGCCATCAGTCGCCTGCATCTGCAGTTCCAATTGATGTCTCGTATTCTGCATTGGCATCAGGCCATAATATCACTTCATCGAGAGGTCAAGCGATTTACCTTTTGTACAAGTAGCAATTCATACCTAAGCCAGACCAATTGGTTACGTCAGACACGGAGGATTGGGTTACATTTACTTCAGTTCACCAGCAGAACAAAGATGCCGACACATAATACCTACGTAAAATGCGTATATATGTATCATCTTGCATGCCTAGTTGTCTTCATCTGTTATACACTGTTTGAGCGATCAACTCCCAACCGTCTCATGTCCGATATCGACAGCAACGTGGCGGTGCAGAAACGATGGACGTGGTTGAAACTCCAAACGCCAGCACTTTGAGCGCAGACCCGCGCAGCAAAGATCCCATCCTGAAAATGATATGCGACCTTAATCTTAAAACCTCTTTCTCTCGCGCCTCGCCGTTCAGTACAACCAAACCTACCCCAGGGTTCTAGGAGTTCGGATCTTGAGTCTTTTGACCACCACCTTTTTCCCTCTTCCCAGCATGTGGCCCTTGGCGCTGTGTGTATACCGCGGATCGTGCAGTGCAGTGGCTGGTGCGTTTCCGGCCGTATCGCTTAATCAGATGCATTGGTAAGGGAGAGGTAGGCGGTCCAGGCAATACCGACAGTCGAGACGAATGGCTAGCATCGAGTATTAGCAGTTGATCGATCAGTCGTGCGCAAGCAGATACTCACCAGTTGGAACTGCACCGGCATCAAGCGAAAGTTGATGACCTGCACCGCCGGCCACACGACGTAGTTGGCCTTGAGCGTGGGGATGTACATGTCTCGCAGCTTGTGGGCGACCGCACGACGGCCACCTCCCTCGGCAATGGTCATGGCCGTGAAGAAGACACCAACACCAAACGGCGCAAAGATGAGCTGATCACAGGCAACTCGCTTCATGGCAGGCACAAATGCGCTCCCTTTGGAGATGGGGAACATCCTCTCGAGGAGCTTGAACCATCTGAACTGCACAGGAGCCATGCAGAAGCCGTATGCCATGAATCTCGTGAGTCGCTCAAAGTCGAACGGCGGGGGCAGGTTTTTAGAGTCGGGGATCAGCTCGTGGTCGAGGAACGGATTCTTTTCGTCCAGCTCGTGGATTTCGATGGCGAAGCTGTCGTCCTTGGTGACTCCGCCGGGCTTTCTGACGGCTCGCTCGCGCACGGCGGTAATGGTTTGGGCCACGGTATCAGCGATGCCACCAAGGATGGCGTTGGTGACCATCATGGTAATGACTGTGAAAAGAGATTGGTCAGTTACTGATGAACTCGGCAAGGCGATTGTTGGTTCGTAGACACGTACGAGGTCGTTCGTTGTAATGCGCATTGAATCGCGCCGTCAGCCGGGCAAGGAGCGCCATTTCGATGAGGAGGACGATTGTGTGGAGGAGAGGCTGTTGAGAAGTGGACGAGTCAGTCAAGAATTGGGCCACTGAAATTTATTCAGATGATGGACGAAGAAGCAACTGCAGCTGCGAGACACGAGGCTCTGCCAAGTGAATCGTGCGGGTAGCCACAGGAACGAGTGGGTAAAGCATGATCGGTCGCGCACATACCAAACGGCCATAGATGTACTTGCTGTTGACGGCACGCACAAACCGTCGTCGGTTGAGTTCCCAGGTCATGATGCCAGAGAGGAGAGGAGAGGAAGAAATAAGGAGTCTCGAGAGACGATCAGGTTTTTGATGAGCAAGCGTTATCGTAGCCAGAGCGAGTCTCACTTGCTGCCAAGTGGACCGGGAGTTGACACGATGACGACACCGGCTCGACCTGGTCCCGGCTCGCACCAACAGAAATCCTCCGAGCGGGTGCGCCTGTAGGTAGTAGCAGCGGGTTGATACAGGGGGGCGATTCAGTAGGGACGGCGCTGTAGCTGTCAAGATGGGGATCAGTAGCGGCGGGCTGTGATTCCGGGGAAAGGGGCCAGTTTTAAGGGTCGCTAGGTAAAAGTAGGATGAAGAGGTGGAAGAGAGAAGAAGGGAGAATAGAGAGAGAGACGGATGGAGAGGCTCCCAGTTCCATGCCGGTGTCTCGTGCCTCTTCCCCACGTCCATGTCCGTCATGGGCTTGCTGTCGTAATACGTTTTTGGCTGGTACTCTGTACGAGCCGCAACGCGCCACGGGCCACATACATCCCCGTACCAACGACTCCTTGGCACTAACAGACGTCCGTCCCCCTCCTCTGAAAGAACAGCCTCATTCTCCTCCTCCCTTGAGTCGACGCAACCATTTTCAGACGCGCAGTTGTCTCTCTTCAGCAAATCAAATGTGCATGTCTAAACTCCCTCAATAACTGTCAGTGCCCCCATTCACCGCATGAGTACTCTGAAGCCAGTGGAAAAAGACCGCGCGCCTGTAACGCAGATCTGCAGATCGCCGCGCTGATAATACGAGCTTATTAGGTACAAGTATCCCGTGCCTCATATCGTAAGCTTCCAAGCGCTGGATATCCGAACGTCTTATTGAGAGCCCTTGCGATAAAACTGAGCTGTAACTAATTCCCAGGAGATATCGATGTAAATAACAATTGTTATTCCTCCTGGGGTCCCACTGAGATAAACATGAGTTGAACAATGGGATACACGCAGAGATGGTCTGCGTCCTGCTGATCCTCAGTTTCTCATTCACTCCTTACGCAAGCCTTTTCTCTCTGCCTCAGCGGCTGGCTGTTTGATCCAATAAGAATTGATTTCTCCGTTATTCTCTCATTTCTCACAGTAACAAAGAAACTGACTGCGTCTGCATAGAGTCGTGGTATATTGAGAAAAGAACAAAGCCGAACTCATCATTAAGTCTACATAAATGATCGTCTCTAGCCTACTTCAGATATTTATCCTTTCCTAACACGCTACATGTATCTATCGGCTCGAGTTCTTTGATTCTTCCTAGGCTCTGTGATCTTTGTCCTCCTCACTCGATCGCTTCTTCTCAGTGACTCTCTTCTCCCTACGAGCCTTCCTCCTCTCATCTCCTAGACTATCCCTTTCGGCTCCGTCCTCACCTTTGCTCTCCTGGTTCTCCTCGCTTGGTTAAAATCATCCGAATCACGCGCCTTTCCTTCCTCACCTCCATCCTCAGTAGCTCTCCAATTTGACGCCAGTGCACTTCAGATCGGTTTCGAAACCAATTTGTCAATTGTTCGTACAAAGGGAGATAATATAGGCTAACATGGACCCGAGGTCGAAAGCCTCGTCCATCTTTCTGACACGAGTGGTTGTGAGGAAAAAGATGCCTTGGCAATATTTTCATATCCGGAGAATACTGCTCGGAGAGTTAGCGACGATGAGTGTTTGATATATCCTCCGAATGGATAGGGTAGATCATCCCAGGATTGACATTACCTGATACGAGACTATTGTGCATTGCATCCTTACCTGTCTCGCTAAGAAAACATCAGCCTACGAATTCTTTCAGTGACGTTCAACGACACTATCAGCTTTTGGAAACAATTCTCCTCACTTATGTTTGTTACGAATGAGGTCTGTTCAGGTCTCATTTTCGGAAACGCGAATTCTTTTTTGTCACGAAACGTGAGCTTGAATAATCATCTGCACCAGAGGTGCCTAGGTATATGTACCTTATGCTTGTGACCCTCCACGAGTATAAGGGAGAAACCTGACTGGAAATCTCATACGTCTTGATGGCTGCTATCTTCGTATTCGTTTAGTCGGCAAACTCAGGCATATTTTCAATATCAACAAACAGTTCAAAGGCTATATAGCGACGCCTTTCAGTATTAACTAGTGGGTTTCTATCGCATATGAGCATCAGAGATATATACATAAGTTTCAGTAAGGGCGTAGGCTACTACAATTTGACCAAATATATGCCATATCATAAATGGGAGACTTGAATAATGAATTAATATAAACATCACTTAGAACGTAGAAGCTAATTACAGCATGCTTTGCCCCAAATCAATCATACTACATGACTCCCTGCCAACATCTACCTCCTCATGACCCCGGCCGTTCATGGTAAACGGAATCAGTCCCGGGTCATATCTGCCATATACGCCTTGCCGTTTACGGGCCATAGCAAGAGGCGTAGACGGAGCAAGCGTAATCCTCGCCGCAGAAGACTGAGAAGTTCGCGTCGTTGGCGCGGTAGCAGGTGTAGGTGTTGCCGCCGGCACTGATGGTGCCCAGGACCTGGTCGGTGGCGGCGCCGCAGTTGGACGTCGACCAGGTGCCGTCACCGGACGGGGTGGGGATGGTGGCGCCCGAAGTCGAGCACGAGCCGTCATCGTAGAGGAACGACGAGTCGTTGCTATGATACCGAGGTCAGCAAGGTGGTTTGAACTCGATAGATGGGGGGGCTCAGAAGGAAAGTCCCCCCTCGTGTCTTATGTACATACCACGAGCCGAGGTTGTTGTCACCCCAGTGGATGTAGAAGTTCTGGACGCAAGATACGCCGCCCTCACCGATGGGAATGCAACCGTTGCAGTAGCTCATGGTGAGCTTCTGGTCGCGGGCATGGAGACTGGCGGGAGTGGCGGCGGCGGCGCCAGCCAGGACAGCGGCGACAATGGCACGAGTGAAGAACATTTTGGAGTGATTGGCGGTGGATTGGTTAAGATAAGGTAAGATTGGCGCTAGATTTGATGAGAGAAGGCAAGATTGGCTTGCTGGTTGTTCTGATGGAGGATGGACGAGAATAACTAGCTAATGATCGACGAAGGGGTTTTATACTTGTTATATCTCAGGGGTTGTCACTTCATGATACGTCTTCACTAGAAACAAACAGCCTTGACCCAACGCCGAATAAGCTTACACCGTCTTTATCGTCTTGGATATGTTGCCAAGGAACACTTCCTTGGTTATGGTTTCCAATATCCATGTCAGTCACCCGCCGCCCACCCCCCCCGGACAGCTGGGTCGAGGATAGACGCTGATCCTTTCCTCCTCCTGAAGGTAACTGCGCCCGGTTTGATACATCACACATGTGGCCATGGCAACTGGAAGCTTCTGCCTGCAGATGTGAGCCCCTGTCCAGCCAACGGCCCCCTACGCGTAAGGTCATGTTCTCTGGGTACCAGGGCTGAATATGAGAGAACACATTCCCTGAAATGCAACCCTGCAGAGCCTCAGTATGCAGTTGGAATCCGACAACTTGGTCTTTGTCTCTTCAAGGGGTATTTGCCTGTAGTTTTTAAGAAACTGGCAGAGTATTTCCTTATTCGCGGAGCATAGTGTCTCACTGCTAAACTCACCAGAACTCAACTCGGTCTTAAGGACTTCACAACGACGTCATGGCACAGACACATACGGGTACCTGAATCGGCAAACCACTGTGCTGAGATCGTGGGGAAAACGCGGGGGGTTGGAGTTTCCTCTTTGAGTACCTTACATATCCCATGTAAGACCTGACCCGGGTCGTCGCTCCGTGTCATGAATCGCGATTCTTGGCCCTCCAACGACTCGTACATACTGCCGCGACACGACAAGTGCCCTAATGACTAAACAGACAACCAAGTTCTACACGGGAAAATCGAGAGACTCGCATCCGGTTTGGAATTCTGGAATATACTTGCCATATTCAGTCACAACGGCCGCCGTGAACAAATGTGAATCCTATACGCCCCTCTAGCTTGCTCTTGGCATGGGCGCCACTAACCTGCATATATTCCAAAGGAGAATGCGAGAAACTCCAAATCGGGCGCTCCAAATGGGAATAGACACACTTATGTCATGCTTGATAACAGAGATGACCACGTCTATGCCTCTGTTCCAGGACCAGACAATGCCAACATTTTTTTGATAAGCAGCCCGAAAGAGCATACGCTGCCGTTTCTCTGGCGTTTCCATTACTCATCTGTCAGCATTTAGCCACCCATCCTTGCTTGTCCTTACAGGAGAGTGTGCTTTCGCTTAGCCGTACAGAGGTAGGGTATGTTGGTATAACATACTCTTTTCTAAGCGGAAAAATGAAGACCGTAAGCGATCTCATTGGCTCGATCCCTGCTATATCAGGTTGTTCCTTTCCAATAGACGTAGCTGCATGAGCCGCTTTTCCGTGGCCCATGCCACTTTTGAGTGTTAACCATATCCGTGTGCTTAACATCGTATACTACTACTGTAGCATTCTCGGGATCCCCACGTCCGGATCAGACCTTTCGTGGGAGATCGGCGGGCTAGGCGAAGTACAGGGATCGCTTCTATTCCGCTTCTCTGTGAGACGCGGAACGATAGTTGGTGAGATGACGTGTGCCAACGCCTTGATGGTGGGAACGAACTGTACGACCTGCTTAAGGGGGATTTTCTCGGGATAGTGGCGAAGACAGGCGCCCCCGTATTCAACATACGGCACATAGTAGCAACGGCGAGGTCAGAGGTTAAGGAAGAGTGGGAGTTGAGACGCAGGACGGACCAGGCTGGGAAGTCCTATCTGTCTGCCAGTCAAGTCACTGAAAATATATTATAGCAGCGAAGTCAAGAAGCGCGATAGTGCCTTTTGAACCTGTCTGCTGTGAGTGAGGGCCATGAAAAAGTATACACAGAGTAAACGTGGGCAGACTGGGGAGAGTCTAATAGACCTATAACCTTGAGCTGTATGTATAGGCCTTGGTAAGCCGTTTATATCGTCCAGTGCCTTGTTTTCTCTCTATTACGGCTGACTACGAGCAGTCTGTCTCAGGCCCACTATGAAGCTCATACCTGTGTTGCTTCTGCGTCACATTCATCCAGACGGATCATGTTCATGTTGTGGAATCAGTCCCATCTGAAACACTGAGCTTGCCCGATAGAAAGTAGGAGAGAGAGTAACATGTTCCTCGGCAGTGCTTTCCATCCGGATCACGAGATGATCCTTTCAAAACTTCTGTCCCCATGCAGCGTACCACGTTAAAGAACACTCTCCAGCTTCAGCTTCTCTCCGCACCTCCGCCACTAACATCTCAAGTTGCTCCAAAGTCATCGGCCTCTCCTCCTGCGGCGTATTCTGCAGTAGCATTGTGGCAGCACGGATCAACCCCTCCACCTCCTCATACCCCATCTCCTCAAGTTCCTTCGAAGCGGCACCCTTCCCCAGTACGCTCACGCCTTGTCTTTCTCCTACATTTCGAAGCACCCCCTCTCCAGCTCTCCTCACAATCTCAGCCGTCGATCCGCCCAGCGTCAGATTCATTCCAAAACGATCCGTGCCCCGTCCAATTAACTTCAACAACTTCACGTAGGGCCGGTCTCCCTCTTCGATCTCGTCCAGCATCAGGCACGTGTCGACAATCTGGATCCAACCGCCCGGTTTAAGCAACGCTATGAGCCGCCGTACTATATCGACGGCCCGGTCCATGTCACCCGCGATAGACAGCGCAAGCCGTTGGTGAACAAAGTCAAAGTACGCCTCCCACTTCTCTGGCCACGGCTTCAAAAAGTCTTGCTTCACGAGTGTAATATTGTTGGGCAGGTCCAAAGGCGGGAAATCCGCGATATCCGTGCCAATCAGCTCCGCGGTCTCCGGATCATCCAGTTGCTTCCGTACCAGCGTCAGAAAGTGCCCGTCAGCGGTTGCACTGTCAAGGATACGCAAATTCTTGCGAGATGTGTCCAAGGGACAGAGGATAAGGCTGCCACCGAGGGCGTCTACGGCAATATAGCCTTGGGCATGGAGACGTCGAGCCTCGGCAGCATCAGGAGGGGCTGGATATTGCGGGTCAGGGGCTGGATTCTGAGATTTTGACATGGTGGATGTAGCGAGTCTGATAGTGGATGTGGTCTTGAACTTACTTTCTTCACTTTATAGGTAAGCTTCTTTACGGAGATATCAGTTAGTTAAATACCTAATTCCCACTGCAGCTATGCAGTTGGGGGTATGACATGTATTGCCGTCATTGATGTTGCTGACTTGTGCTAAGCTGACAGAAGTGTACCTACTTCATGATAAGCCGACGAATGGGAGCATTTATCAAGGTTGCACAACTACACCCTTCTTGCCTCGGAAGGGTTGGTCGAATTGTTGTCTCTTCCATTTGCCTAAAGGGGCTTTATGACGTCTCAAATCAGATATCAAGGCCTGGATTCCCAGAGTATGTGTGCGACGCAACCAAAAGGGTAATTTTTCGCCGAGCCATCACTCGGCTCTCGTCACCTCCCCATCTATGATCTTCATTTCGCGCTGATGCCCCGATTCGGCTGTTATTCTTCTTCAGCCTCCTCACCTCCATCGCGACCACAACGTCGTCCTTTATCTCGTCAGCCTCACCATAGGGGAACCCCATCCCTTCATGAGCTATTACTGTTCAAGGCTCTTCTCTAAAGTAGACTACTATCGTCTCAAAAACTTGGTCGAATTGCATTTAATGATCTTCTTTTCTTTTCTATTTCTCGATTACTACTTTTAGCCATGGGAAAAGAAATACAGCAACGAGTTTCCCTGGTATTCCAGAGCCGAGCTCCTTCGAAACTGGAAAAGAGAATAGCAAGAGTAAGAGGAGTAGTAGTAAGAACAGAAAGTAGAAAGACAAGCCTTCTTTTCTGCTTTGTATAGTAAAGTAGGTAATAAGGACATTCAGAGCCGAGATGCTTATTATTGACACAATTGCGTCTGGGATAGACATGGAGAGTAAGATCATCAAACACGGGCCTGCTGCTGCAATTCATATAGTATACACATAGACCAAGCTCAGAAATTTGTTTTCTGGACGTATATTGCCTAAAGCCATGGGTCTGGTCACATCACATTGCAGTTCTAGATACATGAAAACGCCTTACCGACAGTGTGTCTCTGGATTCCAGCGCCCGTCGCTTCTATATGTCCTGCCATACGTTCCTATGCACCCTTTACATCCTTCCTTTCAATACTTAATTGTATATCGCTTACCCCATCTTCATCCCCCCATCTCTTCTTGTTGTATCTGTGTCATCTACCAAGGATCTCTCCACAGCCCATCAACATCCTTCCTTCATACAGGGTAGCCGATCTGCCATCAACATGAACCGCCAAGAGTGCACCAGGTAAGCAAGAGATCCAAGGGACGAATGAGATTTCTCATTTCAACCACACCTGAATCGAACGCGTTTAGATTGGACGTTTGTATCATGCATACATATCAGACTTACGGTGAACGATACTATTCTTACTCGGACGATAAGTAATGGCATGGTGGGTAGCATTGTCTGCAGGAGACGAGCAGCTTCACGTTAGTCCTATGCAGGGTGGCTTTTCACATGCTGCGTACCATATGCTCATGAAATTGTTTCCTCTTTTCCTCTATAACGACTACAATTCCCTCAATGCTCCTTAAGATGTGTCCAAAACGATGATAGCACCCTTGGATTGTATTAATTAGGAAGACGTTCATAAACCCATCAAAGCTGTCCTGTCATCTCACCTCGTCAGCCCAAGATAGACAGCTATCCAAAACCAACAGGCAGTCAAGTAAGCAGGGTCCAACATGCACGTGCTAAGCCTCTTCGAGCACCGATCTCAAGCCCAAGCTGTTCATTTCCTCTCCACCATCATACATCATGTCCGCCATACTACTCGCTCACCAGCTCCATCCATATCTCGGATGCTGAACCATGAAATCACCCGACTTACACGCTGCTGTTGCCGACATCAAAGCGCTCCACAGCCGGAAATACCAGGTCATGAAGCTCACGACTGATTTGCACCTCGTGGCTGCATTTTATTCGTACATGAAGAACCTCTTATCGCATCAACAGATCCTGCTGCGCACCCTCAACAGATAAATGTATCCCTCGAGTCAACCATAGGGTTGACATATCTTGCAAACCGCAACAAGAAGAGACCACAGGAAGATATCACCGATGCATCTACCTCTTCATCGGAAATGCTCAAGTGCACTGCCGACAAGGTATCGGGTGCCTCCAGGCACAGGTCTATATATAGATAGCTGCCATGTGAGATAGATGGCACTAGATGATGCAGCCGCGCCGATCCACCAGGCCTCGGGAGGGGTTAAAAATGCTGTGAAGAGAAACTAGGCAGCGAAGTGTGGACCGACCTAACGGGACTCGATGGCGTTCTTCGCCAGACAGCAGGAGAGAGAATCCCGTCCACTCCAAAGCGAGGACCTGGGGATTCGTGGTGATGACTTCACCTCTTCAAGTCACTCGATTCGAAGAAATCGTCCAAGTTCAGAGAGGAGATGGCCAGCAAGACAACCTCCCTCAGCTCGTCATAGAAAGACACCCAGACCAAGCCTTATTATATCAATCCCAACCAGAGACCCTTTTTATACACATATCAATACACCCTATCCATCATCCCTTCATCCCCATCCCCATCCCCCATAACATAGCTCACCCCTCCAACGGCGGCATGAACCCCATCCCCGTCCCCTCCCCGCCCGCACTCCTCCTCCTCACATGCTCCCTCAACCTCTCCAGCACCTCGCTATCCCTCCACCGCCGCGGCACCGGCCTATACGCAGGCTTGAAGTTGCCCACCGTCTGCGCCCACTCCCCCTTGGGCGGGCTCTTCGGCAGCGCCTCGTCCTCCTTGCGCGCCGTCGCAAAGTCCTCGCTCGACGAGGCGCTCGCGGGGCTCATCGTCACCGACGGGTTCGTGCTCGAGTTGGGCTCCCGCTGCGTCGCCCAGTAGTAAATGTCCCAGTCGTTCTCGTCCAGGAAGAGGTCGTACTGGTCCAGCTCCGCCGTCGTCATCGTGGGCAGGTGCTGCGCTGCGAAAGTCGACAGGAGGAGGTCTGATTCGAGGGTTCCGCGCTTTCGGGATTGATCTAAAAGCGGAACAAGTCAGCCCTCGTTGTGTTCCATCTGTATCTTCTGGGTATATATCATGTGCGTGAAACCGTAGAGAGTGGAAGAGGGTTCGAAAGAAAGAAAGAAGAGCTGCAACATACACAAAAGCCTCGCCCGCTTCGTCTCGTCGTCCTCGCCCACTCTCCTCAGAGGCTCGATCCGAAACGTCGCACCCTGCAGCTCGCCAACGCCGAGCTCGCCGGCCGTCGAACCCGCGTCGTCGCTTCTCCGGAGGGAAGAAGAAGTGGTGAAGGCGCATCGTGCCCGGGATGCAGCTACCAAGCACCGGAAAGGCGCGGCCGCCGCGGGACGTAACGCAGTTCTAACAGAGAACGACATGTTGTATATATGAGCAAAGAAATAAAAGAATTAGTAGCAATCTTTGTGCAGTTTTGCAAGCAATTCAACCTGTGAAATGCTCTAGAAATTGTAAAGTCGTGTATGACGAAAACTATCAGCCGAGGCCGGATGGGCAAATTCGGCAACCACTTATGCAGGTGATTATTCATTCATTCTTCCAAGCTCCCTCTTGGGTGCAGCCTCGCAACAACCCGCAGCATCAATATATATACTCAAATAAGAAGTCCTCATAACATCAATTGGTCTAGTGGCGCAATGGCAGCGCGTTGCTTTCCGGTGGCAAAGGTTCCAGGTTCGAGTCCTGGCTAGATCGGACTAGGCTGTTCTTTTTTTGCTGCTTTTTTGGGCTGCGCGGTCAAGCGTTATTCGCTCGACGGCCCCTGCTGGATCGCTTCGTTCCGCATGAGATCGGATTCAACCCCTTGCTGCTTGTCAAGGGTGGCAATTTTTCTGCTTCAATCAGCTTCCTGTGCCTTTTTTGTCTTCATCGGCAACGTCTCTGCCATTACGTACATTTGCAAGGGTAAGCGAGAGGCATACAGAGCTCCAAACCTCACAACACGAGAGAGAGCAGCAAAATTATCAACAGCTTCAATTCAATCGTACAGGAACTACACACTTAGAAGACTAGCAACACAGACAACGAATGAAGAAACAAAAGATGAAGAATGAAAAAAATGTAGATCCATCTCATCATACAGGCAGTGGGATGATGATCATCATGTAAGTGAGGCAAAGGGCTCGTCTTTCGACACCAGCCATCGTTGCTCGACATTAGGTCATTAAGTTGCGGGATAGCAAGAGACACGCTTTTATAGACAACCCGGGGCCACGCCATGCGTCGCCCTCGAGTGTCGCCAAAGACAAAAAAACTTTTGAGAAAGACGTCAACCTCTAATGCTTTTGGTCCCATTGAGAGTTCTCCTGTAACCGTGTTGAGTACCCCGAAGAACGGCATAGCTCGCTTCCAAAGGCCAGTTCCTGCTTGCGCCGTCTACCCGATGGAGAAAACGACAGGTGTCGCAAACGCTGGAAAGGAAACCCTGCGGTCTTGATTGAGATGCTTAAAATATAAACGAAAGGAGATGCATATGCAGATGCTGTAAAGAAATACTTCGTCAAGTGGTGGGGCCAGGGGCACGTCTGTGCACCGTCCTCGCTCGTATTTGGTTTGCCTTGGTCTCAAAAGACTCCGAGGCGTCATCATAGCCCTAGGGCGTTGACTTCGGAAGAGATACTTCGATGCTTTTTGTGGCTGCTTCCGCTAGCCTCGCTCGTAGCCTTGCGCTTTGCAGACAAGGCGTTGACAGGGCCGCGGGCCATATCGCTCAGCTGCTTCTTATGCCGCCGGGCTGGAGTCAAAGGAATAGCTGCCGTGTCGAAGCGATCCGACTTCAAGCCCCTAAGGGCAGTGTAGTTGTACGGCCCGCTAAAGGCCAGGGAGTCTTGGGTCGCTTGGTTGCTCAGAATCAGCTGCTGGTTGATTTGATTGCGGCGGAAGGCGCCGACAGTGTTTGGGTTCAGATGCGACAGGACTTCTCCCATGTCGCTCGAGGCAGTGGTCGGGCGATTGGGTGACGCACGCCATTTGTTGTCGTTTCCTTCGTCGCCAGACGACTCATCATCGTCGCCCTCACCAAACGTGATGAAGTCATTGATGTTGAGCTTTTCTTCATCGTCCTCCTCCTCTTCCTCCTCCATGCTATGGGCGGTTGAGCTATCGTCGGCGTTAGCCTCGGATGGGAAGGGGAAGAATGCCTCCGCGGGGCCCATCGCCTGTGCATTGACAAAGTCACCAAAGGTGTTGGAAGAGAACATGGCGCTGAGCATCATGTTGGCTGAGTTGCTGAGCAGCGAAGGCGAATGCTCAGCCTCAATCGCCCAGGGAAAGTTGAATTGCTCAGGGGACAGGTCGAGCTGGTGCCGTCGAGTGGGCGTGAAGATCATCATCTTGCGCGTCAGTGGGTTGAGCACAGCGATGGGCTTCTTGTCCGACCGGTCAAGGTTGAAGCGGCCCACGCGAGGCTGGCCACGCTCTGGCTTGACGGGCGAGTCTGCCTCGGAATTCGATGCCTCGTCGTCGCTCATTGCGTTAGACTGGCGCCGACTCCTCTTGCGGATGATGGGCTCGGGAATGTCTTCTTCGTCAGTTGTGTCGCCATCAGCTGAGCAATTGGTGTTAGCATGGAAGCACAGACGCCAGCAAGGTGCCACGTCAAGTAATCGTATGACTCACACTCATAACCATCAAGCTCCAAAGGCTCCTCAAAAGTCGGGGTAAAATTCTCAACCGCATTGACAGGCCCAGCAACGGGCATGACAGAGGCCTTATCGTCCTCTGACAGTTGTCGAATCACTTCCTCGGCTTCAGAGTCTGAGTCCTCTTCCTCTTCTTCCTCGTAATGGCCGTGGTAGTCCCAGAAGGAGTTGGAGCCGGAGGACTCATCAGGGTCATGTTCAATCTCCTTGCGGAAGGCAGGATCGAGGGCATTTTGCGAGACGAAAATGTCGGGGAATAGATCGGCATGGTCGTCTTCTGTTTCCGTGGAATCAGAGTCGCTGTCCGGCACGTCGAAGCGAACATGGCGCTCTACGACGGGGTCCGAAGCGAAGGCGTTGGGATCGTGATAGAAGTCGTGCTCGTCGTCCACTTCTGACAAGATGCCGGCCCAGCTGGTATTGTCAGCATCCCCGTCATCTTCATCCTCAGCCTCCTCTTCGACATCGTCGTCGTCCTCATCGTCATCGTCGTCGTCGTTATCGTTGCCAGCGTCTTCTTCTTCGGCGTCGTCATCCGACAGCGGTCGAGGAGCGCCAGAGGCATTGGGTAAGCCCTCTGTGAGTATCATTTCCTCCTCGACCGCAATTACATCCTCCTCATCGTTGTCCTCGGAGTCACTGATGTCCTCGACGGCCGAGTAGCCCTCCTCGTCGGAGAGATCAAGAGATGATGATGTGTCCGAGCCACGCCGACGCTTCTGGGCTTTGGCCGCAGCTGCGGGGTACTTTTGACGAATGTTGCGAGACATGTTGTGTTGTATAGTCTTGTAATGAGATAAAACTTTTGTGTATAGAAGATTATCCTGGTAATAAGGGGGTCCGCTTTGACCGTGATAAACGGTCTTGGTGTCTGAAATCAGGCGGAGTTGGCCAGATGGATGCAGTAGAGATGCAGTCTATAGCTTCTCAATGCTTGCTGTTGGACCTTTGTATCGAGTAGAACGATGTGTGGCCGAATGAAGTGACAATTTGTAGAGTGTTATTGTTCGTAGTCAGGGATTGCAGGGAAAGGGTAAGCTGTCAAAAAGCTGAATTTGTTGAAAACTTTTTTTTTCCAGCAATTGAGACGTTGAAGGCCCTATACGAGCGGGCAACTGGCAGGATTCGTGATTCAGAGACAGGCTTTTCGAAGAGCATCCGAGCTCGAGAGCGGGAAAAGAACCTGTTGAGAAGCTTTCGTCGATTGGATTGATAACTGGATTTGGGCACGTTGGAACTGCTGGACTGCGAGCCGTGATGGGCACGGCCCGCAGTGGGCGTTTACAGCTCAGCGACGGCCGAAGGCATTGTGGCTCGACGAAGTTTCTGACTGGGGGGTTTGCTCTGGGGATTCCTGGCTATAGGGCGACTTCGTTGTCTGGATTGAAGGTGTTGCTGGTGATGCAGCAGAGGGGAGGAGAAGGGGAAGAAGAGCAGCAGAAAAAAAAGTTTTGATGGCCCCGCGAGAGGAGTACGGCGTTCCAGGTACCTCCTGCCAAAACTTCATCGCAATCCCGTAACTTTTTTTTCACTTCTTTTTGAGAATGATTCGTTCGAGGTGGGGTCTGCGCTCTGATTCGCCGACGCAGAAAGATGGAGAGAAGGCTAAGCTGATTCAAGACCGAGCCTGGACCAAATGCCGCGATAAAAATCTAAAAATCAGAAGAACCAAAGACTAAGAAAAAGTCACGTCCATCAAGCGATCGTCACCGCTTCTTTGCGTCAGGCGCTGTGATGCGCTAATTGGCGAGCGCTGTGCAGCTGCTCCCAGCGGGCGAGAGCACTAAAAGACCGCCTGTAACTTCTTGTCGTGGCGGGGCATCGTCTCCCATCAATGGATCCCCGCCGGTTTTTGCAGAGGCGCCACTTTGGACGTGCAGAATCGGCCTCTGATTTGATGCGTGACGTGCATATCGGGCTCTGCATCGCGGGCATTCGCTGCCCTTGGCCTTGACTCTACAGGCATTGGTCGATGTTGATTTTCTACGTTTTCGGATTTGATTTTGGAGAGCAGCAGTCGATCACGAGACGCAAGTTGCAGCTGAAAGAGTCCAGCAACGAGCAGCTCCACCTACAAGTTCTTGCAACGCCTCCAGTATATCATCATCGGTTACGTCCAGGAGACAGACTCCAGTCACCGTATGAGTCCTTTCACAGCGCCACTGAGGGGCTATCGCTCCTTTCTCTCTGCTTCTGAGTCATAAAAGCCTTTTTTTTTTTTTTAATGTGCCTGTTGATGGAGATACTACTGGTCTCGTATTGATAGCCGACACTGATAAGGTAGCTGGTTCAAGCCTTCAGCCTGCTGTGGCAAGTGTGGGTATCATCTTCACCTCAATCTTCTTGTCCGCCTTCATCTTGAGATATGGAAAGGTGCTGAAATGTGACAATGTGTACGAAAATCAAAATGATCTCGTCGAGACCAGCTAATGCTTCTTTATGTAGCAAGATGCTCTTCAAACCAATCCGGTGTCCTCCGCTCTATCCGCCGTCTGATATCAATACCGCTTATCGTCTGCTCTAGAGGATGTGTACCCATAGTCCAGTTCTAAATCACACGCTGTCTTCCCACAAAGAAATCAGAATCCCGCCATGACGCTCCAAAACGCCCGTGAATATGCAAACAAGTAGAATCTTAGGGAAACATGGAAAACAACTTCACGGCTTCGAATCCGCAAGCATCCCCGCAAACCGAGTCTCGTCTTTGGTCTGCTTCAAGAACGGGAAAAGCCGGGATCCTCCCGTGCCGGTCAGTTCTCCCTTCTTTTCCTTTTCCGAGGAGGAGCTCGCCAGGTTCTTGCGAGTCGAGCCGGTCCAGGGCTGCTTGGAGGGAATAAGGATGTATCGCGTCACGATACCGATGTGCTTCTGCCGGAACCTGGTCAGGGTCTCCGTGGCTTCAGTGTAGGCCTTCCTGAGGCGCTGCTCTACCTCGCCTTCAGAATCCTCGAGGTCGAGCGCGAGCTGGCGGATGCTGCCCAGACGAGCCACGTGCACGAGGAACCTCGCGTGAGGGCCTGGCATGTAGTCTCTCATCTCCTCGTGGAAGCTGCGCTTGCTCTCCGAGTGGCCCTTGTGCTCGATGCCGAGGACAATGTCCCAGAACATGATGAGCGAGCTCTGGCCGTTGCTTCCGCCCCTGAGCTTCCTCCACTCGCCTCTGCCGTTTCCTTCGTCGTAGAAGACGCCCTTGGGCAGGCCGGCAGCCTCCATGTTCATGGTGCCGGCAAGGAATGGTCGAATCTGGTGGTAGAAAACCATGGGGTCGCAGCGCTCATGCATGCGCTCCAAGAGAACGCCGACTTCTTCAATGTGCGTCTTGAGCTCTTCCAACGCCTCGATGATGACCTGGTAGTCGTGGGTCTTGATGGCCTCGATGGCACGGGTCATGGTTGGGATGATGGAGGCAGCCTTGGCCTCCATGGCGACGCTGATGAGAAGAAACCATGACTCGGACTCGGTTCCGGTAAAGGAGAGCAGGGTGCTGAGCTGCTCCACGTCGGCGAAGTCGTTTCCATGGCAGTGAAAGTTCCAGAGGTTGGCGCCAGCATAGGTCAGAGTGGGAGGCAGCTCCAGATGGGCGGAGACACGGAGGAATGGGACAGTGAGTGTCGGTGGCAGAGTCTGTTGACACAGGTTTAGTTAGCACGGAGACGAGTCCAAGGCGGTCTTGAAAGCCAGGCGTACCTGTTCAGGTAGATCCCCTCCCCAGATGTATGCGTTTGCGAAGAAGGACAAGATGACATAGGCTCTGCGCCACTCGGCTTCAGACTGCAGACGGTCTGTCGACAACATGGGAAGCTGTCTGATGGCGTCACGGATACGGCCAGCTTCTATCAGCTCTGGCAGGTTGTGAGCAACGAGCTCCCATGGCTTATAGTATGAATCCGAGAGCATCTTGGGGAGGTTCTCCTCGGGGAGGAAGGCATTTCGTGAGACGGCAAACTTGGCCAGATCTGTCGGCTCCAGACCCAAGGTCTCTTCCAAAAGGGCATGAGGAGACATGATGAATGAATGTAGCTGATATGAAAAGTCAAGAGGAGCCGCTTTTCGTTATACGCTTCGGTGGACGAAGCACAACAGAGCAAGCAAACCGAGACGAAGAGTACTGGAAAGAGGAAACAGAGATGAGGGTATTTCTTTCTCTGGCGTGGTCCTGGCTTGATGCTCTTGGACTCTGGATCCGCTGAATGAAGGACGCTTTGGCCTGTTATATGATCTTTTGTGTAGGCGGCTGCAGTTGGGAGATCGTGGAGTTGGGAGCAAGAGACTCTCGCAAGCTGACGGGATCAAACGGGGAAGCATCGAATCACGCCATGTGGACACTGGACATTGTTCGAGGACAATGATTCTCGTTGCCAAGATCCATCATGAGCCCCGTCCATTCTACGGAGGCACGGAGCACTGCAGGGCTATGCAAGGCATGAGAGGGAGGGAGCACGGATCGTGAGCTGCATGTAAATGGAGATGACTACCAGTTATCCTCTGTTCCGCGTTTACATCCGAAGCTCCGTCTTCCCATCAATAGCGACTAGAGGCTTGGCCTAGCGCCGTGCGAGGAGGATGGACTCGGAGTTGGCCAGGGGGATCGACACGTTGGGCCGAGTCGACGCCACAAGTCAGATTTCAGATTTGCGAGGTTGTTGGAGAGCTTACAGACTGGGATCCTTTGTTTGGGTCGGAGCATTGGACTGATGGCTGAGTGAAGTTTTGATGGAGACGGCCTTGGCTTCGAGATTGCGATACGAGGCGGCCGTTCCGACCCGGATTCTGGGGCAGAGATATGCTGCGAGGACGAGCAGCTGGAGTTGATTATTTGCACGCACTGGCACAGTGTATCACATTTGTATCAAGCATCACAGTGCTTCCGCGGGACTTTGCTCAACGAATTACATCTACGCATCAACACAATTGCATGCGAGAATCTCGGGGACTATCTTGCAAGCAGCATAGTCGGAACATGTCGTTGCAGAAAGTCATCATTCCCAACGGTGTTGGACTTACATGGCCGTCAGGGGGCTTGCCGGGTGAAACACTGGGAGATGTTAGTAAGATCTGTTGGTAGAATCTGTCTCCAGACAACGAGCAGACATTCATGCTAACGAAGCCCACTTGATCATATCCCGGTAATTATAACTATCTCAACGGCATAAGGGCTAAATACTCCGTAACGGACTGCAGTACCCAGTGGCGAGCCTGTATCTATTTCTGTAGCCAGTCTGTGCGTAAGAGCTCGACCGACGGCTTCACTGTTGTCTGTGCAGTTCCTCTCTTGTTGCCTCCATCTATGCATCTCAACGAGTTCGCATGATGGATGTTTTGACGACGCTATGCAAGTATTACGCGCTGGAGTAAATGTCATCGTGATTGCGTCGAGAGACGTCAAGCGAGGTGCGGCAGTTCGGCCACGGAAGTTCGGAAGAAGGATGGCGGAAGTGCGGATTTGCAACCCCCGGCCGTCTGACGGGCTTATCATCACTCGTTGCCGTCATGGGGCTCTTCCACATCGAGTAATTATGCAATCGATAAGCCGGAGAGCGGCGGCAGGACGCGGAACGACGCGGGACAAGCAGGAAAATGCATGAACAGGCAGCGCTTGGACGGAGGGAAGATAAAAAAGGGTGCTGATTAAGAGGACCAGAGCGCCACCTCGTCGAGACTTTTGCGAGCGAGAGAGACTGGAGAGAGACGGAACTCACTGAGAGAAGAGACGAAAGAAGTGCCCCTTGATGCCGTTGTTCTGCAGAGCGTTGCCTCCCACCAGAGCCCTGTCCAGACGTGCGCTGTTTTCATCATATCTCAACGTCAGCCCCATCTACTACAGCATCAGAAACAACAGCAACATGAGTCTCAAGGCCTTTGTCGAGCGTCTTCGCAGCGGCGCCCCGCCCGAGTTCCCGCAGGACGCAAACTCGCTGCAGTTTGCCCAGAGCCTCGACTCTCAGGACTCGCTCCGGCACCTGCGCGACGACTTCATTTTGCCCACCAAGGCGTCGCTGAAGAAGCGAGCGTTGGACGGCACCATTCCCGGTAAGCCAGCCATTGATCTCGCCTTCTCAAGTTGAAACGGCATCAGCATCAGGGGGGGCGAAGAAGAGGCGGAATAAAATGAAGAAAGGCAAAAGGCCGTGGGCGCCAAGGTCTAGGGCTCCGAGGACACGGGCAACTAAGGCCCAACAGCCCGTTCATTGTTCTATTGTATTGAAGGGGGTTTCTTGTCGCGGCTGCTAATTGGACGGTGCAGGACAGGTGAATAGCGGCACCAACGGCGTCAATGGAGCTGGAGCCGGAGCTGGAGCGAAGGACGGAGACGAGCAGGGCATCTACTTTGTGGGCAACTCGCTGGGCGCGCAGCCAAAGGCCGTCCGCGAGTACGTCCACGCCCAGCTCGAGACGTGGGCGTCGGTGGGCGTCAACGGCCACTTCACAGACATGGCCGCCTCGCCCCTGGTGCAGTGGCAGGACATGGCCGAGGACTGCGCCAACAAGTCGGCGGACCTGGTCGGCGCCTCGCCCAGCGAGATCGTCTACATGAGCACCCTGACGGTCAACCTGCACATGCTCATGGCCAGCTTCTACCGGCCCGACGACCGGCGGCACAAGGTCATCCTGGAGTGGAAGCCCTTCCCCAGCGACCACTACGCCATCGAGAGCCAGATTGTGTGGCACGGCCGCGACCCGGCCGCGAGCATGGTCAAGATCGAGCCCGACCAGGGCTTTGTCATTTCCACGGAAAAGGTGCTGGCCACCATCGACGCCCACGCCGACTCCACGGCGCTCATCCTGCTGCCCGGCATCCAGTACTACTCGGGCCAGCTGTTCGACATCCCGCGCATCACCGCCTACGCCAGGGAGCGCGGCATCGTCGTCGGCTGGGACCTCGCCCACGCCGCCGGCAACGTCGAGCTCAAGCTGCACGACTGGGACGTGGACTTTGCCTGCTGGTGCACCTACAAGTACATCAACGCCGGGCCCGGCGCCACCGCGGGCGCCTTTGTGCACGAGCGGCACGGCAAGGTGGAATATGACGGTGACGACGGCGACGCGGAGGCGCCCAAGTACCGCCCTCGCCTGGCCGGCTGGTACGGCGGCGACAAGCGCGTGCGCTTCAACATGGCCAACACGTTCGTGCCGACACCGGGCGCCGCCGGCTACCAGGCGTCGAACCCGTCGGCGCTGGACCTGGCCGCCGTCTCCGCGGCGCTCTCCGTCTTCAACAAGACGAGCATGCGCGACCTGCGGTCCAAGGCCCTCGTGCTGACGGCGTACGCGGAGCACCTGCTGGACCAGATCAACGCCGAGAAGGCGGACGCGCCCTTCTTCACCATCATCACGCCGCGGGACCCGGCCCGGCGCGGCACGCAGCTGAGCGTCCTGCTGCGCGAGGGCCTGCTGGACGGCATCGCGCAGGCGCTGGAGGAGAACGGCGTCATGTGCGACAAGCGCAAGCCCGACGTGCTGCGCGTGGCGCCGGTGCCGCTATACAGCCGGTTCGAGGACGTGTGGCGGTTTATGCAGATTCTGCGCGGCGCATTGGGTCTTAAATGAGCGAAGGGTTTTGAAAAGCGAGGAGTTTTGTTGTCTTGATGTATGAGCATGGCTAGAGGTTTGGATGAGATATGATGCTGTTTCCTAAACACAAAGCATGGGATATTGGATGGGACTAGGTTATGATATCAATGACAGTCTTTCATTTCAAGGTAGATCCTGTAATCTATTTCTTCCAGATGTAGATTACTTATAAACGTTGGCAATGTTAAGCGTCTGTTGTGTTCTATCATTAACCCCCCCGGAGTCCCAACACCAGCCCATTCCCCCAAGTCCATCACATCTATGCAAAAACACTTATACCCAATCCTCATCAATCTCCTCCATCACCACATCCAAAGTCCCCCCCCTAGTTCGGCAGAGGAGCATCCGTGCTCCTGATAACCTCACTCCACTCATCCAAGATCCTCCCCGTCTCCGCCATCTTATTCCTGATGACCCCCTCCGCATCACTCCCCAGCACCACCCTCACAGGCAGCGCCTTGCCACTCGCAACCCCCGTCCCCGTCAGCGCATCAACAATCACCTCGGCCCCCTTGTCCACATCCCCGAGCTGCCTCCCATCCGTCACAGCAAGCCTCCTCCTCGACATCCCCGTCGGCGTGCTCTCGTCCTCGTACGCCTCGATCCTCGCCTTCGTCGACACCCTCGCGCTGGGATTCAGGAACCCCGTGCGAAAGTATCCCGGCTCCACGACCGTCGCCTTGATCTGGAACGGCGCCAGCTCCGCGGCGAGCGTCTCAGCAAGCGCCGAGCAGGCCCATTTCGTCATGCCATAGACACCACCACTCGGCGCCCCTCGCCAGCTGCCTAGGCTCCCAAACGTAGCCACGGCGCCCCTGACTCCGTTCTCCGCGCTGACGGGCTGCGCGCGCATATGCGGCAGGAACGCCTGGATCGTCCTCATCGCCCCAAAGACGTTGGTGTCGAAGCTCGCCAGCACCTCCTCCGGGCTGGCCTCCTCGATGGCGCCCTCGAGGATGTAGCCCGCCGCGTTGACGAGGTAGTCGACGCGGCCGTGCTGCGCAAAGACGGCCGCGGCGAGGTCCCTGACGGCCGGGAGGGGCGACGTCACGTCAAAGGCGAGCGTGTGGGCGCCGGCGGCGGCGAGGTCCGCGAGGCGGGATGGGTTGCGGGCGGTGGCGACGACGGTGTGGCCGCGGCGGAGGGCGGCGAGGGCGATGGCGCGGCCGAAGCCGGAGGAGGCGGCCGTGATGAACCAGACGGGGGGCATGGTTGGGTCAGGGGGGGTGATGTAGCTGTTGGTGGTGATGGTTGTGTCGAAGTTGATCAGAAGAAATTTTCAAACAATATGGTGTTGGTGATGACGGTGGCAATGGTGTTGTCTTCTATGTCGAAATGGTTCAGGGAAGTTGAGATTGGCGATGGTAGCGATCCTGTTGTTATGTCTTCGACGTTGGTGATCGATGGCGATGGTGTTGATGGTGTATAAGTCACACCAAACCACCACAACAGCGCCAGCTTCTCCCCCTTTTATCCTCGTTCCATCATCCAAAAGATTCGAGCTTCATGTTGACTCATTACAAATTCCCTGGATTGCAAAACGTCATCTAAAAGCACAAACCCAAAGCTCTCCAAACGGAGAAACATCAATCCAGCCTTATCGCCATCGCAGCCTTTCGGCGTTTAACCCTCGACCGAAAAGGCCACGCCCGGCTGCTTCTCGGGCTTCGGCTGGCGCTGCCGAACCATTCATCCCAGGGTCGTTCGATTCAACTCCGTACGTGTATGTATATTGAGCCCCGGCCTTATGTCCGAAGCTTTCCTTCTGGAAGGCCGATTTCACTAGCAAAGCTGGTTTCATGACATACCTATTGAAGCATGAGATAAAGGCAGATGGCTGCGGCAATGAGAGTGGCGAGGCTCAACCATCCAAGGACCGACCAACAGTATCCAGTTCTCAGTCCTCCTCAACAGCTGGCATCTCCCATTTCCCGTCGCCATCAACTCCGTCTCTTCAAGTCAAGATCAGACGGAACTCGAGCTCTGTCTTTTGTGTTGGTGGGATATGTACAATCATCACATCACAAGCTACCACCAAAGACAAAAAGAAAACTTGAACCCGGCGTCTTTCCTCACGCTTATTATAGGCGGGATATGCCCAATTGCCTCAATTTCCCGACGATGACATCGGCAATTGGAGCGGCAGAAAGAAGGACCATTCGTGCTTTTCTTGGCAGATTGAGCACCTGTGGTAGGATAAAAATCCGCTAACTTGGTGCTCACTGCGACCAAATGACAAGAGGGGAAGAGGAGGAGGTGCCGTGGGAATTTAGCACCTCCATGCTTCTCCGCAATCGGGTGGGAATCAGTGGGATATCTTGAGCCGAGGGGGGAGCATCTCACGATTTGACACAATGGGTTGATTTCTCTTCTTCAGGGCTGTTTCTTTGGCAGAAATTACTTAAACTGCAGAAAGAGCTTCAAAGCCTGCAGAATCAGCCACAACACCACCGCAACCAGCATCACCATGGCCTCCTCCTCCTCCATCCCCTGCCCGCCCCGCGGCATCTACGTCCCCGCCGTCGCCTTCTTCCACCCCGACGAGACCATCGACTTCGACGCCATCCGCGCGCACCTCACGCGCCTGGCCGAGGGCGGCGTCGACGGGCTCGTCATCCAGGGCTCCAACGGCGAGGCCATGCACATGCTGCACGACGAGCGCCAGCAGGTCCTGCGGCTGGCCCGCGAGGTGCTGGAC